TGGCGTGGTCCCAATAAGTGTGCTCTGGGAGTCGCTGCGACTTTCGTTCGCTGAAAATGTCCAAAAATTCGTGATGCGCCTTGGGGACTCTTTCCTTTAGATTGGTGACAACGATTTCGTCTTCCAAGTCCTGGTCGAAGCTGGCAAATCCTGACGGTTCGGGAGCCAGTTTCCAAATAACTGGTTCCTCTATGGCCTGTTTTCCTGAGTTTTTATGTGGGAGATCAGGTTCTCCCCCGTTTGGTGAAAGAGATGGTTTGGCTTGAGCCTTTCGTTTCTCTTCTGCGTATTTCCTTATGTCCTGTAGGAGCCATTTCCTTTTGAGGTATGCTCGTAGTTGGACACCAAACGTTCCGCTATGATCGCGGAGTCCTACATCTTCCGATAGTCTTCGGAGGTGTTCTAGGCGCTGTTTTTCGCGCTCGTTGATGCGTGGTTTGTGCCGTGGCTCCACGTCTGATAACCGCCTATTGTTTTGCGGTTCTTCCCTTGCCCTAGTGAACCCATGTGGTTGCTGGCATTTCTGGGGGCACCGATCAAAGTGCACTTCACGTCGCCTCCACTCTATGGAGGGATCGTGGTATTTCAACCAATCTGTTCCTAGGATAAGGTCATCCTTCTCTAGATTGGAGATAAACATCTGGACGCGTTCAGTATGCGTTTGTCCCCTGATGTCCCGAATGGTGAGGTTCACATCCCAGGCGGATCGGATGAGACCTGCTTTATTAATGGTGTCATCGACGTTCCGGACGCGAATGGGGTTGTTGAGTGTATAGGTGGGGAAACGATGTCTTTTGACCCAAGTTTCGTTTACTATAACCCCTTCGCATGCCGAGTCGATGGTTGCCTTAGCTCCAGCGTATTGACTCCTGTTTGATACCTTCACGTTCAGACGTATGGGGGTGATGATACGGTCGTTCATTGCTCTGATACGAATACAAGTGCGGGCGTCAAACTCGGGTCGTCCTTGACCTCTCTCCTTCGCTGGTGAGGGAGAGGTCAAGAAAAACGCTCCGCGTGCCCCAAGATCACTTCTCTTGCTTCATCTTCTCCTAATTCTCCGAGCACTGCTCCGATTCGAGCAGAATGACTGACGCTTCCGTCTCCCTGTCGTCCGTTAGGTAACATAGCGCGTTGCCCATGGTTGTTTTGGGGTCATCCGGATGGGGCAGAGTAAGGACGTTCCATCAAAGGACCAGGTTGTGGTACCCGCTGGTCGTTGCGAGGAACGTCCTCTGTCTCCACTCTTCGATATATTCCCGCTTGGTCTCCCATAGCGGGTGCGTAGTCTTCTCCTTCCAAATCAACCGCACGGTTTCCTCTCCCTGTCGTACCCAGGCGTCTCTTCGAGTTTCCTCGAGCTGGTGGAACGCCTCTATGGGCCGACCAGCAGTTAGCGCTAGAGTGCCCTAATTTTCCACAATTTGAGCAACGGGGGGTTCGCTTGCCGTCAAATTTTCTCTCTTGACTTCCGGCGTTACGCTTCCTGGTAGCGTCGATGTCCATGTCAACCACCTGGTTGTTCATTCTGCGAGGAGCGGTGGTGGAGTTGTAGCGGACGGCTGGTTGAGTGTGGAAACGATTTAAATAATCGCTGCGAAAGGAGGTGGAGTTGGCGAGGATGGCTTTTTGAGCAGATCTAGCTCTGAGTCGTCCGTCTATTTCGCAGGCTGTGTTAATCCAGTCTTGAATGGTGTCCTTTGGCTGTACTTCTTTGTCATATATTTTGTCCATGACGCGCGGGTCTAACCCGCGTTGGAAATAAGGGACTTGTTCCTTATCAGAGATGTCGGCATCGGCGGCGATGAGAATGAATTGGTTGGAGTATTCATCAACCGTCATTCGTCCTTGGGAGAAGGCCATGAGTGCGCTTCGCGCTTTGTCGGTCTTGCCAGTCTCCCTAAATTGGAGCTTGAACTTTGTTAAAAAGTCCCTCCAGGTTCCTAGATCAGTGGGAGGGTCCGCTCCTACTGATTTGAGGAGGAAGTTCTCGGCCCAAGCTCCTGCCGTGCCATATCTCATGCATGAGAGCACCAGGGATATCTTGTCTTGATCGGTCTTGTACCGATCGGATTCTGCTGCGAAAAGAAGGAGGCATTGGAGCATGAATTTCTGGGATTCAATGCGGTTGCCTGTGTAGTTGTCTGGGAGTTTGACTTTTCCTCTTCCGGGTTGTACTGTTGCGGAAGGGGGGTCTGTAGAAGTCGAACCTTGTCCCGACATTTCGGCGAGCGGTTCGTTTCGGGTGTTGATCGGTGTTTGGTCTGGTGAGTCGGAGTCTGATTCCGAGGTTGTTTCCTCTTGCTCCGAGTCTTCGGGGATTACCGGCGCCGGTTCCCTGTATTGTGGGGCTAGTTCCCACTGAGCTTCTGTTTCGTTCCAAATATCCTCTTCTTCTGTTCCGTCTTCAAGGGTGAAGTAATAACGCCCGTTTCGGTATGAGCAGTTATCGTAATTCGGAGGGGCGTATCTGTTATTGTCTTCGTAGACCCAGAAGTCCCCTTCGCGCCGGATAGGGCGATTGTTGTGACGGAGTTGGTTATTGATACGTCTAGTGCCGGGTGGATATTCCTGGCCTAGGTCTTGCTCCAGAGTGTGTGCAGTAACACTTTCTCGATGGGGGTCTATATCCCCACTGAGCAAGGTTATGAGAGAGAGTGTGGCAGCAAGCTAGTGCGAGCAAGGTAGGGGCAGAAGAGTCTATTCTAGTGTTACGAACTGCTCGTTCGGTAACCCCAAGAGTAGGAGGTTCTTCCCTAGGTCACTCGTGGAGGATGTGTGGAACGATGGTCTCGACTGTACGTGTAGCACAGGAGCCAGAGATGTATTGCGGTGTAGCAATGAAGACTGTAGTAGGAAGACTACAGCGAGTGGAGTAGACAGTGTGAAGACTGCCTAAGAACGAAGGTTCCTGTATGTGAAGATACAGGAGAACGAAGAGAATAGACTGAAGAACCTCAGCCTACTCTATGGGCCTTTTATACTACTTTAGGAAATAGGGCGTGAGAATACCGTATATGTATCCGTAGGTATTTCTCTAAGTCGTCTCTCTCAATAACGACTACTCTTGTGCTTCTCCGTTAGTCCCCTTCCGGCCAGGAAAGACTAGGAGCTCAATGCCCGATGTGTGAGTAGTTTGTAAGGCGGCGTTCCATGCCCGCTACGCAATAGGCCCGTGATACTTGACCAATGATAAGGTGATCCGTTGGGAGTGGATGACCAAGGTTACTATCTGTACCTTGTTTGTACGCCTCTCCTTGTGAGGCCGCTTGATATTTGTGATGATCGTGTCGGTATAGACCGCCGTTAAGGCCCGACAGAACGTGATCATAACAGCAACCTCAACATCTCTGATTTTATTTAACATTTATCTTTCCTCTATCTTATAAATAAATAGGTCAATAAATACCTAAAAAGTCAGGTCTTTCAGGATTTAGTTTAAACACCAGCTAAGAAGATAATAAACCAATGGAAAATCAATAATACACTTTATATAGGATAAAAATAAATTATGGCACTTATACAATTTGGACTGGGAATGTGTAAAACTATGGTTGAGTGTAATATTCAATGGGACTCTACTAGTATAGACAATGCTACCTGAATTTGCAAATTTGATCAAAAACATGATTATAAATAATCAAGATCCAATAAGAGAGAGGGGTTTTCCAAATAGCCACTAGTGAGGTAGAGGGTGGGGACAAGAGTATATGTATGGCATGCCTATATATAAATAAGCACAAGATTGTTGGAGGTGATCTTAATATGCTTAATGCATATATTTCCTATATGGCAGGCAAATATATCATTCTGGCACCACATACCAATATGACTGTCTTTTCCACAGCCTAATAGCTAGAGGAAAACACCAAGTTTGAGCATCTTCTGTATAATAAGGTAATAAATAATATAAATAGTGCTAAAAATTGTAATATCAATAGTGATGATGATTGTGTGCTGCACAAGACAGCATTAGCCACTATACTAATAGACAAGGTCTATAAGGCTGCATATAGCATATTCCTAAGTCCAACCCACATATTGTGTCCTATAATGACCAGTAGCAGGCATTGGCTAACAATGACAACTTTAATGATCTTGTGTGCAAGGACAAGGTACCTAGGTCTTCATAGCCTTTTGTGGCAGCTGCCAAGCTGCCAACAAAGTGGCTGGGGGCATCAATGCACATTTCTCTCTTTCTATATCCCTTATAAAAGCAGCTGGAAAGTCAGCAAAAGAGCTACAAGATAATGGTATAGGCATATATGAAGGAGAGTAATATGCTGAAATAGTATAAAATGTGCTACATCTTTACCTTCTCACTGATAGAGCAGTAGTACTTACTATTTCCTACTAATCATTAAAGACTTCTTAGTATAGAATTAGTACTAATATCATGAAATTAGAAACCAATCCAATGCTCACAATGTGTTGCTCCCAATTAGGAAATTAGACACTTTTAGATACTATTAACACTTTTAGATACTTTTAGACACTATTAGATATAATCTGGAGCTAATACAAGAGGGTGTTTTTCCAGATGGTTGAATATAGCTTATACTAAGATCTTAGGTTAAGCAATGTTGATTACAAACTCTTTTCAAGTGGGTAGTTTAAAATGCCAAAGCAAAGCTCTGGTGTGTCTTGTTCAACTTAAAATCCTGACTACCCATAAGGGGGGTGATTTGGTTGTAGACTAACCCAAACCTGATAAACACTGATTCTCAGCCTGTTGTACATTCTGGTACTCAATAAGTCTAGAGTACTTTGTAGCAATAGACATTTCTGGGCCAGACCAATCGGTCTAATATATATTCTCACATGCTGCATTCTTTTATCAGCTGGATATTTTGATGTCTACCAAGTCTAGAGTACTTTATAATATGTTATTCTATATAGTGCTTATATTTTTTTGTATAACTTTGTCAAATATTAAGCTTTTCTCTGATGTAGCTGCCAGTGAACTCACTCGCAGCATACATAAAGACTCCATATTACCAATGTTCTTAGAACAGTTATTAAGTAGTGATGGGTATACCTAAGTTACATTCCTTCGTAGAAAGAGATATATGAATATCTACTGCCGGAGCAGCTTCTCATGCAGCTCCGCGCCCTTGAGCTTGGCCCGCAGATATTCCAACCGCTCCTCATAGCGCCCAACCACTTCTGTCCGCCGTCTACGAATGTCCACCATCTCTACCTCCAGAGCCGCAAGCTCTGCATCATCCCCTGCAGCGCTCGTTGCCGATCTCGGCGTCACTGAGGCGGACTTGGCGTGTCCTGCTGGTGTAGACAGCCCTGGCCAAGCTCGATGGCCATCTACCGACTCTCGACCATCGCCCTCTGCAACAGTCGCCAATGGCAAGTGCGACGCGCTCCGCGACAGGTTGAGGCTCGATGAGCTAGCACTGCCAAGTCGCCCTATTACGGACGTCGACGACGAAGGGAGGGCGGGCACCGAGGTCGATGCACTCCGTCCGCGCGAGGAGACGGACGCGAAAGAGGATTTTCGACCGAGGGAGACGGGCTGCGCAACAAGGGGGGAGCCGCCCTTTGGCCGTGAACGCGTGGGCGAGCGATAATCAGACAAGCTAGTGCCGTTGGATCCACTGGATCGCACCGAGGTGCTATCACTGTCTTTCCTGAACCGTGATCTGCGGTCGGGTATCAAGGTCCACGAGAAATCCAGAGGATCCTGGAGGTCGGACGGGTGGGTACCTGGGACAGCGAGATGTGACGAAGAAGCGTTAGGCATCAGAGGGCCTGGTCGATGCTGTCGCCGAGTCAAAGTGCTCAGTTCCAGGCCGTTGAACGCGTCCAGCAATCTTCGGCCCTCTGCTTCGACAGACTCAATCTCATGCCGAATGTCTCTAGCCGTCTTCAACTGCTCGGAATCAGTAGTGATGTCAAGCCCGCTTAAACGAACGTTCGGAGGGTCAAGGCCAACGACGCGCCCATGGAAAGAAGAAGGCGGAGCGGCCTTCGGCAGTCGTCTGGCACTCCGCGTGGTTGTGCGAGAGAGACTGGGAGAGGAAGGGGTAGTGGGTTCTGTCGCGGTTCCGCCGCGAGCAGATTTAACGTGAGAAGATATGGAAGCGCTGTCAAACGGAGAACTGTCTGTCCGGAGGGATAGTTCGCTTGTTTGCTTGTGAAGAGGGCGGGTAAAGAGCCGACGCTGGATCATACCGGAAGACATGGAGCCAATGGAGAACATGCTATTCGTGTCGCTTTGATCACGGTCGCGGGAAGTGGAGGAGGAGCGTCTGCTAGTAGCTCGTCGTAGCATACTAGAGAGATTGGATGAGATGGATCTCTTCGATTGGATCGAAGGCGGCCGAGATGGGGTGGTGCGTTGTGTGGAAGAGGTGTGGGCTAAGGGGACAAAGGTCAGTTTCCAGATCTGAAGGTATGGTAAGTACGATAAAAAGGTGGGGCGTACTTTGGCTGTGCGAGTCGACACGACTAGGCCCAGCGATGGGCACGACAGGTGTCTCCGTGGGAAGGGGGGCATTGGCGGAGAGTCGCTCGAAGAGACTCTGACGGAGGAGACGATATTCATCGTCACTGAAAGAGGCTGCGTGAGGGAGAATCTGGTGGGACGCGAGGATGGAAACTGACTCGAGCAAGCCTTCGGCATTTGCGGTGGCCAATTCGTTGAGGCGTTGAGCTAGCATGACACTAAGAAGATTAAAGTATCAATGGACTGGAGAAAGCAAGGGGAAATGGGGGCATACGTGAGGACATCTGTAGATACGCGAGAAGAGGGAGGAGGGGGGTGGGGGTGGGGGCGAGACGGGGGCGAGGACGAGAAGGGAGAGGGAGGGTGTGGCTGCTGCGTGCGAGGCATTGTGTGCGCTGTCTGTGGTGTCTCGCGCGGTCTCTGCTTGTTCTTTCCGTACTGGCGCGCGGGCGTCAGCGCGGGGCCGCCGCCGACAAACATGCACTCACAAAGCGAGACCGAACAACATTCACCGCCGCTGGCTTCTCCTCCGAGACGTACTTCTCATGCTCCGGACGTCGGGACGAGAAGAATCCCATCGTTGCATCGGTGATTCCCGAGTGCCTCCCTCGATCAAGCCGAACGAAGCGAAAGCGCACAGGAATGCAATGAGCGGAACAAACGAAGGACGTGAGCGTCGACGACAGCGGGCTGCCTATCCCATCCGACGCGAATGGCCTGCACGTGTCCCTCGCACGTGATCCATCCCCATGGCGCGACTTCCGACTTTCTCATCCTGGCACTCGTCCGACAGCGTCCGACACGTCTTGCTTCCGACCGTCATGACAGACCTCAACCCTCGCACCAAATCCTATGAGTTTCTCGGGCCTCCTGGGGCCCTTGCCGTGACCATAGGCGTTCCCATCATGACCTATGCCCTCTACTTCTCTTGCAGCGAGGTTTCAGGCGGTTGCCCTCCCACTCCCCTCTCTACCTTGATCCCTACCATTCAACAGGCCGTCTCTGATACAGAGTGGTGGAAAAGCCTTTTGGATACCAAGGCTCTCGCAATCTACTCGTCTTGGTACGCGTTTTGTATTGTGGCATGGGCTATTCTCCCAGGCGACTGGGTTCAGGGATCTCAGCTTCGCAATGGGAAATATCAAAGTTACAAGATAAACGGTATGTATATATGTCACGACTTCTCTGCCATGCATATCCATAACCATTTCGTAGCATTCTCTACGTCCCTCCTCGCTCTCGGTCTCGCCACAGGATACATCATGCGTTTTGGAGTCCAGTCTTTCACCTTCTTCTACGAACATTGGGTAGGATTCGTGACAGCCGCCTTGCTCAACTCCATCCTTCAAGGCTTGCTCTGGTATGGACTTTCATTCTGCCAAGGAAAGCTACTTGCTCTCGGTGGCAATTCCGGGAATCCCATCTATGATGTGCGTCCGTCGTCTGTCTCCATATGCATGACGTTGACGGATCCTCCACCTTAGTTCTATATCGGTCGCGAGCTGAATCCGACCGTACTTGGTTTGGATATCAAGTCTTTCAACGAACTGAGGCCAGGGATGATCTTGTGGTTATTGATTGATATCAGCATGGCCTGCGAGCAGGCCACTCGTCTCGGAGGACGTATCACCGACTCGATGGGTCTCGTACTCTTCTTCCAGTCTTTGTATATCATGGATGCTTTGTACAACGAGGTATGGCAGTCCTGATCGCATCTACTTCCACACACCTGACCTGCCTCCAGCCCGCGATCCTTACGACCATGGATATCATCTCCGATGGGTTTGGCTTCATGCTCTCTGTCGGTGACCTGGTTTGGGTTCCCTTTGTTTACTCACTCCAGGCACGCTACCTTGCTTTCCATCCGAAAGATCTTGGATATACATGGAGTGCTGCCATTTTGGCTGTCAATTTCCTCGGCTACTGGATCTTCAGAAGCGCGAACAACGAGAAAAATGAATTCCGCAACGGACGGAACCCCAAGAGTCAGTTTCATCGACATCTTTCGCTATGTGGTGTATGTTTAAACTCACGCAGATCTCACGTACATGCCCACCGAGCGTGGCACGAAGCTTTTGACTTCCGGTTGGTGGGGAGCTTCTCGCCACCCAAATTATATGTACGCTTCCTCCTATGTTCTGATTAAGTTCTTTTTCTGACGTGAGCTGCGCAGGGGTGACCTGTTGATGGCGTTGGCGTGGTCCTTGCCCACCGGCTTCGAGACCCCTGTCACCTACTTCTACGTTGTTTACTTTGCTGTCCTCCTGATCCACCGACAGCGACGTGATGACGAAAACTGTGAGAAAAAGTCAGTGATTTTCCTGCGCTCAGCCTCTGTGACCGCGACTGATCTTTGGCTCTTGATAGGTACGGCAAAGACTGGCACAAGTACATGAAGCTGGTTCCCTACCGCATCATCCCGTTCATCTACTGAGCAGCCTAGAGTGTGTGATTTCTTGTTTTGTTGATGTACTTTGAATATATTGCATTGGTGCTTGGTAGAACAATGGACAAATTTAATGGGTTTTGAGCCACTCTAGTAATCGTGAAAGGCGCTCTTTTCGCAATGGTATCCACAGGGTTTCCGATGAGCCCAACGTACTGGCCCCAGCGATGACAACCAGGCCATGGTCTTTGAACTCTCCAAGGAGAGATCGGAGCGCTGTATCATTCGTGGCCACGAAATTATCTCGAGCCATATTGAAAACACGATCGTAGGCCATCGCCAGCTCCTCCTCATGAGTAGCGACGGCGTCGCCAGCATCATCCATGGCTTCGAGTTGGTGCTGTGCGATCAGGGCGAAGAGCTTCTGCGCCTTCTGGGTGACGGACGCAAGGATGTGCTGCGCGGCCGTCTCTGTCATGACTGCTCCATCGGCACCACGGTCGCCTGACGGAGCGAATTGGAGGCGCGCAGACATTGAGGAAGACGTTGCGCCGTGGATGGACGTGCGGTCGGCGAAGGAGAGCTCGGTGTCATACGGTGCAAGGGTGGTCAGATCGTGCCAGAGCCACGCGTGCCCGCGGCCACCACTCTGGAGCGAAGGCTGTTTTCTGGTGAGTGCTTCAGATGAAGACCAGAGGAGAGGGAAGTTGATGTGGTCGACGGATGCCGCAAGACGGATGCGGGGACAAGAGAGGAGGAGCGATAAGCATGCACGTGCCTTGGGTGTGCGAAAGGCTGGAGCGTCGAAGCTGTGGATGATGAGGAACAGGGGACGGGAGCTGGTACTGAAAAAGCTGCGGATGCGGTGCGCCTGGCTCTCTATATTGTGAAAGCTGAGGGGTAGAGAGGTGATTCCTGGCACTTGTTCGATGGAGGAGATCATGTCCTTGATATTGAAGGAGGGCTGATAGCCGTTCACGACGATGGCGTGGCCTCTTCTCCGGCATGTTTGGGTGGCAAACGCGTTGAGCACATTTCGCTTAGAGCCTAGTCCGTAGAACGCCAAGCTGAAGCCCTCCTCTAGTTGGAGTAGGAAGCGAGCGAAATGGCGGCGATGGAGGGAGTGTAAGGAAGCCGGAAAGTCGGGAACGGGAGACGGATAAGGCGTGAGCGCGATGGCAACAGCGTATTCATCTGCAGTGAGAGGCTCAACGATCTGGGAGAATACGCTCGAAGAGGTTTTAGACGCTTTGGATGCATGCAGAAAATAGGCGTCGAAGGCGGTCTGTGCGGTGAAGGAGTACGCTGTGCGCGAGATGCCGGTATTAAATCCCTGGCTGACGTCAGGCTCGCCGTTGTCGTTCTCGGAGACGGCGCGAGATGTATAGTCTCCCTCGTCCTCAGAGAACGCTGTGAAGGAGCTCATTACCGAGAGTTCCGCTTAGTTCCCTCTCTCTAGGAGAGGGTTCATTGTTTCGCTCAATTCGTCTTGTCTCACGGTGCTCGTGATTGATCCGGTTCAGTATTACATGAACCTCGTGCTTACCAAGCGGAATAGGCCAAGCGGGCATTGAAAAGCCACGGCGCGTTTTCGTCGGAGTCGTTGCGGCCGGGCAAGCCGAGCTGACTCTATACCGCCTGGGTTTTGGCGGGGTGCGCCAAATGTGAGTTCGACTTGACCGAATTTTGTGCAATCTTCAGCCACCACTACTATACCTTGCCTCCACACTCATTACTTCTCGTAGCAAATAAATATGTATATAGATATGTTAACAAATAAATTGTTTATCTATATTATTCTGCCTCCAAATGTCCCTGAAAATTAGAACTCGTAACAGGGCACTCTGTTGCACCTCACAAAGATGCTGAAGGCCAAGGCAGAGCAATGTGGGCAACCGAAGGGTGCTAGGATGATGGTACCATTGTAGGGTGCTGTCCCCATAGTGCAATACTATGCTGTGGGTCAGAGGGCAAAGAATGCAGGGAGCCAAATGATGACAAGGAATAAGAATAAAAGGGGGATTCGGTCCGGTTCAGTACATAGGGGGATGCTCGCAGCAGAAGACAGTTGTCACCAACGCGTGACGTCACGCGTAGCTATAACAGGCTGGACCGAGCCGCGCGGCGTGCATTGCCGCCGTCAAGCCAGCGGATTCGCAACGGCCATCTCACGGTTCAGCGCTACAGTGTCGACCATGTCAGTCCCAAATATCGAGGAGATTTGCAAGTGTGCACACGACATAGTTATCAAGGCGCGCAAGGCGCGGACCCTCAGGTGCGTGTAACCTTAGCAGTGATTACGATCCCAGACCGGTTCTCATGAGACGATGCGGAACCTGCACCGTCGCAGCGCACTCACCCCTCGCTTGATCCGAGAAAGCGTGGAAAAGAGCCTCTCTTTAGAACCCGGAGCTCTTGATGAGAAGCGGTACAAGAAAGCGCTGAAGGGAGCGATCGAGGATGCCAAGGTAAGTCAAAGCCTTCTGCCCACCGTACACGAGAAGTATTCATCGAACGAGCGCCGCGCGACAGTCTGAGGACCTCCCAGAGCAGGACACGGAATCTGACCAAGGAAGCACCCCGGACAAAAAGCGCGCTCGCAAGGCGACAGAGGAAGACAAGGAGGCAAAGCGCACGCCTTCCTCGAAGAAAAGCATGAAAGACCGGGAGTCATCACCGAAGAAGGCGTTCAAGTCAAAGGTAGAGCATTCAAACTCACGCTTTTATTTTTCGTCTAAACATGTCGCACTCAGGAAATCATAGAAGATTCTGATGACAACGAAGATCCTGCGCCTCCGTCCCCAAAGAAGCCGAGGAAGGGGCGAAAAAGGTCAGTATCTCACTTGTTCTTCAATCTGATCCCGGCTGAGTATCATCTACAGAACGACGCGGACGACAAGCCGCCCAAAACGCAGACCGCCAAGTCTCGTAAACAGCCAGTCGTGGACGAAGATGCTGAGGCGGGACCATCAAAGACAGATCCAACCTCCTCCGTACCCTCATCTTCAACTCGTGTGGCAGCCAATGACCCCGACGATTCTGACAAAGCCGACCAGGCGAGTTCCCGCACCGTGCTCATCTCAACCTTGCTCACCCTCTTGGCAACAGAAGAGCGAATCCGAGCTGTCTGTCCTGATCGACGATTCTCCAAAACCCCGGAGTCGCAAGAGAAAGAGCGTGACAAAGGTGAGCAGGATCTTCTCCATATGCATCCTCACTCACTCCCGCAATTATCAGGATGAAGCAGAAGCGAGTATCCATATTAATCCAGCTCCGAAGCCATACACATCCTAATCATCATATATAGAAACCCAAACAGAAGCGGAGCAAGACCTCCTCACAGACCCTAAGCAAAGACGAGCAGGCGGTCGCTCGACTCAAGGTATCCCGCCCTTTTCTTCCCAGCCCCATCCATCGCTCATGATCCTAATCATCTCCCCATCCCCTGTGACAGTCGATCGTCGTCGCCTGCGGGGCACGCAAAATCTGGTCCAAGGAGTTCTCCGGCCTCGACAAGCCCTCGCAGCAGGTCGCCCGCCTGCGCTCCATCCTCTCCGACCTCGGCATGATCGGCCGCCCGAGCCTGGAGCAAGCCAAAGCGATCAAAGAAAAGCGCGAACTCGCGAAGGAGCTCGGTGCGTCTGCCCTCACAGCCCTGTTCCGATGCATCGTTCTCACGGCCACGCGCCCGGCTGTCTTGTCTTAGCGGACGTGCAGCAGTTCGGGCAGGCCGTCGCGGCCGGCAAGCCGTTCCAAACGCGATTTGGGAGGTCGCGCGCGAAGGCGGAGGACGACGAAGAAGCGAAGGAGAAGCAGACAGAGGAAGAGTCCGAAGCAGAGGTGCCTACGAAGGTCAGCAGCGCCCTGCCCGCCAACGCCGAATGCACTCGCTCCATCTGAATGTGATCCTGACGACGTTTGCCTTTGCTCCCAGAACGCCGCACGGAGAAGCATCATGGCTTTCCTGGGAGACCAAAGCGACGACGACGACTGATCGAGGGTCTTGTCTATTTACTTCGCTGTCGGATCTGCTTTGCTGTTGAGATGCTTGTCATGTTTCGCACCGTCTGTCGTGTAAGTTACCAGTCAGTTGTCCATATCCGGGTCCGCCTTGTATCTCGTCGTATTTCCATCCACTCCACATATCATAGGGCGGCGCAAGGCCAAATTTCTATACCCTTTCTTGAAATATGCCTCAGACTCTTAGAGCCTGAGACGACTCGTTGTTTCCCTATCCCTTCGAATAGCTCGGATCGTGTGATCGCAGCTTGCAAGTTGTGCAGGACGGCTGGCATCAGAGGCCAGCTTCAACACATCTCTTTCCATCTCTCCGAGCGATCCCATCAAGTCTCGATCGAAAAAACCTCGCGATCGAATCAGGTCAGTGAACTCGACATGTAAATGCTACACCACAGGTCCTCGGCACCATCGCCCTCGTGAAAGAAACAACAGCCCCACAAGTGCGCGATCGCGCGGCGAGACATTCAATCCAACAAGCCGCGAGACACGCCGCACAAGCGCACGCCCGGGGGCATCCTCTCCACCAACACTAACGCACATACACCGCTCGAAGCACGAACGGACCCACCTCCCCCTCGCGTCGTCGTACAATATCGACACCGGGCACCGTTCCTCTCTACAACCGCACCACAACACAATCAACAAATCACAGCCTATCACAGCTCCGTCGCGCGCACCAGCTCCTCCGCTCTCTGGTCGCGCGGCGCGATCGCGCACCTGAACGGCAGCGGATGGCTGCGCGCCGGGACCGAGACCGAGACCGAAACATACCCGTTAGCGCAAAGATACACAAACCCCTGAAAACGCGAGAAGCAAGAGAGCGCACCTAACGAGCGAGTCCGTGTACTCGCACCCGACCGCAATTTCGCGCCCCGCGGCGTCCTTCGCCCTGCTGACGCTAAACGCAGCCAGCACCGACGCGACGACGATCCACATCATCGTGTCCGCGACGTGGCGCCCCGGGCACAACCTGTACGCGCCCAGTCTAAGCTCCCTGAACACGCAGAATAGGAGATAGATAACCCGCGCCCGCGCGACGCGACGCGGGCACGCACCTCCTGCCGTACCCAAACGCCGATACCAGCAGCGGGTCCTCGCGCACCGCGCCCGACGCGGTCAAGAACCGCTCGGGCCTGAACGCCTCCGGGTCCGGGTACGCCTCGGGGTCGTGCAGCATCGCCCTTCCAGATTCGACCACCGCCAAACGCCAAACGTCAGCCCATCGGCGCGGCACGCAAGGGCGAGGCGCAAGGGTACGCACCACGTGTTCGGCATGACCATCGTGCCCTTGGGGATGAAGTACCCGTCGTACACGTCGTCCTCCGTCGACTGGTGCACGATCGCTGCCGACAGCATCCGCCAACACCACCGCCAACACCGACACCACCCCCGCCAAAACACTCAACGTCAGCCTTTTTCTGTCAATGCGCGAGAGAGAAGGTATGGGGGGACGCACCGAACGGGGTGACGAGCTTCCACCGCATGAGCTCCATGCACAGCGCGTCGACGTACGGGAGCTGGTCCCGATCCGCGTACTCGGGCAGCCGGTCTGGGCCGACGACAGCGTCGAGCTCGGCCTGCGCGCGCCGCTGCGTTTCGGGGAAGAGGGTGAGGACGAGGAAGAACGTGGAGAGCACGGACACGGTCTGCGGGCCTCGGATGAGCACAGGGAGGAAAGCATGAGTGCGCCGCAGAGGTGAAGCACTTACGGTGTCGGCGCCAGCTATGGACACGGGGAAATACGTTCAGGACGCGTGTATCCAGATGAGTGAGACGAGGCGTGCTCGTACCTGCGTATATCGTCGCCGCGACATATTTAATCATGTTTTCTTCGTCTTCCGAGGGACCGTCCCCTTGATACGCCTCCAGACTCTCGCGCGCAAGCGACGGCCTAGCCGTCCCATTCCGCTACCCAACCCAAAAAAACCCACAGTAATCAGACCCCAAACCGTTCCCTTGCCAACACGAAACCCAAGACCGACGCACCATCTCCTCCTTCACGAACGCGAACGGGAGGTTCACCATGTCGTCCGTGAGCCGCGCGACCTCCCGCGCGTAGCGCTTGAAGCCCATGCCGGGGAGCCACGCGGGGAGGTGGCGCAGCGCGGGGACGACGTTGACGAGGCGCGCGCCGGGCAGGACGGACGCGACCGCCTTGGAGATGGCGTCCTCCGCGATGGCCACGTACCTGTCGTTCGCCTCTGCGATCTCGTAGCCGTATGCCAGGGACATAGCAATCGCCGCGGTATAGCTGAGCGCGCGCGCACGCGCAAACGGCGAACGGAGAGTAAAAGACATGGGGCCGTCGTAAGAGGTTTGTAAGGGGGGAAGAGGGAGGACGCGTGCGTACTGCCGGATGTGCTCGACGAAGTCTTCGGGCTGACGCAGGAGTTGACGCAGGAGGCGATCCGACTTTGCCTTCTGCATCGGTAGGTAGGTGGCCACCGCGCTCAGTCGCAGACAGTGGTCTGCGATGCGGCGCCCGACGCGCCATTCCTCCGAGTACCTTCGCATCGTCAAGTTGAACACATCGAAGCCCATGCTAGTAAGAACCAGGAATCAGTCAAAGAAGTCGAAACTTTCGCATCCAAGCTGCAGGTGCGGTGACGCGGGTCATATTACGAGCGGGTATGTAAAGGTGATCCAATCATTATAGACGGAAGGCCAGGCCAGACCGTCTCGTTCGATCCTTACGTCGCAGGAGAATCGGGAAGAACGAAGGAAATCGGGGAGAACAGGGAGCCGACGAAGAGGGAGGGGGACTCACAGATCAAGCATCGGGATGAGCGGGCGGTCGGAGTAGAGCGCGCCGCGCTTCTCGAGAAGGTCCCGGGCGATTTTGGCGGAGTTGAGGATGACGATGGGCTGCCCGAGCGCGTTGACCGATATAATGCCGCCTGGATCGAGAATGCACGCGTCAATCGGTCAGTATATGCGCCAAATCTTGTTCCCAGGAGGGCTAGAACGTCGCTCTCGAAATGCAGCCGGCGGGGGCGAACCATCGCATCGCCGGAAAGACACCGTCAGTACACACGGATGTTCTTTCTTTGGCGATACCTCCGAGGACCACGACTCACGCCTATCATACAGACGCGCGCTCGCCCGCACACAAAGACGTGCCCAAAACAAGCGAGCCCGTCGCAGGACGATTCACTCACCGTATGTCTTTCCCCACTGAGCATAGGTCACCCAGGGGGACTTGGTGGGCAGGTCGAGCACGTTGCCGATAAAGGGGAGCGGTCGCGGGCCGGGGGGGAGAGGGAGGCCCTGTCTCCGCCGTCGATCGAAGAATTGCCTGACGGCGAGGGACGCGAGCAGCGCGAGGGTGACGACGGCCAGGAGCATGCTATTAGACATGGCTGCGGCTGCAGATGGTCAACGGCGAGAGGCGAAGGGGGGGAGGATGGAAGATTGGATCGACGGGTCTGCATCGGGCCAAGGAGCCCATTTAAATAGACAGGATCGGGCCTGGGCAAGCGCGAGGATGGCGGAAGCGCGGGCCATAGCCAGCGTTGGCGCTGGTTGACGTAGAAATGCACGGGCGCGACTGACGGACGCGCTTGCGGATGCCGGCATGTCGCACATGTGTGTCGCGATGTACGTCGGCGGCGATTGGCACACAGAATTGCTCAGATGCCAGCGTGCGTGGAGATGTGCGCACGATGTCGAATCTGCAAATGGAGTCGGACGAGGCGAGAAGCAGGAAGCAGGGAGGGACGGAGAGCCTACGTGACGTAACACACACACCCTCGCTCACCGTCCTCCCACCAGCCTCGACTCGCCCATGAAGCGCGTCTCCCTCGTCGCCTACTCCGACTCGGACAGCGACGCCGTCGACGACAGCCCCGCTCCTCCAAACAAAAAACACAAGCTCCCCCCTCTCCCCTCCCACCTCGTCGTCCCCGTCCCCTCCGACGACCCCTCCAAACACCAGGGCCGCACCCGCACGACGCCCCACGTCGACGGCCAATGGGCCGCCTACGTCTACGTCCCCGTCGCCATTGCCGCTCTCGACCACAGGCCCCTGCGCGCGCTCGTGCGGAGGCTGCTCGCGCGCGCGAAGGAGGCCGTGCCGAGTCTCCAGCCGCTTGCGGCAAGTGAGAGACAGCAGCTCGACGCGGGCCGTGCGGTCGAGGGCGATTCGGAGCTCCACATCTCGCTCTCCAGACCGATCTTCATACGGTCTCACCAACGCGAAGACGTCAAGCGCGCAGTGAAATCGCTCGCCAGCGCACACTGCCCGTGAGCGTCCCTCCCTCCCTCCCTCCCTCCCTCCTTCCCTCTCTCCTTCCGTCCCCCGCGCCACGTCCCGCTTCGCCCTGATCCAACCGGCATCTGCAGGCGCTCCCCCATCGCGCGAAAAGACAAGGTGGGCTGATCTGCGTTCCTTCCCCCTTCTGTACCCCGTTCGCCCAGATTCGCCGCGTCCTTCGCGGCGCTTGCAGCGCTCACGAACGACGAGCACACGCGCACGTTCCTCTGCATGGAAGTCGGCGCCGGCCACCTCGAGGTCCGTCCGTCCGCCCGTCTCTTCACCTGACGTCCACATACCACGCCTCGTCCAGCTTCGCGCTCTCTCGGACGCGCTCTCGCCCCTGCTCCGCGCGCTCCGCCAGAAAGAGTACTACGACGCGCCGCGCTTCCATGCCTCGATTGCGTGGGCACTGCTCGATCCGCCGACCCAGCCCTCGCGTCCCCAGATCCATCACGACGACCCGCGATCCTCCGCCTCGCCCGCGCTCGCACCCCCGCCCTCGATACCCCCCGCCGCCTCGACCGCCCTCGCCCTCTCCTCTCACACCTCCCACACACCCTCCGCCTCGCCCCCACAACCCGCATCGGACTCCGCGACCCCTTCCCCTCCTCCTCCTCCGTTTCCCACCATCCCCCGCCTTCCACCGACCCTCGTCCCTTCCCTCAGCGCCGAGTTCGGCAACGAGCTCGCCGCGCGCGCGGGCGTGTTCCACGTCGGCGAGGTGAAGGTGCGCATCGGGAAAGACGTGTTCGCGTGGCCGCTGCGCTGACGCGCTGAGCGCGTACTGCGGACGTACTGCGGACCCTCCATCAGTGACCACTTCCTTCCTCCGGCCGTGCACATCGCGACGGCTGCTGGCCGGCCAGCGCGCGTCTGCCCTGCCTTGGCCGATGCGCACGGTCGCCAAAAGTACCGCATATCAGATGCGCAGCACGTTCTGCGCGACGACGACGCGCAATAATAATAATAATCAAACACGATAGATATAAATTATATCGCACCCCCGGGGGGTCGGGGAAGACGCGCGGCGTCTCCCGCCCGAGGGGTAAAGAATCATTGTACATTGTGAAAGTATGCTATATGCTATAAAGACAGACTGCGCCGGGGCAGGCAGGGGCGGTGGTACCGGTGAGTGACGTGTGATGGATACATGCATGGGTGTGAGTGTGCGTGGCGCGCATGGCCGGCCCATGGTCCCTTCGTGGGAGGAGGGCGCAGGGCGTTTTGGGAGTCCAGTCTAGTCGTAGCTCCAGGTGACCTGGACGACGCCGACGCTCTCGTCCGCAAAGGTCGTGAAGAGCGCGGGCGACATGTCTGCACAAACGCAAACGCAAACGCAGAAGCCAAACGTCAGATCCCGTGCCCACAGAGCGAGGAGGGCGCGCGAGGCTCACCGAGGTCGCCCGAGGAGCACCCGGGGCACTTGTCCACGACCTGCGCGCTGTGCGTCTTCCCGTTCGCGGAGACGGAGATCGTCTTGCCGCAGTGCGCGCCGCTGCCGTAGTCCGCGGACGCGAGCGCGACGATGTAGTCGCTGTCCGTGTTCGTCCAGCCGCACGCGCCGAGGCCGACGGCGAAGTACGTGCCCTGATGCATCGCGGGAGATCCATGCGTCGAGGTCAGCGCCGCGTTCCGCGAGTGTGGGGGCAGGAGAAGAGGGGACTCACGCGGCCGGAGTTGCGCTTCTCGACGGGCCCGGCGAGGGCGCAGAGGACGCTCGCGAAGAGCGCGACGAAGAGGGCGGCGAGGGATGCGCGGAACATGGTAGGAATAGTAGGATACAAAGAAGGTCTGGAGTCAAAGACTGCTGGATCGTGTAGCGGCGGTGACGAAGGCGGCGAGGGCGTGTGCGGTCGGAGGGGCTCAAGGGGATATTGGAACGCTGAATCGCGAGAGCCGAGAGGCTTATATACCCCCGCGTGAAACGAGGGCGACGCGGTGGTGGTGCGTGGCTGCAGCGACGGAAGCCAAGGCACGAAAAAACTTCTATCACGCAGCAGGACCTCCATTTGCGCGACAAGGACGAGGCATCGGGCATCGGGAGAGAATAGAAAAAAAAAGGTCATCGCGAGGCAACGGGCCTGGACGGGTTTCGCGGAGGGCGTCAACCGCGTTCAGATCCATGACCGTGCCCTGCGCTTCATTCCAGGGAGGCGGAGTGGGCGCCCTCTTGTGCGATTGGGAGATCGGGCGAGTCTCCATTCCAGGGGATCGCGAGAGAGCGCGGGCCCAGACCCGCCTTGAAAATACTGTACCGAACGAGGACGGGGCTATTGCAGTGCCTGCTTACGCACTTATGGGTGATCGATGGTGTGGAGGGGTGTGGAGTAAGTAGCAAACGGTGGCGAAGCTCTCATCCGCAGCCGTGATGCCGAGGCGGGGCTGGGGTTCCGCGGCACTGATCACCACAAAAAGATGAGGTTTCAGATCTCAGAACTGAACTGCAATCGAGAATCGGCCCAGTGCATAGCGTCCCATTTAAATTACTTGGACAGGCAAGAAAAGAGGACATCGCTTGGATGTGATGCAGGACTGAGTCCAACCGACACCGAAAACGAATCGGAGGGACAAGAGTGCAGCGTGCGCGCAGCTGCGACGCACTGCAAGATCATTGGCCGCTGCACTTCTGCTGCTGCGGCTTTCTTTGCAAATGCTCCCTTTTTTCGAGGGTCGAGCTCGTGAAAGTTTATAATGACACACGAAAAAGAGGGTGCGACGCGCTGACAGGAGGCCTGGAACATGAGGCCAGGGCTGCTCACCGGCTTCCAGACGTCGCGCGCCAGACGGTTCAATGGGATGATCGCATGTAGAACCTGAGCTGGACGCAGCGTTGTGCCCATCAAGATCCAGAGTCAGCAGAAACATTATTATTCAAGCACGATCCCTCCGGTAACTTACACGCGCCTTGTCTTCGTTGCCCCTCGTACCGAACGCTGCGCACCTGCCATACCTGATGGTGTCGGGAACGACCCCCTCGGCCTCGGTCACGCTTTTTCACCGACCGCTCCAGCCGCCCCGGGGCTCCCCGCCGTCCGCCACGCCGCCAAGACGAGCTGCACTATATCGTCGATACCCTTGTTCTCCTTCACGCTCGCGAACACCGTCGGGCCGTCCCCGCGCATGAGCTTCGAGTCGCGGTTCATGACCTCGAGCGAGGCGTTGACGTATTGGGCGATGTCAATCTAACAAGTCGCGCGCGCGATGATCAGGCCCCACGCCGCGCGAATGGGAGAGCTGCGGGGGGATGGTGCGAGCGTACCTTGTTGATGACTAGCAAATCCGACTGCGAGATGCCAGGTCCGCCTTTCCTCGGGATCTTGTCGCCGCCCTGCACGAGAAACGACTTCATTGAGCACAAGCCCGATACCTGCACGCCCCGCACGCTCTACGAGACGGGACAAGGCGACTCACGGCTACATCGATGACGTAGATGATATAGTCCGCCAGCTCCCTCGAATAGTTCGCGGCCAGATTGTCGCCCCCGCTCTCGACCAGCATAATCTGGCACCCGAACTTCGCCTGCAGCGCCTCGAGCGCGCCCATGTTCGCGGAGATGTCCTCCCGGATGGCCGCGTGGGGGCAGCCGCCCGTTTCGATCGCCAGGATGCGCTCGGCGGGAAGCGCGCGGTTCTTGATCAGGAACTCTTGGTCCTCGCGCGTGAAGATATCGTTGGTGACCGTGGCTGGAAAGTTCGGGATCGTGTCAGGACGATGCCGTGTACGGTGCGGACGAATGAGAGGGGAGCCGCACCGAGGTTGTACTCCTGGCGCAGGCGTTGACACAGCGCGAGCGTGAGCGCCGTTTTTCCTGATCCCACAGGCCTGTGAGATGAGATACGCATAGTGAATCGTTAGATTGGTTCTTCAAGGCGCCGCGACAGCCTAGCAGAGCACGCACCCGCCGATCCCGACCGTGAACCCTCGCTCCTCAAAGTTCCTCAACGAGTAATCCGGCATGTCGCGCTCCGCAAACTTGCCTAATATCGCAAACGCCATCCGTCAGACGTCCAGATCCTAGCGAAAAAATAGCACGATGGAGTCCGAGCCCGTGTACACGCACCCGGATGCTCTAGATGTTCGTGCGTATGCCCGTGCTCTCCGATGCCATGGTCGTGGTCATGCGAATGTGAGGGCCCGCCGTCGTGCGAGTGCTCATGGTGGTTTTTGACACTGTTCGAGGCGGCGGTTGCAGAGAGGCTGTTGATGAACGGGACGTTAGCGGACATCGTGGAGGGATTATTAGGGCAAGGAGCTCAGGTGGACGCTCCTGAGTTATTCTTAGAACGGGCGGGGAAGATAAGGGTGCTTATACATACGGCGGCAGGGAGATAAGCCTTATCACTCGCAGTCTGTGCGCATATTTCCCGATTTTTTGGACTGTGGGAATCTTACATACACTGCCTTCCGAAAATGTGCTGCTAGTCAGCTGATTCACAGAGCACCCTTATCTGGCCATACACAGACATCTAGTCAGATGTTCCCAGATGACCTAAGCATCTAGGAGCATCTGGGGTATCTGGGGCTCTAGGACTCGGCTATGGTTTTGCTGGTGCTGTCTTCAAGAATGTAATCCGGGGCTATCATTGATAAAAGTAGGTTTCACCTTCATCTCATGTGACCAATGTTCTATACACCCTTTCCATAGTCTTCAAGAATGGGATTCAATAATATTATCTTTGATCTTGCTTGGCTGGAGGTAGTAGCAGGCTTGTTGCTTTTTCCCATGATCATCTTCCTCAAATGGATAGCGGGTGAGGTTTGAGTGCACTCAGACTCACTGCGCGTCCAGTTACAAATAGATCAGGTTCTATTGTATCAATTCTGGTGCGTTGTATTGCCCACGGGATGCTCCTTCCCTGGCTCATCAAGGCTCCATTATGGCACCAGACCCGCAAACATAGTACAGTGTTGTTTTAACTTCAAAGGAAGACTTGCATAAGGCAAATTGTGAGATACTGCCCTTTTCTAAGATATATCAGTAGTCCACAGAATGGTTGAAGAATCTCTTTCACATATGGATGTTGATCACCTCAGCTCAAGTAAACCATCTAAGTGGAGTTAAGAGGATAATTATATCCACAAATGACCCACTCAAAGCCAATCCTACCCTTTTGAAAATTAGAATCCACAGTTGTTGTGGAATTTTCTTCAGCACACTCCAATTTATTGTAAAGATATTGCAATTTTTTGAGCTTCCAATCCTCATACTGCTTGCCTGCCTCTGTGCATACCTATACATCTTAAACCACTCTCGCCTCTCAATCCTGCCTGGTCCACATCCCTTGCCTGTCCTTGGAAATATTCTCTTTATTACATCATGCAGACCATAGGAGACATATGCTGCGTGGGCTCACAAAAGTGAGCATGCACCCTCCTGCTAATCTGGCACTATATTGAATTTCTATCTGTGCATAGCCGACATAGTGTCTGTCCATACACTCGGCCACCTGACCCTTGTCGTCAACACCATCAAAGCAGCCAAAGAGATGTTTGAGCATTGATGAGCATGGGTGTTCTCTAGGCACCAATACCCCACTTTTTGCAGCTTTTCAGTATTTTTTGACTATTTGGCATACTTAGGACCGACCGATCCCGATTTGTTCGGCAATCTCAGTCATTTGTCAGGTGTTGACTTTGCATTTAGACCTCTGCACAGTTGTTTGGAGCTATTCATAGTCATCTTATCTATCTATTATCACTCTTAGCAGTAGGGGCTCTCCACAAACTATCGCGGCCAATCGCCGATTGGTTTGGTATGCTTCATATGGTCAGCACATTCGGTCGGCTTTGGTGTCCCGAATCAGAGGCAGCCAAACACTTTGTTGACTCAAAATGGATCTGTCTTTTTATCTTTTATTGTCTTTATGACTTCTGTTGACCTATCCTTTGTTATCCTCAGAGCTCCCAAGTTTCTAAATGGTTTACCCATGTGACATGTGGCTCTTATCTCCAGGTCCATGTGGACTCACCTTGGCAATCTCTCCACTTATTTAGACTTTAGAGTTATTGTTTCTTATCTTATAGTATTTGCAACATCACTCCCTTATCTTCTTTATCTTTGATCACTCTTGGCACACAAGTCCAATTTCTCTATGCCTCTGCTGATCTCTTTATCTTGTACCTATTTAGACTTACTATAAAAGAGCACCTATGGCCTTGCAATACATCAGCTTTGGCTCTCCCCTTGTTCTGATTCCATTTGTGCGCTTGTGTCCATAAGACTTTGAGCTATTGCATTCTAACCCTCGTTCACAGTTTTCCCCTTTGTTTGTGTTGTTGCATTTGATTGCAGCCCTTCGTCAGAGCCCTTGTCATCTTGCTTTTTCCCTCTCATCTAGTTTGTCATCCTCTGCCAGTGTCCAGTGTGGCCTTGCACCCATCCCCTTCCCTTTGCGTCCCAATCAAATCCCAATCAAACATCAACCAACCAACTGACCTACCAACTGACCTACCAACTGACCTACCAACTAACCAACCGACCTACTGACTGACCGACCTACCGACCAACTGACTGACTGCTGACTGACCGACCAACTGCCCAACTGCCTGACTGCCCAACTGACCGAATTTTGATTTTGGAGTTGTTTGTTTGCTATACTCCGAACACTTTTAGTACACTCCCTTGTTGGTTGTTTCACAGCTTATAGTTTCTTGCATACTAGAACCAGCTTCTGCCTACCTGCACTTGTAGGGGTGTTTCTTGGGTGTGTTTTACACTCAGAGGCATCACTAGCATATCAACAATATATTTGTTCCTAAAAAAACTTGGCTAAGGCTGTTGAAGATGCAGTTGTAAGAGCTCGTCCTTCTGAGACCTATAACAAGTCATCTCTTGCTGCAACAATATACTTGTATCCTTTTGCTTCTGGCATAAGCATAATATCTACATATATCTTTGTCCATAGTGTTGCAGGAGTGGAGACTGTGAGTGGGATCTCCATTCTTCGCATGCTGCAGATTTGGCATTGATGGCAAGATTACACATGATGGTGGACATCAGCACATCGATAAGGCCAGAAGAATCAAAGTCAAACTGTTTCAAATATTGCCTGTTCTCCTCTATGACCTAATCCTTTATAAGCTTTGGTAAGGATTGCAATCCATGTGGCCTTATTCATGATAACCTTGAGTAGGGGTCGATTCCCATTCTGCCAATACATTACTTTATCCTTCACAAAGAACTTAGCTGCTTGGTGGATGAATCTTTTCTCTTCTTGTACTGAGGATTTCCCAAAGGGATATAAAAGTGATGTCAAAAAGTGATATATGTCCTGCAATATTTCCTCTTGAGACTGGTGAATAGAAAGGCTTGACAGAAGTTCCTGAACTGAATAGCTCTGAGCAGCCGATAGTCTTGGGATTTGAAAATTATGGTGCTGCTGCTTGGCAACTGAATACAACGCAATATTATCAAGCCATGAGTCATCATCTGGTTCTATCACTTCTCCATCTGCCAATGGCCATTGAGATAGTGCATTTGGTCCTTTGTGCCATTCAGCTGGTATATGTACCAAGGCAAAGTCAAACATCAAGATCCCTTGAATCCATCAGTTGATTGCTACATTTAGCTGAAGATCTGGAGAGTTTAGCATCTCTTTGATGTATTTTGCATCAACTTCCACATAAAAGTTTTTGGCCCCAATCAGGTATAACTGGTAATGCCATAATGCCTAGTAAAGGCCATAGAGTTCTAGCTTTGGCTGAGAATATTGTGCTTCTACTTCATTCATCGGTAAGGATCTATAATGAGCTGGCTGTTTCCTTCCTTCTTTGTCTAGTTGCAATAGAATAAATCCTATAGCGATGTAACTTGAATCCACTGATAAGATAACAGGATTTTCTGATGAATAATCAATGGATCTAAGAGTAGGAGCTGAAGTGATAACTTTCTTGAGGGTGCTAAAAGCCTCCTGCCGCTTATCAGTCCATTCAAAATCCACATCTTTTCTTATCAATTCTGTTAAGAGTCTAGCAAGAAGAGAATAGTTGGGAATCCAAATTCGAACAGTTCCACAAAGGCCTAGAAATCCACAAACATCCTTGACTAACATCAGAACTGGCCAATTGAGAATTTTATCAATTTTTTTGGTTTCTGGCAGTCGGCCTTTAGGAGTATATCTTTGTCCCACAATCACCACATCAGGCCGGCATATTTGTTCTTTGGTTGCTAAGAAGGTGCCCCTAGCACATTTGATTTTATGCATGACATGATAAACATCCTGTGCATGCTCCCAAATAAACCTTTGTAATCCTGGGTTTTCAGATAAAACTTGAGGGTTCCCCTCCTTATCATGGTATATAATTAATGGACCTTGGATTCCACAGTCATCTATAAATATGTTTGCTTTATTGGGAATTTTGTCTTGAAGAATAAAGGACATAGAATTCTGAAATTTTGCTGGAGAGTTGGTATATCCCATAGGCATAGATGTGAGACATAATAGCCCTAATGGTATCTGAAATGCAGTAAGGTCTTGGCTTGCTGGATGCACTTTTCTTCCATCAAAACCCCAGAACGGATCAGAGACTGTATTGCATAAGCGCCCTGCATATGGTGTAACAAAATTATCAGTAATTGGAGGGAGTCCTGCATTGTGGATTGAAACCTTGTTCAATGGTTGCAAGTCATGTACAATCCTGAGTTTGCCATTCTTCTTGACTACACAAAACTATCTCGACCGATATGCTAATTAACTAGGCTCATAAACTCCCGCCTTTATTTTGTCCTGTGATAGTTGTACAACCTAGTCCTTGATACCTAGTGGAATTGGAATATTCTTGTAGACCCATGGAGTATGGGGAACTGTTAGATAAATATATAGTAAGAAGTAAGATTCTTTCAAAGTATCACAATCAGTTTCTTCGAAAGCTAATGCTTCCTCGTTGAGCTGCATGATATGTTGAAACAACTTTTCTTCTTCTGGCCATAAGAATCCTTTAGGATTGAGGTTTAATATTTTGAGATGTTTAGGTGTGATTTTAGTAAAAGGGATGAATTTAGAAGGATTTGGAGAGAGTGGCAGTAGAGTGATAAGAGGGTCTTCGGAAATATTCCTCAAAACACGAGCTTCTTCAGGAAATAGACCTGCAATTGGTCAAACCTTCCTATCCACATGTTTGTATGCAGTGAATGAATTATGCTGAAGATGTAATGGCGGCAACATTTTTCTAAAGATCAAGGTTATACACCAATTCAAATATAAATTCAACTTAGAACAATGCAGTGATAGGTAAAAACATTTGAGAGATATTGCAAGTCCAACCTGTACATACAAAGATGTCAGATAACAGTCAATGGAGGAGGTAAGTGGCCATAATAATGCCAAGCAGGGGCAGGAATTTCATATAGAAAGGAAACTATCAATTAGAGCATAGAGAATATTTAAAACATACAGGAGCAGCACCAGACTATAACATGTCGAGACATCCTATACAAAGATCAGAAAGAATATTAAAGGCCATCAAAATGTCCAAGGAATATAAGAGAGAAGTGTTCCAAATAAGATTCTTTATCCATTTCAACACTTAACTAAGGCTGCTTACTTATTGCTTACTCCATATACCTCTGCTCCCTATCTCAGAGCTCCTCAACCATGGTGCCTGCATGGTCGAGTCGTCGAAAGTAGTTCCGGGCCCATGCCTTGTTGGGAGAAGGGCCAAAAAAGTGGTTGTTAACAAGATGGCGGATGGGTAGGTCATTGGCAAAGTGGATGTCAGTGAACCTATGCAAGACCTTCATGAAATTATGCCTTCCCTAGATTTCAAATAGCCAGCATACCTCCCAGACAAAATATGACTCATCGGAATATATTAAGGGGTTATATCAGTCTAGGGCAGTAATTGATTCAAGCCTGCTAGAAGTGAGGAAAAATTGAAATAAGGGGTCCGTGAAGGTGGCTTCAAGAGAGTGGTCATACTGTCGGGGATGATAGTACTGCCTTTCAACAAAACTCCAGAGAGATACAATGGCACTCATGGTAAGGTTTTGCCAGTGGGCCCACACTAGGATAATTCTGGGCATCAGAACTCTTATGCACGGCAAGATGCTGCTTGTGTCAGGGTGCAAGCCTGACCAGAACCGCTTGATAATTGTCAAAAGAAATAGAAACTTATCCCCATAGACTGGTGTTGGAGGCTTCTGGGTCAAAACAAGTGAGCCATTATGATTGCAAATAACAGGTCCATTGCAGAAGAATATGTGAGACCACTGATTGTCTGGCCCTGGAATCAGCTCCCTAACCCTTCCAGAACCTTCCTCGTCATCCTCATTGTTCTCAAAATTCCCTGGGATCAGCGCTCCGTGGCTCGACTCTTCATCGTCAACATTAATGGGCCTTGCTAGGCTCACGCCGAGTGGTAATTAAGGTGGGGTTAGTGGCGGGGTCAGTAATGGCAGCACTGTGTTGTCTGGAGATGGTGGTGGCTGTGGAGGTGGTGGTCTATGTGGATCGGGCGGAGTGTGTCAAGAAGATGCTATAGAGGAGCTCTCAGAGGGTGGGGGAACCTCCGGGGATAGGGATATCCCTAGCTTCTTGAGCTCATCTGAATGATACTCAAAAGGCCCAAGAGTAGGCTGCATGATGAACCGCAGGTCTGTAAAAGGGTCTACGACTAGAGGGCTAGCATGTACATAAAATATTGTAGCATTATCGACTGGGGACAGGGCTGGTGGCAGAACGTATCATGGGAATGGAGATGGTGAGTGTCTTTGCAGCTCATTCATCAGTGATGCAACAGAGGGTGCGGGAGTGGTTGGCGCATAAGCGTGAATGGTGTATGAGGCCCCAGAGCTCTCATTGAGGCTCCCAGTCCTGTGAAAAGCATCTGCGGTGGCGGTACAAGCACAAATAGCTGCCACAAGGTCTGCGGGGCCATCCACTCCTGCCTGGGTTGCATCTCTGACATCTATGTGTGCCTGCACAATGGGTGCCACTACATAGCTAACGGAAGTGGGTGCGGGTAGTGCATTCATAGGTCATAGGCCACTGCCGGTGTTATTGGACGAGGTGCATGAACCTAGGCACTCGAGTTCTGAGAAAGAGTCCCTAGTGCTTGAATTGTTCGTAGTGGGCTGTGCACGCGCTCTATTTGCCTGACAAATGGTATCACAGGTGGATGTTCATATTCCAAAGGGGAAAGGGGTTGAAGAAAAAGTCCTGCAAATCCATTTAGATGGCTGCTCATCCGCTAAGCCCTTCAATGGTGAATGTTCTGCGCTGGAATGGTTAGCGTTGAGCTGCGCTACATCTGCGCTGCCCTGCGCACCTCGTGGGGACTCCCCATCAACGTGCATGGCATTGTTCTTGTTGTGCTCCCTCCACCACTTTTCCATTCACCTCCCACTGCCTCTGTGACTATTGGCTTTGCACTCATCAATGGCAGGAGCTCTGCCTAATGCTTGTGTGTCGTGTGCGTTGTGCCCCATGCCCTGAGTTCCCTCAACCCCTCCCTCTCTTGTTCTGACTTGATCCTCTTCGTTTCTTCAGCTGTCCAAGTCCTCTTGAGTGCCATTATAGGCTCGTAGGTCCGTTTCGTCGACACGGAGCTAAGGGAGTGGAGAGACAGGAGGTGGCAGTCGGTAGTTGTCATCAGGCGGGTAGGGGTCCCTTCGGATGATTCCGGCCCTCTGCGAGTCATCTGGACAGGCTGGCATGGGCTGTGCATTGGCAGCTGCAATGAAGTTGTGGAGGCGTGACAAGGATTAGGTGAGCAGAGTGCTGGAGTTGTCGAGAGGTGTCGCCAGCAAAGCAGGAAGGGAAAGGAGATGACACATATCCAGCACTGGATTGGTTCAGTTGCCTGGCCCGGGGGCCGCAGCTTCAGAATCGGACCCTCCAGTGGTGCCACCAAAAAGCAGGTAGTGAATGTTTCGGTTGCAACTTGGCACTGGGAGCCAATAGGTTCGAATGAATAATACCCTATACTCCACACCAGGAGAAGCAGTGCTGCCAGAGATTTGAGAAACCAGAGCAGAAGTGAGGAGAACATGATCATGAAAATGCTCGCCCTGCTTGAAGCCAGATCCAAGCTCAGCTCCCTAGCCAGACAAGACAATGTCATAGGTCTCCCCATCATGATTAAGCCTGATGTCTTCTTGCCAAGCCTGCTTATAAATATCAAGAAGGGTGGTATCTGGGTAGACCTTGAAAGCCAATGGGAGTTGAAAAGAAGGTCACTCAATTAGTTCTTGGAAGGCTAGATAAAAATTGGAGCTTGCACTTTCAGAAGGCATTGGGAATGTGATTTGATGATCCTTTCCTTGCTCAATCCTCCTCCTTTTTATACCCTTTCCTTAAATGTTTCTCCTCCTTTCTAGAGACATTTCTTCAAGTCTCTGAGTTAGCTTGCTTATGCTATCCATGTGTTTCCCTTTCCTTTTTTGCAAGACTGCAGAGAACTGGGTTTCCTCAGTAGGTGATGCCAAGCAGGGTAGTAAACTTGGCACTTTTTTTTATCGGAATCCTCATAGGAGATCTTTTGACAGATCTAGACAGGACCGTGTCTCCAGGTTACCATTAGCATGTGATTCTTCTGCACTTCTGATGATTGATATCTGACTCAGCTGGAGGAGTCCAGCTGCTACTTGGAGCCTTTTCCAATGTTCCTAATGACTGATTTGGCTCTGGCCCAGGTTCCACAGGCGACTTTCAAAATGATCTCAGTCAAGTGACCTGATTTCTGGCTTCCTCATCAGGTCCAAAGTATTACCAAGTGAGGCTGTGTAGCTCTTGGAGATAGGAAACCAATGCCTAATCCAGGAGAGATGCTCCTCATTCCCATTTCCCATCTCTCTTCCTTTAGCATCAGCAACCTTAGCTTTGAACTGGACTATATCCAGATTATCTAGATCTTTAAATTGTAAATAGGTTCCATCCTTTCTCTCATCAATTCCCACAAAATTGCCTCTCTGCCAGGGACGTCCTAGCAACATTGAGAATGGAAGATTCTCACCAATATAAAGACTGGTCCAAGTGGTTATTCCTCCAAACTGTAACTGGATATCTTCAATAAGTCCGATGAGTTCTTCTTCTCCACCATTGGCATCATGCATCCTAATATGCGCTTTCTTGTTAACTGGTAGGAATATGAGCTCATTGCAAACTTCCTTAGAAATAATATTGAGCTACGACCCTGTGTCAATAATTACAGATACTGGGCTTGAGTTTTGGTATTGACTAAAGAATAAAGAAATGTTGATGAGAGGTTCACTAATAGTCCGGGTTAGATTTATGTAAGCTCGTTTATGTCTATCTTGAGATGCCTTAGGCTGATCAGCAACCTTGAACTTTATACTTTTTGACAGTAGTGAAGACAGCTCTTTAGAGACTCTAAGCAAGTCCCCAACTGCAACTTCAATTGGTGTTTGCAGAACTTGATTCAAGACACAAGATGGATCGGTTGTTGATGAGATCATCGATTGTTGAAGGTAAGGCTTCTTTTACTGTCGATTTCCTGTTCCTTCTTTTAATTGATCCTTTGTCAGTTCCTCTAATCTTTGTGTTGACCTTTTAAGGAAATGCTGCTATTTTGGTTTCACAATGTCAACTTTCATTTCTGAATCAGGATCCTTTTTGATTACACTCTGCTTCTTGGCTAATTTCAATTTTGGAGGGTTTGGTTGCTGATCATCTCTAGTGTCTTTCATAATGAAATTGCTATCCTCATTATACTTGGGTGCATGAGTATCGACAGGCTAGTTCTTGGTAAACTGTGGTTTGTGAAAATCAAAAAAGGGCTTTGCTGTGTCATTCACAGGTGTTGGAACAATAGGGATTGGTGCTGGAGGCATCCTAAGTGGTTCTACTGGTTGTTTTCCCTAGCTTCTAGTTCCAGATGATGGTCCTTGAGGTATTGTAGATGATTTGGCTGGTTCTAGTAATTTGTTAGGCAGTGTTTTTGGTCTTGGATGACCTAGCCGCTCTCCTAAAATTCTTGGAGCCTGCATTGCCTGAGATTCTTGTGGCCTGGGATCTAATCACAGTTGGCTGCAGTTTGGTGGATATACTCCATCAAATGCCCTTTTTCTCATAGACTTAGTTGACTTAATAGATCACTCCACCAGAAAGACTTGATATTCCTCACCTTCCCTATAGATCATGTAAACATCTTCCTTGTCATTACTTTTTGCTTCTAAGGATGTATCACCATTGACTAGAACCAAATTGGTTTGGCTTCGATGAGTTGTATCCATGATATCTCTTTTATATTTTGTGGCTTCAATGATGGTCTCATTTTAGAATCTGCTAATCCTTGTACCAGTTCCATGAGTGATCCGCCCTACATTATCACATGCTAGAACTCCTGATTTGGTTAATTTAAATATCTGAGGGCACCAACCCAATCCATGTCCTTTTTCTCTGCAACTATAACACATCATCTCCTCTTGCCAAGGAGGTTCTTCAGGCATTCTGATAAATCCAATTTCCCGTGGTGGTGCCGGATGCGGAAGAGGCTGATGTTGAAAGCTTGATTGAGGGCTTGTCTAAATTGGAAGAGTTATGGGTTTGGATTGCAAATCAGGTGCTCACATAATATTAACTATGTCCCATTCTAGCTTCATAGCTCAATAGTAAACTTAGACATATTTTGACAATGTGATATCCATTCAGTTCATCATATCTACTAATCCTTCCATTTCATCGGCTGAGACTGAAGCCTTTGCATTTGCACCAGCCTTAACTGGAATAATCTCATCGTCACTATCATAGGAGACTTTCTTGGCTTTCTTCTTCTTTAAGGCTCCTGACCATTTATGAGACTTGGACTTCTTAATATCAGTTTGACAAATATCATCTTTTGTTGAGGTTTCATTGTTTGAGTTGGACTTTCCTGACCAGTCTGTACCATCAAATTTCCTATCAGTCAGGTAGTCATTAAATTGCTCTTTTTGCAAGATGGTTTCTGCAATTGCTTTAATAGTTACCATTGGGTATGGGCTTGCCCGATCTACTTTGGTTGTGGATGACAGAAGATGGTTTTCAATAATAAATCTAAGTCCTCGGCCAATTCCAACCCAAAAATAGGTTGCTTCTTCTTGGTCTGTGATTTTACCTTTGCTTTTTAGCCATCCTGTGATCTTGATATATCCACATGTATATCTACACCAAGAGGCCAAATCACCCATGCATTGGTGTTTAGTCTTCTGCATATATGCTAAGAGATCCTTCTTCTTGTAATGATTCCGGTAAAGATCAGCATTATAGTATGTTTAAAGATCATCTTTCAGCTCAGTCCATTTATTGTTCTGGAAGCTTTGAAGGGCTTTGATGACTTCATGGACACTCCATGAACAGTACTATGTTATATTTTCACACTTTTCCTTATCACTTGTCGCATTGTACAATCAGCATAGTTTATCATATTGGTCCAAGAACTAACCAATTTCTGAATGCTCTCCTTGGAATTTAGCTAGAGCATGTTTTGATCCTGGAAATGGCATCATTTCTGGAGTATTGGTAGTGGGGATGGTAGGAGGGTTAGATAGTCCAGCAGACATATTAGCTTATGCTATGGCAAGCTCTGTGGTTCTGATGTTGGTACCAAAAGGATAAACAACAAGAGTGAGAAATAGATAACCCTCGCGGTGGGCTCCAGTAATGTCGTGCAGTGAGACAGTTTGAAGTTGGAGGGTGGGAAATAGTCTAATTGACATGCCAACCAATTCCAAAGAATCCTTGCCTAGACTGACTCAGGTTTTCCTTCTTTCCCAGAGCAGCCTAGTTGTTTGTTGTTGAGGGTAATTTTTCTTGTTTATATAATGGTACCAGTTTATCTTACTTATGCAAAGCTGTGTGCCTATGTTAGGAGGTGTATGGATCCTAAGGGAGTGGTTACTAGTGTGCTGTGAAGTGTGTTGTTCCTATCAAGGTACTGTGTGTTAGGATTGGTAGAACAGCATGAGAAATACTTTCCTAAATTCAGACTCTTTCCATTTAGAAGAATCTAGAGGATGAGTGTGATGAAGAGATGAGACCTGGATATCAGACTAATAGGTGTTAAACTTGGTGTTTTCAGAGCTTCTTTACTGATGCAGGTTCAGACGTTTTCTGACCAGATTAGACTTAGAACTAACTCAGCGTCCCATTTGGACTAACACAGCTTTAGACTTATCAGAAGATACTTGGTGCTAACTTCAGAGACTTCAGTGATTAGTGAAGACCACCTTATAAAGTAAAGATCAGTTTACAGGGCAAGAGCAACTTTAACAACAGGGGCAACAAACTGCATATATTTCAGGGCACATGCACTCCTTTTTTATGTGTTTCTGGAGAGGCTGTGCATGAGACCTGGATTTGGGTATTTACAGATGTATCTAGGTGCTAAAGATTCTAGAATGAAGTGTCTGGTCTAAACTAGAATAGAGTAGGCTTTCCTAGATTCCTCTAGAGCATGGCCTGGAATTATTCTAGATTCTCTATTAGTCACCTAAGCAGCTCTAGGTTCTCTAGCCTCTCAATTCCTCATTAGCTCACTAAGCCATTATAAAGCCTCTCAGTACATTAGAAAGCACATAATGTCCATGCAATTCTATGAGAGTCTGGATCAGTTTGGCTCTACTTTGGTCCCTTCTAGGCTTTGTCTGGTCTATTAAAATAGCACCAAGGCAGCTTTGCTAATAAATATAGATACTTTAAATCCCTGATAAGTCAAGATATAATGAAAGACAGCTGCATATATTCACAAATATAGATCAAAATGTCCATCCACATCCTAAGCATGAAACTGGAGCCAAGTAAGAGTGTGATACTTGAAATATAAAGACTGTATGAATTTTATGGAAAGAAATAAACAAGAAACACTGGACTAAAGGAGTAAGAACTTAATGAATCATGAATGGGTAAAGCGCTCATAGCCTAGCAAATCGACAAAAGATCATACCTCCCACTCCTGCTAATGCTTGCCTTGCAATCTCTAAGACATTGCCATCAGATGTGGGAACACATTTGTGGTCAGAGCTAAAGAGAGCTCGAATGTACTGACCAAACGTGTAATATATTGCATAGCCAAGTGGGGAAGGGGAGTTAACACGGAAAGTAGATGTCACCACTATGAACTGCTATTTGTTGCCTGCTCTACCAAAGACAGCAATACAATCATCTCGCCAGACCATTTTAGAAAGAACAATAGTCGTAAACTTGTAGTCACCATCTGGCTTTCTTTTGATCACATTTACTGAAACCCCATCTTCCAACCAAATCCCCTCTTTCCTAGGAAGGACACAGACTTTCATTGATACTCCTCCGGCCGAAACTGGTGGCAGTCAAATTCCATCTTTGGTGGGAGGGATTAATATTATAGATGGCTTATTCAAAGGTGATGGAGCTAGAAGAGTATTGGAGGTGACATTGATGTGGTATGTGGGTTTGTAGGGGATGGTTATAAAAGAGCTAGATGATGGGAAGACAGAGGACACATTAAGCAAGTCAGGTTGTGGACCCAATGGGACAATTAGTGGATGGAAGTCCAGTGGTGGCTGTCGAAGCTTTGTGTGGCAATGAAGATGGAACAATGATCAAGGGAATGTGCCCCAGAGTAATAAGCATGCAGAGGTGTCATTGGACATGATGTAAGGGAGTAATGTGTAGATGTGATTACCGGTAGTTCTTGAATCACCTTGTTCCTCAATTTCCCATTCTTCCCTAATGTTCCTTGCATTGGCCTAGACTTGCATAGTTATTTCTTTCTATGGAATATTCTTGGAAATTATCCTGCCAAGGCACAAACTTGTTTGCATTGTGACAGTGCTCAAACATGTCCTTGGCTGCTTCAATAGTGTTGACAACAAGGATAAGGTGACCAAGCGTGTGGACAGATACTATGTTGGCTGTGCACAGACAAGGATAAGATACAGTGTCAGCAACATCCAGATCAAAGGAAAGGCAGATGCTAGCTTTTATACTCACAAGCCCATGCAGCATATGTCTCTCATGGTCTGCGGGATGGAATGGAATGGATATTTCTGAGAAAAGGCAGGGGATGTGGACCAGGTGGGATGAAGAGGCAAGAGTTGTGAAAGATGTATAAGTATACACAGAGACAGACGAGTGTTGCAAAGAGAATTAGATTCTCAATTATCTCCAGCATGTTTCTTGCAGGAGAGGCTCGAAGGGACTATACAATGTCAAAGTCGGATGTCCACAAGTTAGTAGACAATGAGAGATAGCTGACAATGAGAGGGCTGTGTAACAAGGCTCTTTGTAGGTTTAAGTATGCCTTCTCCCCCACGTGAGTGTTCTATTGGAGCTAAGGTTCCACGTCAATTTGGGATCCATATATATCACTCACTCTGTAAGTCCATTAACACATCATAAATGTTGCCTCAGAGAGCCACATATACGTCTTCCATTTGAAGGAAGATGACACTGTGCTATATTTGCAGTTCTAGTACCCTGATGAGTATAGCCTCGATAAGCAGGAGAAAGAAGGTTGAGTGGATGATACAACGTACTGAAACCAGAACACTTGAAAAAAGTAATCACCCTATGCACAGTGAAAGGCGAATCCGACAGGTGCGCCAACTAAAGCTGTCAGTAATTTGAAGTAGGTTAGCATGAGAAAATGTGACAAATTTGCCGCCTCATGCCCGAGCGATATCATTGGACACCATGCTCAGTGATTACAGCTGGTGTCAAAACTGTAGACATGGTTTTGAGTTTCTTCTGCTCAGAAACCTTGTTGACCTTTGGAAGAGGACAAACAAGTGTAAATGACTGCATAGGCCTATTAGCACTTGAGCGCAATGCGGGCACTGTGGCAATTCCAATTGACACCAGCCATAGCTGTCAGTTGTGGGTGCCGGGAAGTAATTCATTTATAGAAAATTTGACTCATCTACAAACAAACTTTGATAGGTCTCGTCATTATCTTTTTCTGCACGTTGTGAACTGTCAAACTGAATCAAAAAGAGCAAGGTACTGATGAGATAGGAACGAAGAGCACTTGCCTGATGAAGCTCAATGGGGTATAAACCATCTCATGGACTGGGTCACCTGTCTCTGTCTGGACGTCATAACACCGAAGATGGTAAGTAGTGGAATGTCGAAAGTGGGTTTATCAAAGAAGCCGTTGGTTGTGACTCTGTCGACGATCTACTCTATATTTTGTCCACCTGTCCCATGAACAGGTAATTGTCTTGTACGATCTTGTATCCGTAGGCCAGAGACATGACGGTGGACATGCAGTCAAATTGTAGGGATAAAATGAGTCAACTCTTTGTGTTTGATGGTGACGAAGTTCCTCTCCGAGTGTGCATACAAGGCACGAAATCGTATAGGCGCTCACGAAGCCTCTAGAGAAACTTGTAAGCCTGCTCTTGATCTGAAAGTTTGATCAATAACTTGCCTCAGGACTGCTTGTATACCATCAACTCAACATTGAGCATATTGAGGTCAATACTGCTGCCAGGAGAAGATGACAGTTAGAGATCCAGAAAAGCAACTGGACACAATTCCCACTTACAGCTCGAACATGGCATCTCTGGGAGATCGGATCGAGATCTGCATTTTTCTTCTCAATTCAATCTTTGCGACTTGAGAAGGATTTATGAAAATGAAATCGCCCGAGGACGCGAACGTACATACATTGTACCACAGATCAATGCCCATGTAAGCGTGTGGTGAAGACTCATACCATCGAGCCGTATCATTTGTCCAAGGAACGGTCGTGAAAAAACACCTCAGGGGGATTCGAACATGTCGCCGATAAATTACAAAGACTGAGCGCTTAAGCGCTTAAGTCTTGATGGAGATGGAAAATCGCTAGGGTCGTATTATTTATGGAGCGGAAAGAACCACGAATGAATGGTCCACAGATTCCAGTGCGTTCACAGATATGTCAAGACAGGGATAGGAGGTTTTGAGACCGTCTTGAGGTAGGTTGTACACGGGTCGAGTATTTGAGTCAAAAGGTGACCTTGATATATCCTCATAGGCACTTGGCCTAGCTCTAGTCGTATATGGTATGATATCATCATCAATAGGCTTAAGTCCAGAGGTGCCGATTGAAATAACTTACTAGTGTTTTAATAATGGGAGCGAACTGTAGGATATCGGGCTTGCATTTATTCGGCCGTACCTCGAGATGGGCGACTTTCAGTGCCGAACGACGTCGTCACGCCGCGAAATCAGGTGTGCGGTGAAACACCGAGATTACGAGCATTGCATGGCCCTGCAATCATATTATACATAGACAGAGATGTTTGGACTGACGCTTGGTCAGTTTATTCCGAAAGCCTGACCGCCGAAAGAACGCGTATGCAGAACTAAACACTGCCGCTGACATGAGGCAATGCTGGGCGCTTAGCTTATCCACCATAAAAACTGGACAATTCTGCTTCCTGTGCTCCATCTTGCATTGCCTATTGTCAGCGTCTTCTCACATCGAAATGTCAACCACCAACCTTTCTCTTGTCTACGGTGTACTCCTCTACGAGGGCATGTCTATTCTAGACATCTATACCCTCCTCGAATTTCTCAACGTTATCTCCCTCGACCTCCCCCTCAAGATCCATCTCATCAGCGCGGAGGCCTCCAATGTGGTGTCTACGAAAGTCGGCCAGAATTATATCACGAAGATAAAGCCCGCCTTTTTGGGCGGCGAGCAAAGGATGGTGGCCGATTTTTCCCTCGACAATGCTCCCGATGTGGATGTCATTGTTGTTCCGGGAGGGACGGCCTCAGAGGAAGTGATATTGGACGGAAGAGTGACAGATTTCTTGAAGACACGATACCCTGTAAGTTGCTTCTTGACTTCGGATAGCTACAGAATCTGAGCGACTTTATTCCTTGTCCTTGCAGACCTTGAAGTACCTGATTGGAATATGCACCGGTGGTGCTATTATTGCAGCCTCAGGACTACTCGACAATAAGCGGGCTGCAGGGAGTAAGTCCTTCTGGTCTTGGGTGAGTTATTGCTCTCATAATGTTGGAGGACGGCTTGTGACTGACCTATTTGAAATAGGTGTCTTCTCAAGGAACCAACGTGTCCTGGATACCAAAAGCCCGCTTCATGAACGACGGAAACATTTGGACGAGCAGCGGTCTCACTGCCGGCTTAGACCTTAGTTACGCGTTCCTTAAGGAAGTGTACGGGGAAGAGGTCGCGGAGAAGGCAGCGTTGGTGCTGGAGTACATTCCGTCGGAAGATCCTCTGACGGACCCGTTCGCTGCAAAGTACGGTCTGGTTTGAGCGTGCATGACCGCGCATGGATGTGTAGATAACCAGGAATAGGGACTGTCACTGATCAATGGGACGCACCTAATTTTCACATGCCTTGACATTACTCGCACCTGCGATGGGCGATGAATTGACACCAGATGCACACCCAAAAATTAAATCGGGAGTCCTGGAACTGTCTATCTGACAACGAGAAGGCGATTATCTTGTACACACGGTGGGGAGCATGCCTCCGATCGTCCACACATTTTCCACATTTTGTCTTCCCTTGTCCGTTGCTTCAACCTTTCGCGCCCCCATTCCTCTTTTCCCATCCATCGCGGTCCAGATACCAATCCACTACTGGATCGCTCTGCCGCTTAGTGCTGTCATTGTCTTTGCAATGGCCGACATCTTCGAGAGCAATGTACGCTCTCATAACGCGCCAGTATATCTCCTTCACGACGAACTGGAAACACTCCTGCGCAAGCTCGCTGCACCTCGCCTTCAGCGTCAAACGAGCGTAATTTGAACAGCAAACGGATAAACGTACGGACCTTGTCTGGAAGAGTGAGTAAAAACCCGCATGTTCGTGAGTATATTGTGATTGGCGAGCTGGCGTCCAGTCAAATATTACAGACGCTGGCATATTGGTCCCTTCCGAGAAGGGAGAAGATTGAGACCACGAAACACGAATTTTGCCCAGGACCGTTCGTTTCTGCGCCGCGCTTCTCCAATCGCCATCGACTCCTGTCTCCAGTGTTTATGAACGAGCGTTTGACATTGAACTAAGAATAGGGTTGGATAATTGAAGCCAGAGGTTACTTGTCGGTTCAAAAAGTAGTGGAGGGAAGTGGAACTGCATCGGCACCGACCGGCCCGCGAGGCTTCGAAGTCAACGACTTGCCGTTAACCGCGATGTTCTCTTCTTTCAAGAGGTCGATTGTGAGTGCACATCGTCAACAGTGTCAACTTTCAAGGGCTGCTCATGCATTATGATTTCTGACAGCCTCAGATATCCATCTTGTGAGTCCCGAACGTTGTCCACAGGGAACTCTTCCATAGCAGTGTACTTATTGCTTCACAGTCATAACCCTTCCTCTCCTCCGTCCAACAGAGCCTTAGCAATCTTACAATCCGCTCTCTCTTCTCCGTATCCTCCTGGAAAATCTTCTGCACCACCGCTGCGGTTCAATCTCGAAGTGATCGAGAACACACCGCCAACCGCCGACCAAGTGAAGACCATCCTCTCCTACCTGCCTTCGGTCGGCGACTCTTCTGATCCTCACCACATCGCGAGGCTGCTCTCGTCGCACCCGTCTACTCCAGCACTCCCTGATCGCCCACATAACGCCGAAGCCCTCGTCCGTCTCGCGAGTCACAACCCTAATGCCATCCAGTGGCCGATTGTCGTAGACTGGGATGGCGGACGGGCAAGTGTCGGGAACGTTGAGGGCGTGAGCGCTATTCTGGAGGCTCTGAGGCAGAAGAGAGACGGGGAGGTGAAAGATGCAGAGGAATATAAACCAAAGGGGTGGTTCTCGTAGTAAGGTCAGAATTTTCATCTCTGTAGTATTTTTGAGCACGTAGGACGGATTTCCATAACCTTCATGATGTCGTCTGTGTCGTACCATCTGTCACCTTCAATGTATACTATACACGCAGCTGTGGATATATGGATCTTGGTCAAACAATTGCGGGGTCAGCCGTATCCCCTTTACGTCGTTTACCATCTTGCCATGATACTCCATGCCAGCACCGTCCTTGCTCGCTCTCCGACCGCACTTCTGTCTCACCTCTTCGAAGTTCCGAAAGCTTTCTTGAAACATCCTCTTCTCTTCACACTTTCATCCAATACACCCACCTCGTCCCTGGAATCACTCATCTCGGCGCTGACTAGTCTTTCTTCTCATGAAAACATAGGATGCATCTCCGCACCGCTCCCAATATCGCCGCCTTTGACAGGGGACTATATCGCATGTTCGCTCGCTTTTTTCGACAAGGAGACATGTGTGCCGTTCAGGAGCGATATCCCAGGACGCGCAGATACGCAGGTAGGAAGATGGCACGCGATGCGGAAGAAAGGCGATAGTCGTCCGATCGACTTTAGAGGTCTGGAAGACAAGGTGAACTGGGAGGATGTTTGGAGTCGGAGCGTGCAGAGCGATGACCTCCCCCTGGAACTTAAGGCTATTAGGTGCAAAGTTCGTCTGCTCGTTCGCGCTCGCACCGCTCACAGCCCCCGCTCATAGTCCCAGCGATGTACATACTGTGATTACATTGACAGATAACCATCCAGAAGGGCTCAACAATGCGTTGAGCGCGTTTACAAATGCCACGAAAGTCAGTTAGGATGAGTGTGCTGGTCTCTGCAACATACCCTGTGGAATAACATGTCTGTGTTTGTGATCACAAGGTAGGCCTGATCACCACCTCGACGCCTTTCGTTACGGGAAGGCCATTTACTCTTCTCCACGATCAATTGGTGTACTCCTCTGGCGCGGTGGGGCTGGCGCTCACATCGCCTATCAAACCCACAGTCGTCAGCGCCTTTCCGGGCTTAAAAGCTATCACCCCTGTGTTGACAGTCACTAGGTATGCAGTCTTTTTATCTGTAAGCTCGTTGGCGATAAAAGGATTGTCAGATCAGAAGGAAATTTGGTCCACGAATTGGACTGCGGCAATCCTTCACAGCTGTTGCTCACTGCTATACAAAAGAGTGGAATAGATAGCGAAGCAGCGAAGATTGATGACTTCTGTCTCAGCGTCATCCGCGAAGACCAAGTGAGATAATATTTATATTGTGTCGGGAGATGTACCTTACAAGTGTATCGTAGCCGACCCAGGTCTACAGGATCATGTCAGGAGACCCAAAACGTGGCACGATGTCCCTTGAATCTGACGCAGCCCCAGTTGAGGGTACTTCGGTGCGGGTAAGTCGCCTCCAGAGCTAGATCCCACATATCTCAATCCCATCTTCTCAAAAGCTTTGCCACCGTTCTCTGGGCGCCTCCACCAAGCTGCCGAGATCCCTATTAGAAGGGAACCCTCGGCGTCAAACGCTTACGTTCCTGACTTCACTAAGCGATGTGGCTCCGGACCGATTGACGCAGACAAAAGGACAAGGAAATATCCAGGTATTCGAGAATACGTTCTTAGCATCGAGCGAAAACGGGTTTATTTTGAATCGGATGGACGAGAGATCGACATGGAGATGCACGGTGGGGGGCGGTCTGGCTACCCTGACTTGGTGATGGACGATGACGAAGCACAGCTGAATGTAAGTATTGAATCGGTGCATCGATGTCTCGGATAGCCCATCGAACCCTATCCAGCTATATCAGGTTCTTTAGTCCGATGGTATTTCTTTGTGGCCCAGCTCTCCAAGGTGTATTCGGTTCGAAACATCCGGCCTAGGTTCTAATTCTGTCTGTTGGGCGCATTCGCACCTGCGTGCATGAGTCAAGAAGCTGATCTGCGCTGTGGTGGCGAGGCTGCGCAGGTGTTGGGAAACGGGTGTTGTGCCACGTAAATCGAGGGACGAGGCTGTTAATGTTAGGTGATTGGCTCAAGAGATAAATCAGGACGTTGTTTATTGTGGGGAAATGAACGGCGGACGGAACGGCGAGCGTGCTCGGAAAGGCGGGCTGAGTGACGATGGCGTAACATAAGCAGGCGCGGTGGCGTTGAGTCGCCATTCACTCCTTGTACAACGACCCCCACCATCCATCCCACAGCCCTCATCTTTCCTTCCCCCATCTCTTTCTTGCTCGTACCAGCGAGGCCGTCGGGCTCCTCCACGAGCTTTATAATACTTCCTCTGTCTATTAGTACCGCCTTTCTCCTCACATCCGCCTCCTCACTGCGCAGGGTCGCACCCACCTCGTATCTCCCCAGCTTGCTAGAGAATGGGCCAACGCACCTCACGACTGTCGCCACCAGCTCCCGCACCACCCACAAATATCCCAATATCGCAGTCAACTGATAGTCGGTCCGATGGCGACGCTATGTCTGGTTCCGACCGGCATCCCCGTTCTTCCCTCGACCCCCAAATGTCTGCTGATGCCTCCGACTCTTCGAAGCGCTCAAAGCGCAAGAGCATTCTGGGATCCATCACAGGAAAGTCCAGGTCGTTGTCCGGCTCCGTGCGCAACCGGATAGACACTCTCACATCAAATATCACCGACCGTGGTAATCGTCCTTCGGCGGGGCGACGAGGATTGCGAATATCGAAGCGATGGAGTAGAGCGCCGACGGAGACACACGAGGGGCCGGTGGGGTCACTAAATGAATTCGGGCAGCGAGATGTTGAGGGAGCTTCTGGGAGTGCGTTGACTGGCAAGGGTGCAGAAAGGACGAGCGAGCCGCCGGCGGTTGAGCCGACGCCTTCCTCTGAGCCAGGTGGATGCTCCTACATCGACGACTCTGCAGCTCCCCACGATGAACCACCGACGGCCCGCATCGTCTCCCCGCAGCAAGCAGAGCTCGCACAATCGGAGGCCGACTCTGGAAGTGATGCACAGTCAGAGCAATCAACCGATGAGGAAGACTTCCACCCGTTCTCGATAGACGAGCCGCCTCAGCCACCGGTCGAGACTCCACTCACAGGACCGCAGCTTGTTCCTTCTGGTGAAGGACTTATGCGAGGCCCTGGACGCCACTTCCCGCCCGCTGGCACCCTGGTCGTCGTGCAGGGCGTCGTACACACAAGCGACGTCGCTGCGGCCAACCAGCCCTCCGCTCCTCATGCTAGGCGCTCGTCGTCAGTTCCCGCATTAGGCAGGAACGTCGGACGCAGCAGGCTGTCCTCTTTGATCTCCCGACCAATTCGCTCGCGCCCAACGTCCTACATCTCTCCAGACACTCAATCGCATTCTGAGGCCTCTGAACGAGGAAACAGTGAATCTGACTCCCCTCAAAACGAGTCTAGTGCCACGAGCGAGGACGTTCACGCAGCGTCCTCGCCTATGGGGGACAACCCTTCGGCGCGGACTTCCGCTGAACCGCAGGCGCCACCCCGACCTGCCCCTCTTTCGTCTACCAGTATCGATGTCCTTGGCACCCTACTCAGGTATATTTACTTTAGTCTAATTAAGCCGTTGGATAACAATCTAATAATGCATCCTTGCAGTGTTGCAACAGCAGCAACAGCAGCTTCCTTGGTCACAGGATCCTCGGATCCCCTTTTCTCATCTGGGCTAGCCCTTCCTGGCGCGACCAATCTACAGCCCTCAAATTCCACAGCTCCAGAATCTGATCTGGCTGCCAATCGACCCACTTCCCCTACGCCCACCGCGGGCCTAGGGTCCTTCGGCAGCATCGGAGCACAGCCTCCATCTGGCAGAGAAAGAATGCGTGGCGCCTGGGATAGCCTGCGGGATCGAATTGGTCTCCTCACTGGGCGGAACATTCCTAGCAGTGGCTCTGCGAATTCTCCCGCAGACAGTGCAGCGGATCCTAGGGCACAGCTGTTGGCGGAAGTAGCGAGGGCGTTCAACTTGGGCATGAGGCTCGATCACAACAATGCAGATGGTTCAAATGCAAATCAGGAAGCGGGCAGCCAATCGCCCTCTACCGACGATACTTTACCTCCAGAAGATAGTTTTGAGCGATTCCTCATGGATCTGCAAGTTGACCTCAGGCGGACGTTATCTGAGGATGTCGTCCAGGATGAGGCCGAGGCACCGTCCCAAACATCTGATCCTGCTACTGCTTCTCAATCGCCTGCTGACGAAGAACGTTCCGACTTGTTGCCTTGGCCTACGGCGTCCAATAATCTCGCTGAAGAAAACACAGCACAGCCCCAACATGCAGCAGACCCCACAGGTGAAGGTAACCAGCGTCCCAGCGCAGATGATGCAGAAGTCGATGATCCAACAGCGCGCGAGGATTCATCGGACTCGGATTCTGATGATGAGGACAGGGCAATCGCGTCTTTGGCCGACCACGAACCTCAGCCCGGTGCGCCGAGCGCGGCTCCTCAGCCTCCCCCTCAGGTTCCCCACTCTCGGACTGCTTCTGGGTCGGAGCGTCGTCCGGGTGGTGGCATAAATTGGTGGAGGTTGTATCGCTTCCCGCCTCAGCACGCGCCCAATGCCCAGGGGCACGGACTGCTACCGCCGTCATCTGCTGCACTTGACTCGGACAGCGTGCCTTCGGGGATGCCGACACCCTCTGGTACGGACACTCCTGCCAGTGCAAGCGGCGACGCGCCTCCTGCAGGTGAAAACATGATCGTCCCCGTTATTCTCGTCGGATTGCAGTCGGTCATTGGTCGTAGTACGCCCGAACAGAACGCTTATCTGCACGGAGACGCGCCCGATGGCGATAGCGCCGGTGACGACGGTGGTGTTGATTCGGAGTACGGGGACGACGAGCGGAGCGTGGGTGGCGCGCCGAGAGGACGCCCGTGGCGTTCGCGGGCGGCAGATGCGTTCCGAGGGCTGCGGCCCGGGAGGCGGGGGGAGGCAGCGAACGGACCACAGGCTGGCGAAACTGGCTCGACGACATTCTTCATCTACGTCATCGGTGGTATGTGCTCTCCCTCGTCACGATGTCTCAAAATGAAACTAAGCGTATGCAGGCTATTACCCGCCAAATCATCACTTGGTGACGGGCAACGACCCGCTCGACTCTTTCGAGGCGCTGTGGGAGCTCGCCGAGATGTTGGGCCAGGTCAAGCCACCGACTGCGACAAGGGAGGACATCGCGAAGTCTGGCCTCGAGGTCATCCGTCCGTCAGACTTGGAGCAGTACGAGAACGATGGACGCGTTTCGTCGAATTGTGTTGAGCGGGTAAGTCCCACTTCGTTCTATGACTCTGCGGTATCATTGAGTGCTCACCTCGTGTATGCATGCGCAGTGTCTGATCTGTCTGGAGGAGTATGCGCCTGAAGAGGATCTCCGACTCATGACATGTCGACACTTATTCCACAAGACTTGTGTGGATCGATGGCTCCAGACTGGGCGGAATAACTGCCCCGCATGTCGTTCGCAAGTGCGTTCACTCAATTCAATCTTGTGGAGGCCCATACAGTGCTGATATCCTGATCTAGGGCGTCTCCACCGGACCTGGGGCAACTGAAACACCCACAACAGGGTGATGAAATATAAATACTGTACTTTCTCTATTTCATTGCTTTCCTCGGACTATTTCTTTCAGGAGTCTCATTCTGCTGTGGCGTCATCGCATCTCCCTTGCTCGTCTCTCCTTCCTTTGTTCTTATACTTTCCCGTCCAATCCCGCTCGACACCCAATTTGTGTATCTTCATCGCATTCTCACGCACGCTTTCTGCATTACCCAAATGCGCATAACCAGAAGACGAAGAAGTACATCATCATAAATCGCCACGTTCCCTTTACGTGTAGTAGTTTTCTCTTTCTCCTCTCTTGAAGTCGACGTCGACGATCCGCCTCGAAGCAGGCTTATGAGTTATACATTGCTGTTGGTCTGCAAGTCTTTATAACCGTCGTGCGCACCGTATAACGGACTCGACTCTTCTGTCTCTTGGTTTGTGAATCTCTTCGACAATCATGAATGTCAACCCGTGCCGGGTTAACGTCCGGAGTCTGCGATCGCTCTCGAACTTGAGTACTTAGGTGTTAGGCTCTGTGACCTGTCTGGAAATAATAGCATCGATCAAAGACGAGTACATTCCGCCCCTCGTGCGCTGAGATATAAACGGGCATTGGCGTTTTGTGCCTGTAAGTGAGGAGGTTCCGTTTATTGACGATCGCTCGTCATCGTCGAACCGTCGCCTGGCTAGGACCCTATGATTTGATTATGAAAGGCTGAGTACAATTATTGAGTGAGATGAGTGAATGTGAAAGAGAATATGAGCGTACAACCGATCTCACGAGTATATCCCTTGCTATGATTTGTGTATGGAATACGAAAACATGACCGCACTGACCGCCCAGTGCAGTGCGAGACATCAGATATATACAACTGACAATATGATCCCAGGGCTACAATACACTTGCATAAGGCGAAGGAGGCTACGCAGAAGCAGTGAACCCGGCTTCCTTGAGCTTCGCTACCAGCTGGTCCACATTGTCCACCTGCGAGACAGAGGATCAGTTTCTTCGCCTCGAACGCAACAGACGTGCACAGCAGATACGGACCTTGCCTCCGCCGACGCGTTTTGGTGGTTCTGCCACCTTGAGCGTCTCAAGGATCGGTGTGAGGTCTACACCGAGATCCGCAGGCGTCAGTTTCTCGATGGGTTTCTTCTTGGCCTTCATGATGTTGGGTAGGGACGCGTAGCGTGGTTCTAGATGGTTTGTCAGCCATCTTGATCGTAAAGAGGTAGATAGTCATGGCTGTTCAGATGGAGCGTACCGTTCAGCCTAGAGATCGTTCTTTGTTAACATCTAACTGGAGGTGAAAGTCAGAAATGGCACCTACCGCAAATCCGTCGTGATCACGGCCGGCAGCCGACACTTCAGCTCCTCCGCACCTCCGTCGATTTCTGTCCTCACCGAGACCGTCTTGCCCTTAACGTCGATATCCACTTTGCTCGCGCACGTCGCCTGCCCCACACCCATCAACGCCGCCAGCATCTGTCCGGTCTGCCCGAGGTCATCGTCAATAGCCTGCTTCCCCAGGATTACCAGGTCCACCTCCCGCCCGGCCTCCTTCTCGCGCTGCAGAAGGGCGCGCAGCGCGCGCGCGATGCCCAGCGGCTCGGGCGCAGGTGCAGAGTCGGGGATTTCGATGTGCACGCCCGAGTCGGCGCCCATGGCGAGCGCGGTGCGGAGCGTCTCGGCGGACTTTGGTGGGCCGATGGTGACGACCTTTATTGATTTGATCTCTTCCTTGAGGCGTTCGCGGAGGCGGACGGCCTCTTCGACGGCTGGAGGGAAGCTTCAGCATCCGGAACGCTCTCGCATAGCGATTGTGGAGGTGTGAAGATGGGAGAAACGGATTGTCAACGTACCGATTTCATCAAATGGGTTCTGCGGGAAATTACTGGCGTGAGGAGGATACATGAGGACTAGGCAAAGCTGCTCACCATGGAGTGCTTCACATTCGTGTCAATGCCTGTCTGCTGGGGGTTGACGCGAATTTTGACAGCGTAGTCGACGCATCTAGATTGGTGAAGCTTCTCCATGAGCACTCAGGCCATAATAACACTGCCTAACTGCTCTCACCGCTTCACAGGAACGAGGATGTTGAGCAGCCGCGTAGCAGTAGGTCTCATGGTTGCAAAGCGTTCAGATTAAATTTTCCGGTTATGGTGAAGTTTATCAAAGAACCGGTGAATGCCAATAGCGATGAACAGATGAAAGGAAAGACAGAAGAAAGTGCAGTCGGTAAATATTATTGCGTCCAGTGCAGTGGGGAATCGGGATCCGGACGGCAGATGCCGAGGACCCGACGAGCTGTCACATGATTGCCAATGAGCGTGCATTATTAGCAGGCATTACTGTAGCCCGATAAACGTTGGGCATTGTGAGAATACGGCCTTAAATGGGGGGAAGGGTAAAGTGCCAGACGCCACGTCGAGGGGAGAGACGAGGAGGATACTATTCGAATATGATATTTTCAAAGGACTTACATCAACAATACATGTGCAGTCAAGGTTATTGCCATACAATGTTCGTGGCTCAACTAAGCACTGTAGAAATAATGCGCGAGAAGGCGTTGCTCGCTTGAGGCTACGCCCATCGCCCCCAATGACTGTCATCTGACCATCGACACTCACGACGTCCACGCATAAAGATGTGTGCACGTGCCGGCCTGTGGACGGCGAGTTGAAACGGCGCCCGAAATCGTCGGCAGGATCCACCACCGAGAACGCCCGAATTCCTCATCCTCAACTTTTCCATAGCCTTGATGGTTTCTCGTGTCCTTTCCGCCTCGCTCGGGCGCGCTCTTCGCGGTGCGGCGCGTCGTCCAGTGAGTGATACAATACCACCTGTAACTCCAAATTTGAAACCTAACGGTCCTCAGGCACCCATACGGTCGTTGGCGACAGCTGTCTCATCACAGAGCCCGTTCACTGAGGTCACCACCCTTTCTAATGGTCTCACCGTCGCCACGGAATCGCATCCTCATGCACAGACAGCGACCGTTGGTGTGTGGATAGACGCTGGCTCACGCGCCGAGACCGACGCTACGAACGGGACTGCTCACTTCCTCGAGCACATGGCTTTCAAGGGCACCAACCGTCGCACCCAACACGCCCTCGAGCTTGAAGTCGAGAACATCGGTGCCCACCTGAACGCCTACACCTCTCGCGAGCAGACCGTCTACTATGCGAAGAGCTTCCGCAAGGACGTTCCCCAGGCCGTCGATATCATTTCAGACATTCTTCAGAACTCCAAGCTGGAGAGCAGTGCGGTCGAGCGGGAGCGGGATGTCATCATCCGAGAGCAGCAGGAAGTTGACAAGCAACACGAGGAAGTCGTCTTCGATCACTTGCACTCGGTCGCTTTCCAAGGTACGTCACGCATCTTGCCGCTGTTCAGCTGGGCGAAAGAGCCGGGAATCCCCTTATTCCCATATATGACGCCGCAAGACATTACACCATGTCTTCAGTACGAGGCTTGTTAGCTATTTCGTGTGGGGGGTGTGTCATTATCGCTCGTGGTTCAATCGACCATGCTGAACAGTCGTGCAGCTGTGATCCCTCAGAGCCAGATTCCTGACTTTACAATGCAGGTCAAGCCCTAGGTCGCACTATTCTTGGCCCGAAAAAGAACATCCTGTCCATTCAGCGGGATGACCTTGCGTCTTATATCAAGACGAATTACACTGCTGACCGGATGGTTCTTGTTGGAGCTGGCGGTGTCGACCACGCCGAGCTTGTCAAGGCTGCGGAGAAATCTTTCTCAACGCTCCCCGTGTCGCCAAATCCTATCCCGCTCGGCCGGTTAGCGCACCCGAGGACCAACTTCGTCGGTTCTGAAGTCCGTGTTCGTGACGATGATATCCCGACGGCGCACATTGCCATCGCGGTCGAAGGTGTCGGCTGGTCATCGCCTGACTATTACCCTATGCTCGTGATGCAGTCCATCTTTGGTAACTGGGACCGCGCTCTCGGTTCCGCGTCGCTGCTTTCTTCGCGCCTTTCGAGCATCATCTCCCAGAACAACCTCGCAAACAGCTTCATGTCCTTCTCGACATCGTATTCCGACACTGGCCTTTGGGGCATCTACCTTGTATCGGAGAACTTGATGAACCTCGACGACCTCATGCACTTCACATTGAGGGAGTGGACGCGGATGAGCATTGGTCCAACTTCTGCGGAGGTTGAGCGGGCAAAGAGCCAGTTGAAGGCCGGCTTGCTCCTTAGCCTTGACGGGACGACCGCGATTGCGGAGGACATCGGGAGGCAGATTGTGACGAGCGGGCGGAGGATGACGCCGAAGCAGATCGAGAGCGCCGTGGATGCGGTGACTGTCGATGAGATCAAGCGCGTCGCCCAGAAGTACATCTGGGACAAGGATGTAAGTCGTGTTGTCACAATCAGTCAAGCAAAGTGCTGACTTTGTCATCTTCTAGTTCTCCATGGCTGCGCTCGGCTCCATCGAGGGTCTTCTCGACTACAACCGTATCCGCTCGGACATGTCTTCCTTGATCTACTAAGGCATCAATCATGTGCGCCCTACATTACCCCGGATTCCTGTACTCTGTAGGTTGACACTGCGTTTTGTTTATTAGCTGGTCGTGCGAGTAGTGGTCCGGTCACTGCACGCATGCGCTTCCTTCGTAGAAGTAGATGCATGGGCGCCGACATTTACATCTCCGCGCCTTTTGTTAATCGTGTAGATACCGGAATCCAAAATCACCTTGTTAATTCCCCTTATTGCTCGGTGCTGGGTGCGCATTGGTACCGGCGAGTGCGGGTAAAATTTTCGGTTTGGAAGGTTCCAAGAGACTGACAATCAAATCGGATGCTCTTCTCTTTTTTCGCGTCGAGCTGCTGGCTCATGTTGTCCTAGAAGATTCGGTGTTGCAGGTGAGAGGGTTGTTTTGGGACTTTCCCGGGTCCTTGATATTTAAGCTGAGCACGATCGACAGTGCCACAACGGCTGTGACAGGGCATGGAAGCTTCGAGGATCAAAGTCCGCCAACTCAGTTGCATACCGGATCAAATATGGAGAGCAACATCGATGTCAATGATCAGCCAAACGAGGGCAAGCTCCAGATTTCGCCTTTCGGACGGGTTTAAGAACACCGACAAAAATTGAATCCGTTTTAGGTGCTAAACTCAAGGAAGATAATTTAATGGGTTGGTCTTGGTGACTTTACAAATGAGTGCGACGCTGCTCTGGGCTTTGCTCATGGAAGACGTCGGGTTCAAACATGTAGAGGTTTGCTGTATTTTTGTGTTTCAGCGGAATGGCGAACCCGAGTAGAATGAGGCAGACTTTTTTCTCTTTCTTTCCGGACGTAGTTCTCACGGGAACTCGGCTTGTCTGAGTATCGGTGGTTCAGAAGCTGTCGGGGCAAGGTTCGGATATATGTGGTGCTGCTCCTCTTGTGCGTCATAATCATTCTTGCGTGTCCCTCATGACTGACCATGAATGTAAGACTGCTTAATGCGTCGACGCATCAGAACAAGCACTAGGCGTTAATGAGGGTCCGGGGGCAAAGACTAATAAACTTTGAACGGTCAATCGCGTGCTCAGGGACGTGGTCAATACCCCCTTCGGTTTTCAGCCATAGGCTTCGAACTTACATACAGGAAGCCCAGCATGCGCAGAGCTAATTTCAAGAGTGCTCCAGCTAGTGACACAACGCCTAACTTCTCACCTTGAGCTTCAAGTACCCGTGCCCCAATGTATTGCTCAATCAACATCTATTTCTGAAATGGAGCTCACAGTCGATTATTCAATCGTGGGAGTGGGAAGGGACGTTAATACGTCCATGCACCTTCTCGGGAGTGGCAACGTCTGGATCTTCCCCATGGTTCACCTGTGGGGAACGCCTTTCCGCGATGAATTCTTCGAGCCACAACCGCTGTGGTCAAGCGGAATACTGCGAAGCTCCGCTGCTCTTATCCTGCCGTAACATCGAGCGTCCGTGATTCTGGACGCCTCTTGTTTGCAAATGACAAGACGCACTGGGCCCGGGGTTTCTGGTCTTTTCGCTTCACATGCGGAACTCCCGTTGCGGAGCGAGCGATACTGGCCTTCTTAAAGTGAACGCGAAGGGCAGAACGGCTCCCTCACCTCTCTTGAGCGACACAAGCGCTGCCATGTCGTCCATCAATCTAGAGTTTCTCGACTTTGTCGCGTTGATCACTTTTCTGGTTTTCGCCAAGGCGTACTGGACCAAGCATCGGAAACCATATGGCCTTCCTTATCCCCCTGGGCCGATGCCTCTTCCCCTCGTCGGGAACATCTTTGACATATTGAACAAGAACACTTGGAAGACATATGCGAAGTGGGGGAAGGAATACGGTATAGTCATCTTCGCACTAGTTTTCTGCATACAACTATGTAAATGCTCACGGAAAACCCGCAGGCAATGTCGTGTCTTTCAGCGTGCTTGGCCAAAGGCTGGTGATCATCAACTCTTACAAAGCCGCCAAAGACCTCTTCGATAAGCGCGGCGAGATATACTCGGACCGACCGGTAGTCCCGGTGTTTAAGATGTGAATATTCGCCGTCTATGCAGGAAAATGAGATGCTGATCCTCTGATGTCGGTGTCCAAGAATGGGTGTCGATTGGTGGAACACCGTTTTCACATCTTACTCCCACGAGTGGCGCGCGCAGCGCAGGGTGTCTGATCACAGCCTGCGCCCAAGCGCTGCATTGCTATATCGGCCGATGCAGAGGCGTTACACGCACGACTTTCTCAAAAAGCTGCTCCACCGCCCGGAAGCGCTCGACAAACATATCACACAGTGAGCAACGACCATCTTCCCCTTCCCTCACATCCCCCACATCTCAAAGCTGACGTGAAACGGGAAAGCCTCACAGGAGCCATCGTCATTAACCTCGCATATGGCTACGAGATCGCCGAATCGAACGACCGGTTCGTGTCTCTCGCAGAAGAGATCTCGCACAGGTCATCGGCGGTATTCCTTCCTGGCGCTACGCTGGTAAACGCCTTACCAATATGTGAGCGTCTGCTGCCTTGCTCGCCTCTGGCCACTTCCACAGCTGACTGGCCTCCCGTAAAACAGTGAGACACTTGCCCGCATGGGTGCCGGGCATGCGTTTCAAAGGCATGGCGTCGGAAACCGCACGGATCGCTCGGGATATGGTCAACGCGCCGTACGAATACGTGAAGGAAGCGATGGTGCGCCCCCTTGCGAAAATTCCAGGTATCGAAGAGCTTGCGTATGACGCGCGACCAAACGCCACAGCGAGACGGGACCGCCCGCCCTTCGCTCACGCGCGACAACCTAAATGCATGCCAAGGCATCGCGCCGACTGAGCAAGAAGAGTTTACGATCAAATCGGTCGCCGCGACTCTGTACACCGGTCAGTGCTCGAACATGCATGCATCACAACGCCGACGTCTCGCCTCCATTCTGATCTTACCTCCGCAGCCGGCGCGGACACGGTGAGCGCGCCTGGTGTCCCCTCCCTTTTTTCAGTAGCTCAGCCTGTTTCGCGAACAGTCCAAGGCAGCTCTGGGCAGCGCTTTTCTCGCGCTCGTGCTAAACCCCGCCGTGCAAAAGCGTGCGCAGGCCGAAATTGACGTCGTTGTCGGGCGGGGACGGCTGCCAGATTTTGGTGACTATGAGAATCTGCCTTACGTCAACGCGGTCTGCATGGAAGTGAAACGCTGGCATCCGGTGGTTCCATTAGGTATGTACAGCGGCTTTCGTGGGTGATGCGTGTATTAGAACACATGTGCATCTAGGGGTGTCACACGTGATTAGGGAGGACGATGTTTACGAGGGCTATTACATTCCGAAGGGTGTGTACCGTTTTGCCCCTCTTTCTAGAAATTATAAGTTGACTTGACGACACCGCGTAGGCACCAACATCTTCGCAAATCTCTGGTGCGCGGTCTAGATGTTGGACGCTTCCCACATCTGTTTCATGACAACATGTTCACAGGGCTATATTGCAAGATCCTGAGACATATCCAGACCCAGATGCATTTAAGCCCGAACGTTTTTTGACATCGGACGGCAAGATAAAGGAAGATCCATTACTGTCTTCTGTTTTTGGATTTGGGAGAAGGTGGGCAAAAAAACACGACAGCACTCAGTAAGCTGACCCCACGAGCAGGATATGTCCCGGCCGGCATTTGGCTGATGCTACACTCTGGATCGTCATCGCGTCTGTCCTGTCGGTCTTCACTGTGGACCACGCCAAAGACGCCGATGGAAACATAATTCCTGTTGAGCGCGCCTATACTGATGCAGCGATCAGGTGAGGGCCATGTTTGTTCACTTCTGAGGTACCTACTCATGGGAGACCCACAGTCATTCGTGCCCATATACATGTTCTATCGTGCCAAGGGATCAGACGGCGGAAGGACTGATCAAAGGCATGCCATAGCGAGCGGTGACTATGGTCGCAGCGTCGCCCGGGGCGCTCAGATGTCGCTTGCAGTGCTTCTAGAAGCTTGATGTATGATACGGAGCGAAGTGCCGAAATTTGCATGTCATGCATAGTTCTGAGAGACTTGAAGAGACATCAGAAAGTGGGATATACACGTCTGCTCGCAGTAGTGGATGGTCATGGCACGGGAGGGACGGGATAACGGAGATATGAAAGCAGGAGGGACGGTGCCCGATTTGGCGTGCCTGATGCGGACGAAATAGATATTTGACTAGATTTGAGCCGATCCGGGGGAATGAAGCATGCTCGGTAGCGATAGAGAGGGTCTAGCGCGGGGTCTATTAGCGCTGAGATGCACACAATTGTATATATAGCGTGTGTCGACATCGGCGGCGTCGTTTATGCTCGGGCTCTCGTCGCATCCTTCATCCCCATCAACACCTCCGACGCATATCCACTGCGATGTTCTCCTCCCTCCTCGATCAGATCGTCCTCGCCCCCGCAAACGCCCTCTGGATCGCCCAGGGCCTCCCCCCAGATTCCATAGCTCATCTTCATCTATCCAAATCACCCGATCCTTCCGTCGACTCGCATTTCAAACTCGGATTTGCTGCACAGGTCCGCACCTCTTTCGCTTTTCGCGCACACAGACAGAACGACGCATCCGCTATCGATAGACCGCCATAGGCGTCTCTGCTCTCGCCGCCGCCCACTTCCACAAGCTGCGCACCGGAGAGGAACAGGATGTATCCGTGGAGGCCCGACATGCCGTGATTGAGTTCAGTAAGCACCCGGCTAGCAGCCTTCATCAGTTCGTTTGGTCCTGAACTGACGCTCTTTTCCTGCTGCGTGCAGACAGTGAAAAGTACTATACCGTTGACGATCAGATACCCAAAAGCGTCTTGTTCGATGAACTCTCCGATTTCTTCAAGACAAAGGACGGTTATGTGCGCTTGCACGCGAACTTCCCGCAGTGAGTCCCCCATTATCCCTAACCCTAGAGCGTGCAAGTGCTCGCGATATTCCCCAGAATGTTCCGTCGCATGCCGGATCTGCACGGCTGTAAGGCCACGCTGCTGTGAAGTAATACGTCCTTCTATGACATCATCGCCCTACTAGCTCGATCGTGCTCAATGCTTCAGTAATGATTCCCGTGTCGGCTTTATTCATTTTATTTCACATCGTTTCTCAGGCCTCGTTCGTTAACGCGTTACCTCCATGCTATCTTTTCCAAGGCCAATGTCACTGACTCCATTTACGACAGTCACAAGCAGGGCCTGGTCGATATTCTTAAATGCGCGCCTACAAAGGCCGCCGTAGCGGCCGCCCTCGCCTCCTGGTCTTCCATCGACTTCGAAGCAGAGGTGATGAAGCGTAACCTGTGCGCCGTCGCCGTTCGGTCCTTCGAAGAAGCAGACCGACACCCGCATGCGCGCCAGACGGTCAACAACGAGTCAGTTTACGTCCGCAAGATCGGCGACGCGCCAAGGCGCATCCTCTCAGGAACAGAATTTGCGAGAGCTTTGGATGGGATACGGGTGTTGGATCTAACGAGGGTGTTGGCGGGTCCTGTATGTGGGCGAACACTTGCTGGTACGTGATTCTCCTTTTGCGTGCTCTGCACTGAGTTTGATCGCGCTGCTTTTGTTCGGTATGCAGCGCACGGCGCAGATACTCTGCTTGTTACTTCCCCAAATCTCCCTAGTCTACCATTGCTGGATATGGACACATCCCGCGGCAAGCGGACAACACAGCTGGATCTGCGTGACCCGAAGGACAAGGAAACATTGCAAAGCCTGGTCAAAGATGCGGATGTATTCCTGCAGGCATATAGACCTGGGGGCCTCCAGGGCCTTGGATTTGGGCCTGAAGAGGTCGCGAAGGCGCGTCCAGGGATTGTATATGGGACGCTGAGCGCATACGGATTCTCGGGGGCCTTGAAAGACGCGAAGGGTGTACGTCCCCTCCTGCCTCAACGCCTTTCCCATTGTTCTCGATTGGAACGTTGGTGGGTTATCACTGACAATAATCACAGTTCGACTCGTTGCTACAGGCGATAGGCGGCATGAATGTTGCAGAGGCACAAGCATATAAAGACTATGTCCTTGCTAACGGTGGGAATGTCAATGATTTCCCGCCTCATCGTTCGTTGCCGATGCAAGCGCTTGATCACGCCACCGGCTACCTGTTGGCGTTCGGCATCATCAGCGCGCTATGCAGAACCATCACCGTGGGTCTACCATCATCTCATCACCCTCGATAGACGACCCGCTGACCATTATGATAACGCACAACAGGAAGGCGGCTCTTACGAGGTGCACGTCTCCCTCGGAGCGACGCTGCATTGGGTCCGTTCGCTTGGGTACCTCAGCCCAGAAGAGGCATATAAAAACGGCGAGCCCCTCCCGCCGCGCGGGGTCCCGCTCGATACCGAGGTCGCCGGTTTCAGCACGAAGATCGAGCAGGCAGTTCCGGATGCGGGCGTGCAGTCAGGCCCTGTGTACCACAACATCACAGCGATACGCCACGCTGCGGTCATGTCAAAGACGAAGGTGTGTATCGGCGAGGCACCAATGCGGCTCGACGCCCATCTCCCTGTGTGGCTGAAGAGGCCATGAGATTGCGAGCGCACGTCCGTGCGGGTAGTGCTCAGGGACTTTTGGAACTAGAGACGAGGGCGACAACAGCCATTCGGGCACGTGCGCGCGACCGGGATGAAGGGACGCTCATCCGCACCGTGTATCAAATCTATACCCCACCGCAGGCCTGTATAGATACTGACTTCAAGATGCTGCATCTCATGTATATTATCTCATGAAAACAACGAGCGTGCGCGACGACCAGTTATTTGTCTCTGCTTAGTCTCAAGGGTCGTGGCGTCGAAGGGGGCATAGTCTCGTCTTCGGGGTCAGTACGGCATGTGCGACACACGCTCCCATGTCTCACGGGACCGCGAAGACGTAAAGGGAGAAGCGGAAGGACAGGAACGATAGGCCCTCCGCAAACGCACCCGGCGCAGTGCCCCCCTTGTTGACTTGACAAAAGGGGATGTACACAACGATATCTACATCCGCCATCCTCAACCCCGCCCACGCCCCCGACATAACACCGCCTCAAGGCCTGAGAGGGCGCAAGATGCTCATCGCGTTCACCCCCTTGAACCTAATAAGAACAGAGCTCGCGTAGCCTTTCAGGGGCTGAGCTCATTGAACCACATATGTTTCGAAACTTACGCCCAGCAGCGCACGGTGGTGATGATTATCGGAGCCTCGGCATGACGTTGAGGAGAGTCGCTAGAGAGCCTTGTCCCAGCTTGTCCCACGCGCTTTGCAATTCAGACGTTCTTGGAAAATGCCAAAAGATCCTTCGTCAGCTTCCGTCCTAGCCTGTCCCGTGCAGATGAGCACGATGATCGGCCCGACAGCGATTTGTCTTCTCCCACAACGTGGTGGAGGGCTGTTCGAGGTGGCTGGGGCGGGTCCCGTTATGTATAAACAGCGGAACCTCTTGACGTTTCAAAAAGATACGGCGTCGGGTATAGGATGTTTGTTGTGCGTCGCGTGCATGCGGCGTTACTGCGAGGCGTTGGAGGTGCAGGGTAGCCGCTGCTGTGGGTCTCATACCTGGCGTTCATGCACTGGGTCCGTAGGGGTGTCCGGGAGAACGGCGAGTGAGGGGCTGGTCCTAGATGTAAAACCAGTCGCTGGGCCGCTGAACGCAACGACAGGCTGAGCCCATAGCGCTCCATAGCGCCGGCTGGGACCGCCAGCCCCGGTCAAGCCTGAGGTTCGACATGTCGAGATCAACGCTCGCCAACGGATGCCACGAACGCTGTTTTAGCTTTCCGTCGACGATGCCAATCAATCAGCGTCGAACGGGAGCAGATATGGCGAGACCTTCCCACGACGCGCTCCTTTCGCGTCCCGTGACAGGAACGCGTCGTTTGGCGGAGTTTCAAAAAGTCGAACCACATCACGGGACCACGCGACAGCTCTCGTCTTGTCTTGCCTTGTCATCCTCTCGTCAGGCCTCGGTGTCACCTTGCGTTACCTTGTCCCTCTCCCCATCCTCTTTGTCATGACGTCCATCGGTGCGGTGACTCGTCAGATTGCTGCTCTCGAGATATCCTCGAAACAAAACACCACGACTACAACCACCACTGCGGTTGCGAAAGCGAAGCCAGCGCACCAGAAGCAGCCTAGCCAAACGAATGTCTCCAAGCTCTTGACCAAGTTCGCTGCGCCGAATGTCCCAAAACCTGCTCCAAAACCCATCCTGAAGCATAAGGCATCTTCGTCTAAGATTCCCACCAGCCAATCAACCACGACTACGACCACGACTACGACCACGACTACGGTAGCAAAGTCGAAGCAGACATCATCGGCCGCGCAGCCTGAAATTGATATTGGTCGCTATGATGGGGGGTTTGAGATTGAGAACGAGACAAGAGGTCAGGTCGTGCATGGGGAGGCAGCGAAGCAACTTGCCCTCGATTCGAGCATCATTGGGTCAGTGCGCAAGCACGACGCCATGGCCTTATGCTCACGTATATTACAGGGCGCGACCCACTCGTGAGTGGCATCTCTACGACTTCGACATAGGTCGCCCACTAGGCAAGGGCAAGTTCGGACGAGTGTACATGATCCGCACTAAATGCGAGCCGCGATACATCTTGGCTCTCAAGTGTCTGTACAAGTCAGAGATCATCCAGTCGAAGGTGGAGAAGCAGATTCGGAGAGAGATCGAGATTCAGCAGAACCTCCGACATCCTCACGTTCTTCGACTTTACGGGTACTTCCACGACGAGAAACGTATCTTCCTGATGCTCGAGTTCGCTGGAAAGGGAGAGCTTTATAAGCAGCTCACCAAGTACGGTTCTTTCTCTGAGCGGAGGAGCGCGGTCTACATCGACCAGATGGCAGATGCTCTTTCGTACCTTCATTCGAAGCACGTCATCCACCGCGATATCAAGCCCGAGAACCTGCTGTTAGGGATCAATGGGGAACTCAAAATTGGAGACTTCGGTTGGAGCGTGCATGCGCCAGGCAACCGACGGACCACGCTATGTGGGACGCTCGATTACCTTCCTCCCGAGATGGTCGAGGGCAAGGTCCATTCGGAGAAGGTTGATTATTGGGCGCTCGGCGTGCTCACTTATGAATTCATCTGCGGTGCCCCCCCATTCGAGGATCTCAGAGGATATGGCGGTATGTCGTAATGCTTCCAGACCATCGCTGACTATTGTGCTTACATCGAATGACACAGCGACATACAAGCGCATCGCCAGCGTAGACTTGCACATCCCGTCCAAAGTCAGCGGGGAGGCCCGGGACCTCATCATGTCTGTGAGTATTCAAATTTTGGCTGTCGCTGCGCTCGCCTGCTTATCATCATCCTTAGCTGTTGCAATACGACCCAGACAAGAGAATTCCTCTTTCAGATGTGAGAAAGCACCCTTGGATCGTGAGATACCGGACCAAGGCCCCCTCTGAAGGCAAAACGTCATAGGCCAGGACGGCGTCCGGTGTCTTGGCGCTGCGCTGCGCCATCGAGATGTGCGTTAGAGCTGCTATGTTTGCAGATTACTGCTGTCTATATGGGGGCCGGATTTGCGCCGGATGTAAAACAGTATATGGACCTCGGTATACCGAATGCCGCTCTTTGCCGCTGCTGTGTATTCCTTGTGTCGGACACGTGTATACCATGCTTTTGTTTGCGTTTTTAATTTCGAGTCCGACGGACGGCGTCGGGTGATGGGGGCGATGGGGCGACGATTGATACTCCTCACGGTCTTGCCTCCCTTATCGATGAAGCTTGCCTTGTTCTTTTTTGTAGCGGCGACGCCATGAGAAAGAGAAGGCGTCCGAGTTGATTCTCGCCGAGTGTTTCAGCGCCCATGGATGATCGCATCAGGTTCCACCGTCGACGTTCTACCAGGATCACGAAGATAAGTGATGCCTACACGCAGCGGTCATGGGGGGATCGTGATCCTCGCGATCGGGTGGAATCGGGTGGGTCGGGGTCAGAGATTATTGGTGTCTATACACAGGGATCTACAAGGCGATGATGATCACAAGATGGTTGGAGGCACAGCCCACGGGGCGAGATATGGGCATTCGAGAAATCAGATCGACGGACTACAGAACAAAGCGAGATGACCAGACAACAGAGGAGGCGATAGCAATGGAAAACGAGACCGGACAAGCGAGAAACGACGATAGCAAACGAGATAGACGACGACACAGGACAAGGGGAGATGAGACAACGAGACAACGAAACAACAGGATAGCGAGAGAATATACAAAAGATGATAGGAGAAATGAGATGCGGGTAGCAGAGGCTACAAAGAACATTGGAACGAAAACAAATGGACAGCGACAACAGGATGAATGATGCTAAAAGATACAAGTCCTGGATGAGAGAGCAAGGACACAGACGTACAGAGGGGAAGATGAAGCGCGAGAACCCTAAACAAAAGGAAAATGAAAATGAGCGTACCCATTAGATACGGCAACAGCGTTCAGAGCACACGATAGACCAAAGGGCCGCCGCTCTCCTTGACACCCACGACGCCAACCTCATAGCTCCTCCTCCTCGTCCATGTCGGAGTCGTCATCCCCTTCGTCACTGGACAGACCCACATCGACGATGGCGTCCTCTTCTTCACCCTCGTCGTATCCATCTGGTGGCGGCTCAAGCCTGAAGACGATGTCCGTCGGCTTGTAGCCTCTCTTCAGGTGGACCTTAGCATGTCGCTTCGCCGAGTCCTTGCGGGAAAGCGTCTCGCTGCAAACACTGCAGACCAGACGCCTTTTGTGGGCATTCTCTCCGCAGTGGAACACGTTGTGGCGGAGGAGGTCTTTGGGGCGGGTAAAGGACAGGATGCAGAAGGCGCAGTGGCTAAGCTTGTCGTCGGACTCGGCGGTGGGAGAAAGCGGAGGAAGGGCGGTGGGGCGGAGCGCGGGAGCGTTGGGAGGAGCCGTGGAGTCATCCGCGGACGAGCCGGTCAAGTGCGATCTCGATCCGGCGGCGCGCTTCCTGGGACGACGAGTCCCTTTCGTTGTGCGGGGTGCACCAGCGGGTACGTACTCGTCATCGTCGTCCCCGTCGTCGTCGTCGTCGTCGTCGTCGCGCTGCAAGCGCTTGCACTTCTTCCCGACAGTGCGCGCGGAGGGTTGGCGTGCAGGTTGCGGGCGCGAAGGGGGGGGAGAAGGGGCCGGAGCTGGCGCCTGGGAACGATGAGTCGCTGGCTTGCGCGCGGGAGCCTTGCGGGTCACGGGCTTGCGTGGTGGCTTGGGAACGGGGGGCTTGGTCGTGCATCGGCGCTTAGGACGAACACCCCACTTGCCCATGTCCGAAGACTCAGTGGAAGGGGGCTTCCGGGCGTCGCTCTCGCTCAAGTCGCTTGAGAGGGAGGTGGGGGAGGTCGTGGCGGATGATGATGCCGACGACGTGGAGGCCTGGTGATCGGACTCCGCACCCTCCGAGTCGAGTTCGGTCCCGTAGGGTGGAGGAGATATGTCCGCGAGACAGACTGTTTGGGGCAAGCCTGCCTCGGCCGTCGCGGGGGTGTACGTTCTCAGACCGCCAAACTGTCTCTGTTGGGCATCGTCAGTGATCAGAATGTATCAAAATTGATCAGGATCGAACCTGAAGGCAGGTCATTGGTGAATATTGGGGACGGGCACATCTGTAGACGGAGATGTAGTTCGTGGACGGATACATCACCGGATATGACGCCATGTGTGATGACGATGGCGGTACCCTCGACACGTTCGACAACTCCGGCAGGGGGGGCAGTGGTGAGCGGGGACTCTGCTCGTCGTAGCCTGCCTCGTCCGAGAAGAGGCCTTGAATACGGTCCATGTGGACCATGTCCTCTATCGCGCTGGTCTGTTCGAGGGAGTTGAGGAGCATTTGGCTCCGGAATATGATGGTGGGCAAGTCGTCGCCCCAGACGACCAGAACGCGATCGGCGCGCTACCATGCAGAGGGATTAGCTCGGTATTGATGGAGGACAAGGAAGGGACTCACGATGAAGGCGGCCGAGTGGTCGCCTTGAATGAGAGGGAGTTGGTCCATGGTCTCGAGGACCTGGACACACGTGTATTCGTCCACCCAGTGGTAGGGTGCCTTGTTGAAACTTCCAAAGGCGCGTGAATACGAAGAATCTTATGATGATACAAAGAACTACTCACATGTTGCCGCAGACCGACAATATGGAAGGGTTGCTCATTTGAACTGCGAGCAAGCAGTGCAGACGCTTGAAGGCGTCTGCTAAGGCGCCAAGAGACGCGCCTGGCAGCGCGAAAACGCGCTGCCCGTCGATGCGGGCGATGACGCCGGCGAGGAGGTCGTCCTCGGGTCGCCGCCTTGCCACGCATTGTTGTGTTTGAGAAAATATACTGCATAAGATACCGTCGATTGCAGCGGAATCCATGACAGTATCGAGTATATTTTGAGGCGGGAGAGCGGGGAAAGATCTGGGGGGTAACAGGGCGAGGAATACGCCGGAGATCGAGGCAATTAAAGGATTGGCACTGCCTGGATGCCTCGAGGAAGCGGTGCTATAACCGGCGGTCTGCCTGCTGAGTTGACTTATCCAACACTATGTCGCCACTATCTCGGTCATCACCGGTTTGGCCTGATACCTTCCGCCTTTCTGGCCCCCAAACAAGAGCGGCGTGCGTCCAATCGCACGAGCTTCTCTCGCTTAAAGTGTCTGACATTATCGAGTGATATTCTGTGCAAACGCTCATACGTACAGCATTAGAGAAGTTCGTCCAGGAAAGTTTTCCCCTTGTACCGTTTGCCATCGGGATGAAACAGGAGGGCAGGGAGGCTGCCGGAGCATACAGTTGGATGGCAATTGTATTTCTGGTTGTCAAGTGCGGGGGCAAACAAAAAGATAGTGAATACAAGGGTGATCCCACTGACGCCAGTGATGAAGGGAAGGAAGACAGCTGTACCTGTGAGAGAGGAAGGGGAAGGCGCAGTTTAGACGCTTGTCTCGCTTGTCCTAGTGTCCAGGTCCTGTCGCGGCGTCGCCAGTATCTCGTGGTAAGGCATTCGACGGCCCGGTTTCGCCCCACAGCCCCTCGCCTTCGCGAGTGCCGACGCCATTTTTCTTGCCACCCGATCTTTCCTTTAATGGCAGTCAGCTTGCGTCCTGGGACACGCCTGTATCTCTTCACAATCCCTCGTGCGACCGTCTCGCGGCCTGGCACCTCAGGAAGCCTGCCGTCAGGGCGCTTCGGACCTTGGCACGCCATGCCATGAGGATTAGATATCAGCCCCTTCAGAAGCGTTTGCCATGCTTATGTATTGCGTTGTGGACTGTTGTGGGTCAGAAGCGTGAGAGGCATCCTCAGGTCCTTGCCATAAAGCGCCCATATGGGCCCATGTTGAAATTTTGGATAATCTTGATGTGTCGATGACTCGATTCACGGCGCGATGAATGAAACCTGCTAGGCTAGAACTCTCCGTCGGGACCTTTTGGGGCCATCATGGAAGTCATGTGGGAGAAACCGCGGGCAGATGTCCTGACGAGGATTCAGAATTGGGGAGAGCGTGGCGTGGCGTCCAGTTGCTAGGTTGGCCCGACGGCGCGCAGACACTTCGGGGCTGTGTTGCCGTGCAGAAGAAGGCACGAGAGCCAGCAAAGTGGCGGAAACGTGGCGTGGCGTCTGATCAGCGTCAGTCCATCAAGGCGGCTTGCTCCAGACAGTTCAACATTTACCCTGAGAAGCCTTCATGTCCCGGTTCTACCACAGGCTGTAGGGGAACAGGTGATGAAGGGTATATACAGAGGCGAAATACGATCAGAAGACTCACAGGAAGTAGAGGTTGGTACATATATGGACGGATAGCAGGGAAATATCTACGTAGAAGATGGTTTCGACTTTTTAAACTACTAAGACGACGTTCGATAGCTCAAGCGGAGTAGAGGGTATTCGGTCCGTATGAATTCAGGTCAACACCACTGTCACACGCCAGTGAATGCGACACGGTGAATTCACAGCGCTCAGGCGACAAGATAGTCGGGCGTGTAGGGGGAGAGTTCGACTCATTGTGAGGCGCCCAGTCAATAGTAGCGAGTGTCGAAGGCTGCGGGGCTTCTTGTCGTGAAGTAGTCTTCCTGAGATGAATCACCATTCGGCTCCCCACAGTGACCTAGTGGAAATTAGAATGGCCGTTGACGCAAAGGAGCGACAGATGGAAAGACTCGCCGAGAAGCTAGTAGACCAAAGGCGCGTCAAGAATGTTTGTGAGATCAAACACCATAAATGCAAAGGATGAACACTAACACAAGTTGTAGCCTAAGAGTCGTGAGCACGCAGGTGCCATAGCGAAAAGTGCGAACACTCACTGCATGGCGATATTGCGAGCGGAAGGGTCGGCATATACGATCGTAAATGTCGAGGCGAGCATGACCGAGCAACCAAAACTGTCAATGATTATTCATGCATGAAGACGAGGAACTCAAAAAATGGAGCGTACAAATAATATGATAGTCCCTCTTTCATCAGAGTGGATTGAAGATTCCCAGTTTCCCGCGACCCGCGCCAATGCACCAGACGAGCAATCACCAAAACACATATGACAGTGTCGTAGACAAGTGGAAGAATGGCAGCGCAAGCAGCGACTGGGCCGCTTGCACACGAACACTGATGAGGAGAGGGCAAAGTCAGAGTCGAGATGACATGCTTACAGAGAAGGATCAAAAATCATGGTGCAAGCTGCCCAAACATGATTGAGATGATACTAGTGCACTTTAGATAGACGACATCCTTACAATGAACCAACGATGAGGATTGTGAGACTCCTTAGAGGGAATCACGATTAGAATAGAAGCTGAATCTAGTTAAAAACTCAGCAGCGCACCTTGACCGCGAGACAAAAGCCATGCATTGACAGCGATTGCCGCGAACAGAATTGCGAATACAGGCACTTGAACATATTTATTTCCGTGATACAGCGCGACTAATCTGCAGAGATTGATATCAGTGGTCGACTCCGCACATACTCATCAATGACGCCTACCGGAAAAGCATGAGGAATGCAGCGATATAGACCCCGATCATGGTCATGCTGCCTTCATAACGTACAAAATGATTACAGCTATGCCACTCCAGGTCATGATCATAGTCACCTCCGATCAGAAGAAACTCACGACTAAAGAAGAATAAGCATGCAGTCCACGTAGTTCAAAAGACAGAATATACTGACTTCTTGAGTCCAACTTCGACCAAAATATGCTAAGCAGACCATTGCGGCGTGAGACGTGCGCGTGAACAAGGAGAGGATCGATCCACGTACCATACAGATTTACAATGAAGCTGAGTGGTATGAAGTATCGATTCTGAAATGATGCCTCAGTCCAAATCAAATGAAGATAAGGGTATGCTTACCACAAAATAAAGATATATATCTTTAATCGAGATAAGTAAAAGACACACAAGCATAGCGTGGAGGAGCCACGTACACAGTCCTTTGCGCCCAAGCCAGATAAACGTCACCTGGTGTGTTCTTCTGCGTCAACGACATTGACGATGAGTGATTGGTGAGAATGGAAATCTTACCTCGTCAGAGAGTGTAAGGAGATGGTCCCACATCATAACGACGAATGAGGCAAGCCCGAAACACTGCATCGACGCCTCGTCAAATCTTTATCATTCGACCGGACAGCATCTACTCACTTCGGTCAGATATCTGCAGTCGCCGATCGGAGGGGCCTCTCCTTTCAAAATTATTGATCTGACGAATATTTGGAGCAACTCACAGATTCACGATGTCAGCAAGAATATCATCTCGCAGATTTGAGGTCATTCGCGTTTGTTTGCATTGACCTACAGGTCGTGATTTTCTGCGGAGAGGCCAGGGCGAAAAACTTTCGAACATCGGAGAGCCCTCGTAGGCTGCTTAAAATACATCTGGATGACAACGTGCAACTACAGAGAGTTCATGCAAGTAAGACAGTCCCTCCCAAGGGCCAAGCGTATGGCGCCCAGTTCGTGAGCAAAAGGAGACTCATTGAGGACGTCATCCAGAAGCGGCTGCGGCTCGGCCACATGCTCCACGATGATTACGACAGGCGCCAATAAGATCCGCATAGGCTAGGATGCGGAGTACGAGGCGTACGCGCTATGGGTCAATTCGAGGCATGGGGACTTCGGATACGCCATCTAGAACTGATGTGAAGAATTTCGATAGGGAACTGACGAAAAGCGGCGCACCTCGGATCGTGGATAGCTGGATCTACGATAGGCTTGCCGTCCCCAAAAGACAACAACGACGCCGCCTCAATCTCCGACGCCTCTCCTGTACCTATCTGTCGTGATCCCACTGTGCACGCTGCAACTACGCTGCACGGCTACTGTCTCATGCCGGCAACTAAAACGATGCGACTGTGCAGCTTACAAGATCATATGGAAATGGTCTCATCAAGGCAGCGAAGATCTGTGGAGATCCGATTGTGTTGCAGGCCATGCTCTTGCATGAGCCGCAACAATTAAGTCAGTCCCGCGAGATGGGTAGTGAGCCGTGAGCGCGGGGAAAAGCAGGGTTTCGAATTGGGGATGTGATGAAGATGAGCGCCCAAAACATGGCAATGAAGAAGTCGTCCGAAGAAGGAAGCAACAGAACAGCCGTGGCAGCCGCAACGGCACGTCAGGTGAGCCTCCTCGCGCTTCCGTGAACACCTGGCGCCTTCTCGGTGTCGGCGGAGACAGATAACCATGAAGAAGTGGAAGCAAGCGTGCACCATTATGCATGGCGGCGCTGCGCAGGATTTGGTCGTCCTCGTGCATCATTTTCCGCACCTGACATCGTTGATTATCAATTAGGACCTGGATTCTGTGCCGGATACGAGTGCATTATTCCTAGGTAACTGTGATACAAATACAGCATTATGGCTACGCGTCCTCCTCCAAATACAGAGGACAAGTAAAAGTGAAGCTCTAAATGATCCTCATCCTCGAATAAATATCCTATGCTTCCAAAGTATGCAACCAACAAGACGTGCATTACACGTCCGACGCCTTCGCGTTCTGCATCGTCCTCTCGACGTGCTCTATCTCACCACCACCGACAGACCGAGCACCTACCCGGTCAGCCCCATAAAGCTCCTCCTCGACATCGAGGCCAACCGCTCCGTCTCTCCCGATCGAGATTATCTCGCCCCCTGAAGCATGTGATCTTCCCAGAGCTCGGCTGACGTTACTCACGCGACTTGTCTGCTCCTGAGTACTCACACCCTCGCCCGGCTGAGTGACCATGGAGAAAAACGAGTCGTCCACGACGCGATGCACATGCTGGATGTGTCCGCGCCGCGAGGGAGGAAGCATCTGTTGAATACGCGAGGGGTGCGTGATTGTGTTCCATGCAAGTGCGGGTTGGGGACGGGGCGTTGGGACGGAGATAGAATATCCGAGCGCGTTCATATGTGCGAATCGCTTCAGATGAATGGTAATGCGGGACATCATCGTAACCTGCGAGCTTCGTTAGACGATCTTGACAGAGTCAAAAGACAATATACTTACTGTCAGGCTAACGCGAGGAGTGTGACGGTTCCAGGTAAGCCAGAGAAGGTACGTATACGAGAAAACTCACAGAAGTTCGAGTCTAGAGCACAAGGGAAGATGAGCTCGTGTCCTCAAAGTCGTTGAATAAAGCACATACTGAGCAGTGATGTTCTTTACTGAGGGATCAGCGGCGACGATCATCACGGTCAGAACCAGGGTCACAGAGAATATCACACTGTCAATGCAAAAGCTGTCAGTCACTGAAGGCATCCTATCACAAGTCTGACACGGCTCACGCGAAGTACAATATACCCTCCTTGAGGAGGACTCGAATGATCTGCCCTGCGTTTTTCCTCCGTACAGATTGCAATGTGCGGTGAAGGGTGAGAATCAAGACGATTGTATCATAAAGCAGGGGCAGCCAAGCAGAAGCAGCGGCGATGGGACCGCTACAGAGGAGGCAACAAGAGGTCACCCGACATGTCACTGCAGGAATAATTGCCCACTGACATCTTCGGATCGAATATCATCGTGCACGCTATATCAACATCGGGTTAATATCTGCTTTTAGATTAATGATGCGACAGGAACAGACATTCAACAAGTGACGAGTGAGGAACCCCTAGTTGGTGGAACGTCGTTCGATGATATACTATGCCAGATTGAGTAAACTAACAACGCACCAATGCCATGAGTGAGGAGCCAAGCATTGACACCAATGTAGGTCAACAATATTATGAGGACGGCGCCTTGCACGTATATCTGCCTATTGTATAGAGCACGTATCCTGTGACGAGAACATAGTCAGATCGAAGGGTAGTGTCAAAGAAGCGGCTGAACGCACCGAAGAAACATCATCAAAGCGACTACGGATATACCGAGCATAGTCATAGAACCTTCGTATCGTACAAAACGGGCGCAGCTGTATCGTATAACAAAGATGTCGAGTACTGTGTCTATAATCAACACTTGATATGCTTACGACTGTCAAAATGATGAGTACGCGTGATATTCAACTACCAGTGTGGCGTACCTCGTGGGTCCATGTTGTCGTAAAGTATGCTGGATCAATGTGCAGGCGGTTGAGCTGATGTCTCGTATTGATTGAGAAGTCCTCGAACCATATAAATTGACTGTGAACCCGAGTGGCGTAATATAGCGGTTCTGTTCACGGCCGAAGGTCAATCGTCGCCAGACATAGCACGGAGCTGAGTAGACGCACCAAGAAGAATAGGTAGACCGCTATCGATACGAGTTACTATGGGGATGATTTCGACGAGTGGCGAGCGTGCTCACAAAGTCCCTTGTTTCCTTTCCATACATATTCTACCTGTGAATGTGATGTTAATGACAGAGAAGAGGGCGAGTGGCAAAGACCGACCTCGTCAGAGAACGAAACAATGTGATCCCAAATCAAAATCGTGAACGCTGCTACGCCGACATACTGTGCGTCGGTATTCAAGTCGTCAATAACATTCCTTCAGGTCGAGCATGCCAAGGCACAACGAGCTGACCTGTGTATTCAGTCTATTGCGTGTGGAAACGTTCACGTTCGCTCGATCGGTCAGGTTCCGCGCTATGACTGATTCGATCAACCCCGCCGAAGGGTAACTCACGAGTTCTTAAAGTCTTCAGTCGGGTCCATGCTAATCATTTGCATCTTATCGGCCTTTGAGTCGAGGTGCCCAGGTAGCGTCGAGCGCGGTGTACATGGGGCACAGAAATGGGAGAGAAATGTGAGGGGGGAGCTACTCGCGAGTTGGTATAAAATCTGACAGGGCGCTAAAATTTGCGCGCGACGGCTATCCCGCTTCCGGATCAGTGTGGGGAGCATCATATCGAGATCTCCGCTTACGCCACAGGGGTCAAGTGCCACATCACGTGTACCACTCGCGACCATCTTGTTTTGTCTTGCCTTGTCTTGCTCCCTTCATTTCTCTTTGCAGCAGGATGTTGACAGATCTATTCTAGAAATGCTCAGCTGGGCTCGCACATCGGACCGCCTGTATCTAACAGCTGAGTCAGGACGCCTTGTTCTGTCGAACAAAATTGGGCACGCCTACACGCGTGAAAAGGCATGGCTGAGAACCACACTGGCAAGGTTGAATATAGACATCCCCCACCCGAAAGTGCTTCATCGACCGAATGACCCACAGCCTCCACAGCGCTCGGGGCTGGACATAGATGTCATTTGGTTCGCGAGGTGTATTAGCTTTCTTCACTAAGCCACCTCATGTTGCTTGCGCCCACTGCGGTGATGCCTTGATCAGCTTATTCACTGCAAAGAGAACAAAGATGTCAACAATCATTTGAGCCTTGCCTCTGGCATGACCGCTCAGATCAGGGTGATGTACAGAAATCCATTATAATACCATAACAAAATACGACCATCATACGCAGTGGAGTATCAATAACGACGCGCTCTTAGGATAATATCTGTGTCACCAGCTCCATGATGAGCCCCAAACAGTTGAATAAATTGATCGTGAATACGCACAGCTAACAACACAATGGCGACGACGATGACCATTATAATCATCAAACATGCGGCCCTTCGCCCAGCTTTGCGTTGATAATCAGAAGCTGTCGTAAGTTCCTCTGCCGCGGCGGACGTGTCGACTGCGATTGAGGAAATATTCGACTCTATGTTATCTGCACGTATGGATGTTTGACATCCGACACCATTCCGAGAAGACGTGCATATAGGTCAGAAGAAATTCAAGAATGGAATCGGGAGCGACGTACCCAGCATGCCTCCCTGCTCGTTCACGAGCGTCCCAAGGTCACGGAAAATCTCTGACAGCTCATGGATACCCGTCTCTATCTCCCGGATCTCAGTCTCACGCTCCTGGATCAACGACTCTTGGTACGCAAGTTCGTGAGGTGACAATTGTGATTGAAGCGCCAGAGCCTGACGCTGTTGTGGTGAGGCGCTTGTCCAGTCGCCCTCTCTACGACAGCGATGATTGTACGGCCCATATGAGATTCATATTATTGTAAAATAGGAAATCGATGACTCACGGTACGGCATCCTCCTCTACGGCGTGTTTGACACCTTCCACAACCGTCCTCTGGCGTTCCGCACTGACTTGCTGTGCGCGCTGGAAGGCAACCAGGGACATCTGAAAGTCGTGCGACGTCTTGGTTATAGCCGTCTTCTTGCCTGGCTTATGACCACATGATCCAGAAAATTGTATATCACCAGGGACAGACGAAACGGAGTGAGAATGGAATGTTGGAAACCACGATAGTACGCCATACCAAGGTCGCTTGCAACGCCGCGAGCTTCTTCAGGTCGTCAGACCCTCGCTTGGCCATTGCGCGCGTTGTCTCCGTAAGGTCATGTCTATTTGATGTGTAGAATCGCACTGCCTTCAGTGAATCGAATGTCCATCGAGGACCAGGAAGAGATGGACAGAGCAGGGTCCGATGAGATGAAACAGAACGCACAGTCTCTTGCGAAGCGTCGCCGAGTCCCTCGGTGTACCCAGTTGGTCAACAAGGCTCAATATCGCCTGTACGTTGGCGTTGATCTTGAACACTTGGATGGAGAGAGACGACTGGACTCCCGCGAACGCTGCCTCTTCCTGTGAGCGTGGAGCGTCGCGGGTAGGCGAATGTGGACGCTGCGTTAAGCCTGTTTCGATGTCTTGGAAGCTCATGACGGTATCAAGTGCTCAGCAGGCGAAGTTATGGAGGTCCCGCGGGAGGTGGACGTTCGTTGTTGTTGCTGGGAACGGTGAGCAAGGCATTTCCACCGCTGTCCGCAGTGTCCACGTGGTCTCCCACCCACTTGCCAACTGCCTCCGGAGAGTTCCGGCGTCACGACTACGTCGAACTCTCTCAGCCTGAAGATTTGTGTATGCCCTCAGTGCTTCAGCCTACAAGCTCCAAGCTCCAAGGTTTGGCGATTTTTATATGGATTTTAATAACATGCTCTGGTGTCCTATATCTACGTCTTTATCTTCTGACTGCGGCAACAGATCTAGCTCATGAACTTACCTCGTGACAGCTGCTCTCTATTTAAATCCGTCGACGGCAAGCACGGACGAGGCGGATTGGGCGGGCCGTCTCTTCATCGAGGACGAGGATGATGACTGGTCACGCAAGAGTTTCTGACATTCTGCTGGCGGAATAAAAGTGCGGGGATCTGCATGCAAAATCGTGAGGTGATGCATATGCTGCTTGCGATCATCACGGCGCTGCAGAGCGTTTCGTGGCTTCCCGCCGTACATGCGCTGTCTACTCGTTTTCTGACTTGTCAGCTCCAGAAACCTGAGCGTGTTCACCCCTTGATCGGCTGTCCATCTGGGACACTATTTGTTTCAGGGAACGATACTCGGGCCCGATTCCAGGGAGTACAGGAAGCTGTAGCATCGCTGTAAGTGCTTAGCTCGATATTCTCAGGCTTTCTAGTTGACGCCTTAGCGCGGCGCTGGAATGACAGGCCAGAGGAGGGCGATGCTGTGATATTGATCGGGGCTGGAGAATATCACGAAACTGTCAATGTTACGCGCAAAGGCGCGCTCACACTCCTCGTGCGTCTACCTAAAGCTTTACATGTTACCACAGACCATTGTGACGTGGAGCTGAACACATATCTCAATCCCAATACAGGGACAACTTGATGCAAGCACCGCGTTCGGCCGGTCCACGAACGCAACGACGCGTAATTTGGTACATATTTGGGATAACAGGTATATCACCGCAGAGCTCACCGACGACGCACAAACTGCTGTACTTCTTGTTGCGCCGTCGTACAATGCGTCGCTCATCGGCGCAGGGCCGACTGGCGCTCCCGTCCAACCTCTTTTTGGCAACGTCGATTTCAAGGCATATAACATCAACTTTGAGAATCGTGCTGTGAGCGATTGCCGCTTTATTTACCCAAATTGAACTCAATGGCCGACTTCCACTCGTATATGGCGACAGGCCAAATATGCAATTTCTCAGGCGCTGGTCACTGACATCTCTTATGCCAACGCTTCATTCTACGGGTGTACCTTCTCGAGCTATCAAGACACGTGGTACACTGGGCGCAACGCAAGCACGTATGTTGTGGATAGCATTATCTTTGGACAGACGGATTGTGTGTATAATCATCCTTTCATATTAATTTAGGAATAGTATATGATACTGAGAGCCTCGTTTCTCGGTAGATCTCTTTGGTTTTGGAACTGCGTGAGTTTGTATATTGCCCCCTTGTTTGCGATCCCCTTATGCTGACATCATTCCACTGTCTGTGTATGTGCAGATGGTTTCAGAATGTTACATTGGCGAATCGTGCGTGTGGAGGCGGGATCGTCGCTTGGAAGGGGACAAACTTAACAGATGCACCCGGAAATCGGTACGGTGCCTACATTTCAGACTCTCGTATCATCAGGGCGAGTTCTATTTTGATGTTCCCGCGCAGCAGTTACTTATTCCGCATTGTGCTCCCCGCGTGCAGTCTCCAGATGCGAACGCAACGACAGTGACTAATGGCCAATGCTACCTTGGTATGGAATATATCCGTTTCTGTAGTCGAGAGCACCTCGGTAACCCCACTGTTGCCAACTCATAGGACGTCCGTGGAACGATCTTGCAACAACCGTCTACCTCCGGACATTCATGGATCAGAGCATCCGGCCTGCAGGATGGACGCCGTTCAGTAGTGCCCGGTAAGCCTTCCACATTGATATATTCAGCCCTCCGAACATGAATCACAGTCCGGTGATTGCGAACACCACTTATTACGCTGAGTACGAATCAACCGGTACGCCTTCCTTGCGATATTCATGTCAAAAACAATTCATCATCTTTCAAAACGGAATAGGACCTGGAGGCAATACGACCGCACGAATTTCCCTGGAACACATACTTTCTTCGGCTGAAGCTAATGATTTCACGATCAAAGAAGTATTTCTAGGCCAGCCCCGGTGGATTGATTTCGAATACCTATCATGAAGAGTCTCTGGTGCTATCTTCATAATGCATACGTACGTCAACATTTCATGATTAAACGTCTCACTACTCAAGGATACCGTGCGAAAAAAGATGTATATTGAGCGCAGAGCATAAACGTCTATCAATCATGCCATTTTTGGCCGTCATCTCATCAGGGCCCTCAAAGCTTTCTACCGTGCAGCCTCGTCAGCTTATAGCGGACGAATTTCTGCGTCATAGTATGTGCATGAATACCACAAGTTCGTCCAGATACACGGCGTGATTTTCAATCTATGCCCCTATGTCGCCGTTCATCTCCATTATGATCAGGCTGAATAACCTCCTCCGGGCAGATCGGTGAGTACAACAGCGGGAGCAGATGAGCTCTGAAGGTTGCTGTCAGATCCCTCGCAAATCCATGTGGCCATTGGGTGAAGCCCGATCTATTGAGCCGCATGGCGTTCTGGACATCAATGGATACTGTACCACTTACCACGTCCAGGAGGACAGTACACACCAACCTTCCGAGGACAGGCCAGTTTTGCCTAACAGTCCTCATTCTATCAGTAGATGATGGTATGGCATGCATCGAAACCCTTGATAAGGGAGAATCCTGGCGACAGGCAACGTCGAATCCCTATCAGATGACCAGGCCCACAAGGCCTAAAATAGATTCTCAATGGCTATTCTGCGTTCGATGTCACTATACTCGCGCAAGTCCTCATGTCGAAGATCCTACTAGCCCGGTCCGTATGCAATGTCGCGTCGGCGTAGTAACAGTCCTGGCTAAATAGGATAGAGCCTCTTGATCTTGATCAATCCCATCGCATGCTCGGACTCAAAATCGCAATCGAAGGCTTTCTAAAACCTTCGTTCTCAGCCCTTCTCATGAAATGTGTGTGCATCGTTTGCCCAACTTGGAAGTGACACTGACCTCATGTAGGCCTGAAGAGGTTCTTCTGTGGGCGAATCTGCACGATGTCACCGCGGTGTCGGAGGATGCTTGTCCAACATCACTTTAAAAGAGCCTCGTCCTCCCGTGCAACTACCGACAAACACCCTCCTCGTCTGACACACGATGTCACACAGGGATCAACACACAACTCTTGTCCTTGCTACAGTGGCCGCTCTGCTCTTGGCCTTGCTCTCCATCTTAGCTCGCAGAGTGCGCCGTCCCCCTCTTCCCCCTGGTCCCAAGTCTTCTTTTTTTGGCTTCGGGCGATCTTTGATGCCAATTACACCCCCTTGGCGCACTTACGCCGAATGGCGGAATACTTATGGTAGACATGTCTCCCCGCCAGCGCACGCTGTTGCGGCTCACATCTCGCTTCGATTTGTTCTGCAGGGGATCTTGTGTACCAATACACTCCCGGGGAGCCTCTGCTGATAATCAACTCGGCGAAAGTTGCCGACGACTTGCTGGAGAAGCGTGGGGCAATCTATTCCTCAAGACCAATGCGAACGATGATTGCGAAGTTGTGAGTTGCTTCTGTGTCTTCCTCGAGCCATGCCCTCAATAATATGTCAAGAATGGGCTGGGAATGGTCGTTTGCGGCAATGAAATACGGAAGTGACTGGAGAAAGCATCGAGCACTGTTCCAGAAATATTTTCATTCGCGTGCAGCGCCTCGTTATGAACCGATCCAAATCATGGAAGCGCACACACTCCTCCGTAATTTAAGCCACAACCCTAATAATTTCGAGCATTACTTGCAAAGGTATATAGCTCACTCAACACCTTTCCTGTGATTTCTTTCGACAACTTACTGTCAATTCCATTGTAGGAGTGCATCGGCGCTCGCGATGAAGATATCATATGGGCATGACATCACAGAAGAGGATGATCTTTATGTCTCTTTGGCAAAGAAAGGTATGTCCAGCTTGATCAAAGTTGGCGTACACGGGACATACCTCGTAGACTACCTGCCATTTTGTGAGTCCAATCTAATCATGGTCAAATTATACGTTCTGATCGTTGCGATGCTTGTAGTGAGGCATATTCCTAGCTGGTTCCCAGGTGCCGGATTCAAGAGACAAGCCTATGAATGGCGAGCGGATTTGAAAGCAATGCGCGAACAACCATTCGAAATGGTCAAACGGAGAATGGTACCGCTTTGACCGCACTACGCATTTTTGAGATAACTGATAGCGTTCTTCTAGGAAACAGGGACTGCAATTCCATGTGTCACTACACTAGAGCTTGAGAAGTCTCCAGTGAAGGAAATTGATGTTTCGATGATCCAATGCATCGCCGCTATTTTTTACGCAGGTAGGCCTGCATATAACTCTTTCTGAACACTCTCTAACTCTTAGACTGACCTAGCCGGGGCTGATACAGTAAGTGTTCTCTCGACGCAAACTGGATTGAACTGGAGCTTGATACATTTCAGATGGCAGCCGGAGTGTTGTCGTTCTTCCTCGCCATGATGACCCATCCTGACATTCAGCGCAAGGCTCAGGCAGAAATTGACGCTGTCATCGGCACTGACCGCCTTCCTACGTTCAAAGATAGGAGCAACCTTCCATTCGTGAGCTGTCTGCTCTGGGAATGTCTTCGTTGGAGTCCAATTGCTCCGATGGCTGTCCCTCATGCCCCAATTCAGGATGATGTATATGAGGGATATTGGATTCCTAAAGGTACCACGATTCTCCCGAATGTCTGGTCAGTCTTCATTTATCCAGGATCTTTGCATTGTTTCCATCTGAAAATCACGTCGGGTCGCTTCGAAGGGGTATGCTTCACGACGAGGAGAAGTATCCGGATGCATTCAAATTCATGCCTGAACGTTTCGCAGATCCGCAGAAGAATGCTAAATCAAGAATAAACGAACCTCCTCATATTGCCTTCGGATTTGGGCGTCGGTGCGTAGTAGCCCGTGCCGTTTGGTCAGCGCAGAGTGACTGATGTGCGATGCGTAGTGTCTGTCCTGGTCGCTGGGTGGCCTTGGACCACCTCTGGATCACGATGGCATCCATTCTTGCCGTTTTCACCATTGCGAAGCCTAAGGACCCAGAAGGGAACATTGTTGAGCAGGATATCGACGTCACGATTGGTTCTGTCAGGTGCGCTCTGGGATGGTTTACCTGAGATTGAATTGAATCTAATTCAGGTGCCTGCTTCAGTCGTCCGAAACCGTTCAAATGCTCACTCGTCCCTCGCTCAGAGGCAGCCCGCGCACTTATCAGACAAACGGAAGAGCAACAAAGTTTCAATTGAAGTGCCATGTATCCTCATCGACGAACCACGATCTTCTCGCAGGTTTCCTCATTCTCTCCTTGTATCGCAAAGCCTCCAACCATGTAACCCTTTGACAAGTATCAATGGCTTAGGAATCATTTGCTAGCAACTGTAATAGCCATAAGAGTCGTACCATCTTGTACCACGTACCACCATTTGGGGCCCGTTGACGCGTTGACAGTTTGGCAAGAGCTGCTTCAAGCAAGGTTAGCCGATATGAATGCACCCCCCTAGTAAGGTTGCTAAGATATCTCATGAGTAAAATGCTTGTAAACGGCACGAAACGGTATGCGCGCACTATGGACACACAGCAAGCGATCCCGACAGAGGAACACGAATCATATTCGAGGCACTTCTGTCCTTCTGATTGAGTATTCAGACGGTAGCACGTCTGTGGGAGGCCGAGGGCGGTCCTTGTTTTTGCTGACATTGTCATTGGTCGACCTATCTTGTTGACGAAAGATACCGAGGGGGCTTTTAATTTTGACGGCGAGTGATTTCGACGACACATGCAGTACAGGCTGGATTCATTTCACGAGTGATCTTGTAAAACAATGGGTATGTCGATTCATACGATGGCCGCTGTGGTTCCGGCGATAATTTTGGCAATGACTTGTCTTTGTCATCTTCATTGAACGTTGAACGATGTTTGGTGAAGTGTGGTGGGGTTTGGTGCCATTGCGGCCGAGGCTGCAAGTCACATGATTGCCGGGTCGATGACCAGCATCATCAACTTCCGTCTCAATGATTCTATGGGTAATCTCAGCAGACTATGACTTGATGGCGGCCTCAACATCGATGTTGATTAACCCATATGAGACCTCAGCGCTTCAGCATCAATGTCGATTGACACATGTCCACACAGAATTTCGAGGGTATGTCTGATGTGTTTCCTTGCATGTCTTATACTATCGCCAATCTTTTGCTATCACTAGAACACTACGAAGAACGAGAGACACTTTAAGGATTCACCGCACATCTGACAGGAATCATGCCATTCTTACGCGTTGCAAATTTTGAACGCCATAGTTTTCACGATTTGGACTTGAACTGGCATTTGATAATGACAGCACAGGAACACGGTGAATGCGGAGATATACTGTGTTTGCGCCCGAAACCATTCACAGCAGGTCAGGAGCTCGAGCCGACGGGTTAGCTGTGGGCGGCACAACGCAGTCTCACGAGACAGATTCTGGCCCATAGAACCCTATAGCTGCCGTTATCTTCCCTTTTGCCTTATGTTGATCATGCCGAGGACTCCGCCTTCCGAAAAAGGGCCTCTCAGGCGTGGAGGTAGTCTCCAGAGAAGGTAGTCGCCAGCATTCAGAAGGAGGTTGCTAATTTCTGACAATAGGCATATGTCCGTTCGTGCTGATGCCTGTTTGTCTTCAGGTTCCTTACACTCCTTACGGACAGTCGAGACTACCATGACTGTGTACCAACGGACAAGTATGAGAAATCAATCCATGACGTGGTTTTCTAAATTGAGGACACTCACAAGTCGCCTCGTGGCGTGTGCATCTAAATGTATGTAAATCAGCAAGTATGACAGCATCCAAACCGGACTTCTCAGACTCTGTGTGTTATACAATCCCGCCATCATGGACATGCGCTCAACTGACCTCTGCAGCTTCCTCGAAGCCGGACTTTTGTCGTTTTCTCACCAAAGTCGTGATCATTAGTTGCCTATCCTGGCCATGGCGGTGTTCTCATACCTCCCTGGAGAAAGTCATAGGATGGAGAATCTTTGTGAACCCCGTGCACGATCGGGGAATACAAGTCGAGGAGGCTTATAAAAGCTCCACTATGTGGACTCTCTTCTTCCAGTATTTCCCTATCACCATCTGCAGAAAGCATGTTAAATGGGGACTTGGAACCTGGACTCGCCGTTGTTGCGACATCAGTTGCTCTATTTCTGGCCTTTCTTGGCATTTTGACTCGCCGGTCTAGCAGGCCCCCTACTCCGCCTGGTCCCAAATCTTCATGGTTCGGCCTAGGTCGGCCTGATATTCCTAGAATATCTCCATGGCGTACTTACATGGAATGGGGGAATATTTACGGTCAGGAGTCACGCTCATCTCAAAACACATTCACTTGACATCGATCCTTCTTCAATTTCAGGCGATATGATATTCTATCGCGCTTATGGAGGTCCCATTCTCATTATCAACTCGGCCAAAATTGCAGACGATCTTCTCGATAAGCGCGGCGCTATATATTCTTCAAGGCCAGTTCGAACCATGACGAGAGAATTGTAAACCCCCTGTCCCTTCCGTGGTTCATTATCTGACTTGATTTTAGGATGGGTTGGAGGTGGTCCCTCGCTGGGATGAGATATGGTAATACTTGGAGGCGATACCGAGGCCTCTTCCAAAAGCATTTCCACTCCCGCGCTACGCCTCATTATGAGCCGATTGAAGTGAAGGGAGTTCAGACCCTTCTCCGCAACTTGCATCGTGCGCCGAATGAATTTGAGCACCACCTGCGCCGGTGAAGTACTATCACCTTAATCATTATATCACCAAGCTCATGAATTCGATTTTTTTTGTAGGAATGCCGCAGCCCTCGTCATGAAAATTTCATACGGTCACGATGTCGCAGAAGATGGCGATGCGTATGTTACTTTGGCCGAGAAAGCCATGTGGTCCTTAACCCACGCTGGCATATACGGGACTTACTTGGTTGACTATCTACCGATTCGTGCGTCTGACATTTGACTTGCCTGTGTTACCTTCATCCTGAACTTTGTGACATAGTAAAACATGTCCCCACCTGGCTCCCAGGTGCTGGATTCAAAAGGAAAGCTTTTGAATGGCGTAAATTGTCACTAGCGATGCTTGAACGGCCCTTTGAGATGGTCAAACAAAGGATGGCAAGCACTTCGGTTTTGGCAGATTGTATAGCTCTCATAGAGATCATGCTTACAGGAGTCCGGGACCGCGGTCCCATGTGTTGCAGTGACAGAGCTCGAGCGATCCTCCAATTCGGTGATAAAAACAGACGTCAAAATGATTCAAGGCATAGCCGCGATCTCCTATGCAGGTACGAGTACAGTGACATGCCTATACTGGCTCATCCGAGGAACCCGCTGACCTGCGTACATCCTCAGCCGGCGCTGACACCGTAAGCTCTGATGTTGTAATCATGCTGAGCTACATTATATCTGATGGTCGACTCAGACGGTCGCCGCTATCCTGACGTTCCTCCTTGCTATGACGCTCAACCCGGACATCCAATACACGGCTCAGGCAGAAATAGACCGTGTTGTCGGTACTGATCGCCTTCCAACTTTCGACGATCGAGACCAACTGCCATTTGTGACTCGTATCATGTGGGAAGCCCTGCGTTGGAACCCGGTCACTCCTCTATCTGTGCCTCATGCGACAGTGCAGGATGACATCTACCAGGGTTACCTGATTCCGAAGGGGACTACCATCCAGCCCAATGTTTGGTGAGCCTTATCTTGACCTGTTTCCGTCGAATTTTGTCGGCAGTGGTGGCTAATTCAGTAATTGCGGTTTTCTCAGGGCCATGTTCCACGACGAAAGCAAGTATCCAGATAGTTTTCGATTCGAACCAAATCGGTACGAAGACTTGAAAAAGAATGCTGAACTCGGTATCAATGAGCTGCCCATGATTGGCTTTGGCTTTGGACGTCGGTATGTTTATCACCTCATCATTGCATTATGACAGCAGGAGACTGACAGGCTCTTGGTAGCGTCTGTCCTGGCCGTTGGCTTGCCTTGGATAATGTATGGATCACAATCGCGTCCATCTTGGCTGTCTACAACGTTGTCAAAGTCAAGGATGACAACGGAAGGGAGATTGAGCCAGCAATGGAGTTTACGACTGAATCAGTGAGGCAAGTGGCCCCAGGCGACCTCTTGAGATCTTCGCTTACTTTCATGCACATCGCAGTCGACCGGAGCCATTCAAATGCTCGTTCGCTGCGCGTTCGGACGCAGCTCTCGCTCTCATCAAGCAAACAATCGACGATTAGAAATATCTTGAAGGGCTGTTACACTTCGAAACTTTGTCCCTAGGCTTGAGTCTGTACTAACTTGCTGTCAGCTTTGAGAACTTGAAACGTACCACTGTATACTATGCAAATTTGCATTGTTGCTTTCGAGCTTAGGAAAACGAAGATCCTTGATATTCTGGGACACGCTATACCAGACGATGACGACATTGAAAATCATAACTTAGTAAGACGAAGCTTCCCGCCCTCGACGAGGCCAACCTGAGTGTTCATATTTTCCGCGCACGGAATGGTCTTCACCGCCCTGCTTTTCCGTTTGGCCTTGCTGTAGGCAGCGTTAGACGCGTCCACGCAACCATGTTGGACACCATCTGTACTGTTTTGTTTGACATTTTTTTCTAGAGACGAAACCGATGGCAAGCACTGTAGACGGAGCTTAGGCCGACGATCATCAATACCAGGAGCCAAGGTCGATATCCCAGAATCTATCAGAGTCAAACTAGAAACCTGGAATCTCAGGTGGTTGATCATCCCTCCGTTGCTGGACCTCCTCAATTTTCGATAGGTACAATTTCTCCGACTTCTCCCCTCGGTTCTATTTCTGTACTTTTTGCGTATGATCAGAGCATATTAATGAGCCTTTGAGGCGCGGAGACTGCCGCCAGCTTGCATGGAGGAAGAAGGAATAGATGCACTCCGGGTGACATAGACTGGCTTACATGGAAGTCTCCTTTATAGTCTGCGAAGACAGACGTGGGTTACTGTAGGCCTTGTATGTTCAAGTTTTCATAAGCGAGTTGTAGGCTGACTGAGACATTACACAGGATGACAGCCCAGTAGAAGACGCGGGAGCGATTCTGTCTCAAATCGTCTAGCTATCTATCAGCAAAAATGTTCACATGCTGAAGAGCTGAGACCTTCGATGGCAGCAGTGCCAGCATCGCGAATAAGACGTTGACAACAAATCTTCTCGATTTTCAAGCAATTACTAACTCCTTCTCTTGGATGCGGTGTACGCTCATCGCCTGCTCAAAGCTTTCTCAGCATGGCCACCTTGTGATGCTTCCACAAAGAACATCCTTGCAAACCTCCCATGCAATACCAGGACATGAAGGAACCTATAAAGACCCTTCTGGCCGAAGGATTCATCCTTTCAGCAGCTCCTTATTGCCTGTGCTCAAGTGCACCATGCCAAACTCGGCCCTAGAACTTGGACTCCTCACTGCTGCAACCGTAGCTGCTCTGTTTCTGGCCGTTCTCGGTCTTGTGGGTCGAAAGTGGCGAAGGCTCGGTAGGCCTCCTACACCTCCCGGCCCTAAACCGTCATGGTTTGGTTTGGGCTCGCCTGATATCCCTGAGCTATCCCCTTGGCATAGGTTCACGCAATGGGGAAAAATATATGGTAGACTTCATTCTTGTCTAGATACTTTTGCCTGACGTTTCGTCCCTCTCTCAATATCAGGCGACTTGATCTTCTATCGCGCTTATGGGGATCCGGTCCTCGTCATCAACTCAGCCAAGATTGCGGATGATCTCCTTGACAAACGTAGCGCTATATATTCTTCAAGGCCTATCCAAGCGATGACAATGGATCTGTAAGTTTCAAAATAGTTCAAAGCCACTATTTCTAAACTCTGTCAAGGATGGGCTGGGATTGGTCATTTGTTGGAATGAAATACGGAGATACTTGGAGAAGATATCGTGGTCTTTTTCAGAAACATTTCCATTCACGCGTCACACAAAAGTACGAGCCGATTTCAGCCAAGGGAGTACAGACTCTGCTTCGCCACCTGAATCATACACCAAATGATTTCGAACAGCATCTTCGCAGGTGCAGTGTCCGCAAATAGATTTGATTGCCTTTTAGCTAATCACCATTTCATCTTGTAGAAATGCGGCAGCGCTCGTGATGAAGATCTCATATGGTCACGACATCGCCGAGAATGGCGATATCTATGTCACTTTGTCTGAGAACGCATCACTCACTTTGAATCACGCGAGTATATACGGGACTTACGTGGTCGACTATCTGCCAATTCGTAAGTGAAGGCTGCCTGAGATCTCGTGCTAAGTTCATTGGGCCTGCTCATACAGTGAAGTATGTTCCAACCTGGTTCCCTGGTGCCGGATTTAAGAGAAAGGCTTATGAGTGGCGCAAGTTGTCCCAAGCGATGCTCGAACGGCCTTTTGATATGGTCAAAGAAAGAGCGGTAAGAGCGATTGATTTTTTGCAGAGGGAGTAGCAATCTCAGACGTTACCATGTTACAGAAGTCTGGGACCGCCGTGCCATGTGTTACTACGACGGAGCTTGAGAAGTCTTACAATTCAGGCAATGAGGCCGACGCCAAAATGATTCAAGGTGTAGCTGCCGTATCTTATTTAGGTGAAGTGACGCTCTTGGGTCACTTCTGTATTAAACTGCGCTAACCGACCTTTGTTTACATTCCAGCGGGTGCCGACACAGTAGGCCCCTTGCAATTATAGCATAGTTGTATTATCTAATAGTCAGTCAGACAGTAGCCGCGACTTTAACTTTCCTCCTGGCTGTGACGCTGGACCCGGACATCCAACGCAAGGCTCAGGCAGAGATAGACCAAGTTGTCGGCACTGATCGCCTACCGACGATCAATGATCGAGACAAGCTCCCGTTTGTGAGCTGCATCGTGTGGGAAGCCCTACGCTGGAACCCAGTCACACCCTTGTCTGTCTCTCATGCTACCATACAAGACGATATCTATGAAGGATACTGGATTCCGAAGGGTACCACAATCCAACCGAATGTCTGGTAAACTTCACGTTGACGCGACTGAGCGTGATTCGCCAACTGATCGAGTCCTGGACTGTCTACTAGGGCCATGCTCCATGACGAACGGAAGTATCCGGACAGTCTCAAGTTCAAGCCAGAGCGATTCGAAGATATGAAGAAGAATGCTGAGCTGGGGATCAATGATCTGCCTCTCATTGGCTTTGGCTTTGGACGTCGGTATGTGTTCCCTGCCACAATGAAGGATCGAGACTGATGCTCTTCATAGCGTCTGCCCTGGACGCTGGCTCGCGTTGAACAATTTATGGCTTACGATCGCGTCCATTTTGACCGTTTACGATGTTGTCAAAGCCAAGGATCAGCACGGCAACGTGATAGAGCCAGCCATGGAATTCACAACTGCCACTGTGAGGTACGTAAAGATAGACATTCTTTGAACAAGATCGTTGCTGAGCATCCTCACTCCCACCTCTTTAGTCGGCCGAAGCCATTCAAATGCATGTTTATTCCGCGCTCGGAAGAAGCTCTTGCTCTCATCAAGCAAACAGAGGTTGAGCACACTTTTTCTTGAGGTCTTTTGCCTTTGGAAGACTGGTCTACGCTGATTTGAGACGATGTGCCATTTATGCAAGATTCAAATAACGACGTTGGCAGTTGCTTGCAAATATATGCGAATCTACCTCATACAGCCTGTGGACGAGTGATGAGTTGTGGACTCGAGCACTTTCATGGAATCGTTTGGCAGCAACTTCGACGACATTCTCGGGCCTCAAACTGAGAATGCAAGAGCGAGATGAAGTTCGCGTAGAGTGCTATAGAATATTAATGTTAGTCGACAGTCAGTCAACGCGCTGTAGACGTGCACACAGCGTCGCAGACAGATCCGTGATTGCGTTCTTTGACCTAGAGTGAGGACAAAAATGAGGAAGCGAGTGAGGCAAAATCTGGTGAACGGGGTCGTAGCCCCTAATCCATCAGACACGTTTCAAAGGTGAGGTATCGAAAGCAGAGACGAGTTCGGTATGAACCGAACGCACATGTAAAGTAAAGTAAAGGCTGTAAACCTGCAATGACGTGAAGTCGACTACGAGAACCAACCCTTGTTTTGTGATCCTCTTCATCGCTCATCTCCCTGTTGCTTTTTCTTCATGTGGCCGCTTCATAAAAATCGGCCACTGGATGACGTTCAGATCAAGGTTCATGAAGCAGATAAGACTTCCGGCGTCAAGTGTACAGCGGGTGCGATGACATACACGGACGCGACGGGAGCAGCCTGGCGATGTGGTAGACGGGATATGATGGTCGTTGCTAAGTCTGCAGTCGGCGGTGTGTTCTCTATTGATTTAAACCCGTGATGCGGAGATGATGCTGAAGGATTTACGGGAGCTGGAAGATACGGCGAGGAAAGAGCCGATTGCAAGATTTTCAAGGCTCTATTAGACAGAAGCGACAATGTGCGTGCTTGGCCGGGCCAATAGGGCCGGCCGGACTCCTCACTGCGCCACCATCCCGCTTTTAATGAGCGCGTCCACCATGCTCTTCTTGAACTATGGCTGTATCTTTACAACATATGCTACGTTCAAACTCAAACAATCGTGGCTTCTCTAACACTGCACCAGTCCACATCAACGCTCGGGAATCTAGGCTATTCGAGATCAAATCAGACTTTGAGCTGTGTTACAGGTGAGCCGCAAGTCCCGAACTGGCTCGCCACTCGAAGCAAGATATATATTGTGCATGTCTCCACCGATTCATATTCAACCTATCAGATTTGGCACGACTGACGACTTGAAGCTGCAAACTAAACAGTTTCCCCTTCCTCTGGCAGTCATGAGAGTTACTTGCCAGTGTCCCTGATGTTTGAGACAGCAACGTTCAGCGTTCATCAACGTTCAACGTTCATCAACGTCCTCCGTAACAAGTCTTAGACATGGCAGCATCTAGAAAGGTGAATGTTTTTCAAGTGATAGGATGCGCATGGCTTTTGGTGCAGAATGCTTCGTCCATGCATCCGTTGGGCGTCGTAGGGTCTAGTCACACATCGTAAGGATAAGCTCAGATGACCTTGATGATGCCACTACTTACTTTCTGTCATTCTCAGTCACACCACAACAAATCATCACCTATCCTAGATTGACGGGCGGCTTTTAGTAGACTCCGCGCAAAACGGAGAAGTCTGAATGTAGTATAAATGCTCTGCACAAGCGCTATGTTCTATGACTCCTCGCTATCATTGACTGGTTGCGATATGTCGCAAAGAGACTTGGACTATGTACTCGCCGCCGCGACAGTAGTTGCTTTGTTTTTGGCCTTTCTTGGAATCTCAGCTCGCAGGCCTTCTACGCCGCCTGGTCCTAAATCTTCATGGTTTGGATTGGGTCGTCCCAATATCCCCAGGATAACTGACTGGCGCACTTACGGCGAATGGGGGGATGTTTATGGTAAGCGTTACTGTCCTATGATTTGAATGTTGTTGCTTGATATGATACACGCCTTCGAATCCAGGCGACATGATCTTCTATCGCATTTATGGCAACCCTGTTCTCATCATCAACTCGGCAAAGATTGCAGATGATCTTCTCGACAAGTGCGGTGCCATCTATTCTTCCAGACCGGCACGAACAATGACAAGGGATCTGTGAGTTCACTTTTGCATTATTTGAGGCTGCATTTTTCCAATATATATCTAGGATGGGTTGGAGTTGGTCTTTGGTTGGAATGGAATATGGACCTACTTGGCGAAAATACCGGGGTCTTTTTGAAAAACATTTCCGCTCACGGGTGGCACCCGTTTATGAACCGATCGAAGTGAAGGGAGTTCGGACTCTTCTTCGAAATTTCAATCGCTCACCGGAGGATTTTGAGAAACACTTGCACAGGTACGGTTTCAGTTGATCGACAAGTGATCTTTATTCATTGAATAATCAAGATTCTTTGTTGTAGGAGTGCCGCAGCGCTTGTCATGAATATCTCATACGGTCACGATGTTACAGAAGATGATGATGTCTATGTCACCTTGGTTGAGAAAGGTATGAGAACATTGGGCTACGCGGGCGTATACGGGACGTACGTAGTCGACTATCTACCATTTTGTGAGTCTTCTCCCTATCTTTCCTTCGAAAACATATATGTCATAATCGGAAAACGCAGTGAAACATATCCCCACTTGGTTCCCGGGGGCAGAATTCAAAAGGAAAGCTTATGAATGGCGCAAGTTGTCGCAAGCGATGCTTGAGGAGCCTTTCGAAATGGTCAAACAGAAAATAGTAAATTTACCATGTGTTCCCTATCTATATGAGAGTATATTCATGTCCGATACCACACACAGGAATCCGGCGCTGCAACGCCGTGCATTGTCACAAGAGAGCTTGAAAACTCCGTTCACTCAGGGACGGAAACGGATGTCAGAATGATTCAAAGTGTGGCCGCTGTCTCGTATTCAGGTGCAGTTCCTTTCTACTAGTCTGCTCTCGAAGCGCCCTTTGATCAATCTCCGTGTATACTACCTAGCTGGTGCCGATACGGTAAATTTTCTCGTTAGACTGAGCTACGCTATGTCTGATCACTCTCTAGACAATGGCTGCTACTATGACTTTCCTCCTGGCCATGGTGCTTCATCCAAATATCCAGCGGAAGGCTCAGGGAGAGATAGACCGTGTTGTTGGCACTGACCGCCTCCCTTCGCTGGATGATCGAGACAAAATGCCCTTTATAGCGCATGTCATATGGGAGAGCCTACGATGGAATCCAGTTGCTCCCTTGGCTCTATCACATGCCACGGTGCAGGATGATATCTACGAGGGTTACTGGATTCCAAAGGGAACAACGATCCAGCCAAATGTTTGGTGAATTTAACATTGTCCCACTCGTGACGGACTACAGCAGCAGCTAATTGAACAACTGGGCTCACCTCGGGGTTCAGGGGTATGCTTCATGACGAACGCAGGTATCCTGACAGTTCAAAATTCAAGCCAGAACGGTTTGAAGACCCGAAAAGGAACACGGACCTTGGAATCAACGAACTACCCCTTATTGCTTTTGGCTTCGGACGTCGGTATGTATTCGGCCCTTGCTACTCTGCGCGAGAGTATAGCTGATTAAGAAAACTCCGCGCAGTATCTGCCCTGGCCGCTGGGTCGCCTTGGACAATCTGTGGATCACAATCGCGTCGATTTTGGCAGTGTACAATATTGCCAAAGCCAAGGATCAGCATGGGAACGTGATAGAGCCAATCGCGGAGTTTACGACTAGTTTAGTGAGGTGCGTGAGCGCATGTCCTTCAGCCAAAACCTCCACTTTCAATTGACGTCTGTACGGACACCGGTGCAGTCGGCCGAAGCCGTTCAAATGCGTGTTTATTCCGCGCTCTGAGCGAGCGCTTGCTCTCATAGAGCAAACAGAGGATGAGCACCAGGACTAGGCTGCGAAACTTCGCTCGTACGCTTGGTTACGCGTATCCGTATAATCACATTCTTGTCCGTCGCCGTCTTTGTTATATATACTAACAAGCTGGCTGATTTGAGTCGATGATGTCGTTTTGAGTTCAGTTGCCTTTGATGTGCTGTCGTTTGAATGGTCTCCCCGACTTTGCTGCTGTTCCGTCTACTCTCACCTTTGCTGAGGATCTTTAGCGACAATCTTCGCACAATTGCGAAGGCAACGATGAAGAGTGCTCATCATGATCGAGAAGGGCGGTGGGAAAACTCGAGAAATGTAGTCGCATGCTAGAAGGTGACAGTATGATATGAAATCCTGGTAAACTTTGCAGCAATTCCTAGTTTTTTGTCGACAAGCTTTCTTGAGTCGGCGTGAGCACGGGCCACGGGCTCATCAAAAGTCTGGGGTAGCCTCGGCATTGGCCGAGCCCTCTGCTCTTCAGCCCCTGGGTTTTGTGTTGCGCATCCAACCCACTCCTCGCTCGCGCATCGTCCAAGTCTATTCCACGGCTAATGGGAGATGAACACAGTCTGGTTTCCAATCCCCGTATCGCTTTTCCTCCGCAGAGTCGTCAACGTCATCTCGACGCTCGGCATCACACATCACTACCTGCACACCCGACCGGAGGTTGACCAGCTCGAGGGTCCCGACGCGCGCAATGGTGGTAACAGTAATATAGGAGACCGAAGAGTGTCATCGTGCTGGCGACCATTGGACGGGATCAGGTCGTTCGAGTGGCCTGGGTGGTTTAATGAGGAGGCGAAATTGACAGGATTGGGATCGAGGGGAACGCGTACGGTGATGTCAGGGGACTTGTGGAGGGACAGGATCAGCGAACGAGTTGTTCAAAGTGCGTCTTCCCAGCCGCTGGTCAAGCACGATGACTTACATGTCGTTTTAGCGAGCAGTATCTCTATTTCGTGGCCCCGCTGGCGCTGGCCTACCGCAGCCCGTCTCACCACCCTCTTCAGTGAGCAGACGGAACAAAACTCACGAGACTCAGAGAGCTCCAGCAAGATCGAATATCAGTCGCATCCCAGAAAGACTCCGTCGCCGAAACCCCGCCGCCGCCCACCCCCGCGCGACAATTCCGTAGACCCGGAGACGTTGGACACTATTCACCGCCTGATCGTCAGTCCTGTCCTGTATGACCCTGTCCGCACCCCGCGCTATCCGATCGTATTGTGTCACGGTGCGCAGCCCCTCTTTCCTTCTATAGCGTGTCTCAGAGTAGGTGGTGACCATCACAAAATGTCAATGTAGGTCTGTACGGTTTCGACGTGCGCGGACCGTCGGCGTTTCCTGGTCTGCGAATGAACTATTGGTCGAGTATCTTGCATATCCTCCGCAAGATCATTGGCGCTGAGGTGATTGTGACTGCGGTCCCAGGGTGAGCATGTTCAATCTCAACGGTGGCTGCACTGGCGACTCAGGAGTCTTTGTTCATAGAACGGGTTCTATCGCGTCGCGTTCCGAGAATTTGGATCGTTTTCTTCAGCAGAAGGCTCCAGGACGCGGGCTAAATTTTATGGCCCACTCTATGGGAGGTCTCGATTGTCGGCATCTGATATCTCATATCAAACCAACAGAATACACGCCGCTCTCTCTGACAACTATCGCAACACCCCATCGCGGGAGCGTGTTCATGGACTGGTGCACGGTTTGTGACGCGCTCTGTGTGCCCTGTTTGCGTTACTGACCTACCTTTCTTTAAAGGAGTATCTAGGGCTGGGCAGGACGCAAGCAGAGAAGGAGCTAGTCTCGTTAGCGACCAAGTCTGCAGCCGCTTCGCTCGCAAGACGCGCCTCTGACCCCTCAATGGTCTCTGCGCCCGGCGTCTCCGACCCCAAATCCAAGCAGTCCTCTTCATCGCTCTCAATGTCCTCTCTTTCATCTCTACCCTCCTCGTTCACCACGCTCCTCCTATCAATGTTCGACTCGCCCGCGTACGCGAACCTCACGACGACATATTTGAACACGATCTTCAACCCGTCCACGCCGGACGACCCGCGCGTCAAGTATTTTAGCATCGCGGGTCGGCAAGACAACATGAATGTCTGGCACCCGCTTTGGCTACCGAAAGTCATCCTGGATGGCGCAGAGGAGAAAGATCGGACACGTCTGCAACGTGAGGCGCGCGCGTCTGGCGTGCTTGGCGACGACGCATCTCCGGCACTGTGGGATCAGGAAGATCTGTGGGGCCATGACGGGTTGGTATCGGTGCAGAGCGCGCGGTGGGGCGAATTTTTGGGCACGATGGAGGGGTGCGATCATTGGCAATTGCGGGGGGCGAGCGGGATTGAGCTTGGGATGGGGATGGGAGCTGGGGCGCCGTCAACATCGCCATCGTCGGGGCATGGTGGTGAGAGCTGGGGGCTCGGGGACTGGGGCCGGTTCGTAAGGGCGTGGACTCGGGCGAACAAAACACAGAAGGCGAAGGAGGAGCGAAAGGAAGGTACGGGCGGTCTGCTGCGGGAGAGTGGGTGGGAGAAGCGGGAGCAACAGAAAGAAAAGCGCGAGGCGGAAGAGGATCGGATTTTGAAGTCTTCGACGGATAGGTTGTCGGTCGTGTTCGATTGGCTGGCGAATCAGGTCCCGACGGATTCGATCCCTTCGCTTGGTCTCAGGAGCAACGGCGGCGGCGGCAGCAGCAGTGCGGCGGTGCAGGAGAAGGATGGGGGGAAGGATGTGAAGAAGAAGAGCGAGAGGAGGAGCGATTTGGAGTCGGATGCAGATTTAGAGAGGTTTTATGTTGCGTTGACGAGGAAGTTGTATGACGAGGGGTTGTGAGCTATGGGCCTCACAGCGTACTACGCGCGCGTTTCTCGGTCGCTCAGAGCGGCTTGTGTCACAAACACTATCCCGCGTCGCAGAGCCCAGATACACTCTTGTCCGATCGCTGTCTGGAGCTGCACAGGTGGGCGTTTTTTTGCCACGACGGACTAGATTTCTTGACGTTGTAAACTACAATGGGATATATAGTGTTCGTGGTCGATAGTTATATTCAACAGTGTGCGTTATTTGAAACTGAGCAGTCAGCCCAGCCCGTCGAAAACCAAATCAAGCTGACTGAGTTGTGGAAGCGCGTGGGCGATACCACCGTTTTTCCCGACGCCCTTCGTGCAGGATACACCCCACGGCACCTGTCCCGATATTCCCGAGTTGCTCGATGTCGGGGTTGCTGCCCGCCTGGAACTTTTCCACGTAAACTGCATTCAAACACCTAAAAAGACTAAATTGCAACATAATGATGACATTGGGCAGAGCATCCGTCCTTGCCTGGACTTTCTCTACAGGATCTTGATGAAAGCCCTCGCATATTCGGGGATAGCCGCGGCCAGTTGCTAATAACGGAGCGGTGGCGTCGACGCGTTCGACCGCTGTTGTGATCTCTGGCACGGGAGCAAATCCAAACGCTCACTGCTCAGTGCTCTTGCTCCCCGCCGTCATCTACGCTCGCATTTCGCGTGCGCTGCAACCCCATAGCTGACACAGCGACAGCGTACTGACGACGTTCTTTCTTTCCTTCTCTTTCTTTCTTTTGATCCGTTTCCTGTCGGGTGCGCCTGCGCGTCTGAGTCTTCGCTCACTATGGCAGGGTCACCGGCTTACGGCTCGAGCTCGACGAGCGCAAAGTTGCTGAATGACTATGTATGTTCCAAAGTTCCTCTTGAATACCGTGCTCTGAACACCTTCGTGATGCAGCAATTGGGTGACTCGTTGGGGAAGGGCGCGTTCGGTCAAGTCTATCGTGAGTGCATACAGATACTTCCGTGTCTGCTTTGCTTGATCGAGAAGACGCCTGTGATATGCTTATATTTACGCGTCTCCACTCAGGCGCACTCAATTGGGCTACCGGGGAGACCGTTGCTGTCAAGGAAATACAGCTGAGCAACATACCTAAGGGTGAATTAGGCCAAATCATGGTACGTCACGCGTCGTTCTCTATTTAATACAGCCGCTCACACCGAGTGTAGTCAGAAATCGATCTCTTGAAAAACCTCAATGTAGGTTCATTTGTCATGTGTCGCTCACGTTGCCTCTCAATATTTCTCGACAGCATCCCAATATCGTCAAGTATAAAGGGTTCGTCAAGACGCGAGAATACCTGTATATTATTCTAGAGTGTGCCCCTTCCCGTCCGTATAAATGTAAGCGAGCCATCTCAATATGTCGTCCAGGTTCTGCGAGAACGGCTCTTTGCACAATATATGCAAGCGCTTCGGCAAGTTTCCCGAAAACCTTGTCGCTGTATATATCTCGCAGGTCCTTGAGGGGCTGGTATACCTGCATGATCAGGGTGTCATTCATCGCGATATCAAGGGCGCGAATATTCTGACGACGAAAGACGGCGCGGTCAAGCTTGCGGACTTTGGTGTCGCGAGCAGCACGACGGCGGGCGCGAGCGACGACGCGGTGGTTGGGAGTCCCTATTGGAGTAAGTGCTCCACCGTTGCCATTCCGGCCTTCTGCTGCGCTCAGGGAGTTTTTGTCCTGATTCGGCCTTTTTTGATTGACAACACAGTGGCTCCGGAGGTCATCGAGCAGTTCGGCGCTACGACGGCCTCGGACATATGGAGTGTGGGCTGCACAGTGATCGAGCTCCTCGAGGGACGTCCGCCGTATCATTTCCTCAAGCCGATGCCAGCGCTCTACCGCATTGTGCAGGATGACAGCCCGCCGATCCCCGAGGGGGCATCCCCCATCGTCAAAGACTTCTTGTATCACTGCTTCCAGAAGGACTGCAATCTCCGCATTACTGCAAAGAAGCTGTTGCGGCACCCCTGGATGGTCTCGGCCAAACGACAGATGGCAGAGAGCCAACGCGCGCGAGGCATGTCTGAGGGACCGGGTGGGGGGAGGCCGCTTAGTAACTATAATTTCGACGAGGCGGTGCTAAAGGTGCAAGAGTGGAATGAAGCACTGAGATGTACGTGCATTGAGTGCTCCCTCAAATGACTGACCCGGTAGTCTTATGTCCTCGGTCTTCTTTTCCGCTTCTATAACACAAAGCTCCTTCGCGGCCAGCGAAACACCCAGCACCACGTCGGGACTCTACCACCGACGGCGCGCCACATTCGCCGCTGGGGTCGCCGAGCGACCCTTCGTTCGCGCTGCTACCCGCCTCACTTTCCCTGTCTGCATCTGTTTCTTCGCAGACGTCGTCGTCGTCGAACCTGACCCGGAAGGCTGCACCTTCAACCAGCTCAAAGAACGCGACACCGCTGGCGATGCCGGGCCCGTTCGTGCTCCAGCAGCCGGAGGAACAAACGGACAATTGGGACGACGACTTTGAAGAGGGCATCTCTTTCTCAAAGCTGCAAGGTCGGCGCCTCGTATTTCCTTCAATCATACTCAAAAATTGATTCAAACACTGACCGAGAGTAAACGTCTTGTTGCAGCGCTGGAGAAGAGCACCCCAGATGACGACAAGCCGCTGGAAGCCGACGACAACAACGCGCAGACTATCCGCCCGAACCGCAGCCCGAGCTCCGCCGCCTCCGCCGCCGCCAAACCGCCACCGCCGGAAATTGCACCGATCGTTGAGGACTATTCAGACCTTGGAATCGACGAGGACGACGTGTGGCAGGAGAAGTTTGCGGACTTCAAGATGAAGAATTCGTTCCGCAAGGGCCTTTTCCACCCTGACGACATCAAGACGCTCGGGCTCCTGCCGTCGTCGCCGGGCCCCAAGACCGCGCCGTTGCCGGAGCTCGGGCGCAGGTCGTCGCGGCCGGTGTTGAGCCCATTAACAGCGGCACCGGGGTACCCGGGTCCATTGTCTGCGCGCTCGCACTCGACGTCGCATTCGCGGTCGTCGTCGTTTGTAGGCTCGACAAACGGGTCGTTCGGGCGCGCAGAGGTAAAGAAGCTCGAGCAGCAGAGCGAGTTTGGGAAATATACAGAGGACGATGACGAGGATTACGACGATGTGTTTGGGAAGCCGAATGGAACCTGTGAGCACGCTAACACAGTTGATGAGGTTATCGGCCAGAGATATTTAAGGTCTTATTTTTAGCCATGGAACAGCCTATGCAAACGCTACAGCTGAACACTCGCTTATCGAACAAGTCTTGGGTGAGGCCTTTTTTTATATGCTATATGCACACGCATCGATACTCCTCACAGCTAGGCGATGACGATATCGACGACGAAGATCCTTTTGCGGAGGTATGGTCGAATCCTAACTACTTGGTTTTATTCCTCAATCTCTTTCGCCGTATTTCGTTCTTCCTGTAGATTGACGAGGGCTTCGTGGAAGACGACCTCGAAGCGAATTTGCAGCGCGACAAATATGCGCGCTTGACGAGTCAGGTAAACCAACTCATCGACGAGTTGACGCCGTCTGCGCCGGACTTCCAGCTGCGCGAAGCTTGCGATAATCTGGTTTGTCCCACGTCTGCCAATTTTTTGCGATCGTGCTGAGCAGGCGGTGAATTAGATGGGGATCATATTGGATACACCTGAGATGCAAGGGCAGTTGGTGTCTGCACATGGGATGCTTGCGATACTTGAGGTCCTGGAAAGTAAATGTTCCCGAGAAGTGACAATGAAGCTTTTGCAAATCGTGAACATGGTGGGTACCTCTTTTACAATCATAGCACGTCTCAACGGACTCTAATACCAACCTCTCAATAGCTCGTCACGGCCGATGCAGGATTCTTAGAGAGCTTCTGCTTGATCGGGTGTGTGCTATTGGCGTCTGTGAAATGTCAGATTCAGGTCTGACGTTGTCCTACAGCGGAATTCCTGTCATAATGGGTGTGTCAAACCGTATTGTTTTCTTGTTCTAACATCCTCTAATGCTCATCGCAGGCTTTACATCCAAGAAGTACCCATCCGAATGCCGGCTGCAGGCCTCGAACTTTATTCAGTTGCTGTGCCATGTCTCCGTCCTGACTTTGCAAATGTTCATCTCGTACGTCGACTCGTTCTGCACCTCCCCAACACGTTGACTTTTGTATATAACTGCCATCCCTTTCCTAGGTGTCGGGGCCTCAAGGTACTCGTCGACCTGCTCGACGAGGACTTCGCGGAGCAGAGTGACCTCGTCGTGCATGCACTCAACGGGATCGGGAGCGTGTTCGAGCTACAGAGTCCGACGACAAAGAACGACTTCTGTCGGATGTTCATCCGGGAGGGCTTGCTAGACCCGCTCTCGTCGGCGCTCTTGAACGTGATGACGACCCATGGTGACAAGGCATCGACGATGAAGCGGAAGATCATCCAGATCTTGCTCGTATTCTGTCAGGTGTCTCAGTCAGATATACATGTGCGGAACGCGCTAGGAACACGCAAGGTCGTTAGACGTACGTTCTGTATTCTCTGATGTTTTGACAACCCTTATGATGACATATTCAACATACAGGTCTCCTGCGCGGTTGCGAGCTTCTCGAGCCTGAGTGTCTGGTCCATATGTTGAAGGCAATCAAGCACCTCTCAATGAATGCAACGATATTGGAGGTCCTCCAGAACGCGAACGCCATTGAGATCCTCGCTCGAATCCTGGATGAACAATGCTCCGGGCCTCACAGCGCGGTACGTTCGTTGTACTTCCATAGTCTTTGAAGGAGCTAATTAGACTGTGTCCAGGAAATGTCCAACCATATCTTCCAAACGTGCTATAACCTATGCCGCCTGAACAAATCAAGACAAGAAGAGGCAGCCCAGGCTGGGATCATACCAAGTCTGATGCGGGTCATCGAGGCCAGCTCTCCCCTCAAGCAATTTGCGCTGCCTATTCTGTGTGACCTTGCCAGTGCGGGCAAGAGTTGTCGAACATTGCTCTGGCAATTCGACGGGCTTTCGATGTATGTCAGGCTACTCACCGATCCGTACTTCCAAGTCAGCGCGTTGGAGTCCATTCTTTCATGGTGCGTACAAACGATTGCTTGAAAATTTCTGCGCGATGCTGACTCCTCTGAACCATACTACAGGTTGCAGGAGGAACCGGCTCGGGTGGAGGATGAGCTTGTGAAGCCGGAGGCTCTCGAGGCCTTGCTCAAATGCTTCATCTCGGCCAAGGCGAACTCATTCGAGAACCTCCTCGACCCCTTCCTCAAAATCTTCCGCGTTTCTACTAGTATAACCATCGGTGTCGCCAAATCCCAATTCTTTCGACGCGTCATCGAGAAGCTAGACAACAGCAAGGCCGTCGTGAAGCTCAACCTCCTTCGTATCCTGCGCACGGTGTGCGACGTCCACCCCAACCGCGCGATCCTGGTCGAGCGATACGGGATCTACGAGCTCGTCGTGCGGCTCAAGCAGAACGACAGTGCCGTGCTCGTGCGCGAGCTCGCCCGCGAGATCGAGCCGACGCTGGCACCCGCGCTGAAGCCTCTGCGAACCAAGACTAGCCTCAAGGGCCTCGATTCACCCAAATCCGTCATCGCGCCCAAGAAGAGAGTCCGGAGGACGGCGTCAGAGGCGTCCGCGCCGCTGCTTTCTCCTTCCGTCAGCCAGAACGGGACCACGCGGGGTCTCAGGAACAGCGGGAACGGGAAATCGAAGCCGATGCCTTCGCGGCATAGGTTGGGTGATATCTCGTGGCAGCCCGGCGAGCAGTGATGGTGACGATGCAAGCTAAGGTCTGGTAAGTTTTTTCGATTTCTTTTTTTTCGTTCTTTTCATGGGTTCCCTGTTCATTTATTTCATCGGTTCTGTACGCACTCGTTACCGGCATGTCCATTTTTTAAGCTTTCCTTGCATTCGCACCATACGCACTCACTACCCAATTCATTGCAAACAATCTTGCATCCTCGCATTAATTCAGCACATCCTTCGAATTTTACTGTATTAGTGGTCTGATACCGTCTAATCTAATAAGTTATGCGTTACATGGAACGAAGAGAAACGGTACGGGGCATAAGCTGGGAGAACACTGGGAGGAAGACGAAAGCGACTGACGGAGTGCAGAAGGGAACTAGGATTCAGGGCTACTTCCGGGCAAATGGAATCTGGAAGCCAGAAAGCAGCTGCCGAGCTTTGTTTTGTGCGCCCTCGCCGGTCGCGTTGGTGATGAAGTGTATGTGCATGCCATACGACTTGGGATACGAGTCGAGGTTGACTTCAATCTGGGGGAAGAGGCCCATGGCTTCTGGTGGGAGGCCAAACGAGACGACGCCGGAGACGCCGCTGGGCGTGCGCATGGAGTGCGAGGCGGGGGGCATGACGATCCCGTGGAACTCGCGCAGGCGCGGGAGGACGAACTCGGTCAGCGAGCCCAGGAACTCCCACATATTCGGGCCCTTGAGGTCGACCTTGACGCCGACGGGAAGCCCGGGACGCACCCATCCGCCGACCGTCTTGACACCCCTCACGATCTGGACGCCGTCCACCGCGTGCTGGCCCCCACCCCGCTCCGTCTCCCCCGAGAGCGCGCGGAAGGCCATGATGGGCCCGAGCAGGTTCTGCCGGCTGACGAGGGCCTCTTTTATCATGGAGTGCAGCTGGATGCGCTCGAGGCGCACGACGTTGTCTGCTGTCGTCGGAGGCGCGGGCTTGCGGCCAAATTGCGAGCCTCCCACAGGAGGATTGTTGCGCAGCTTCGTGTACGGGTCCTCCGGATCGTATGTGAGGCGGATGTTGCGTGGTGCTGGTCGCGGGCCCGACTCGTGCCTGTAGGTCAGGTAGAGGAGGTCATCCTGGAGAGTGGTATAGTAGTGGCTGGCGAGGCGATTGGGGTGCGAGTCGCGTACGACGATCTTGACGTGGGGTATTGGGAGACCGGTGGGGGTGTGATTCAAGGGTTTACGAATTGGCGGAGCACGGCGAGTTGGGCGCAGGGACCGCCCAGTGGTCTGCGCGGTTGCTTTTCGCACAACACTAGCACTCATCTGCGAATTGTATCAGCTGTTGAGGCTTTTTTTGCCTATGGCGAAAGCAAAAGGTCAGGACCCACCTAAAGTACGTTTGCGGTAGACCGTGCTCTGTCGAACGCACTCTGTTCGGAGAAAGACGCGGCTGGAGACTCCCCACGTGGCGAATATTCTCACGGTATCTGATCAAGCTTCAAGCCGAGTGAAAACCCAGGGCCCAGCCGCTCAACTCTGTTCCACTGTGGTCCAAGCATACTTAGTAGGTGCAGGCCGATGACGGGTGACGGTACTCAAGCGCCAGTCAACAGTGATTGTAATGACGACCAAGACGAATCTAGTTAAAGACTCCTTTCGTTTGATATACCTCAATTAGCATCTTGTGGATCCTTTTACGGTGCACGACGGCGCTAACGAACACGCGCAGCGCGCTGTCAGTTCCGCCAAACTAAACAGCGACGAAGAAGTGTACACACTTATTCGGTACAACCATCATCTCAAAGGCGCATATGGCTTTTGCATCGATGGAGCGCGTTGTGCGCGTCCTGGAATTTTAAGCGTCTTCTTAGTACTTGTCATCACATCTTGGACACCCGGAACGACTGGCAACCTTGCGGCATGATCGATAATATATACATGCTAAACTTTGCGAACTGTGATGCCCTACGACTTGTGAAGACTAGATCGAATGAGTAGGTGAGCCTTGGACTTCAACTTGGACTGTTGAAACTGGTGCACTGAAACAACCCTGAAAATGTCGTGCAGGGAGCTCTGTGACTTTGATGCAATCAAGCTATCTAACCCAGAACGGTCGGTAAGTAGCAGTCTTGGCATTGGAGCCTCGTCATAAGACTAGCCTGTCACTTCATTCCAGCGTGAGCTGTGTCATGCCAAGGCGTCTTTGGGACCGATCGGGAGATGACTTTCCATGATTTTAAAGTATCCAGCTCCCGAAGCATGTCCTCCTGTCAGCGTTGGCGCCAGCGAAGGCCGGATTCAGCAAAGAGCACGGCATCGAGGATGAACTCAATGGTCAGCGGCGAACAAGATGGGTTTCCTCTTGCACGAAACTTAAACCATGTCATCTTCCACGAGCGTTACAGTATTCCTTCCATCACAGCAGCTGCGTGACGTTGGACATGCGGTCGTCTATGATGGTTCTTTGACAGTATCTTGTTGGTAACATTTTTGGTCGAGAAAAGTATAAAAGAGGGAGTAGGTCTCTTCACATACTTCAGCATTCCTTGCATCCTTATCGACTAAGCTCTCTACTTTCCCCAGTATTGACCAGATACAATGATGTTCACCACCAGCTTCGTCACCGCCATCTTCGCGTCTGTTCAGCTTGTCATGGCCAACCCCATGCCCGTCGAAGGGTCCTCTGATATTGTAAGCGCTCTTCCCTCGCCGCTCTCAATCTTTGCAGCCTCACCCTTGTCTTTCCTCCGTCTAGCTGGCCAAGAGAGAGACATCTTTCGGAAATCCTGACCTCGTCACGGACCAAGGGAACCGCTTCAAAGTCAACTACGGTAGTCCCAATGGACACCCCAACGCCTGCCCTGGGCACTACATCTGCTGTGAGAACACATCTCTCCCAAGTCTCCCTCGCTTGGAGGTCGCTCATCATATTCTCCACACTAGACATCTATCGGGATGGCGCTGCTCATGACGATGTTTCCTTGGGTAACCCCGATGACTTCGTCGATGAAGGCGACCGCTGGGTAAGACTTCTGATTCTTACTGTCCGCTCTCGTACAACTGCCAATGACGCTCTTCTAAACAGCGCCTCAATTACGGCAGCACCAAGGGCCACCCGAACGCCTGTGATGGCCACTACATGTACGTCGACCCCCTCGAACCTTTGCCATATAACATTCGCCTCTGACCTTGAAATTTCACAGCTGCTACATCACCAAATAATTTGATTGAAAAACATCTTTACGCTGTCTGTGTCTTGCTCCATGTACTACCTGTAACCCGTGAATTTGGATTGTCGGTGTAAATAATCCAGTCATAGTCAGCTCAATATCGGATTTGGAATATACAGTCCATCACTGCGAATCTGCGACTCAACAACAACGGTTAGCAATACGATTACCATGTAGATGCCGATGTCCCGTCATGAGGCTCCCGTGACATAGGATTTTAAAGCAACTTGAGTTTCCAATAAACCTTAAACAGATGAGTATCGTAAAATGGCGGCGTCGGAAGTTCGAGATGAGATTACGGGGTTCTTGGCGCGTCGGCGTTCAACCCAAATGTACCTAAGTTTGGACACGAACAATTCGAACGCGCACGGATTAGGATATGGCTAGTCTCCCAAAAGCGTCAACTCTCATTCCACGGCGCCGATGACGCCGCGAACGATCGGAATTCACTGTTCACCAGCGCTCTGATATATCATATGTATCATGCTATGCAATTGCGACCACTAAGTGCATAAGTGGCCATATACCCGAATTGACAAGGGGATATGTGGACGCAGCAAGAGATAGGAGAACGAGCGCGAGCAGCATAACTCGAACAGCAGCGTATAACAAAGCAGAAAGCAGGAGAGAATTGATGCTGAGACCAGCCCCGGCTCGCTCAGCCAGGCTTCCACTTCAAATAGCAAGCCTGAATGGTGAGGAATATCAACACAGGAAAGGGCAGTAGGGTGATGATGAAGGCGGCGACGTGCCACAGGATCCCTTCCAAGATGAGATGGGACCAACTCGCCCATCCTATGCAGTGAATTGCTCTAAAAATCATCGCGGCAACGATGATCGAAAAGCGGACAAACCGAGTCCGTAATCGATCTTCTCGATACTCTGGACATTTCACTCCCGCCTTTCAGGTAGCCTAGCAGATGTGAATTGCATGGTCTCTCTGGAAATACGAGTGGAAAGGAACGCCTGGAGGGACACATGCACTAGGGGGAGGGGGGCTACTTTGTGTGAGGATCGGAGGAAGAACGGCTACTCTTTTCGGATACTTGTTTGAAAAGTTGGACGGTCATCTGAGGAAAGGGTCGTTCCGTAATGTACTCGTTAGGTTAACGGACCACATTGGAGGCGTAACGCTTGCAACATGTATAATGGTTAGGTAAGTCTGTTATCGTGAAAGCGAACAGAAAAACCATCAATATTACGCCTACTTAACGAAGAGCAGAGTTCAAAATATGTCTCAGATATATGAGACATTCTGGAAAGCGGAACAACGCTCGAGATACCTACCGAAAGAGTGATGGCTTCTCTGTATCAACTGCCTCGCAATAACGGTCCGAGCTCATTGGCTATCTCTGAGCGCTTATGAGTAACTACAGTGATGATTATTTCTCCTTGGAAAGTCACTGAGTGTAGATTCCTCTGTGTGCAGCCTCGGATGGACATGTGCACATCGGCTCCGATTGGAATGCGAGCAAAATCGCGTTAGTCCAAGCATGTTCGAGGCGTGTCCGATGGGCGGAGTCAGCGAGGGCTATAGCGCCGCCCTGTACATGGCGATGATGCACTTGCATGTCTACCCAGACAGAGCTGGCAGTGCCCTCGGTAGACTTATACTAAATTGAGTAGTATTCAGTGCGCAAAGGGGAAGCTGTACGCACCCACGTTTTCTTCAGCGATGATTTCCTCTATCACAAGAGCCTTGCAGCTTTATTTGTGACCCGGGGCGCTTTGCATATATCGATTGTAGTCAGCGAATTGGGCGCAAAAAAGAGGAAGAAGGGTGCAGGGGCGACTCGGGCGATACCGAGGAGGAAGAAAACGCAACATCGTGCTAGAATGACAATGTGATCATATGCGACAAAAGTTCGAACCTGAGACGCGCAAGCAGCCCTGTTGTGCTAAGGCTTTGAGATCATGACTGATGGTAGCGGACGATGACTGCGAGCCAATTCAGTGGAAGGCGGGAACCAAGCGGCATTTCTGTCACAAGCAGTCACAATCACTCCTTCTCCTGGTATCCCTGCGCCTTTTTCCAGCTTTTGCTTCCCCATTTTAAACGTACATTGCCTCCCTCTTTCGACGCACACTACATGCTCAACCCATTCGGCGCGTTATACCTGCACGACAGGCTCCCCATGTCGTTCATTACACATATATTTGGTATAAAAGTGGTTTACAGCATATGATGAGTCTGAGTTTGCATCGAGACCACACGACCTACGCGTAAGTTCAGTTCTCGATGATCTCCACACTGATGGAATGGATCTATCAGGAGCGTGCTGTGATAGGCGACGTAGGCGAGAAGAAGCAGCGATGGAGGGCACATCTTTGCTCTCAGGGACGAGGGTGCGACTAACGTGTGGCGGCGCTAACATCGATTCCAGCGATAAGTCAGTCTGAGTGAAAATCGCGCTGTAATCTTCTTCCGCTTTGCTTTGGGACTCGTATGATCCTTGTGCTCCTGGCTCACTGTACTGATATTTACGGGCTTTCAGCGGTCTCGACACACTTCGACTGCATCATTGGGCAGGTTTTTTCTGGGGTCGGCTGGGTCAAAGGCCTTGACATTACTGGACCATCTCGAATTCTCATCTGTCTGATTGAGAGCTGAAATGAAATCTCTGGCTTGCTGCCTTCTGGAAGTATGATCCCGATGCAGAAGCGACGAGGTAGGTGCACTGACCAAGTTTGACTTGCAGCGTGGCAGCTACTCTGGCACCACGGTTGCCGAAAATTCTGGCTCGACTTCTGATCATAGACGGTGGCCGGTAATCTGTTCATCGATCTACAATGACGGCTGTGTAGATATCGATGATACAACGTTTGCCTCATTCCCTCACGGCTGTTTCTGCTCGTTGGAATATTCGTACGGATTGTTCCCCGATCTCTAGCTGGATGGCAGAAATCGGACCCTATGTGAAGGAGGTGAAGCGTCGCAACAGTGCTGCAGAATCTAGCGATTCCACAGAAAAACATTATCAAGAGAGGGGTGATTTATCGTTACTTTTCCTTGAGGACTTGAGCATATAAAGGTGCGTCGATGGCCAATGTTGCATTTCCATCATCTCAACCATCTACTTCTCAGCTCCTGGCCTGTGTGCACATCCCCCCGTCTTTGCTTTCCTTTATCCTCCTGAGATGATGCAGAGCGCGCTCTTCGTGAGCGTGATTTTCTTCCTCTCCGCATTTCGCGCCTTTGCGGTTCAGTCGTGGGACGTTCCTTGCGTGCATGGATCGTGCACATACGACAAGATTCTGCCGGACGGGACGAAAGTCGCGACATTGAAAATTGTGCGTTCTCCTCTTCCCCCCCCCCCCCCCCCTTTGCATCTGGAAATTGACACACTGGGTCACCAGTGGGGCGCGTCTGACGCGATCTCAGATATCACCCCGGTGGCGGGGTGGCATATCTTAGATTGTAACCCGGACGAGACGAAGCAGGACATTCTCCTCGTCTGCCTCGACGACAACGCGGAGTGCAATCATATTATCAACAGCGGTGCACAGGACATCATTGTTCGCTTGCCGCAAAGCGTGTGTTCTCAGCCTATCTTGACTTGTGCTTGTAATTGATCTAGCTCGCAGTGCAAGATGCCTTTCGCACGTGTCGTGCGATGGTGGACGCCAGAAGACCAGTCTTTCCCGATCTCAATCGAGGGAAATCTCGTCATTGGGGCTGACAGACCCACAATCTTCGCTTGCAGACTAGACACTGACTTCGCGAAAATAGATCCTGACAAGTGAGTGCATCGTGTGGTTTCCATGATGAGCATATTTGAAGGGCTTTTCTCCTCATATTAGGAAAGGCGTGGTCTCTTTTTTAGTCCAAGGCTCGTCCTCAGGCCTCGCACAAGATAACTCCACTGTGACACAGAGCAGCATGCACAACATCATGCTTTCTAAAAGGGATCCTCACACCATTGGCGATTTTATCTATTCCAGAAAGCATCAGCACCATCGCCTCTCTTCCAACTCTACTACTAGAGCTTTCCAGTCTGCGTTGTTTAATCCAAGTTCGTCATTTGCCTACTACGCATACCATTGCTTATCCTTTCTCCATGCATTGGTACAATGTAGATTTCAACAAGACATTTGGAGGCCAGCTGCCGATCGATGTCGACAAGTCTTTCGAGATTTTCAACCGCGAAATCTCCTGCCCCGCAAACCAATTTGTCCCAGCCGATTTTACTGCATCCGTGAATGTCGGTGTGCAGGCGAAAGCACATGCCCTTGTAGATGTCAAGTTTGTCGCGGCAGGGACTATAAGCCATCCGAAAATCTCCAACTTCGCTGTCATTGCAGGTGCGACTTGTTCATCTTGTGATTTGAACATGTCTCATTTGAGATATACTGGCGTCGGGACAACAGGACTTGACTTCGATCTGGACAGCACTTTAGATGTGTTCGCAGATGTTGGCGGCGACTTTGACTCGGGCCCCATCCCGCTGCTTGAGATTGCGTTACCTGGCTTCGAAATTCCTGGGTACGCGTGCACCATATCCACGAACCGTGTGGATTCATTAATCCTTCTTCTCGAATATGGTTTAATACAGTCTCTTCACTGTTGGGCCTTCATTGAAACTGAACGCACAGCTCACGGCCGGCTTCGAGCTTAGTCTTGACATGAAAGTCGACCTGGCGTATAGCATCAAGAATGGGGTCTTAGTTTTCCCGCCTGATCAGGGCGACAGTCATGGTGATTTCTCGCCAGCAGACACCAGTACGTGCCGATCCGAGCCATTATGCACGACAGTCGGTGATGCTTCCTTTCCTTTTTCAGATTTCTCTCTGTCCACGAGCGAGACTCTGCAGGGTGACGTCAAGTTGGCGGCCCACATCATCCCATCTGTACGCACGACGCGATATCAGCAATAATATTAACCGGCTCAGTCTCATTCCTCAGCTCGAATTCGGAGTTGGGTTCTTCCACGATATACTCTCAGCGACAGTTTTTCTCGACCTGGACACTTTCGCCGAGCTGGAACTCACGGGCACGGCGCAGGCCGACCAGGGACCATCGCCGGCGACCGCCTCTGTGGAGGCCTGCGTCGATCTGAGTACCGGGTTCGCTGTGAACGCGGGCGCGCGCGGCTCGTTCCCTGGCCTGTTTGACGACTCGACGCACGTGACGCTCTTCAACAAGGATTTCGAGCTGTTCAAGGTATGTGACCGCTCTCGGTTTGCGTGCGGAGTACTGCGGAACTGTGCTGTATCTGACGTTCCGTTGGTTGGGTGCACAGAGGTGTATCGGTGCGGGGACGGACAACGCGACGGACAACGCGAGCGTGATCAAGGTGGGGACGACTATCTCCTTGAATCCGCCTGCCTCGACACTGACGGCCACGCAGGCGACCGTCAACTCGAATCCTGCCGCGGTGGGCGGATCTGTACGCAAACGAGCCCCCCTCTCTTGTCTCAACGACGGTCCGCCCACCTCGTTGCTGGGCTCGGCGACTGTGAAGGCCAGCGAGTGAGTGGCCCCAAATCTGTCTGCTTGCTTGCCGACTGACGCCCATCGATCGTGCGATTCCTGTAGCCGTAAACCCAAGAATTAGAACGTCATGGTGTGCTTCAGAAAGCCTCGACTTTTCCTCTTTTTTCTTTCTGCTCTCGAGGGTTTACTTCCCGACGTGTTACATCCCCCCCCCCTTTCCCAAATTTCGGTGCTACTATGCCTGGTTGTAAATAATCCCCATCCTCCCCAGGTCAATCTCTTCATTCGTAACAATCAGCATCACTCGATTCATTATGTCCATCGTTTCCTTTTGAGACGTGAAAGTTCGAGATTGTGGAAGTGAATCACAATTCTATCCTTCGCTGCCCATCGCCTGCAATGACTTCCCGTTGCTATCTTTTATGAATCACTCACGATCGTGCCAGCTCCTTCTCTATGTTTGCTTCGTGCAGATACGTTATCCAACAAAAGTTCGTTCAGGCAGTAGGTGCTACACGTATAAAAACAGACCGAACGCGGTCATCGAAGCTGAATCGACCCGACCCGACCCTTGCGTCTCGCCGACGGGTACAGTTCGGTGCCCGACTCAGCTACCGTCCTCGTGGCACTGATATAAAAGTATCGGAAGGAACAGTCATAGCGCGATCACTGCCCAGTCGAACACGGCAGCGCGCACCTTCGCACAGGTGGACGGTGGCGGTGCTCAGAAAAGGGATGCAAGGCGTGCGGCGTAAGGTGTTCCGTGCGTGCCAATCCCTGGATGCTAACGCCTTGTATACCCGAAAGAAATCGGGCAGCGCCGCGTCCTGGAGGACACGACCACGTCTAGCGAGGCCACCGCACAGCCGCGTCCAATGATACGCGGGGTCATGCAATAACAGCACCACGACCCCGAACGTCGAATGTCGAACGCAGTCCTGCGGCACGACCCTCCCATGTCGTCCAGCACGAACGAGCTTCACACGAGCCCGCACGTCCAAAGAGCCCCGCATTGCCGTGCGGCGCCGCTGGAGGAGACGGCGTGTTGAAAGGGGGGTCGGGCGTACCGGTTGAGGAGCAGGAAGGTCTGGGGGAGGGACTGGGTCAACTGGTTGCGTGAGGCTTAGGTTTGAAGGAGTTGTTGGGGTTTTTCTGGCCAATACCCGCTCATGCCAACCGACCATCATCGACCGCACGACGCGCCACGCCTGTTCGGCTCGAGTCCTCTCCCCCATGGCAATCTTCGCCAACCCACAGGTTTCGCGTCTCTCACTCGTGCATGCTCGCGCAAACGGGCAAGCATCATTCTCGAACGAGCCTAACCCTCACACAAAACTTGTCGGCAAGATTCAACTCTCAAATTCATACAACCAGGGCTGGTTCGGAGGTGAGATCAGGCACAGAGGAAAGAGCAGGGAGAATCATTATGTCTAACATAGGTTCTATTACCCTGATAAGACAATAAATGGGATTTGATAAAATAATAAAGGAGACGGCGTTTGCATCGCACCTACTATCCCTGGACCACAGTTGAACAGGGTTTAGGCATTTTAGCCGTCTAGCTCCCACAACCTCTCTAACCATTATGAAATCTACGTACATACCTGAAAAAGTGTCTTAATTTCACTATGCTGATTTTCTTGTAATTATTGAGGGAGAGGAAAGATTGTCGGGCAGTGACCGAGGAGGGAGACTCGAAAAACGGCATAGACCCCAGAGTTGAACTATCAGTCCGAGCACTTAGTCACACTGAGTCACGCGTGCCGATTAGAAGTCCGACGGCTTGCAGGTCGCAAGGTCCGCCACCTGCACATGTCGGAGCTTCGAAAAGTCACCTCTCCGAAGGCCGAAGTCACTCTGCCCACCCTCTTTCGAGTCTCTTTCGTCAAGGTTTTATTTTGAGCGTAAGCTCTCTACTGACCACCCCCGGATTTTTTTTTCACAGGATGTGTACTTACATATATCTCCTGATTTATTTTTAATATGAGGTTCAGAGTAAGGGATCTTTGGGATCTGGACTCTTAGATGCGGCAGAGAGCCATACTTCCCTTGATTTTCTCTCTCCTGCTCCACGCGCTTTTCGTACAAGTCTCAAAGAATACACAGTCATTTTAAACACATATATAAACCTCCCCAAATATCTATAAGACAGCCGCTCTGGTGTGAAAGAAGATATAGCGGCTGTTCACTACTGGTCCAGGGATAGTACCTGCCAGAGCAATTTTGGCATGGGCATGCTCAGACGAGCGCGCGGCGTCGCTTGCTTTGAACGCGATACGACGGAGCGCTGGGCTGGGCTGCGCTGGGCAGGCTGTGGCGGGTTGAGCTGCGACGAGCTGAGCAGGGCGGGCTGAGCGCCAGGGATGCGCGGAGATGCAAAAGTCGGTCGCGCGCACGCAGTTGCGACGAGAGCGGCGCAAGCTGTGCGTGCGTGTTCGGTCGGGGTCGGTCGGGGTCGGTCGGTCGGTGTGCAGTGCAGTGCGGTGCTCGTGGATTGTGGATTGTGCATCGTGCATCGTGCATCGTCCGTCACGCAAAGAGTGCGGGTGCGGGTGGTGGGGGCTCGCATGGTCACGGTCGTGGCGTGCAGCGACGCGAGTAGATGATTCGACACAGATGCAGATACAGGGATACACGTACACGTACATAGAGCCATATCAAAAGAGAGGACACATAAGCGCCAGACGCTGCGCTCAGTCGTCGTCGTCCGCGTCCACGTCGAGGTCGCCCTCGACGCCCATGCCCTCGCCGGCGTCGACGAACTCGACGTCCGCGCTGGCGTCGAGCGCGTCGGGCGCCCAGTGCTCGGTGCGCGGCTGATAGAGGGGCTGCGTTGTGCCGTAGTCGAAGGCGGTGTCGGTGTCGGGGTGGGATGCCAGTGCCAGTGCGGGGTCGGGGTCAGAGAGGGACGCGCGCACGTGGTCGAGGACGTCGTCCATCTTGTCTCCGAGCCTGTCCTCGAGCTCCTCGACGATCTGCTCACAGAGGTAGATGTGAGGCAGAGCGGGTGAGCGAGAGGCAAGGGCGGGAGAGGGAGCGCGGCGGGGGCGGGACGCACGACGTAGAGCTCGACGGCGGCGGTCGGGGCGAGGTTGACGATCTGGAGCTTTTCGGGCTTGGTGAGGGCGTAGGCTGCGAGGCTGCGCGTGAGGCGCGCGATGCCGGGGGCGGACTGGGCGCGCGTGGGCTGGTAGGGCGCCGAGAGGTACGGGATGGCCTAGTGCGCGCGCTCACACACGTCAGCGGGATCGATGGAGGCGGGCGGGGGCGCTGCGGACGGACCTCGAGCTCGATGGTCCTGAGGTTGGGCGCGACGTCGTCGAGCAGGTCGTGTGCGCCGCTGTGCGCGGTGCCGGCTGCCTCTTCCTCTTTTTTTATGCGAAGGGCAGTTTTTGCCTTTGCGAGGTAGTCGGCCTCGAGGTCTTTGAGGAGGGCGAGGACCTCGTAGTTCGAGAGGAGGCTCGCGCGGGGGTTGAGGACCTGTGGACGGAGAGGTGAGCGAGGGAGGAGGAGGAGGAGGACGGCGAGGGCGCGGACCTGCATGGGTGGACCGGAAAGGGAGTGGCGTCGGGCGGCCAAAGAACCGTCAACTCTCCTTTTCGTCCGTGACCACCATCCACAAATCATCCCCGCCGTCGTCGTCCTCCCCGTCGTCGCCCACCCCATCGTCGCCGACATCGTCGCCATCGCCGCCATCGCCGCCGCCGTCACACACGCACACTCCCAGCCTCTCGCCATGAACCGTCCAGGTAACCGCAGCGGCTCGCGCCCGTCTGCCGCATCCGCACCCTTATTGACCTCGCGCCCAGGTCAGCCCCCGCAGCGCCCGCCCAGCCTTGGCCCCAACCCCGCCCTCGCAGGGCCCTTCCGCGGGCCCTACCCCGCCTACCCCATGCCCCCGCGCAACGTCATCCCCGCCTACCCCGGCCTCCCCGCCCACCGCCCGCCTCAGGGCATCATCCCCCAGCCGTCCCCTGGCTTCGTCCAGCGCGCGCAGGGCTTTGCGTTTGGCGGCGGTCTGCAGCAGCAGCAGCAGGCTCAGCAGCAGCAGCAGCAGCAACCACAGCATCAGCATCAGACGCAGCTCCAGCAACAGCAGCAGCACATCCAGCAGCAGCTCCAACAGCAGCAGCAACAGCAACAGCAACAGCAACAGCAGCAACAACAGCAGCATCAGCAGCAACAACAGCAGCAGCAACAGCAACAGCAGCAGCCCACGCAGCCCCCACCCCCAACACACGGCCTCCCCCCGCACCTCACCCCAAACCCGACGCCGAACCCAAACCTCAGCCTCAGTGCCCCTGCCCCGCCCTCCGTCTCCTCCGCGAGCGACGCCGGAGCCGGCTTCGACCCGAATGACTTCCCCGCGCTCGGCTCGACCCCCGCGACCACCCACGCCGCTGCCGCGCTCGCGCTCGCGCCGTCGAGCAGCGACGCGGGGCTCCCGACGAGCTATGCGAGCCAGGCGGGTACGGGCGTGCAGCCTGGGAACGGCGGCGCGGCGGGCGCGGGCGGTAATGGTGCGGGGGGAGGCGGCGGCGGCGTTGGGGGAGGAAATGCGGCGGGTGCGGGTGCGGGTGCGGGCCAGCCGAGGGACTTTACGGCGGACGATTTTCCTGCGCTCGGCGGGGCTGTGCAACAGCAACAGCACCAGCACCAGCACCAGCAGCACCAACAACACCATCAGCAACACCATCAGCAGCAGCAGTCGCATAACCAACACCAGCAGCATCAGCAGCCGCCCGCGCCGTCGCAGACGCCATCGCACGAGGGCCATCCGCCGGGGCTGAACGGGGTGCACGCGGAGCAGCAGAGGGTCGGGTCGCTGGCGGGTGCGCTGGGTGCGCTGGGCGGCCAGCAGCAGCAGCCTGGGCTGCTGAACCTCGGTCCGAGAGGCGGGGCCATGCATCAGGGCTTGCAGGCGGAAACGGAAAAACAGCGAGTGCGTGGTTTTTTTTCGTATGTGCGAGTACGAGTACGAGTACATGGGCATGGACACACGCTTTTTTCCTTCCGCTCTCTTTTATCCTTGATCTTTTCCTTTTTCTTCTTTGATCGCTTGCTCGGCGCGTGAGGGCGACACTCGCTGACCAGACGACTGCTCCTCCCTCTCCTCCGCACAGAACTACGCGCTCAAGCTGAACACGATCGGACACGCCGCGTGGAACTCGCCGGGCGCAGGACAAGCGGCTCCCACTACAACCACCACGACGTCCGCCCCCACCCCCGCCTCCGCCCCCGCCCCCGCATCCATCGCACCCACCGCTGCCGCCGCGGCGACCGCGCAGAGCCTGCAAAACGGATCCGCTCAAGCTCAGGCGCAACAACAGCCTCAACACCAGCATCCACAAAATCACCCGCTCAACGCGCCGCCGGGCGTACCTCTGCCCTCGGCACAGTCACAGCAGCAGCAGCAGGGCGCGCGGTCGCAGACGCCGTTCGCCGGCAACGGGAACGGGAACGGCGTCGCGCCCGCCGACGCAGCGCCGTCGCAGCCCCAGGCTCAACAACCCCAACCTCAACAGCATACGGGTGCCCCGTCGACGGCGCCGCTGCCGCAGACGCCGGCGCAGCAGGTGCTGGTGTCGGCCGCGGACCGGTGGGGCCTGCTGGGCCTGCTCGCGATGATCAAGAACGCGGACTTGGACCAGAATTTGCTCGGGGTGGGGACGGATCTGGGGACGATGGGGCTGGATATGCAGCATCAGGGGTGCGTGCGCTCGCCGATTTTTATTTTTGCTCTGTTCCACTCCCGCTCCTCCTACTCCCCTACACTTTTTCCTCATACCCATACGCCGCGAAGCGCGCGACCGACGTGCTGACCGACGGATTGCGCGGTACAGGAACCTGTACTCGACGTTCATCACGCCGTGGGCGGACGCGTCGGCGGCGCACGCGGTCGAGCCGGACTTCCACCTGCCGGCGTGCTACAACGTGCAGCCGCCTGCGCCGGGGCCGAACAAGGCGGCGGCGTTCAGCGACGACACGCTGTTCTTCATGTTTTACTCGGCGCCGCGGGACGCGCTGCAGGAGGTCGCGGCGCAGGAGCTGTGCGTGGTTTTTCTCTCTCTCGCGCGCGCGCGGGCCTCTCGCTGACTGATTGACCGACCGACCGACCGACCGACTGCGATCGCGATCGCGATGATGGCGGCGGCAACGACAGGTACAACCGGAACTGGCGGTACCACAAGGAGCTGCGGCTGTGGCTGACGAAGGAGAGCGGGACGGCGCAGTCGCAGAAGGTGCCGAACGGGGAGCAGGGGACGTACACGTTCTGGGACCCCGAGGGGTGGGGCAAGGAGCGCAAGGAGATGACGGTGCTGTATGGGGACCTCGAGGAGAAGAGCCAGGCGGCGTTCGCGCCGGGGATGGGGCTGCAGCTGAATACGCCCGCGATGCAGCAGGCGCAGGCACAGCAGCAGCAGGTGCAGCAGCAGGCGGCGGCGGTGGCGGCGGCTGTGCAGAGGGGCGGGTTCCAGGGCGTGGGGATGGCGTCGATGTGAGGGCGTCGTCGTCGTCGTCGTCGTCGTCTTCTTCTTGGAAACGGGGGCGCTTTCGCGTCCGCACTGTGTCTTCGTCGGGTTTTCATCTCCGTTTCCTTTCTCATTTCGTTTCCTTTTTCTTTGATTTGATTTGATTCGAGTCTTTTCTTTTCTTTTCTGTTCTGTTTACGCCGCAGCGGCTCGTGTGCTCCGTGTGCTTGTTGTCCTCTCTGCCTCTCTCTTCCTCTCTCTCGCTTCGCTTCGTCTCGTTTCTCGTTTCTCGTTGTTGCTTGCATTCCATTCCGCAGTACTGTTCAACGTCTCGAGCGTGTGCGTGTGCGTGTGCGTGTGGTCATTCGGGGGTGCGATTCTCCCATAGCCATAGCCATAACCATAACCATAACCATAACCTATCCTAGTATCGTGCTCTCTCCCTCTCCCCCTCCCTCTCCCTCGCCTCAGAAGCCGTCGGTCCTCGACCGCCCCGAGAGAGAGAGCGCGCCTGCACGTCCCTCGTATGCCTGATACCGTAAGATGACTTAGTGCCGAGCGTGAGTAACGTAATGTCCCTGGCTGGCGCTGGCGCTGGCGTTCAGCGCCTGCGCGAAGCTCGAGCTTAAGCCTAAGTCTGAGTGCTGCCCAAGGACTAAGTACCAAGTCATTGCGTCTTTGAGCAGGGAGTAAGTCCGTCTGCGGCGTGGCGTGGGCTGACAGAGGCTGAGGGCGTCTACGGCCGGGTCCCTGAGCCTGTGTGAGCGAGAGGCGGAGGCCCGCGAGCCCCGGGCGGACATCGGACATCCGGCGTCGCGGACTTGGACGCGGACGTGGACGCGCACCGGGCGAGTCGAACGTCGCGTGTGCTTCGCTTCTTGCGCCTCGCTTCATCGCCATCGCCATCGCCATCGCCATCGCCATCCACGTCTACGTCCACACGACCGCATTCACCGTCTGTGCGCCGTCTGCCGCGTACCCATCTGCATCGAGGGTTGCATCCAATACTAGTGGCTACCAGTGGCGCCGAATGGCAGACCCAGACGCGGACCGGCTCCCGGCGCTGAACAGGCTCGGGCACGCGGGCCACAGCAACAGATGCCTCCAGGGCCTGCCCTCCAGCCTCGTCGAGTTCGACTCCTCCAGGTGCGTGCGCGACGTGCGGGGGCGTGGGCGTGGGCGTGGGCGCGGGCGCGGGGAGGGGCACACGCGCGGGGCGCTGACCAACGCGCAGGATGGCCGTGGGCTTTTATTGCCTCGGGATACTGGACCTGTACGGCCTCGTCGACGACAAGGTCAGCACGACGGACAGCGAGGGCTGGCGCGCTTGGATATGGGCACAACAAGCCAGTGCGTCCCCTCCTCCTCGTCCTCCGCGCACGCGATCTCACGTCTGCGGCCACCACCCCCGCCCCCGCCGCTGTTCGCAGCGGGCGCGCACGGGTCCGGGTTCCGCCCAGGCCCGCTCGCGACGACCAACGAGCCCCCGCCGCCGCCGTCGTGCCACCCACCTGTCCGTGCGCGTCTCCCTCTGCCCCTCTCGCGTGCCTGAGCCTCTCCTTTTCCCCCTGTACATCCCCCCCCCCCTCCACCGCGCCCGCCCTCGCCCGCGCCAGGACGTGTACGGCCCATGCTCGGCACCGAACCTCATCATGACCTACACCGCGCTCCAGGCGCTCGCCATCCTCCGCGACGACTTTGCGCCGCTCGACCGCCCGGGGCTCGCCAGGTTCGTCGGCGCGTGCCAGGGCCCGGACGGCAGGTGAGTGCGCACCTGCCCGCCCGTGATTTCACTCGATTCCCGTTTCCGCGCTCGCTCGCACGCTCGCACTCGCTGATCGCCGCTCGCCGCGCACAGCTTCGCGACGACGCCCGGCGCGCGCGACGCCGACCTCCGCATGAGCTACTGCGCCTTCGCGATCTGCGCGATGCTCGACGACTGGACGCGCGTCGACGTCGACCGCGCGCTCGCGTTCGTCGCGCGCTGCAGGGTGAGCCGCCCCGCCTTCTTCTACTTCTACAGGGGTCAGAGGCGAGGAACGGTCTGACACCCGCGATCGCAGACTTTCGAGGGCGGGTATGGGCAGGCGCCGCATTGCGAGGCACAGGGTTCGTTCTTCGGTACATCTGTCGCTGCCGCCGCTGACCTCGGCTTTGCAGGCGGCACGACCTACTGCGCGCTCGCGTGCATCCACCTCGCGCCTCCGCCATCGTCATCACCATCATCATCACCAACACCAACACCAACACCAACACCGTCATCAGCACCGTCATCAACACCATCATCATCGTCATCACCACCACCAACGCCAACACCAACACCGCCGCCCCCACCCGCCCGCCTCCCCCCCGCCCAACGCGCACACACCGTGCGGTGGCTCGTGCAGAAGCAAAGCGCCGACGGCGGGTTCTGCGGGCGCACGGGCAAGGCCGCAGACGCGTGCTACGGCTTCTGGTGCGGCGCCGCGCTGCGCGTGCTCGGCGCAGACACGCTCGTCGACGCGCGCGCGCTCGCACGCTTCGTCGCGCGCTGCCAGTTCCGGTTCGGCGGGATCGCGAAGGCGCCGGGCGAGCATCCCGGTGCGTGCGCGCGTCCGCCCCCGCCCCCCGCGCTTTCTCGCTGTGTCTCTGTCTGCCGTTGCTGCGTCTGACTTTTCTGACCTCGCGCTTTGGTTTGGTCTGACCCGACCTCGACGGACGGGTGCCCGCATGCGCATATGCGCGCCGCTCGCTCGCTCGCTCGCTCGCTCGCGCAGACCCGTACCACACCTACCTCTCCTCGGCGATGCTCGCGATCTACTGCGCAGAGCCCGCCGCGCGCGGCACCGACGCGCGGTGGGCGCTCGCGCCGCTCGACCCGCTGCTGAACGCGCGGCAGGACACGGCGCGCTGGGCGCGGGAGCATATCGGCGGGCGCGGCGCGGCGCGGGCACACGCGCAGGCCGTCGGTGGGGCATCGTGATAGGAGATCAGACGCGCGGGGCACAAGCATAGGCACAGGCAGCGGCGGGACGAGTCAGTGCGAAGATGTGGCATTATGTGCGGCAGGTATGAATACAATGGTACAAGAGGAGAGCAGCGATGGAGTCGTGATAAATAAGCGGGAAGGAGAGATACAGTACATCGGGGAGGGAGCGGCGGTGGCGCGCTGGTCCCTGCTGATCTAAAAGCCCTTGAAAGATGCACCGAGGCCCGCGCGCCCCAGGCTGAGTATATCCTGCGGCGTCGTTAGTAAGATAAAATAAAAAACACGGCGATCGAGAAAAAGGCCGCAAGCTCACATCGACGAGCGTGCGCAGCTCCGCGCTCTCGACGGGCGCGCCCCTCAAGCTCTGCTCTTCGCGCAAGCCGGCGCCCTTGGCGGCGACGTCGCGCATGACGGCGCTCATGGTGCTCTGCTCGTGGGCGGGCGCGCTCGAGAGGCCCGCGGTGGACTGCGCCAGGAGGTCGCGCAGCGCGACGAGCTGCTCGGAGTGCGTGATGCCCCCCGCGACGAGCGTGCGCGCGGCGTCGACGAGGTCCGCGCTGCTTAGGTACCCGGCTACGTAGAGGTATCCCATGTAGATGGCGAGGTTCAGCGCGCGCTCGGTCTGCGCGCGACGCGCCGTGGGATCGACGCGGAAGACCGAGGTGGCCAGGTCCTACGGAGAGAGGTAACGATGACAAGAAGGGTCGGCGGGGTCAGCGGGGCCAGCGGCACGCGGCAGCTGAAATGAACGACGCGGCGTACCCGCTTCCACCAGCCCCTGAACGTCGCCAGCGCATACCGCCTGACGTGCTCCGCGTACGACTCCGGATCGGCGGCGGTCGAGAACGCGTCGCCGACCAAGCACGTCAGGCTTGCGAGCTTTGAGGAGTGGACGTGCGGCGGCGCGGTGACGACCTCCCACACGATGCAGAACGCGAGGTCGCGCAGGCGCTGCGGCGTCCAGGGGCGGAGCGTCGAGACGTTGCGCGCGTGGTCTTTTAGGCGCGCCTCGTTCGGGGCGCCGAGGGCGTCGATGATGTGGTGCGTGTACGTGCGCGCGACGGGCGTCGGCCCGAGGTGGGGCAGGCGGCTCGCGTGGTCTGCGCCTTGCGCGGCGGCGGCTTGGTCGAGGTAGACCATCATTTCTTTTGCAGCGATCGCGGTGTAGGATGCAGCCCTGGGGGCGGGGCTGGGGCTGCCGTACCACATGTTGTCAGAAGGGAGACGCGGCTCGTCGGCATCGTGGGACGGCGCGGGATGCGAGGCGTAGATCATCGACGGGGGCGGTGGCACGTGGGCGGGTACGAAAGGCTGGGCCGTGGGGATCGTGTTGAACGGCGCCCGGTACGCCATTCCATACATAGGAACGGCGCCTGGATACGGAGGGAGGGCAGTGTTGTAATACGGGGGCGCGTACGGGACGTGTGTTTGCATCTGGTCACCGGAAGCACCATATTGCATTCGTGGAGGCATATACATTTGTGAGCAGAGCGGGGACGCCGATCGAGTGGAAGTGGAGGGGATGGGGAGGACAGTCGAGGGCTGGCGCGACACTTATACCCTGGCCCGCTTGGAGGTGCATAGGCCTTCGCGATCGCTTTGGCCGCCACTGTCGATGGACTGGCCCGCGAGCTCCACTTCATAACAGATCGGTGGCTCGCCCAAGCGTTACCAGAGCCTTTGCCACACAAAAATCGAGCCACGATGAATTTTGTGGCCCATCAATTGAAGCTGGAGGGCCTCGCTAGGAGTTCACCCGGGTAGTCATAAGGCGACGTCCGTGTGTCTCTCCAGCTGAGAACGAGAAAGCCAGAGGAGAGAGATCAAGATTTCCGTCGGATGCGTGTCTGTGTTTGACCGTCAGGACCTGGAGCATGGACCTTCACGTGTATGTCATATTGTGGGCAGAGCTTCGGCGGTTGCTGGATCGTGTTGACTGGCGAAATATAGCGTGGGCATCGAGGCCGTGCTGCCACAGGACCCTGGATGGCGAACAATTGAGGGCCCACTGGCATCTCCACGTCACTTTTATGGTCAAAACGCGTTCTGATGCCAGTGCAGGCGGGTGCAGCGTATATCGCATAAAGAGATTGTAAGTGATGACCTACTCGAACACGGATGTCAAAAAAGAAACAAAAGCATGGGTGGGATGGTTTGGTTCAGCTCGGTTCTGGATTTGGAGCCCCGCCATGCCACCAGACGCCCTCACTGCCCCCAGGCCTCAGGTTACCTCTTTTCTTCCATCTTTATTTTTCCAACCAGAATATCACAACGTGTTGTCCAGTGAGTTCAAGACAGTTGTTGCTGCAGCAGACTGGCTTCAAACTATCGCGGTAATGATGATCTCTGTGGCCTACAGGCGGAGGTGATCTGATGTGCGCTTGAATGTTATGAAAAGCTACAGGTATGTGGCCCTCCAGATTACATCGTAGCCTTTCCTTCCAACAAGAGGCCTCAGCATGTCCTCGGAGTTTCACAAGCTGCGAGATTAGTAAGGCATAGCGTCTACATCCAAACAGACGGATACCGATATGAAGCAGGTGTGGGGAAAGTATATCCAACTTTTTAGCGCTTCCCCTGCTTCAATGCAGCCGGCATGTCGCGGGATCGCGCCTGGTTATCATAATTCACACCGCCAGGTGTTGGGGTGTAGGAATCACATTACATCTGTCTTCGACGACATCGCAGAGATAGGGCGGTAAGCATAAGCATAAAGCTTCATTGCTCGAGCTCAAGGTCTTGCAACCGCATTGGCCTCGTGAACACTCAGAGGAAGATGGCTCCTATCCTTTCAACGCCGACGGCGGCGTCCGTTGCGGACAATGCCACATCCAAACTGCCATCTCGACAAATGACATGGCGACCAGCAACTGAAATCGGTTTCGCTCTCCGTGTGTAGTGGATCCCGATCGTCTCATTGCTGTCTATATCACTCAAAACAGCCCAGTATGCTTTTTCGCAGTCCTCGTCATATTTTGGGCCATCTCCCGCTATCTGTTAACACAGCACGCTAGAGACACCGGTATCTAAATTTTGACTTGGGCTGAAAACACCGCTCATATCCTGAATTTGTCTAGAACATACACGTTCGAACTGTTCGCCTACTCGTCGGAGCGTAGGGCGATCGTGCAGGAAACAATTCCCCATTCAATCAGTTCAGCGAACGAAACGCGATCACCGTTGTCACCCTCTACACCCGGATCTCTGCTAAGAGACCTCCACTTTAACACATCGCTTCGTCTTTCGAGGCTCTGCCACTGCTGAAGCTCAACGGGCTATGCACGTATCATGTAGGGCCAAAATTGGGGATGTCCTCCGAATACAGATTCTCATAACTTGCAGAAGATATACGCTTCCACGATCGTTGTTCCTCATACTTATCGTCTTTGAATTGCATGAAAAGATAGCTAAACACAATCTCCTAAACCCGGAGAACAGCAGAAAAGAGGACCCCATCGAGAGATGAGCAGTATGCTAAGATGGAGGGCTGCAGTATTGAGGCAGATTCAGCAACCCGAGTCAACATACGAACGGGAGGCAGCTTACACAGGAGATACCGCGGTTTTTGGGCCAGGATCCGTGGCGAGCGCCGGGTAGGGTTGCGCATCGCACTATTGTAGGTGCATATATTAGCTAAGGAGCGACAGGGAAGTTCAATGAACAGGATCATATACGCACCATTTGTTCGATATCGTTGATGTCAAACCCAGCGGGGTAATGAGGCCTGTTCTTCACCGGCTGAGGGTCCGGGATGACCTCCGAGCAATCCACCAGTTGACTTCTGTCTTGGCCTAGGATGGCCATCTTAGCCATTGCATCTCTGAATGCGGCCATCATCTTGGATTGCTGGGCTGTTTGGAGATGTCTATCAGACGATGCCTAGATGGGAGAAGACAATACTAACCAGCGAGGTCTTGCCAAGCGCATGCTGTGCGAGGGTCTTCCTGGAACGTTAGCCGGTGATCAAAGCTTCAAATAAAGGCGTTGCAACTGACCTCTTGCCAAGGCCGCATCGGACTGAAGACGCATCTCACCACCCATAGGGGACTGGACCTCACCCTTGTTGTTTCCCACTCTGAATCGGTTTCAGTCGCTCAGCTGCCGCACAGCAGATATTAGTAAGAGGACAGCGTACCCCGGCCACTGAGTACCATGGAGCTGAGTCTCGATAAAGAATTGAGTATCGAATGAACTTGGGGTAGAGTCAAAGGGCGTGCCGGGGATGGTCTCGTCGACGTTGTCGGCGCCCGCTACGGAGTGACTATGGAATGAGTTCTCGCGGTCAACACCGTTAGCATGGTTGGGCGAGTGACGTGACACTCACGACGCAAGCAGAGCTACGACCTCGTCGGGATTGAAACCTGCATCGTCGAAGCGGGCCAGAATCTGATCAACCGAGTCTAGAAAGAGGGCCAGATTATCAATTCCAAGCTCGCCGGACAATCAGGAAACATGTGCTTGCGGAAAGGCTCAGGGACCGTGAGGTCGTCGGCGGGGGCGACGGGGTCGGGACGGCCGAACATGAACTCCAGGCGGGGGGCGCCAGGGCAGTTAGACACGCCGACGGCGCCGGCAAATTGAACGCTGACGAGAGGCGCACGTTAGACCGCGGGCCCGATCGAGACAGGAACGACACATACAAGTCACCCGCGGATATGTTGTGCTTGGCGATGAACGGCTTCTGCGACTCGATGATGTCTTCGATGCCATTATTGGCCGCGTACGTCATCTCACGTTCGGAGAAGACGACAATCGAGCCATCAGCACCTCCACTGCTGATGGTGCCCTTAGAACAGGAAGGAAGGTACACAGCACGAAGCCACCTACCCGACGTTTCTCGTATTCGAGTAACCAATAGCGTCATGGAATGTCAGACGAAGCGACTCGTGCACCTCCTCGCCGCACTCTCCACCGTCGAACAGGTGCTTTTGGATATCCTCCCGAATCGTGAAGAGAGGGCAGCAGACCTCGTTCGTAGCTGTATTGACGCCGTCAGGGCAAGTTACCCGTCGGGTGACAGCGCCTGTAGATATGTTGCGTCCGCTTAAGCTCGAACCTGGTGTCCTCAGTGCAACTGGCGCTCACCATGAGCGACACCCACGAAGGCGACGAGGATAGCAACAATCTTCAAAGCCATTGCAGAGGCAAAGCGCTGTCAGAACGGAAGAGTGAAGAGTGTAGAACCAAGGAGCTCTGAGAGCTAACGACGCATGGGCATGAGCATTTATGTTTGCGATTTCGGCCTGGACGTATTGGATGACCGCGTCTGGATGTTTTCAAAATGCGGACCTAGACCGAGATGGGAAATATGGGTGGTTTTGCAATGGACTGCAGTCAGGAAAATGATACATGCGGACGCGTCATTGAAAGGTTCGATGCTGTTTCAGCACGCATGCAGCGGAGTCGTAACCCACGGAAGTAAAGGTGGGATTCCTTTTATCCGCCGCAAGTCCTTCGGGTTCTCACTTTAAAACCCTCACACAGAAGACATCGACATCATTTATGACAAAGAGCTTGACGTTACCTGGTCTCGCATAGGTCTAGCATAGGGACCAGGAGACTACACTGGACTGTTCGATTTGAAAAAATCCGTAGGGTTGAGCAGTGTGCTCTACGCCTTATGATTATGCAGAACATAGGCAAGGGATCTTCCAGGTCTGACAGTCAACAAGAGCGTTCAATAATCAAATGCCAAAAAAACTCACATCAAACAGAGTTAGCGTCCAGAGGAGCCAGAGCCAAGCACTCACGAGGGTCAAGTATCAGATTTCAAGTAGAGTACAGTCGCTACTGTTGCATCTGCGCACGCTGGTCTCTGCAGGAATCAAGCACGGATACATTCTCTCCTATCATGTAAGGAGACAAAGCATGCACAACGTACAGGCCCTGCACGTTTGATCCAGGTACCATATAAAGCGTAAAAAACATCTTACCGACATCGAACCTGGATTACGAAGGGAGTCGTACACATCTGCGGATCATGGCAGAAGCCTTAGAGCGTAAAATGGGGCATGGCATGAGGGAGGAAGTGAAGTAGAGAGACGAGAGAGGAGAGGGCAAAGAAGGAGCGTCGTAAGAGGGTCGGAGCCTGTAAAGGAGGAGCTCTAGAGCGTGACGCGTGGCCACGACTCCGGCCAAAAATGAAAGATGAAGTAAAGTAGGAAGGGGACAGCAGAACGAAACAAACGATACCACCAGACGAGAAAGAGGCGTGTTACGGCAGAGTACCTGCTGAACATGAGTTGACGCTTCCAAGGCTAAAGAAAAACGCACATGTCTATATCCTCTGTACCCCACAGACTCAAGGCAGACTGATCAATCCGGCCTGTTGTCTCACTTCCTTGGTCCTCCTCTCGACTTCATGGAACCACTCCACGGCCGTCCCAGCCTTCTTCTCCATCTCTTCCGCACCCTTGACCTCCTTCCCGCGCTCCTCCATAGCAGCCCGGAACCGCTCCCTCAGATCCCAGCTTGCCAACCTGAGCACCTTGCGCGTCTCGCGCGACACACGCATAGCGTGCGCGTTCACGAAAAGCGCCTCTTCGTTCGCCTCCTGACCCTCCTCCGGCTTGGTGAGCGACCGCCGGATCCGCCGTCCGATGGTGCGTGGGACGGTGCTGGGCAGCTCGAGGATGAAATATGCCGTGAGGCCGAGGACGCATGCGCCGACGACCGGCGCCGCCCATTTCCGAGCAGTCTCGTTGCCCACCAAGTCTGACATGCGCACGATGCCCTCGAAGAGCCCACGTGCGCCGAGCGTCTGACCGCCAACCAGAGTAAGCGCGCTGAGGCCGACAGAGACAACCCCGAGAGCACTGGCGCCGGTCTCCTCCCCATCAGCGCTTCCCTCCTTTCCGTCGCCGAAGTGCACCGAGAACTGGTGATGGATGTCGAAGAGATCCAGGAGCGTTGGCTCGAGCAAGTCTGTCCGCTGCGCGAGGCCAATGCCCAACCCGAGGTAACCGCCTGCGACGACCGCGCCTCCGAGTGAAGACCGGCGGCTCTTACGGCGATTATTCTTGCCTGCGCGGCTGCGGAGTGAGAACATAGCTTCTGGCATGAACACGCGCTGCGAGCGCTCGACGCCCTCCGGAAGATGTTCATCCCCGAGCTTCGAGATACTATCTACGCCAGTGGTAGTCGTCAAACGCGCCTCATCCTCGGCCAACTTGACCGCCATGTCAAGGCTGGCGAGAAGCGCCCTGCGGACATCGCGCGCGTAGTCCCAAAGACCGAACAGGCCGGGGTAGGATGGCATGGTTACAAGCGGTTTCTCAACCGCAAGGAGACCATGTCCGACCCTCTCAAGAGCATCGCTCAGCATCTGCTTGGTCTTCGAGTGGGTCGTAGTTGCTCCGTGCTCTTCCACAGCCTCAAGACCATCCTCTAATGCCTCCCGTCCATTCTGCATCTTCTCCAAGACAGGACGCGCCCTAAGGAGATCCTCCTTCGCGCGGTTAAGCTCAACCTGCGCCACGATCGCGTTAGCGCCAACGAGTAAGTCGACGTCCGAGAGAAGATGAGAGAGGTACGTCGACGCAGGGTTCAACTTCGACTTTGACCGCTTGACAAGGACGAACGAACGTAGCGACGCTTCGAGATCGCCGAAGGCACCGCTTGTGGAAGTTGAATTGACGACGGAGGCCGAGTCGACAAAATGTACCAGATCTTTTGCATCCTCGTACGTCCTCGGGCTCATTTCTTTGATCTGCTCCAGCACAAGTCGTCGGCACTTGGCCTTGTCCCTGATCTGTTCATACTTGTTCACGACGATGAAGATGTAAGCCTTTTCCTTGCTCGCGTTCGTTAAAAACTCCTTCGCCGATAGCGTGAAGTGGTTCTCCGCTGAGACGACGAACACCACGACGTCGATCTCCTCCTGCCTGGCAAACAACGCCGTCGTCTTGACGCTGTCGCGGTTAAGACCCGGGGCGTCGATCAACGAGATGTCTACGATTCCGTTGTTCAATAGCGAGTCGTCCGGGTTCCGAGCGTCCCGCAGATACAGCTTCAGAATCTTCTCTGAGTTTTCGTTCTCCGAGATGATGTTTTCCAGATCGGAGAGCTTCGCACGAGTGAATGTCGACTGGTCCTGAGCGTTGTAAGAAGCGCCGTCCTTGACAACGTGCACTTCCTCGACGCCATCATTCTCCGCAGCGTCGTGCACCTCACAGAACGCCGTCGTGCATGGCTGCTGGTCCACGGGCATCACCTCACGACCAAGAAGGGCATTGACAAATGTCGACTTGCCCGCGTTGAGGTCTCCAGTGACAAGGACCTTGGAGGAAGTGTCCTCGACACGAACGCGGAGCTTATCAATGTGGCTCATAGACCCAGCAATGCGTTCGTCAAGCAGGTTGGCGATGGATGACTTTTCGAGCTGAGAGACGAGGGCAGCAGGGGAATTGGAAGAGCCGTGGGCACCGAGCTTGAGGTCGAGACGGAAGACGTGGAAATCGGACGACTCGGATGCCGGGATGAGACGCTCACCGTCTTGTTCGGTGGGCTCCTCCTCTGCCTCGAGAGCATCAGCGATCGATGCCAGCGTCACCGCTCGCTTGAGAGAAGGCGAGACAACAACTTCTGTCGCTGCGGAGGGATCGTCGGCGAAAGTGAGAGAGCGGCGCATGCCCTTTCGGCGGTTGGGGACCGCAGGCTCCTGGATGTTCTCGCGGAGCTGAGGGTACCTGACCACCCACGAGTTCTTGTTGAAAGTGCGAAGTTCGCCCAGGATCGACTTGGTAGAGTCAATGGCACTGACGAGCCTGACGAACACGAGCTCAACGAGAGGGATGTGATGGGAATGCAACACATCAGCTCACCTGTCCTTGTGGTCAAGATACGCCTCCTGCACACCCTTGAGCTGCGATTCACCCATCATCGGCGTCTCCGCTGGCAATGATAAATTAGAGTGTTTTGTTTGAGAAAAGTACGACTGGGACATTGGGGAAAATGTCGGTTGCCGTCGAGGTTGTGTCGTAGTTGTCTAACGTGCGAGACGGCGCGAACCGGCTCCAAGTCTTCAAATCTGACTCAGCACCGCGTGACGAGATCCGTAGGGACAGACCTCGGACACCTACTCCCAGACCCTTTAGGCCGGTCGAGAGCAAGCCGAGGCGGGCGTGGATCGTCAGCTCATCAGAGACTCGCAGCATTCTGCGCCACATATCCAGTAGATCTGGAGAAATATTAGAGCCATGCACTGTCCGTGTGATATAGCACATCAGGTGACTCCAATGGACTCTCCGGGGTCCTTGCCATTCGCAGAAGCCCGTTTTTTGGTCAGTTGCTTGCACACAAACTAACCTTTTCATAAAATGGCCAAGAACGAGCTCATCGACGCTCACGTCTCGTCGCGGCAGTGCAAGCGCGCTGTAAATGCCCTTCTCACACATGCTATCAAACACCAAGAGCAGAAACAGGAGACGGAGCTCCTGGCCGGGAAGGAGCAGCACGTATGGCTGCAGGTCGCCGTGAAGAGGATGCACCCAGAGAAAAAGCTCAAACCATTCAAGATGTACGTGGTATTTTCTTCATTAGCATCATATCGCCTAACCATGGCGTTGTCACTCTCATCATAAAGTCCATTGAAGTATCCTCTGGTCGACCCACGCACATCCTCTGTCTGCTTGATCACGAAAGACCCACAGCGCGAGTACAAAGACTTGCTCGACTCGCACGGCATCAAGTTTATTAACCGCGTCGTCGGCATCACAAAATTAAAGGGAAAGTTTAAGCCATTTGAGGCCCGAAGACTTCTCCTGCAAGAAAATGGCTTGTTTTTGGCAGATGAGCGTGTTGTGCCTTTGCTGCCAGGGTTATTGGGGAGGAAGTTTTTCGATGCAAAGAAGTGTGTCCCTTCGTTGTTCTTTTTCGCTCGCCATGCACTAACCATTATATACTTAAGGCAGCCGATTCCTGTATGTCTCACGCGCAAAGACCTCAAAGGCGAACTAGAGCGTGCTATCTCGTCTACGTACATGCACCAAAATCAGGGCACATGCACGTGAGTATGGTATCCTTTCCTCTCTAGCAAGACTGACCGTTGTGCTGCAATAGGTCCATCAAAATCGGCACCCTTTCTCAGACCCCATCTCAAGTTCTTGCCAACCTCGAGATTGCCCTGCCTTCTGTCGTCAAAAACATTCACGATGGTTGGGAAAACGTGCAAAGTTTGAGCATCAAAACCAACAGCAGCGCGAGCTTGCCGATATGGTCGTGTGAACTAGGAGCAGAGGATGGTGGGCGGTGGGACGGGTTGGTCGCGGGAGACGAATCGGACGAATCTTCAAGTGATGAGGAGGGTGGCGAAGAAGCAGGAGACAGCGACGAGGACGAGGCAATGCAGGTGGACGAGCTGAAGGCGCCACCAATCCTTCCGCCAAAAGAGAAATCGAAAGGTACCAAGAGAGTTGCCGAGGAGGGAGAGGGAGAGAAACCGAAAAAAAAGGCAAAGGGCGAGGTTTCTGCCGGTCTTCCGCAATCGATTCCATCCCCTTCCTTACAATTACAAAAAGCAGTGAGTTCAGTGTCGCTCGAAGCCATCTCCTCAATTTCTTACATGTCTGCTCTACCTATAGGCTGACGCTGCCCCTTCACGGCCGGATGCCCTCGGCTCTATCGCGAAGAAAAAACGACAGGCACCCACCTTGTCCCAGCCGGAGCCAGCACCTCCCGCTCCTGCACCTCAGGTAGATGTCAGTCCTCCCTCAGCCGACTCTCAGCCCGCTCCTGCCAAAAAACTCAAGCGGAAACAGCTGAGGAAAGCTGAAGCTGAGGCGGCGGAGGCGGCCCTTGTTCCCGCGAACGCGCAAGAGAATGCCCCAGAAAGTATCGTCAACCCGGCTGAAGCCAGCGAGGCGGTTGCACCCGTCAAGAATCGGAAGAGACGAAAGTCCAAAGCCAGCACTGGAGACGTTGATGCCGTCTCCGCTGCTTCTGCAAATGCGGATGCAGTCCCCGCTCCATCGGTCTCTCTCCCTCCGACCGCCGCCACTTCTTCTGTCCCAGATCCTAGAGCCGTGACCAAGAGGGCCAAGAGGAAAAAGGGTGACGCCGCTGCTAGCAAGGATACCGCCGCTCCTTCTCTGGTGCCAGAGCCTGCCCCCATTTCCATCCTGCCGGTGACCCCTGACGCTGCCGAAGCCGATGGCACACATGCCAGCAAAAAGAGGAGAAGAGCGAAGAAGAGCGGCGCGGCCCTCGTTGCCCCCTCCAGTTCCGCTTCTGCATCCACCGGCGGTCAGCCCGAAGCCACGGTCAAATCCATCGCGGCGGACAATAAAAAATCGGCCGAGAGCGCATTGACGGCAGAGGAGCTGAAGCAGAAGAGGAATACAGGCATTGTGGGCGAAAAGAAGAAAGAGAAGATCATGAAGAGGAGAAAGGGGAACGCGAGCGCGAAGGAGGGACTGGTAGGGAAGCAGTAGTCGGAGCACCGGAGCGAGAAGTGACTCCATATATAGATCCATTGCTTTCTTGCACTCGATTGTCCTTCATCGATCTATCACCATCGTACTCTTATGAGAGTTGTGAATTATGGACGTCCTAAACCATTTGTTGAGACTGTCGATATTCCTCGACAGAAAGTTCCAGGTTCGTGGATGACTAAATTACTATAAACACTCGGCCGGTGCCCGGCCAGTCTCGCCCTCTTCCTCGCTGCACCCCACACGGTTGAATTCGTCCAACCCGTACTTCCTCTTTCCTCCTCTCTCCTACATATGACACTCTGTTTTTTGCAAATACAATGTAGCACAGACGGTATCAAGTTGTGCATATGGTGTCGTTAAATCATGAACTAGGGTCTCCGGTCAACCAATTACCGGCCAATTCAACTGGGCATCAACGCATCAGCTGGCAGTCGAACTGCAACGCAATGGTATGCAAATTCAGAGTCCTGCTCAACCACCAATGTCGGCGAGCCGTCAGTCTACCAAAGTATCTATTCCCCACACCTCCGAGGATGGGATCTCCATCGTTGGATCCCTTGAACAGCTGGAACCCACTAAGCCGACCCAAGGTCGCAAGATTGCATTGGTGCGTTGTTTGGTTGGTGCATGCCAGCGAAGCCGTTTCCTTACGTTGAGTGCCATGTTCCGCCGATCATTGAAACGGAAGATTCTGCATGGAACTATGGGGTGAGTGCTATTTCTCCCCTTCTCTGTGTATATGATACTGACTGTAGTTCTACGCACCACACGCGTACCGATCGGACGGTGGCAGACATAAAGATTACTTGTTCCAGAAACGTTTAGCACTGAGCCTTCCCTTAGATTCTTTTCGCTTTGATTTCCGGTATGTTCAAATTTAGCAGCAGTTCTGGTGTCGGATCCTGATGCGGGCTCTCCAACACGATTCTGACTCCAGCGGCAATCATGAGACAGGAGGCACGTGGAAATATAGTGGACTAACGGAGGACATGGAAGACTTATGCATCGTCGTGGACCATCTGACGCGCGTGTACGGCTACGAGATCGATTTGTTGGTTGCCCACTCGCGCGGTAGCCTCGTGGCTTTCCACTGGTTCTGCACCTCTGAAGATGCGAAGCGCGTCGGCGGCTTGGTGAATGTCTCAGGGCGCTACCAAATGAACGTAAGCTGCGCCTTCCTTTTTAAAATCCATCGTTCGATACTTTCGGTTCACACTTGAAATTGGGTCGGGCCATGTGAATCGGATCGTGCAGAGGATCTACGGTACGTTCTGAACATCCGGACATTCTCGCGCCATTCTTTCCTCGCTAACGTATCACGCACTCCACTTCGACGTCGACTCCGACTCCGACCATGACGAATGACGACACCCACATATATGTGCGCTACCCTCCTTATCGACTGCGCAGAGCAAACGCAGCAATACCAGGCTTCCTTCAAGGAGCGGGGGTACTATGATTGGGAGACCGTCGTTGCGCGGAAGCGCGTCGTTGGTCGGATCTACCCTTCCGATATCGAGCAGTTCGCCAATTGGCGTGGGACCGCCGCTGTCTGGGACAAGTTCCCGCAGCACACTGATGTGCTCTCCGTACACGGTCTCGCGGACAAGACTGTATCCCCGTATGTGCTGCCCCGTACCGCCGCTGCGTCGCGACACAGCGTCGGATCAGTATACTAACTGGGCTGTCGTGCTTTTTTGCTCTATATTGGGTCTCGGCGTCCGCGGTGCCCTTACACGGTCGGATGGACGGATATGGGTCGCTGATTGACCTACGGCGTGCCTAGGTACGACTCAATGATCTTCGCTCGCGCATTGGGAGCTCGCGAGGGCGGGACGCACAACCTCCATTACATCGAAGACGGGGACCACATCTTTACAGGAGTGCGTCTGCTCCCCGTCCTGCTCTGTCTTACCATCCTAATTGCATCAATCATGGGTTTCTCCGCCATCGCTCAGAAGCACGACGAGGTCATCCAAACCATCTTGGCGTGGTGGGAGATGCGCACGCGCGGGGAACTCAGGACGGGCGTGTGGCAGACAGGCATACGGGGCAAGCTTTGAAATGATCTGAATCGGATCATCGGCGCTGTCTCGCTTGCTTAAACGGTTATCGTATATCAACGTTGTCAACATTTATAGGATCTGTGCGAATCTTCTCCCTGTCCTTCCGATGCATATTGTGACTTTTCTCGGTCCCTTTCCAGTTTACGAACGGATGTACGGGCCTTTGTCGTCCACATCAATTCGCCATATAAATCTCATATAGCGTCGGCATGACACCGCCAGGATGAGTACGATGTATCCCAATGGCGTTCAAGAGATGGTATCGCAACAGAAGGGTCCTTGGAAAACAAAAATGCAAATGTGGAAGGAAATCGAACGTGGAAGGTACTGTCGACGCAGGATTGTGGTTATGGCAAAACGCCCAGAGCGTGCCCATGCTCCAGACCTCTGTAAGTATATCGATCAGTTTGATTGGACGTCTGTCATGATATCGTGAACATTTTCGGTGCCTGCAGGGGTCTCCCGAAAGTACGTACTTGCTCGCCATTCCGCTGCACTTCATCCATATGATTTGGAGCCCGAGCCCAATGAACACGCCCTCAGTAATCTTTCCCCTTCCAGCATTTATCACCGACGATTTGACACAAATTGAGCTAATACTTGGTATCCATACATCCTGCGCGAGCGCTCGCCCTGTTCGCTCGCCGGAGAAATCACGACCTAAATTGGGGTGCGATACGACACAATGCGGTATCCTGCGGCATCACACCCATTAGGTTCCGTTAGGCTCCCAACGGCTCCCAACAGTCGCGATCACTGAAGCCAGCCCTTTCTTCCTGCCCGATCGAGAAGTCCGGCGCCAGGGCTCAGGGACCCAACCACACCGAGCGTATCTCCGTGTCTTGCCGGCTACGAGAACACCTTCGAGCTGCTACCTTTTGGTTATACGCTGGTCACTTCGCCCTTCGGACTCGTAAGTCGCCATCGCGGAGGCATATTGCGAGTGCAGGGCGCGCGCGGCGCTGCCGTACGGGCACATGACGCTCTGCACGCCTTCGGATGCCGGTGGATACCATGGGTTGTGCAAGCACTCGAGAGCTCTGATGGACGCACGAGCACTTGATATTCAAAGGGGGATCGAGGGGCCGGGATCTTCTGCGTCTTGTGCGGTGTGCTCGCTCACGATGCATTTCTCAAGAAGAACAAACTGCGTGTCGTCGTATAGGCGGGGGACTGATCCTTTTGATTGGCGTAGGCGCCACGACTGTTGGCGGCGCGAGTGAACAGATCTGTTGCAACACACACGCCGGCACTGTACGACATGACAAGCCTGCGTCTGCACGTCTATCTGTTGATTAGATCATTAGACATTTCGCGCGCAGCGTTGTGCCGTAGCGCTGAGCTGCGCGCTGATCTCTCAGCGTCTGTGTGCCCGGCCAGGCAACTGTAGGAAGATAGGGCGGTCCGTTCCTAGACCAGGGTGGGAACAGTACCTCTTTAGCTAGAGACGCGCATGAAGATAGATCGCTGATCGGAACCATGGGAAGCGACCAGTGCGAACAAGGAGCCAGGTGAAAGAAGCTACACGGAGGATTCGACACGCCATCCAATCACTTCGTCATCTGTCAATCATGTCATGAACTATCGCACCTGTAGGTGTTTCAAGGTATACATGGGATTCAGGATGATGATCGGGACCGTGTGCTGCACACGCTGAAACATGTCATGAGCACTGATCTCGGATGCAGACCCACACCGTTACTACGGCCGTGTAGGTAACTTTCATTTGAGTAAGCTCATGACGCCCAGGCGACGTGCTATCGCCGCCGAGCTACCATTGAAGCTTGAAGACTAATCGAAAAGGTTGACGCCGGTGATTTATGCCCCTTTTCATCCACGTCAATACAGTGATCCAATATACTCGACTTGGAAGGTGGCAAGGAATTTCAACGTCTGGCAAGGGAAGCTGTGAAGATGATCGATATATATTACTCCTGATCTACAATGGAACCGTACGTGGTAAATAATCTATCAGTACCCTGACCGAGTCAAATGGAGCAAAGGGCATATGGTAATGGGAATCATCAACAGATCGAGCGGGGATGCGATAGCATAACGCTACCTGCGAAAGCGGAATACGAGTATACGAGATGAGACGGAATGAGTAATAAAGTAGGGGGTATGATGAGGCGGAATCATGGGAACGATTAGCTTGGGAATGTAGTGGGTGGGGGCGGGCAAGCACTGTCACTGAAGCGATGCGCCACCGACGAGGCTTCGCGAACCCGAGCGGGTCACTCCAACGAAGAGTCGCCTTCTATCCTATCTTGGCTCCTGTCAACTTCCAACGTCTTTCGATCCGAGCGCGCGCACCCGACGCCGACGTGGATCGCGTCCACCGCGTCCGCTCCTCGCACGTCTCCGTGGCAACTCTTATATCTGTCCGATGTGGGGCGGGGGCGGCAGAGGCGCGAACGGACGGCGCGCGCTGATGTGATACGATATGGTCATCCTGACGTGGGGTGGGCTGGGTAACAGGTGTGGTGAACGAACTGTAGGGTGGTGGAGTGGGTGGTTGTGTCTATGAAAGTGAGACGCGCTGTAATCCTGGGGCCACAATCTATTAGCATCTCCTCTGGGCCACGATGGGGGGGATCCTCCCGGACGCTGCAAAATCAAAAGAAAAACGAAGTCGAGATCGAGATGGTCAGCGGGTCAGAAGAAGACCACGCCTTGGCTGCTAGCACTCGCGCGGATGGCGTTTTGGGAGGACGAAGAGGATGAGGAGCTGGAGGACGACTGGGTCTGAGACCGGCCGCCACTCAGGCCAAAGGAGGAGAGCAGGCCCCGCGTGCCGGACGAGGGTGAAGGAAGGCCTTTGAGAGAGACCTCGAACTCGTTCTGCTTGGAGGAGGTGGAGTAGTCGGACATGGGGGGTCGGGTGGATGGGGGTGGGGAGGCGAGCGGGGTGATTTATGAATTATCTGTGTGGGTGGGATGGATCCGCTACTGGATTGGAGAGCACGTTGGGAGGAAGGGAATGATGGCGCTTGGACTCTTTATAGGCAACCCGACGGAAACAAAATAAAATTGGGGGCGAGCGGCCACCCATATTGGGAAGCTAAGCGAGGACAATACCGGTGCTGGGCGATAGACGGCGTCTGACTGGTCTCTGCAGCGAAGCAGTTCGGCACGATGATCTGGGTGGAGAGGGCCGAGGAGCAGTGCAGGCAGGTAAGCGCGCGAAGACGATTGTTACGTGCAATTGGATATACGGTACAACACGTCAGATTCCATAGATTCCACTCCTCCAGCCAGGCACTGCGTCCCGGTCTCGCTCACTCCTGAGCCCTCCTTGTGCAGATGGGCACACATGGGAGATATCACTCGTCGCGGACGCCGCCTGGGAAGATCCGGTCCTGACGGATCCAGATACACCTCGAAAATTAAAATGCCCGATCCATCCCCGATTCCTCCTGCGCCGCGTGCACGGCTATTTCCCTTGCTTTCCGCACCCCATCCCACCCCTCTGCTAGACCTGCGCTGGTTCTAGTTTCGTCTGGCATATGGAAGGGGGTCAATGCAGGGGCATCGTACGGAGGACGCGGCGGGCGCCCGGGAATTGATACCACCGACTCGGAAGAACCCTGCGTCGAGGGTTGAGTCTGACGGGCGAATTCGCACTGCAGCGCAACGTACTTGGTGCCAGTCATCATTTGAGAATGGTATATATAGCGGTAGCAACAGGCATCTCCTAGTGGACGACCCGTGATCGTGCTCGAATCAACTGCGTCCATTCTGGCCTCGATGCCGCCAAGTCAGCGTTCGTGAAATAGCTAAGATGAAATGCAAACTTGGAGATCTAGAATGTCGAACAATCACTTAGAGATAAGAAACCAAATCTCATGACGCATTATGGCTGCAACAAACCAGATCTATGCACGACGTGTTCGCCTGATTGCCAGAAGCATGACGGGCGTCCGGCAAATTAGTTTGCTCGAATCTATCAACAAAAATGCCGTGGGATGGAAACCACAAAGACAGCACCAGGCAGCAGCCTCGACCAATGCCCTCAGGGACTGCCTTCCTGCTTCGAATCAATTGTCGGGGTTCAAACGTCCATCATTGCAGAAGCTTCCGGAACTTGCATACGGAGGTACTATACAGGACCTGGATGACTCTTGATGACAAGTATCTGATAGATCATATTGCAACTCAAACCTCTTTGCATGGCGTGATGAGCAATGGTCAGCAGTATAGTATGTCGATTGCCAAAGTATATCTGTTACGACAGCTCGGGCAGAAGACTTTCACTTCAGAAGGAAATCAAAAGCTCAAACTCACAGGGTCGAGCCCAAAGGCGATGCAAGTGTGACGGCATCTACAAGCCTTCTAGCTTCGATTTCGAGGCGCATAGTCTTCCATGACCAGCATGATATCTCAGATGTCCAGTCAAACAAACGATGGATTGCTGACAGACCTGTATGACTACTTACCCTCATTTTTGGGGATAGATACGCAGTGGGCCAGACCCTGGGCTGAATGTGTTCGCTCTCGTGTGCGCACGACAACGAACGTGATGGAAATAAACTAGGTATTGCAATGCCCACTTCTTTCGAACGATACACGGCTGCAAAACCAACACAGGAGTGCTTAGCGGTGACGATGCTCCAATCGTTGATCAGTGCTGACCTCATCCCCTTGTCACGCAGGGACGCCGAATGGTTCCTCATCGCTCGGACGGTATCTAGACGACCTCGACGATTATCTTGCCACTGAGGACGTTCGAAAAATGATTGTTTCTAATGAGTCAGCGGAGGCTTGGGCTCCGACGAGCGGCGAGCGGGAACAGGGTATCGAGACACGCACCTATTCTTATCGGCTTCCATCTCTTTGGTAGCCTCTTGGATGGCAGTCCATGGGTACACCTGTGCCCAAACCGCCGGACACACGGACCACAAACATGGAAGAACAACAACGGTCAATGTTGAATTCTCTGTATAGAACCCCGAAACGTAGCTGAGGCGGGTCCTGAGGGCCCGACAGGCGGATCGTACCGGGCACTCAACCTGGCGAGGACCGCCATTCAGTAGAGGTAATTGATTCGTGGCTTACCCTGTGAATATATGTCCTGATGGCCCCCCTGTCTTGGCTGCCCGTGATGTGATCAAGAACCTCGCGTTTAAATCTGCCATGGCCGTTTCAGATCAATCGGGATATCAGAGCACATCAGTAGACATTGCTTCGAAGTCCGAAGCGGCAAACAAAGGATGAGAGAAAGGGGAAGGAGGACAGGGGAACACAGAATGGGGCGTGGATTCTTCCGAGAATTCGATCAGGCTGCGGATACGATGAGACGGTGATCTCTAGCCTACTGCAATCAGATACTGAACAGGCGGGCGCGATCAAGGGCGGGTGGAGCCCCACAACGAGCTGGCTCAGGCCGGCGGGATCTAAGGAGGCCAAAGGGGAGAGTAGCAAGAATCATTGTACTTACCTAGTGATGAGATCTGCCTGGTAAGCGCTTGAGCGGGAGCGAAGCGTAGAGCCCTGTATTTTCAAGCGCTTGTACAGAATCGGTCCGAGGTTGGCTTGCTCAACCACAGGTCCTGCAAGGTCGCACGACGGCGTAAGTGACATACGAACGATATTATTCGCCGTGAAGAAAGAATTGCGACGTTCACTCACCACTCAGCATAGCCAATAACGTCATGCGCCCGTCGGTGGCAAGTGCCTCAATATTACGCGACCAATGACTTTGTCCCACCATGTCAACGATGACATCCACGCCTTTCCCCGCAGTGACGGTCTTCGCAATTTCGGCAAAATCCTGTGTCTTGTAGTTCGCTACGTGCGTGGCGCCGGCAGGCAGAGATAAGAGCCAGTCCAATTTCTCCTTTGTTGACGCCGTCGCCGTCACGGTGGTGCTATGGAGGCCATGCGGCGAGACATATGACGCGTTTCATTCAAAACCGGTTAATACACGGAGGGGAGATATCAGCGTCAAAATTTGAAAAGAGTCCGCAACATACGATCGACTTACGCGCCAAAGAAGCGTGACAGCTGGATTGCAGCAACGCCCACGCCTGAAGCACCGGCATGTATTAACACATCGTCTTTGCTATGTAACTCTGCGACCAACACTAGAGCTTGGAACGCTGAAAATACGGACGAATATGGCGAAGAAGTCAGTCGGTGAGAAGATCAGATAAGTGCGTTTGTGTACGTACCAGTGAGGAAGTTTTCCGGAATGCTGGCTGCTTCTGCCCATGAAAGGTGGTTTGGTTTCTTCGCAATGTGCGTCTGCTGAACGACGATATACTCCGCGTATGCTCCCTGTCGCCGTTTGCCGTATGATGTGAGTTCTGCAGCATTAAAGCGAAAGCGGAGAAGGCCGTATGTACCCCACCAGCAAGCCCGAGCACCTCGTCGCCCTCTTTCCATTCCATCACATCTTTTCCAAGCCCCACGATATGTCCAGAGAATTCTACACCGAGGATCATAGATGCTCCCTTCGGCGGCGGGTACTTTCCCTCACGCTGGCTGATGTCCATGCGATTGAGACCGAACGCTCTGATCTGGACGTGACACGGTGATTCTGTGGTCTCGACCATCCATCAGAGACAGGGCATACCTTCACGAGCACTTGACCCGCACCCGGGGAGGGTTTGGGTACCTCACCGAGGTAAAGATTCTCTACAGGCCCCTGGCCATCCCGAATGAGCACCGCACGCATCGACATGTCAACCTGCTATCAAAGTGTTGGATAGGGTATCACGACGGAACGAGCGCTCGGCAAAAAGATGGGTCGAATCTGTAATAAGATTGAGCTCCTTCGACATCTGAAAGTGAACATATCGGTTCCAAAGGCTAGGCGAAACCAAGCATCACAGCAGCACGATGCTGCATTCCCACCTGCACCCACGTTCCATCAGAAACCTTGGCAGACTCACGGTCTTTAGATGTCAAAAAACTTGGAGTGTAGGCACCGGACAGGAGGACTAAGAATGTACGATGTCGGTCTCAAGAGAGGATGGATGTGGGAAAAACGAGCACTCCTGGACATGCGAGTTTTCGTCAGTGGCTTCGTCAGATGTTGTCTTCGGCCCATGACAGAGCCGGTCGATCGATATGTCAGATTTTGCTCAGGCCTTGGTAAGGTCGCCGCCAGACTTTGCGACGTGACACGAAAAGGGAAGCCGGATCATATGTGATTCTGGATTATGAGAACGGGAATGAGTCTTTGGTTGTGACTTCGACGCCCCTCAAAAGTCAAGAGTCCAGCAACGGGGACACAGAAAACCCAGGCAAATGCGAATGCAGCCTTCACGTGATGACTAGCACTTTGCACGTGCATGACGCGGGCGACTTTCGCGAATCTGCAAACAAGGGACAGCAGAGAACGCCTAGGGACATCCAGTTGATGTGAATAAATCGAAATCTAGGCTTATAATATAGAGGTACATGTCGGGTATGACAGCGTATGGCAAGAGGTTGATCATGATACTTCTCACGTCACATAGAGGTTCAGGACTGAGCGGAGGCCTCACATCCGTAAATCATTTCACCTCCGGTTTTCCACCAAGTACCTTGGGAAATTTTTGACCATAATTACAAATTATGGTTCTCCCGTGTCGCCACAATTGAGTTGTGAAGGAGGAAAGCTCGAAACTCACCTCGGAAATGGAACGGTAGCGCCGACTCTGCAAGTCAATGGAAAAAGCTCACATACCAGAGATAACGGGTAATCCTACCTCCGTCCTGATTCCAAGTCTCTGCTTGTAGAACAAGAGACCTAGAGTCCATAGGGGTCGTACTGAGTCGTGGATGGACTCCAGCTTCTCAGGGGTTCATCCAATGATCGGTGTCGTCGAGATTGAGACTCCGGTGACAAGCAGAGAAAATCCTGGGCAACGTTATGCATCATGCATCATGTGAGAAACAGGGACGTACACCGACGTGCGAGGCCAACCAGGTGGTCTAGAGTAGATTATTCTTGTATACGGAAGGATGCCACTTTGAGCGACTTCGATTTGAAGCTCCCTTCAAACTCTGACCCAAAAGCAGAGGCCAAGTCGTAAGCCTTACGGGATTCTAACGTCAACCTTCAAGATATTTCGGTGTATTCTTTCCCCGCCTACTGTCTTCCGTAACGTCAAAAGCATTCAGTCCTGTCAAGCTGAACAAGAGTGCCCTCACCCACGTAAGATAAGAGATATTGGGAAGCATAGAGATGTATTTTCCTTTAGCTCAACAATTGTATACATGGACAGCGGCTGTCAATGTCAAGCAACGATCAACAAGCGCGAATTGAAATTTCGAGGGGACAGAATAGAAGACGATATAAGATAGCTCGACTCATCAACAAGCATCAGTATCGTGGGCCAATCCAGCGGCTAAGAATGAGGGGTATCTCCACAGCGAAAGAGCTGAACGCAAGCGAACAGGCTTCATCATTTTACTGGCCGGCTTGGATGGCCTTCTGTTGCGCGCTGAAGGTCGTGGATGCAACAGGACATCCCTTTCCGGGTCCGTTCAGATTCTGCAGCGTCACAGCAGCGGCATTCAGCCGCGCGAGTTTGGACGCCTTCGAGGCGTCCGTCGGGAAGCTGACCTGCACCGAAGGGTTGTTGATCGCGTGCCCGGCGTTCACATTGGCGGTCAATTGCTACTCAAATAAGACGGATGGAATCATGAGACCAAGCAGAATTCAACGGGGCGCGGAAGCGAGAAAACGAGAGCTCACCGCGATGTATGTCTCCTGCGTAGGCGGACACGCGCACGGAATTTTGACTGGTTTTCCGTCTGTGCCGTTCACGGCACCGTCACAATCACCCGAGCCTAGAATAGATCGTGCAGATACCAGAGATACGTTAGCGGGCACGCCAGGGTCTCCCAAGCCCGAGGCAGCTGGAAAGATTAGAAGAGAAGCACTAAACAGCGTACCTGTAGGGTTCACGCCGGATTGGAAACCCAAGGGCGGCGCGAGAGCGGCGATGGAGGTGGCAGATGCGGCTGAGGAGGAGGATGGAGCGCTTGAGGACGTCGTCGGCGCCGCGGTTGCCACGGCTGTTGAAGATGTTGTGGCAGTCACGCGCGAGGTGCCGGCAGAGGGAGAACCGGCGGAAGGGACAACGCTCGCGGGCAGCGGGAGGCCGGCTTGGATAGCCTTCTGCTGCGCGGAGAACGTCGTGGAAACGATGGGACAACCAACTCCAGGGCCATTGAGGTTCTGGAGCGTCACGGCAGCGGCATTGAGGCGCGCGAGCTGGGAGGCGGTGGAGTTGTCTGTGGGAAAGGAGAGTGCGACGGAGGGATTGTGCACTGCGTGGCCTGCTCGGACGTTTGCGGTCAGATTCTATAGAAATGACGTGAAATATTGGATCAGACGAAGTTAGATTGGTATCAGTCCGAGATGCGAAGTGATCTCGGATAGTAACAGGCTTACCGCGATGTAGTCATTCTGGTCTGGTGGACAAGAACACGGTATCTTAATGGGTTGACCGTTGGCATCGTCCACGGCACCGTCGCAATCGCCCGTTCCTGCAAGACGGCAATCAGATTGGTATCCGACCCTCTCACTTGAGGGGCGCGGATCGGCTACGAATGAATTGAGAACATGGAAGTATCGTACCCGTGGGATTCACGCCAGAAATAAAGCCAAGGGGTGGTGCAAGTTCGGCGATGGCACTATCCGACGCTCCGGAAGACGACGTAGGGGCTGGAGCCGATGATCCCACGGAGGTGACTGTGGCCGATGCTGAGGTGGCCGGAGCAGACTCATGCGTCGAAGTGGCTGGAGCGCTGGACGAGACTGCCACAGGGCCGCAAGTGAGACTTGGTGGATCCGATGACGAAGTTGAGGCTGGGGGCGAAGGTGCGGCACTCGGTGGCAGGGGCTTGCCAGCCTGAATAGCTTGTTGCTGCGCGGAAAAGGTAGTCGAGACTATCGGACAGCCTACACCTGAGCCATTCAGATTCTGCAAGGTAACAGCTGCAGCGTTGAGGCGCGCCAGCTGTGAGGCGGTGGAGTTGTCGGTGGGGAATGAAAGGCCGACAGTGGGATTCGTGACGACATGGCCAGCAGCAAGGTTCGCGTTGAGATCCTGAAGCGACGGCCTGTGAGTCAGGTATCATCTGAAATCCTTTTAGAAACACATACTTTGATGAACAAGTCGCGATCCGGAGGACACGCGCAAGGTATTTTAATGGGCTTGCCATCGGCACCATTCACAGCGCCATCGCAATCCCCGGATCCTGAACGAATCGTTTCCACTATTATAAGCCACTAGAGTAGGAGGTTATCTCACCAGTAGGGTTCACTCCGGACTGCCATCCGAATTGGGGAACAAGACTAGGGTCGACGTCCCGTTTGACGGGATGGGATGCCACTGACGCGATGAGCACGGCGAGGAATAGAACGAGAACAGTCGGGCACTTCATGTTGGCCGGTCGAGCGGTCGATTGGAAGCGTGTAAGAGTGTTCGATTGTAAGGAGCGAGGTCAAGGATCAAAGTCAACTATCGATGAGAGCGGACGACCTGCGCGATTTTTGCGCTGTGAAAGTGAAAGTGAGTAAAGAAAGGCGAGCCGACACGGTCGGCGTTGGAAGATCGAGCAGAAACGAGGAGAAAGGGAAGATCAGTGGAGTTTGAGAGCGCCCAGCAGGCCACCAGCCTGCTTTTATAGCATTACTTTTCTGTCAAAATGTTGGCTTTCAAAAATAGACGCTTTCTGTCGCGTCATGCGTGGGATCGCCGCTGCCAAAGGATGGTTACCCGAGCTGTCTAAGACATAAGGCCTATGTTCAGTTTTTGGGATACTCGGTCCTTCGAACCCCTTCTCTATTAATCAGGGAATCTATACAGTTGGTGCGGTTCAGACACCCTCCTAGGGCGGCCAATTTCATCGAGTGGTCTTTCCGATGCGAATGTGATGAACAGCGGAGACGTACCAGATATCTTTCCGCCGGAGATGCGCGCGGCTGCAGTCGCCAGGAGGTCGCTTGAACGGACATATCTTTGGCGCCCTCGGCTTCGATTCTCACATGTTTCGGTCTGGCCAACAGACCATCATGATTTCCTGCTCATCGGAACATGTCGCACCACAGTGGTCGACACAACAAATGGAAGTGGTGGACGCACATTAAGGGCCCGTGGGGCTTCCATTTCTACAACAAATCGGGCTGGCGCGCTGGATTCTGCGGAAGGCATTTGCGTGAGTGTGCCTGAGGCCTGAGGCTTATACGGTTGTAGCAGAGCGGTACATATACAGGGAACGCACGGTGCCATCTTGCTGATGCAGGCTGAAATCAATCAGGTCATGGGCGTCTTTAACCTCACATCCCGACGCGGCGCCAGCGTTGGACATGGGGAAAACATACTGTTTTTGGCCACACGGTCCGGCAGAGAGCTCGCACGGTCCGCACCGTCCAGAGGACGACTCCCATGCACTTGTCCGAATATAATACAGCTACTGGCCTTCTCTGCACTGGCCTCCATGGTTTCCGTTATCCTTTCCGCTGCTTTGACATACCTTGTGTATATCAGTAGTACTGCCTTTGGACACGCCAACCCGCGCGAATTGGTCGTTCATCGACATGTGGACGCGAAGATATGTTCTGTCATACAGGCTCGAGAGACCCAACATCACAGAAGACTAGGAGTCTCGTTGGAAAGTCATGTCACTGAGACAGCCATGGTCAGCACACACGATGGCAAAGGGATTATGGAGAGGATACGTTTGTACGCGCACAGCGACAGCGTCTTGTGGGACCAGCTTTCCTCCATTTGCGAAGGCCACAAATTGGACTTCTCATCGTTCTCTCAACATATTCCCCTTTCGATTGCCTTGCATGGCGATGACTCCCAGCTGGCTCTTCAGGCACCTACGGAGGACGCCATCAAGGTGCATTCAGTTTTGCCATTGGATGTGCAGCGTATCGCAGGGTCGGGTCCGCCTGCCAATCGCGTGGATTTGACTTTTTTCTCGGATGGCTGTGAGTGATATTGTATCATTCAACCCCGTTCAATCATCGCGTGGGTGACCTGTGCTCCAGTCCATCTTCCCACCTATACCAGTACTCGAACTCTGATTTTTGAGACAAAACCGGAATTGACATGCTTGTTGCGGCGGCTTTGGATCAACGGGTTATCTGACCAATGTTGATAGATTTGGCCTCGGAGCAGGACAAGTTCATCAAAGATGTGACGCGCCTCGTCTCTGAGATCTCGAAAAACCAGACATTTCATACCGTCGCTCCCCTGCTCAACTTCTGGGCCGCGTTCACCCCGAGCAACGAGGCAGGCCTTACGCCTATATATCAAAAGAACCTTCAATTTTGTCGCTGATATAACATTTATAGAGCGGCGTCGGCGTCGGTGGCATACCAAAAGAGTGAGGCTGCCTCGTCTGCCGTCGACGACCCTGATTGACACTTTCGTCAGTACCCCGTTTGGTCTCTATCGCGATGGAACAGAATTGCGCGGATTGTACTATGCTAGGCCGGAAGTCGCGCGCGCCGCCTGCGATTCTTTGGGCGACCGGTGCGACTATCCCATCCTGATAGGTGCGCCTTGTTCAAGCCTCTGAAGATTTGGGGCTGTGGAATGTTTATAACCCTTCAGGGAACGATCCTCTGTATGGAGGTATGTCTTGTTACATAGCTTGCGTCGGGTTCTCTGAACGAACGTGTTATGATACAGGGCTTGGTGGAGAGTTCACGTAAGGTGTAAACGGGACTGTTCCCCGCCTATGCTGACACGCATTGCAGAACTATCACCTCTTCGATCATGAATGGTGCGCTCATCTTGAGGTCTGCTTTTCCCACGGAAATCCATTTGTGTTCCCTCTTACACCTTTCATATGGCAGACATGAGCTCGGCCATTCTATCATCGAGGTCGGCGAGGAATACGACGGCGGCTTCGCGTACTTCGGCGTGAATGCAGCGCACAATGCCAGCGAGGCTATTCCGTGGGCACACTGGCTCACGCGTGTGAATTCGTCATCCGGTGGGCTTCCTCGCGTGGAACGCATGGTCATGCCCATACAGGACTACGCATGGACGCTGCTCAATTCAACATCGGCGTGGTCGGCCTATTTCAACTCTTCTGGAACATATTCTCGGTACCTTATTCGTTTCTCTCTCTCAGGGCTCCCTGAAAAGGATGATTTGAGCGTTCTCTTTGACGGGGAAGACTTGGGGTGGACGCCCAAGGAGGGCCTTGGGGTCGATCGGTATTTCTACGATATATACAAAAACGAGAGGCTCAGCGAGGGCGAACATAAAATCGAGTTCGTGTTGAAGAACGCGGAAAGGGAAGGGATTGCACAGATGTGCAGCATTGAAGTCCTTGAGTATGGTAGCGAGCAAGAGTGCGTCTCCCTACTGAATTTCGCGGCCTGTTGAAATCGTATTGACACGGATGCTATTGTAGGTTCATTGAAACGCCTGGCTTTTACGGGGTCTTCCCGACGTGGGCATCCCGTATCCATCTCACGTTGCGCAGCTCACCCTTTGTTTCTAGATTCTCGGAGACCAATGAAACGACATATCGTCCCACGAACGAAGACTGCCTGATGCGTCTCACTACGGGCCCTAACTTTTGCAAAGTCTGCATCGAGGGCCTCTGGTACTCACTTCTCAGCCGCGTAGACCCCATCGACAGCCTGGAGACGGATTGTCGATTGGACGCGGAGACCGAGACGTGGAAACGCACGCTCAACGTGACGCTGATCCCTCTCGGCCAGTTTCGCGAGGACCCTCCAGATGCGCGAGAGAGCTACACGATAGTTTGGACGCAGGATGGCAAGGAGCTGACGCGGTTCGCGAACCAGACGGTGGTCGTTGTGGACGATGATGAAGGGCTGGGCGAGTTCGGGGTGGGCGTGAGATTCGTTACCGAGGAAGTCCGATCGGACCCCAGCGGGCTGCTGGAAACGAGCGCGAGCGTTGTGGTGTCGAGTACATGTAGTGAGAGCGCGGTGCATTGACGACTTGTCGGTGTGTCGCACGCAGCAGCGAGGATGAGGGAATTGAAGGGAGTCAGCTGGATGATGAAGTGAGCGCTGAAGAAGCGGTTCGGCCACTTGGCTGCCGCGGGTCTACCATCTTGCCCCTCTTCGCCCAGTAGAGCACTCGACCCCTTCCACTTCTCCTCCACCACTCCCTCGCCTTTCTTTTTTTCTCGTTCTCTTTTCCTCATTTCTCGTTTGGATTGTATTTTGGATCCGCAAAGACCGAATGGCGCTCACCGCAACCGCCCAATCTGCATTTCATCCAACGCCTTCATGGGATGAGACGATAGTCCCAACTCTCCGCAAACGTACGTTTGTCCTCTCCTTTGTGTCTCGGGCTGTGCACGGACGTCGTACACATGATTAGGTCTCGAGAATGAAAGCCGTGCGCTCGCAAAGCGTTTGTCCGCTGCCTCCATCACCTCCGACGATCCATCTGTGCCCAATCGCTACTACAAACCCCACCCCAGCTCCTCGCGCACCACCTCACGCGAGCCCACCCCGACCTCTTCCTACTCCCCCGCAATCCTGAAGCCGAGTGGCATTCCAAGACCCAGTCTTTCAGCGTCACGGCCATCGGACGGTCGCACGACGCCCAACAGCGCGCGTGGCTATACTCCCACCCATCGCGCGCGCACGCTCTCGCAGCCCAAGCTTATCGAGCGCAGCACCTCCGGGCGCTTGCCTGCGGGTGGCGACACGTCGCGCTCTGTCTCACCCGTTACGCCAGGCCGACTCCCTGACGGTATGCGCACCCGCATCCCAGTGGCGCGAACGAGGACGGGCAGCACCTCGAGCTACAGTCCGTCCCACACGAACGGATTTCCGCGGAGCGAGAGCCGGAATGCGCAGTTTGCGAACGGACAGCATGCTCCGATGACGGAGGTGAGTGAGCAGGGCGAGCCATATGGACAGCCAGGAACCGCGAAGATCGCCCAGATGTACGCGGTGGACGACATCGTGTCTCGGCCCTCGACGGATTCTGAGGAGCGGCCGTACGAGCATTGGTATAGGGGGGAGGTCACGAGGAACGGAGGGGTGGGGGAGATGCGTGTCGGGCGGCGGATGGAGATGCTGGAGATCGCGAGCTACGGGCACACCATCCCGTCGCGTGCGGGGACGCTCACGTCGAAGAACGGGTCTACACGGCGAAGAGCGGGGAGCATCGGCGCGCGCGATAGCTTCTACATGGAGGACGACGCGCGGGTGGAGAACAGCGGGCGTGTGATGGACGAAGCGCCACTGACGGACGTAGACGGCGAAATGGACACGGACCCGGAGGCGCACTGCGAGACGACGCTGCGTTCTCCGCCGGTGGACAACAGGAGTCTGACGCCCACGAGCTATCTGCGCGAGCAGACGCCCTCGCGCACGTCACAAAGGGATGCGCCACCGTCGCGCATACCCATGCCCGGCGCGACCCGATTTGTCCCCGAGCAGCCTCACACGCCGACACGTCCGCCCGCGCACTCCATCTCCCCCTCCACGTCGCGTCCCAGCGCAATTGAGTCCCCACGGACACCGCGCACGTCCACCCACAAACAGTCTGGCCCCGCGGTGCGGTCGCCGTCGACGCCCCACCTGGGCGCACCGACCCCGAAACGGCGCGCGAAGAGTCCTGCGGAGGCCAGCGGCTCATCGAAGAAGACCAAGACACGACAGCCGCCTGTCGCGCACATGCGTGGGCGGCAGGACGAACATCGGCGGTCGATTGCGGAGTATCCCGATCCGGGAGATGGAGACATCTCCAATGCGATACCAACATGGACCCAGCCTGTGCCCCCGGGGGGCAACTGGGATGAGGTGCGCTCGTCATACCACTGGCTACATGGTATCAGTTAATATAGATCTGCGTATGTGTCAAGGTCGTGCTTCCAGTCGTCGCGCGGAAGAGAGGGCTGGACGATCAGTACACAAAAGCCAATGGCAGTCCACAGCCCAAGCAAAACGGAAATCCTACACCCGAGCCAGTAAGTGCTGCGCAATTTTTCAGCGAGATCATCGAGTCTGACCGAATGGATCTCCTAGGCACCGGGAACGTTTGGTTACGATTATTCTAAATATCGACCTGGACGAACCGAGGAGATCCCGATGGCCGAGTTTGGGCAGCGGCCAGAACCCATTGACGAGAGCATGCACGAACAGCCACCACCATCCCCAGCACCAGCACCAAGACCACCACAGCCGCCGCGAGATCAAGAATACGAGCAGCATGTGCGCAACATGCGCATGCAGCCGCCACCGTCGCCCGCACCTTTCTCGCGCTACCTCGCCGAACCGAAAGATGAGATGGAGCCACACGCAGTCTCCGCCGAACCCGTCCAGATGACGCACATGTCCATAGAGCGAGGGCATCCCCAACAAGAAGATGAGGAAGACGGGAGCGCAGGCTGCTGTAAATGTGTCATCATGTGATGTGTTTCTTGTGGTATATTGCTGGGTCTCTCGTGCTTTCGTCTATACTGGTCCTTCAGCTCGTGCTCTACGGGCTCACCGCTTGGTCCCGTCACTCGTTCCTCATCTCCTCGCCTTGTCCCTTTGTCTATTATGCTGTGTATATTCTTTTGTCTCGCCCGCCATACCCTCCTCCAGTCCATCACACTCGCTCTCGTACTACCCTTTTCCACCACCACCACTTTTTCCTGGCCTTTGCCCGTCGGCATATACCTCCTCTTCGATTGCCGTGATGGACAAGGATTGATGAACGCTGCTGCTGTGCGATCATCGAACTGCTTATTTTTTCTTCTCTCTTGTCGTCGCTTTTCATGTCTCACCTCACGTTTTCCCATGTGTCGCCTTTTACGTCCTCTCTTATGGAACACATTCATACCGTATATCCGAACAGCTTCGCATTAGCATACCCTACTAGTCCTCGCAGAAGTCTTGACACTTTTTAATCGACTGGAGAGGGAGACGTTCAGAGTTCATTCAGGATAGAGATGGTGTCAGACCGTGGTTTAACCTCAAGCTTCGCGTGAGCTGTCAATATCTACTGCGTGCTTTTTGGGAATGACATATACACGCTGACTAGTTCTCGCAGAGAACATGAAGTTAATGCCTCCGTTTTCTGGGTTATGTTGGAGGAGACTGCTGAGACTCCGCGACGAAGACCGGCAATGCTAAGGTTAGGGTTGAGACACATTTACCGCGCCATTGATTGGCCCATGCGCTGTTTGTTTGGTACCTTCGTGATGGCTTCAACCAATGAGATCGTTATCATCGACATCAGTGCCCTCCTCTCATCGCACACTAAGCCACCCTCTCCGGAGGCCGTCGAAGTTGCAAAAAAGATTTACGCTGCCTTCAGCACTTTGGGCTTCTGCCAGTTCACTGGACATGACATTCCTGTCGAGCTGCAGGCTGATCTTGTGAAGTGCTCGCAGCAGTTCTTCGCGCTTCCAGAGGCGGAGAAATCAGCGCTACATGTCAAGAATGGAGGCATCGCGTGGCGGGTGTATGCGCCTCTTGGGGGAGAGAGCACCCACGGCCGGACGGACTGGAAGGAGGGCATATATTTCGGCCCCGAGCATCCTGCGGACCACCCGCATGCTGGGATGCTGCTTCATGGAGCTAACCAATTCCCTGATGCCAGCATCCCTGCGATGCGCGGAGTTGTACAGGACTATGTTAATTTCATCATAGAGCTAGGGAAGATTATCTGCGATGGCCTTTCGTCGTCTCTCGGTTTGGAGAAGGACTTCATTCGTGAGAATTATCTGCAGCCGGAACCTGTAGCTCTCTTCCGGTGCTGGAGCTACCCTGGCATCTCTCAGGAAGAAGAGATATACGGAATAGGCGAGCATTCTGGTACGATTCTCCGTTCTGGTCCTTCTGGAGATTTTGCGATTTTCACCGAACTCCTAGATTTCGGGTTTTTGACTATACTCAAGCAGATGGCTCCTGGCTTGCAGGTCATTCGATCGGCATGTCCCTGTTTCTTGGTTTCATTCTGATAAGCATGTAGTTTCTCACCCCACAGAAGGAATGGATCGATGTCCCTGTGGTAGAAAACGCTTTGATCTGTAACGGTTGGCGTCTTACTTTGTTTCGGCCACTTCTGTACAACTCACTTTCCGCATAGTTGGTGACATGCTCGACAGAATGACTGTTGGCCGCTTCATAAGCGCTCGCCATCGCGTCCTCCCTCCCGCACCTGGGACGTCCCGTCTCTCGTTCCCGTTCTTTTTCGACTACAGCTGGACGGCCAAAATCCGGCCGTTCCCTCTCTCCCATCTCCCCGCTCTCCCTGCCGCCGAAGATGAGGAGAACAAGGTAAGGTGGGGCACTACGACGTTTACTAATGTCGAAGGAGAGTGGTGGCAATATCTTGCGAAGAAGGTCTGTTGACTTCTTTTGATGCCAGGATTCCTCAATCCGATATATTTCTGTCCCCAGGTCAAGAAGGTCTTCCCGGATCTGGTCCTTCCGGACTTTGATTCAAACATCGCTCCGTCATCACGGTTCACCATTGCTGTCCCAGTAGTGGCAAAGTGATGACCGTGCAAACTGTCTCCAATCTCTGTAGCTCTCTGAAATATGTGTATGTCTGTTATTCCAATTTGCCTTTGTATCTCTGGGTGTTTCGTATGTCATCATTTTGTCTCGAGTATTGGTGCGACACCCAAGAGATACGCACCCTCTTCCGTACCCAGGACGAATGAGGTTCAACGGTTCTATGATATCAAGTTGTAGTTCAAGCACATGCGAGGCTCTAGGCCAGACCCAGACTCAACGCTAAGAGTTTGATTACGTAATGATAAATTTCAGCCAGTGAGTCGTAGCAAACCGCGACTGTATCTTGTCGACGTCGACGTGCTAAAGTTCAAAGGGCATTTATATCCACTTCTTCTATGATCTTGCTCGACCCAGGGCTTCTCAGGTGGAGAGGCTGAGTAGAAAATTCGAGAGCATCATCTTCGACTGTGGAAACACTTGATGTGTATGATCTCTACCAATATCATGATGCTGTGCATTCTAATTATCATCTATTCGCTCGTCTCATCAAGCTGTTTGACGAAATTATTTTCGTGATGAGGGGACTAATATGACTACTGTACCATGTGCAACGGGGGCTCTGGCGATATAAAGGTGCAATTAGAGCGACTACGGTTCTCTATCCTAGCGATCACCACCCTCTTTCCACATCCTCCGATCCCCTCACCGACTGTGTCGGCAGCCTTTCATTTGCTTGCTTTACTTGACATCTTCCAGTCCAATTAAGCACTTTTCTAGCCCAACGCCACATTTACATTTCAAAATATGAAGTTCACGACCGCACTCGTTCCCCTCGCTGCTATCTTTGTTGCTTCCGTCACGTCGGTCCCTGTCAGGAGAGAAGTAGACCCAAACCTTGTTCCTGACCTCGGCTTCCAAGCTGGAGTGAACCCCACTGGTGAGCGAATGCGCTTTGCATTTCGGCCGTTGTGAGAACTAACATCTACCGTCATGTAGGTACTGGAGACTGTGACGGTGCCGTCAACGGAGCTGACGGCAGGCCCATAAAAATCCCCTGCGCGTGCCCTCCAGACCGCAACACTTTCTTGCAGGTAAGTCTGTTGTTCTCACCATCTGACTGTGTCAGTGTTTGATGTTCCTGATATCAGGCGCTGAACACCAACGTCGCTGCCGGACATGCCGTCAACAATCCCCCTATCGCCGTCACGTTCCCTACGGATAATTCTAAAGCCTCAAAGAGCGCACGCATCACCGCTGCTCTTATTACACTGCAGAATCTCCACGGCCCCGGCCAAGGTTGTCCTGCCGTATCAACGACCCTCCTGGCCCAGCAAGCCGCCGTGAACGCCGCGCCCGCAAAGCGTGCAAGTGCTGCAGATATCTCACGACTGGCACCTGATCTCGGCTTTCACTCCGGTGTGAACCCTACAGGTGAGATCTTGATTTCGACTTTGAGAAAGAGGAATATTGAATCACGTACGAACTTTGCTCCACGTAGGTACGGGGGATTGCGATGGCGCAGTGAAGGGCGCCAATGGCCAGCCCATCAAGATCCCTTGCGCGTGTCCGCCCGATCGTGCGACCTTCCTTCAGGTAAACCACTACCTTGGGCTTCTTTGGCACCGTACTAACAAAGATTCATCATTTAGCACCTGACAGCTGATGTCAATGCCGGACACGCCGTCAACAATCCTTCAATAGCAGTCAGCTTCCCCACTGACAACTCTGTTCCTTCCAAACTCGCTCGCATCAACACCGCTCTCATCACGTTGCAGAATTTGAACGGGCCAGGGAAGGGCTGTCCTGCTGTTTCTACCACACTTCAGGCGCAGCAAAAAGCTCTCCAGGGTTGATCACAGACTGCGAGACCGTCTGCACTTACATGTTTTGTTGCAATCAAATTAATTGCACGTATGTCAGACCATGGATGAGTGTCAATGAGGTGACATCGTAAGTGTCTTGCGGGACTGACGTTGAAGTCATGACGTACTTGCGAGTCGATAAGATAAGATGCCGATGGTTGAATCTTGGATTCGACCGTCATCTGCCGCTATCAAGTAGCTAGCAGTTACTTCAACCACTGGATCCTTGCTCGGCTCTTTGGAGCTCCCACAGTGTAGTATCTTGATTCATCTTTGGCTATTCGGAATCCTAATGAATGCGAAACATCACAGCAACTATGGCTAACCGTCCACTTTTTCTGGCCAACGTCCGCACTGACAGCTCTTTCGATGAGATCCCAGTGATGTGAGTGAGCACTACTATGGTCTCTCAGTTTCACAGAGCACTGTATCAGGGTTTGATTGAACGCCACCTTTCTGATAGAGATATTCAATGGGGAAATAAACTTGAAGCGAGTGTGAGGAGAGACATAGCAGATCAGATCCGTGATGCATGCGTAAACGTGGGCTTTTTCTATGGTGCGTTTTTGAACATTCTACACCCCTTATTATCACTGATGGCCTCATGAATCAACTAGTCAAGAATCACGGCATCTCGGAAGCTGCTACTCTCGGAGCGCTCGACGCAGCAAAACGATTCTTCGCGCTGCCTACTGACACCAAAAAGAAGGTCTGCTGTGATCACATTAGTCACTCTAGCTTTCTCCCTGATAAAATGGGTGAAGCTCGACATACATAACTCTGCGAATTATAAAGGCTACACCGCGCTGCTCGGGGAAAACACCAACCCTGACAATCACGGTGATCTCCATGAAGGATTCGATCTTGGTTGGGAGTCTCTCCCAGGCAGCCCTGATAAGACCATAGAAAGGGACGACGGCGCAATGGCTGGGAGCAATGTTTGGCCAAATGAGTCAGATATACCGGGATTCCGAGAGGACACAGTCAAGTACTAGTATGTCACATCATCTCTATTCTCCATCCGGCGAACATAGGTCATGCTGAAGCAGGTGATTTCACACGCAAGCCATACGGCAGTGCGGTTGGGTCAATACCTCTTCCAGTTGTTTGCACTGGCGCTGGACCTCCCAGAGAGTTTCTTCGATGACAAGGTAGGGGCTGTCTCGCCTGAGCAAACTAAATAACCCGATCTAGCATTGACCGGCTCTGCAGACCACAAAACCCGCGGCGATAATGCGACTACTGCACTATCCGCCGCAGGCCGGCAAGGTTGAGGACCGTACAATTGGCATCGGCGCTCATACAGAGTGAGTCTAACGTTCTTTTTCCCGTAAACTCTCAGGCATATCTCAACATGGTTAACGTAGCTACGAGGTGGGTGCTTTTTTCCGGATATCGATTTATTGCTTTCTAGGCATATCCCGTCACTGATATTTCCCTACATCTTAACTAATGGCCACAGTGTTTCACAATCCTATGGCAGCAACCGGGCATACAGGCGCTCCAAGTCCTTAATGCAAGTGGAAAGTGGATTGATGCGGCGCCCATTCCTGGCACGCTTGTTGTCAAGTGAGTACTGCAATTTCCCGCAATTCTCTGGCTGTATGCTTCCTGAAAGCACAGCTTGGGCGACCAATTTGCGAGATGGACAAGTACGTATGTTCTCCGATCCTTCTTTACTTCGACTATTCTCTTACCCTTTCCACGTGGTGCCGGAATGGAATCAAGACGATGTCTTCAAGTCCACCGTGCACAGAGCCATTAACCGCTCAGGGGCTGAAAGATACTCCGTGCCTCTGTTCTTCGGGACCGACTACAATGTCCCGCTCGAGGTATGTCCTTACTTTGTATTGACCGTTTCTATCATCTCCCTTAAATGTGATCTTCTCACCGCTTTCTCGCCGACCTCGGTTAGATCCTACCGAGTTGTGTATCTGCTGATACACCTGCCAAGTACGAGGTCATCACTGCGGGAGAGTACGTCAAGTCAAGACTGGAAGCAACGTATGCGCATTCGAAATGAGAGAGGCCACTTGTGGTGTGCGTCGCTTGGAAATGTGGTATGGTGATCGAAGGATTTATGTCGGATACATGAAACACTACGGAGCTTTGCAGGACTTCCGCACTTCTTCATTGACGCGAACTCATGGCATGAAGACTTCGAAGTGCACGGCAATCAAGCAACGAGGCTGGCATCTGCTTCGAAATAAATTAACAATATCTCGTGATGTAGAGTATGTGTACGAAAATAAGATTTAGTATGTAGAGGGGAATGTTGAAAGTCGTCCTCCATCTGTGATATGTACGGTGCCATCCACATATGCCCCGGCTCGGCTAGCTAAGAACAAGATGATCCCTGCTATATCCTGCTGATCCCCTGCCCTTTGCAGTGGAACATCGTTCATGATGTGCTCATCCGGAATTACACTGCTTGTCATCTCTGCACAATCGAAAGCAGACTTCAGTACTGTCAAATCAGATGCAAGTTGCAACAAGAGCTAACCTGAAGGGAAAATTCCCGGACAAATTACATTGCTTCTGATTTTCCACTCTGACAAGACGTTCGTGAACATCTTGCCCAGATGTAATGAAGCAGCCTTGCTCAGCGTGTACGGGTAACTGTACTGTCGCTCGTCGCGTCTTAACGCCGCCACGCTCGAAACAGTGATCACCTGGCTTGTCACTGGGTCTTTTCCTGAGCTTCTCACATTTGCCTCGTGAAGGAGATCGAGGAAGGCGACTACGCAGTAGTATACGCTCGTCACGTTTGTCTCGAATGTCCGCGCAAAGTCTTGCGGGGAAGGACCATTCCAAAGAGACTCCTGTAGCGCCCGAATGTCTCTCTTGTCTCCTCTCGCTGGAGGCTTATTGAATCCCGCCGCGATGCCGGCGTTACAGACCAGAAGATTTATGTAGCCGTGCCGTTTCCGGATCATCGAGGCGAGCTCTCCGAGAGACTCTCGTGAAGTTACATCGCATTGTACTGGAATCAATTTTCCATGGCGCTAAAAAATGAAGCGTGAGAAGTTCGGACAATTGATAGGAAGAGCAAAAGGGACCGATGATAGCGATGAGAACACTCCTCGAGAATAGCGAAGAGGTGGAACGTACGCTTCGCTCCTTCGCAACCTGTTCCAGGACAGCCAGTCGGCGCCCAACGATGTACACCGTCGCGCCGTTATGTTCCAATGCAGTGGCCATCATTAACCCTATCCCTAGAGAAAGCCATTGGCCCACACTCTCCTAAACCTTCTTGGGAACGCACCTGTTCCACCACCAGTAATAACGGCGATGGCGCCCTCCACACTGAACAGTCGCGCCGGATTTGATTGAAGGGAGAATGGCTCCAAATGCATGGCCTTTGGCGCCGGAATAAGTCTACAGTGAAGGCAGGGTGTAAGGAGCGGGGGAAAAAGATGATTGACACGTAGAAGACCTTTCACTCCAAGCTCGCTTAAGTATAGAGAGCAGACCGCCATCAACACTGCGTAGTCCGACATGACCTATGTCAGCCTAAGTAAGTCATGGCATCTCATCAGCGACGCCACGTCCCATTTTCTGTTTATTGGCCAGGCCAAGCGTGTATCATGGTATAAGGCTGTGCACGCACCATGATATGTCGTCGAAGCAGGAGTTGACAATCGAAGCACTAGATGTTTGGGCGTGCGGTGGAACGATGGAGACGACAAGGGAGTGCATCATGCAAATAGCACCTCGGAATCCGATGAGCGCTCGCAACCGCCTATGTTCAAAAAGGTAGAGGAACCCATTTAGAAACGCTATCAAATCTGACTGATCCCGATGATGCATCACAACATTGTTGCACAAGAGCACTAAGGCCGAGGCCCGCCATGTGAGTGACTTATGGAAGACATCATTATTACGCACACACCACTCATTCGCCCAATAAGATCCAACCTAAATTGTCATAGCGCAGCATAGTGCAACCGCCCACCAATCGAAAAGGAGATATGCATACCAATCAAGAGCGTCAAGCGCGACCAATGGTAGTCCAGAAGCGCGCCAACATCGGAATTTCAGTCGTAGATAACCCCTACGCTATCGATTGATCTATTTGCTGCGCCAAGCAGAAATTGTTCATAGGAAGCACAGAGGAAAATAACCTGGGCCATTATCAAAGGAGCGATTTTCTGTATGGCTAGCCTTGGCTAGCTCCTAGCTCAGACGTTGATAGCTCTGGACGATTGTCTGTGATCTTGGTATTGTCGTGATTCGAAGGGACTGCCTGCGGAAGCACTGAGACGTGAAATTCATGACAGGCAGCTTCGAAAGCTCGTGTCAGGTAGATATGATTAATAACATAAGCGATGCGGATGGAGCCGTGTATACGGAGACACACAGACGAAGGTTGTAATATGCGTCATTAATATTGGCGAATGTCGATCGATCATGTAGACCTATGTAGGACGTGGCGGCAGTGGGTTGTAGAACTGGGAGGGCGGCGTCTATTAAGTAAAGGAAGAGATATTTTTGCTGGATACATCCTACCTCGGTGTGTGGACAATTCCGTGTTTTTGGTCATTCCTCGAATACTTGTTGGGAATGTGTCAAGAAGAGTTGTGAATCGCTAAACAAAACGACAGCTTCTTGTGCACCGTCAAAGGTCGAAACACGATGACGCAGATGAAAGGCCTGAGAACTGGCAACAGAAGAGGAGAAGGCCTCCGCGGCGAACAATCCTCGAAGGCGATCGCAAGTATCCATGGGAGCTGCGTGTTTCAATGCGATAGGCTGGAGTTTTTTTAAATCGAGATCTGACTTATCCGGGATGTCCTCATCAATTCTTCTGTGAGCAAATGCCCGTGACAGACATCGGTGACCAATCGGCACGCGTAAGAGAGACACAATCCACATGAAAAGATCCAGGAACAAAACAGCTTGGCAGATCCCTCAGATCGCGAGGCATATGCTGGCATATGTATTGATGGCCGTTCTAAAAGGGGTAGTTGCGCGAAGACGTGAAGATTCTGATATAGAGAGGTATGAAGACAGTCCAGTAATAACTCCGGCTCAAGGATCACTTACAGCAGGACTCCCGTGTAGCAGAAATGTCGATAGAGTAATTGCTCCAGTGATCTTGACGCAATGGTTGCTCAGATTTACTCTGTGTCGTTAGCTTCTCTTCCTCTTGGTCCGCGGGGGAAGAAAATGAAAGAAGTCGCGAAGTCACTCGCATCAAATACGAGCAAAGATTCATAGATAGCCTTCTACCCAGAGATGAAGTATTTGTCGAATTACAATCTGTTTAAACGAAAAGAAATGCATCGGAAGTAAATGCATTTCGGTCATCCGCATCAATAAAATTTCACCATCCGAGGAGAATTGACTCGCGGCTTACAGTCCTGCATACACCTGCATCGAGGTGTATTCCGTGGATGGACGTCGGAGTGCTACAAGTTTACAACGGTTTCAGAGCCTGGACCGCCGGGCACGTCTTCGTTACTTGATTGGTTGAACAGTATCAGATGAGGTGTTTCAAGGGTTCCGCACGCAAGGCAGGTAACAAGCTCCGATTTTCGAGCTACAGATCTTACTGACGATACCGTCGACTAGATCAGGTCCCTTAGGAGTATTGGAAGCAAATGTAAGAGGAGTCAAGCCATCCAGAGCAGTGCGGTCGTATTGGGTGGCGGACAGTAAGCTGAAGGCCGTCTTTGGAGAATTTCTCGATGAGCGACAAGATCCGCACAAAGCCGGAGATTGGAAACAAGTGAATGTACGATACACGATGCATGATGTGATGGTTGAACATGTTGAGTACAGTCAACGACGGGTATTGGTGTTCGACGGCATTTCCCGAGGTACCCGGGTTTAGCCGAGTGGGCCACCCTCATCTCAAACTCTCAGGCAGAGCATGGCAATAAAGGACAAAGCCGAACTTCAATGGTATATAAACGCAGCCACAAACAAGCTTTCAGACTCGTCCTCGATGGAAACCCTGATGCTCTGAAAAATGAAGGAAAGGACTTCACAGGAATGCCGACAGGCAGTACAAAGCACCACATATCACCGTGCCGAAAGTCACCGAGGGCACTGAACGCGAGAACGAGCTTGCAGACGAAGAGCTACCGGAGGGTGACGCGCTGCTCGCCGATGTCGATGCAGTCTTGCTAGGAGAGGAAGGGCTGCTCGACGACGAAGGGGTATTTGTGGTCGAGTTGCCATATACGCGGAGGTGCTGAATCTCGAAGTAGGCATCGTCGTAGTTGGACGGGGGGCCGAGCACCCAGTCATTGTAACAAACCCCTGTGCAAGTTTCCTGGAAGATCGCGCCGTTATTTCCATTCGCTAAGATGCGTTTTGCGATGGACATGAGTCGCGTGGCTAGCCGCGGCAAGAGATATGAAACTAACCGAATACTATAGTCCAGAAGAGCATGAGACAAAAGACGTCTGTATGGATTACCGACAGCCGTGCGAAGGAACATACCTCCACATAGTGTGATCTGGAAGACCAGGTTCTGAGCCTCGAAAAACTTGTCAACGGTGCAACTGGTCGATGGATAATTTGCAACGGGTGTGCCGAGTGTAGATATGTCTAGCGAACTCCCGTCCCCCTGTAGTGACTGAGGGACATCGGCGCGCTATATATGGAACTACACTGAGGATCTGCAAAAATGATCACAATCAGGGTACCTTACCGAGAAAAACCAGATACTGTTATAGCATGCAACGGATGAGGTGAGGGGTGGCGACAAAGAAGGGTGAGGGGACTTACGAAACACCTTCCTCAGCCATCTCCGTGACGAACACTCCTCCACCAGCCGAGGCGAAATCGGGACCGTAAGATTTTGTGCTCGGATTGGTAACTACGCAGCCTTGGTTTCCGTTCGTCAAGTAAGAGCAATCGGTAGAATTTTGTATCGTGCTGGTCTGTACCGGGTTCGTTACAGTGCAACCCTATATTTAAGTCTAGATTAACATTCCGACCTTTGATACCGTCAAAAGACTTACCGGGTTGGTATGCAAAGCAAACTGGTTTCGGGTCACTTTATTGATAGCCTCGAAGGTGTCAATCTCGCCACCATTGGGCCAGCCGGGAGCTCGAGACCAAAAAGAGGGCCAGACTGAGCACTACAAAGATCGAGTCAGAAATTTATCCACGAAAAGAAGCATGAACAAAAACCGACACCGAAGGGTACATGTAACATGTCAGCGATCCAGACACTTCCGACACCATAGGAGTCTTGAGAGGTGATGCGGATAGTATTACGCTTCTCGTTGTAGGGTACGACTGTCTTGTTGTCGACTTTGATGATGGCATTGCCAGAGCTTTCGACATACGCAAGCTGCTGCTGTTTCGCATCTGCAGCGCTTAGGAAACTATTAAAGGTCCCCAAGTCGCATGTCAACAAGTCTATTTTAATGGGCGTCAAAGCAAAGGGATTCACAAGGCATCGCCGCTGTTGAGGTCGTCGGCTGCATAGTGACATGCCATCAAACTGATCAGTCTTATCCAGGAAGCGAGGGTTTATTTTCACTAACCTTTACCATAGAAATCCCAATCATCGAAGAAATTAGAGCCTGCATATTCCTTGACGAGGTTGTACGACCTCCCAGCATGAACTATAGCAGGGAAAGCAACGGCAAGGACAGTCAACAACTTCAAACTTATGGCCATGTTAGAGCAGGCAAGTGGGGACTCGGGAGGGACAGTGTCAAAGAGTGAACGCCTAAGCTCGTGGCGGGAGTATCTAGAATGCAACAATGGCGTCTGAAAGAAGCAGTTACTCCCTTTATACATAGTCACCCAAGCTGGGTGTTTCCGTTGTGATTATCACATTCGTACCTCCGTAAGAACGATACAACGTTGTTGTAATATTGCTAACGAAAACGAAGCGAGTCAACGATCATGAGGTCGCGATGGAAGATACTTGAGCGCTCCGGATGCGTCACGTAGCATTACTTCCCCCAGCTCTCTCGATTCTAGACGCAGCAGAAGAGCCCCGAGCGCTTTTGGATATGAGTTCGTGTAGTTGCGTGTGAAGATCAGTTCGAGTCATACTCAAGATCTTCCAGAGCGTGCCTGACTGTAATTTCGCTGAATCATGACTCGGGGAAGTGTCCTCCTCTCGACGCTGCGAGTTCATGTTGAGAACTGAAACTGGTCGGCTGGATGTTTGCAGACATGCTCACCACATAACAGTTCACGCTGAGATGATCAAAGCGCCGGTCTTCGCAATGGCGACAGTCTCGACTAGTTTCTACTGGCGCACACGGTGGACGCTGACCGTCGCAGGCTATCGAGGTACAAGACATGTTTGTTAGAGGGTTAACGGCTACGACCACTTTGCCAAGGCCAAGAACCATACCTTTGCAATCAGCGCCTTCTCCTGCCTCCGTCCGGTAACCTATCGGGTATGCTTGTGATGATTCCATACCTGAGTAAAGGGCGCTTGTGACACCGTAAATAAACTCGCAATGGAACATGCATGCCATCTGCGCCATTCCTCGGATTTTTTGCCCAAATCAGGTGCTCGGAGCTACGGTCGACAGGTAAGCGCGCTCACCTGCTTATACCCTCAAAAGAGCATTGTGGGGTCGAAACTGCTTCGAATTGGAGTTTGCCTCGATCTTACGCGTTCGCCACCGTATCAAGTGGTGTCGAGTGGTGCATTGTCGCCATGCGTTTCAAGTAACAGAGCAGGGTAATAAGCTGCATGGAAGCGTTTGTTTTCTCCATACAGCGTTCACTACCTCCGACGATGCCAACTGATGCCAATCACCATTTTCCGAAGACATACCGTCACATTCCATCCATCAGACGCAAGCCCCTTGAAAAGCTTTCACGTGTAGACTGAAACGACGGAATAGAGTGGATCATGTCAAATGGATTGCTGTCCTATTCGATGCCAAAGAAAGAGCACCAGAGACACTGACACTCGAGGGACGACGTTGAGCGTTGAGTAGTGTCGTCAACATTTTCTGGGTTAGTCAGCAACGGAGGCTGATCTGGGAAGATCTGGGCTTTCGTGATCGGAACAAGGTAGGGCCACGGCAATGTGGATGCTTGTGGATGTACTGACGCCCTGGACCAACTTTTTGACTCTCGAAAGTTCACCTGGGGGCGACTCCCTTACTTTCGATATCGTCGTCCATTCTCCAAACGCAGCGCTCGCCTATATTTTTGCATCTGGCTTTCGTAGAGGAGAACCCTCTAGCCATGCGAGGCACCACTAATCGTCACTGTACGATGCCTGAAAGTCCATTGAATTCCCATTTCTCCCAAAAATTACTACGATCTACTTGTACAGCCCGCTTTCGGGCGCATGGTTACTGCGCACGCCGTATTACCCGCCGTCGCACTCGCGCAATAATGTAACGTTTTGGTTCCGCCTTCGCGTCGTCCAAGATTCGCCCCTGCCCTCCGTCCAGGCGCGCATCCCTCCGTATTCGCCGTCGCGGTCACAAGTCCCGTTCACGAGCCGCCTAGTGAGCCAGGTCGCGCGCAAAGTGGAAAAAGTCGACGCTCGAGCCCTGCACGCCGTACTTGTAGATCTGCAGAGCGAAGCGAACAAAAAAAAAATCAACACGGACGAACACTCCGAACAAAAAAAGAAAGCGGAGCGTACAAAGTGCGACGCGACCCAGCTCGAGAACAGCGCGCGCTGGTACGTCTCCGGCAGCCGCGTCAGCAGCGCCTCCAGCCCGACCTTCTCCACGAGCGTCTTCGGGATCGCGCGGCGCATCACGCCGTGGCGGCTCGGCACGTCGTCGTACAGGTCCGAGTTCTCGAGCTCCGCCTGCAGGTTGTTGAGCGTGCTCGACAGCTCGTCCGAGATGACCGTGCGCGGCTTCGCGCCCCCGCAGCGCTGGAACTCGCGCCAGATGCACGTGAACTCGGCCGCGGCGTTCTCCGTGATCTTCTCCTGGATGTCGCGCACGTAGCTCTGGTAGAACGCGGACGGCTGGCCGTCCTTGAAGATCATCAGGTCGACGTAGTCTTGCGTGGAGAGCGCGAGCCCGGCGAGGACTTCCAAGGAGGAGCTCGTGACGCCGCCTGTGTGCACGGAACGAATGAGGACATCGCGGTCGTCAGCGACTAGCGAGATGTGCGTACCCTTGTTGGCGCTTGAGTCCTTGAAGAGGACGACCTTGCGTTTCTCGAGGTACAGGCGCGCCTGCTGCGTGAGGAACAAGTTCGCGCCCTCGACGACGTACTTGAAGTGCGGCTTTCCTTCAGTGTCCACCAGCGCGGCGACGTTTGAGATGTTGACAGCCTCGGGACTGAGGAACCCAACACCAACGCAACCATCTCAGCCCGACATTCGCACGCGCTTTCCTCGACTGCACTCACCGACCGCCACAAGGCACGAGCAGATCCGCCTTGAACCGGAGATGCGCCCCGTTCCTAAAGTCCGTCCCGTCTGCGACGATCTCACCCGCTGCGTGCACCCTGGTCAGCACCGGCCAAGACACTGTATTCAGTACGCAAGGACTGCTCACAAGGCAACTTGAAGTCTTGGTCCTCCACGCGCACGAGGTACCCGTCTTTGCTGAGCTTCGACTTGTCAAAGTTCGCCACGGGGATGCGGAGCTTCGCGAGGCGGATAAGCTCCTCGCGGTTGATGCCTACAGGGTCCGCCAACACCCCGCTCCCGTCGATCACAGCCACGGTCTTGTCCGAGCTGAGGAGGATCTCATCTGCAATCGACATGTCAGTCATGATCCCCACCAACGACACGCGTGCTGAAACGTACTGGATCCAAGGTCCCCGTCTACCCGTCGACCCCAAGTCAGCAAGATACTACAAGGCACTCGACAAAGCACGAGAACACGCACCAGGACCACCCGTCTGGACCTTCGTGATGTCCTTCTCGCGCAGGCCGAGCTGCTTGTAGATGCCCAGCACGTACTGCCGGATCGACAGCGACGTCATGCCGTACGCGTCGTGCGGGACACCGCCGAGCGTCTCCGCGCTCTTGCCCGTCGTGAACGACTTCCACCAAGCCTCGGCACCGCGCTCGCGAGCGTGCACTGCAAGTCAGACCAGAGTAAGCGACCCTATCATCGACGCCGTATAACTCTGCTCACGAGCTGCCCAATCCATCATGTCAGCCGTACCCTCTGTCAAACCGTCGTCAGCATCGATCCCCGATCACGAGAGATCCGCGCAGAAAGCTCACCATCGGGTCCGAAGAACAATATCTCAGGCTTGTTGTACAGATCGACGAGGCGCTCCTTGATACCGGGGCTCTGCCCTGGGATAAGAAGATCCAAGATAGACTACGCGCGCGATGTATGCACATCAGACCGAATCCCCAACAAAATCCGCCATTTATTTGAGAAAGGCCACTCACGTCGACGTATTTCTCGAAGCACAGTCTCGGACTCGCGCCTAACCTGCCGGCCAAATCAAACATCATCAGCCACCCCTCATGAGTTGGATATAAGAGAAAAGGGTACTGACGAGGGCAAAATGGTGCCCTTCGCGCCGCCTTCGGGGATATCCTTGTTCTTCAGCGACTGCGTCGACGCGAGGCCGTAGTTCTCATCGAACCTGACACGCGACAGATCATTCAGCCCCTCGACGCAAACAGACATCGCACAGAAGATCTCACAGCATCCTCTGGTTGATCGAATAGTTCCTACGGGAGCCGCGCGTCAGCTGAAACCCACATCAAGGTATGCAACGATCAACACGCACTCCTTGTTCCTCGAGCGTACAATACGAATTCCGCCTCGAGCGACATCCCTGAACCGGATATGGAACCCTCTAAACTCGTTCCCTGTGCGGCATCGCCCCCAATGAGCGATGACCATTTGGAGAAGAGAGAAAAAGGGACACGCCGACGCACCGATGACGAAGAACAGCCCGAATGGCTTGTTCGGGTACTCGACCTCAGGCAAGAACGCCGGCGCAAGGCGGAACGACAGGGCGACCTTTGTCGGCTGGTAAAAGTTCGTCTTGAGGACGTGCCTGCGATGGTTCCCATTTTCAGCATACAGTCCTACCACGTCCAACTCGAGGACGAGGCAATTCTAAAGAGAAAAGAAAACGGAGAGACGCACTTATTGAAAATGAGGAAGCTCTCGAGGACCTGCAGCTCGTGCTTGTTGAGCACCGTCTTCCGAATCTTGTCGTGCAGCTCCTGGTCCGTGAGCGGCTGCTCCGTCTGCAGGCGCTGGTACGACAGCGTGGGCCTACAAAGCGCCGATCGCGCGCTTAAACCAAAACATCCCGATCCCAAAATAGCACAGAGGGGCGTACATGAGCCTCGACGCCTCGTCCGCCGGATAGTGCACCATCGCGAAATTAACGTAGAGCATGCGGATCTGCACGCACATCCATCAGCGTCGTTCCAGATGGGGGTGCAAGAAGGGCGCGGCGATACTCACGAGCTCGGGGTGCGCGTGAATAGCCTCCGCGATGCTCTCGCGTGTGAACGTCTCCTCGCGGAAGCGCCGCTTGATATCGTTCAGCACCTCGGCGTGCGCGGGGTTCGCCTCGTCGAGCACGTTCTTCAGCGCGAGGTACGCCGGCCCGAGGCGGTTGCAGAAGTGCTGCGCGAAGATCCAGCCGCAGTCTATGCACAGCAACGTGCGCGAGGCGAAATAAGGAGATCGCACGATCGATCACAACGAGCGACGGAAAAAGGGAGAGGCTATGAGTAGGCTTGACACACGAGTTTAAATTTGACGCACAAGCATACGCGGCGTCCTGCACGGCGTGCGGCGACGCGCTGGCCGATGAGAAAAAAGGGTTGTCGGGGAGGCAGTACAAGAGGGAGACCTCCTTCATGACCTGGAAGATCGAGTGCTCGATCGGCGGCGCGCGGGAGTTGGGCAGCGGGTTGAGGTAGAGCGAGATGATCGTTATCCCGTTAGAGAATTGCTCTATCGAACACACATGGGGATGAGCGTTAGCTGCATGGATAACGCCAAATTACGAAAATTTACGCACCGACATATTTGCGCGCGGAGTAGAGCGAGTAAAAGTGGTACAAGTTCGACAACGCACTAGCAAAAAAAAAGGTCAACCATCACAACGTCTTCCAAGGCAAAAAAACGAATACCTGAAGAAGTGCGACGTCCCACCCATCTTGTACCCAATTACCATCCTTCTCTCGCGCGTCCCCTCGACCTCAAACACCTCGATCACGGGCCCGTACCGCGTCTCGACGTTCCACATCACCTTCTGGTAGATATCGAGCGTGTTCTCGCTCGCCTTCTCCAAAAACACGGGGTCCGACACCGCGCGGATGTTCGTGCGGCCGTCGGCGCCCGGGGCAGGCGGGGCGGGGGGGAACGTGCACTTGGACACGAAGTAGCAGCGGAGCTGCTGCGTAGCGGAGGCGGAGACGGATCCCGTCGAGCGGAACGTCTCGAGGCGGTAGCAGTTCTCGGGCGTCGCGTTGTCGAGGTACATCTCGTCGATCCTAGCGCGCGCGCATCAGCGCCTGCGATGCAAAGCAGAGGGAGGAAGCAGCCGCGACTCACCGCGCCTCGCAGGTCGACCCGGGGCCCTCGAGGGAGGTGAGGCCTGGGGGGCTGGTGTGTATGAAGGTTGCGCCGTTGCCCTTCTCGTCGATCTTCTCGAGGTCGATGACGAGCTGCGAGGGGTCGTGCTTCGTGTACGCGAGGACCTTGGCGCCGAAGAGCGCGATGATGTGGTCCGAGATGACCTCGACGGACTCGTTGCGGAAGTAGGTGTCGTCGATGCCGAGCTGCGCGTAAAACCAGTTTATTTCGTTCGCGACGAGCTCGCGGGGGATGAAGCCCTGAGGAAGAACGGCCGGCGGTCAGCCATAATGGATCAAATTGAGACGCGCGTCGGGGACGTCGAACGTGGCGCGCATATATTTTCCACCATCGTTTGCCGCATCTCCCAGCCACCCTGAGGGCACATATGTCCGTGACGCAAACGCGTGACCCAAGAAGACCGCAGCACCCAAAAAGAAGACGCTCCCAAAAAATTCGGGGTCGGGCGCAACTGGCAACTGGCGTCGACGAACGTGACCCGCCAAGAGCTCTCTAGCGCCGAGTGACGCCATACATCCATCCCATCCATCCAGATCACGTACTCATGCCTGCCCAGTGCACACCCATCGCACGCACGCCGGCATTGCGCTAATCGATGTCGATCCTGGCGAACGCACGCCGCGATCCCCAACGACCCCGCCGAATCCGTCCGATGCCCAGCGCAAACAGAGACGGCGCGCGAAAAGTAAGGACGCTATGAAGACGTAGACGCTCACCTTGGCCGCGACGTTCGCCTGGACCTTCGCCTGCTGCTCAAGCTTGCCCTTGAACACGGGCGTGGTGTAGCCGGGGACGTTCTTGATGCGGTTGAGCGACGTTTCGCTGCCCGTGCGGGACGAAGTCTCGGAGAGGTACGGACCCCTGCCGGGCGCGAGGAGGTGGCTCTTCGCGGGGTCGCTGAGTATGCTGGGCTCTGGCGTCGACATCGATGATGATGATCAGCGTCGAAACAAAGTCGAAGACAGTTGGGTGGGTGGATGTGGGTTCCGGATGAGCGTGAAGAACGATTTGTTTGCGTGTACTAGACCGAAGCTGGAGTATGTGTGTGTGTGCGTGCGTGTGGAGGGAAGTGCGGCTGTGTGGCGGAGAGGCCAAGAGAGTGCGGGGAAAGGAGGGGCAGAGGGGAGCAGAGGTTTTATGGGGGACGGTCGGATGAAGCCTCGACGACAGACGTCACATTAAAAAAAAAGTGGGAAATTCGAGTCCAGCAAGGTCCGGGCGGGCGCGTTCGTGCATTGGGCCGTCGCAGTGCAGCGCCTTTGCCCGGCATCGTGCATTCCTGTTTCACTGCACCGCCGTGGCCCGTCTTGTGCACCGTTCCGTCTGCGCCTTGGGCCCGCGCGTTCCGAACCCGAGCCGTCCGATGTGAGGTCTCGCCGTGAGGGACAGTTTGGTCCCAACCCTCCCGCTCAGCCGCTGCTGTGTCCTTCGCGCAGTGCACACATACCTGCGCGGTCGCGCCGAACGCGACCCTACGCCGCTCAACCTCGCTCAGCCCCACACATGACCGCCTCCCAGCGCGTTCACATCGTGACTGTGAGCTCCGCCTCCCAGCGCGCGACGCAGGCGTCCGTATCACAGGGCACATGGCCACCAAGGACCGACACCTGACCGGCGTTCCCTCGCCTGATTCGCGCGCGTCCGGGCATATACAGTATTAGGCTTCGACGTCCGTGCTCCTAGAACGTGTCCGCTGTGTCCGTGGAAGAACACATTCGACGCGAATATGTCGACGATCGCAGCCTTCCCCAACCTTACAGTAATAATAGGCCCTAGCGTCGACCCTCTGGCCGCCCAGCGGGTCCTAGCTTTGGTTCTCGGATGGACACCCGGCGTCCATGTGCGATTCAGACGTCGGCGTGGATCCGGTCGTCCAGGTTCACGTGCAGTACTGTTCGCGTTCATCCCCATTCTATGTTTACGCATCGGATTTCGGATCACGTTCGCCACCGACAAGCACCGGCGTCGCGACGCGCCCTCAGCTCTCCTCAGCCGCACTCGGTACTACTCTCGGACGCTCGTGCTTACGGTGGCTCACTGTCAGGCTCTGTCATCCGACTGACCCGCACCCGTAGGTTCCGTGCCGTATATGTCTCTCTCACACCCATCGACCCTTGTCAGTCCCTTGTCTCGCATGTAAGTCACTTACGGCACCACAGCTGCACCTGCAGAGCCTCGCGGGGCACGGTCCGACGTCTTCATCAGCCCGACACAGCTCGACACGGATCTCGCGTACCCTCCGTATGTAAGTTCGTTGCTTGTGCATGACGACCGCGCGCCAGATCGATCCGCGCGCTCGAAAAGCCCACGCCCTTCCCCACACTCCTCCTGGTTCCCCACGTTTCCCCGCATCCCCACACGCGCGCCAGGCGCCTCCTTGATAGCCCGCGTCCGCGTCGCGCGCGATGGCGTCAGCTTGGCCTTTGCTCGCAGCGCGCTCGTGCTGGGATCTGGCGTGCTCTTGCTCGATCATGATGCGCGATGCACGATGCCCCAAGGCGTCGAGTGTCACCCTCGACGCTCGTCTTACAGTAAAGCTGCCTGCAGGACCTGCAGGCCCTTCGACGCCGATCCCTGGCGAGCACACGACGCGCGCGCCGACCCAAGTACTCGTACGTACGACCTTCTCCCCTTCCTTCTTATCCACTATTTATTATTTCCAAACCCGCGATGTGTCGTTCGTTCGTGTACACGCGCTCAAAGCCCTCGAAACGCACCGCGTCGCCGCGCGCGACGTCCTGTGACCGATCCTTGACCTTCCTTGACCTTCCCGGGCCCGCGATCCTGATCCTGTCAGCCGCTCGAGCCGCTCGAGCCCCGGGCGGTACTGTATCAGAGAGCTGCCAGCGCCTGCCAGCGCCTGCCACTACCTGCCAGCGTCATGCGCCGATCAGGATCGCGACGCGGGGTTGGGGACAATATGGACGGGCAAGCGCGCGCGTGCGTGCGTGTTCGCACCCCCACGTCTGTCGAGTCCCCCGCCGCATCCCGTCGTCGCTACGTGCCCGCAGCGCCGGGCTCTGCTCGTACCCATGCTCTCCTACCCCACCCCACCGCACTCCACCCCCACCATGCCCGACCCCACTCTATGCTCGCGAGTCGCTGCGCGCGATCGCGCGCATGCCTGCCTGCCAAGCGGTGCGCTACAGTAAGTCAGCGTATATGTATATCCCGCCGATCGGTCTCCCGCCCACCTACCGCCGCCAGCCAGCCAGCCAGCCACCGCAGCCCGTGGCCATTCGCGCGCACGCACGCGCACACACACACGCGTCTTGGCGACTCGTGCAAGTGAATGAATCGTGCCGCTCCTTCCCTTCGTTCGACCCATGGCCATTACAGCGCATGCGACTGATTATCTTGTGAGCGCATGTAGACGAACAGGGATCCTTCAGCGTAGGTTCCGACGACCGTGGTACAACGGGGTATATTTGGACGACCTGTTTCTGTGCCGGCGGTCCAGGGATAGGCACGCTACATACTGACTAGGGTAAACTAGAGACTCTTCTTGGGGCCGTTGGATCCGAGGATTCTGTTCTCGGGGATGGGAATGGGTGTGTACTGTAGGTGCCGTGCTCGTGCTCGTGCTCGTTTGTGCTAAATGAGGAAAAGTGGTTCGCGAGGAAAGACGCTGGCACCGGGGGCGCGGTTGGGTCCGCGGTGCCTCAGCAGTGCCGTCTACGTAGTGTACGCTAGTGTATGTGCAGTACGCTTCTGTGGCCGGACTATGGTCAGAGGGGCTATCTACGACGCGAATGCGAGTGATTATGGCGCTTGGGACAGATGAGAGTCATTTGCGTGATGGTCCCGACGTGAGATTACCTGGGCCGTGCTCCGATCTAGACTTTCGACTGCCGTGTTGGATTTTCGGGAGGGGGATGAGGCGGGGGGTGGGGGTAGATGACGAGGGGGGGACGTGCTTACCTGATTTGTGCCGCTGCGAGCTGTGGGCACGAGGGGGTGCCTGGAAAGCGGTGCACTTGTGGGGCTGAGGAATTCGGGGATACGGATTGCGAGAGCTGGGCGCGGGTTGGCAGTGGGTTGGCACGCTCCAGCGTCAAGAGCTTCCTCGTGTTCTGTTCCCGCTATTCTTGTCGGTGATGTGCGTTTCCTTTTTGTTCGACGGGCTGCTGGATTGGTCGCGGACGGGTGCGTCGATGCTAAAGAGGGGTCGGCACTGCTATGAGGTGCTCGGCAGGGGAGCGGCAGGACGAGTGGGGTGCTTCGGCGAATGAGAACGTGGGGCGCACGTGGTTGGAGCGTCCCGGTCCAGGCCTTCTTCTTCTTTGCAACCCTCCCAGCCTCTGTCCTCGCCACGGACCTCGTTCTCTTCTCCTCTTCGTCCGCGTCCCATCGCCTCTAGTATTACATAGATGCCTCCATACTAGGAGTCGAACAGACGTCCGTGTGCTTGGGAGAGGGGACGTGATTCGAACGAGCTCTTTTTTTCCGATTTTAGTTAGCAATAGACACGCTCTCGCGCGACTTGCGCCGCGCCTGGCTAGTAGATGTTGGACGGACACGAGGAGGGGGAAGGGGCGCCAGTGATGGGTTCCCTGAGTCGCGGTGTTCCTAAATCGAAAAGAGTCGAATCATCCGCGCCGTCATCGGTGCCATCGGCTCACGCACGCTGTCCTCACGCTCCTCCCACTCGTCCTGCCATATATAAACATCTCCGATCCCCCTCGATTGCGCACGCTCCAGTCTCACCGCGCGCACGCACCCCCAACAAAGCCCCCCTTCACACTCCCCCTCCCCTTCTTCTTCTTCTTCTCTTCCCCTCTCACCCCCTTCTCTTTTTATATATATCCTTGTTGTGATTCCTAGACAGAAACGATGCCCGCCTCCGATCGCGGCCCCTCGCCGTTGCGCCCCCCAACGACCTCCTTCAGGGTCGAGGCCCAGCTCTCGCCGATCGATAGCGACCTCCACCCGGTCGTGCATTACGGCCGCGTCGCCGTCGTCACCGGCGCCGCAAGCGGCATCGGACGCGCCGCCGCGCGCGAGCTCGCCAAGTAAGCCCACGCGCGCGCACACCCCCGCGCCTCTGCTCTCTCTCTTGAAGGTCTGAACGCTGATCGGCGTGCGTGCGCGCCGCGCGCCGCAGGCTCGGGCTGAAGCTCGCGATCGCGGACTGGGACGCGGACGCGCTCGACGCGCTCGCGAAGGAGCTCGCGGCGAAGTACGGCGAGGCGAACGTGATCGCGGTCCCGACGGACGTGAGCAAGCTCGAGGACGTCGTGCGCCTGCGCGATCGCGTGTACGAGGCTTGGGGCGAGGTGAGGACCGCACCCCCGCGCGGGGCGTCGTTTTTTCTGTCGGTGTTTCCATGGATGTCGTTGCGGGCGTGATTCTGGTTGATGTCGTTGTTGATGTCTTGCTGTTTTTCCTGTTTTTGCGGTCGCGGGGGCGGCGCGCGGTGCGCTCGAGTTGTCGTTGTGACCTCACCTTGTATGCTTAGGTGGCCGTATTGCTCAACAACGCGGCGGTGAGCGTGAAGGGCACCTCGTGGGAGGGCCTCGACAACTGGAGGAAGCTCATGGACATCAATCTATTCGGGTGGGTGTCCCTTCCTCGCCGCTGCCGCCGTCGATCATCTCACACGGTCGGATTCGCAGCGTTATCAATGTGCAGCACACGTTCGTGCCCGTACGTTGGGTTCGCTTCTCCTTCATTTTGGCAGCACCGCTCATTTGGGGATCGTCTCCCTTTTTTCGATTGCGTTCTGGCAGTCGATGCTCCATCAAGAGAACCAGTCCGTCGTCATCAACACCGGATCGAAGCAGGGGATCACCAACCCGCCGTACGCACACCAGCAGATCGCATCTCTCCGCGAATCCTGACGCCTTTTTTCCGCCTCGCCTCCGCAGCGGCAACGGGGCGGCCTACAACGCGGCCAAGGCGGCGATCAAGAGCCTGACCGAGTCGCTCGCGCACGAGCTGCGCCAGCGGCCGCACAACAACGTGACGGCGCACTTATTCATGTACGTCCCCTTCCGTGCTCCTCTCGTGCCTCCCCAACCGGATCCCGCAGCCCCGGGTGGACGTTCACGGGCATGACCGGCGCCGGTGCGGCGTCCGCGTCGGGGGCGGAGAAGCCCGCCGGGGCGTGGACGGCGGAGGAGACGGTGCTGTACATGCTAGACCGGGTGCGCAGCGGGGACTTTTACATCCTCTGCCCCGACAACGAGACGCGGCCCGAGGTGGACCACCTGCGGATCATGTGGGGCGCGGGGGACGTGACGGAGGGGAGGCCCGCGCTGAGCAGGTGGCACCCGAACTACAAGTCGCTGTTCGAGGAGTACATGAAGGAGGGGCTCGCAGCGCTCGATTGAAAGCTGTGGTTGCGCGCTCGAAGGTGAAACATGCGAAGGCGATGCAAAGACGGACAAAGTGGGTGGTATAGTTAATGAGTATCAACAAGATTGTGTACATCTTGCACGCCGCCGTGTGCGGCAGGCTTTGTGTCCTGTTTCGATAAATGTATTTGGCTCGCACATGATGGGCCTGAGGTCGTGTGATGGATGGATGATCTTGGATGATGCGGACGCAGGGGTGTTTTGATACAAACAAAAAGCAGGGGGAGGGAGCGGTGTCCGGGGACCGCCTGGTGTGCGGATAGAAGCGGCTGTTGTTGTTGTGACCACGCGGACAAGCTCTTGCTCTCCTCGTCGTCTTCCACGTCGACTCGCGCACCCGCTCACCGTCGTTTGTGTTCTCCTAGACCGGCAGGCTCCGCTGGTCTTGTCTAGACGCAGCAGCCCCTCGCTAAGCACAGCGGGCTCCTTCATTCTAGCCAGTCAGGTCTCCATCGCTCTCTCGCCACGACTCGACGTCGCTTCATCACAACCACGATTCGCCTCCTTCCTCTTCCAACGGAACCGCTCGCAGCTCTTCCTTGTCTATAACCTCTCTCTCCGCATCCACATCCACATCCACACACACCACACTCACACCACAACCCACACCACCCACAACACCCTCGACAACAGTCCAGTCAATGGCGTCGCTCCGGCCTCCGTCGAGCCCCAGCCCGGGACCCAGCCCGTCCCCCGTCGGCAACGGCAAGCCCCCCAACTCGCGCGCATCCATGGGGCCCTCCGCCCGCGGCACCAGCGGCTCCCAGGCGTTCAACCTCGCCTCGCCGCGCCCCGGCGGCGGCGCGTCAGGGGGCAGGCCGACCAGCGAGCTCCTGGGCAGCGCCGGCATGTTCCAGACCCCGGAAGGTGCGCTTTTTTGTTACTGTTGGCGTGGCTCGATGGCTTGCATTGCGGGAGCCGTGCGGCGGTGTCTGTGACGGGCGGTGGGTGGGGTGGCGAGGCCCGTCGTCACGGCTGATGGCCGCAGTGCCATGCCGTCGAGTCTTGGATACCACGGGTTGCGGCCCTGCCTCGGAGTAGCGAATCGCTCGCTCGCTCGCGTCCGCGCTGGCAACAGTCGCCGGCCGCCTGCGGGGCGAATGAGACCCTGGCGCGTGCTCGCACCGGCTGGTGGCTTGATGACGATGGCCCTGTGCTGACGCACCGCTTTTTTTCAATCGCAGCGGAGGCAATCGATCAGTGGTTCGAAAATCTCCAAAATTATGAAGTCACGCTGGTACGTTCGGTTTTCGTCGGTTTTTTGGCGCTGGATCGCGCTGATGCGCCGTTTAGGAGGAGATGGCTGCCGCCTCTCTCGATGTCAATTTCAAAGAAGAATTGAGCGCCATTGAACAATGTGAGTTCCGTTTTTTTTGAGATCGCAGCCTATCTTGCCTCGAGATCTCTCCCTTTGTCTTCGTGCCGTCTTTGTACGGGATCGTCATGCTGACTGCCGATTCGCGCGACAGGGTTCAAGGTCCTTTCTGAAGCCGAGCGCACAGCCGCTCTTTACAGTCTTTTGCAACATTCTACTCAGGTCCAGATCCGATTCTTCATCACCGTCCTGCAACAAATGGCCAGGTCGGACCCGATGACAGCCCTCTTGAGCCCCGCCGTCGGCGGCTCGATGCAGAGCCAGATGGAGGCCAAGCTCGCCAGCATGAACCTCAAGTCGCCCGGGCTCAAGTCCCCGATGCCGAGCTCGCCCTCCGCGCGCACCTTCAGCGCCGGCGCAGCCGCGAACAGGCAGTCGCTCGCGTTCGACACTTCCTCCACGGGCGCGTCTGCGTTCCTCTCGCCCGAGTCCGCGAACACGCTCAGCGCCGCGGGCGCGGCGTCCGCTGCCAACGACGCGGCGGCGACGCTCGCGCAGCAGCGCGCGAAGCTCAAGGCGAGCAACGCCGCGCACCGCATCTCCGCGCCGGCGCTCGCGTCGAGCGGGGACCGCGGCGTGTGGGGCAACGGCTCGAGCGCGCTCGGGCAGGTCGCGGAGCGCGCGGGCTCGCCGACGCAGGAGATCGTGCTCGACCCCGGCAAGGGCTCGCGCCCGCAGAGCACCGACTTTACGGGGCTCGCGGCGGGCGCGGCGTTCCGCTCACCGCGGCCCGAGGGCATGGACGCGCTGTCGCCGATGATCGGGGATAGCTGGGCGAGCATGGTGAACACGCCCGTCATGCCGATGTTCGCGAAGAGCACGGCGAGCCAGGGGCAGAACCTCGAGGTTGCGGCGGCGAAGCTGAGCGACTGGAACGGGACGCGGGTGCCGGTCATGGAGGACCCGAAGAAGTTCCGCAGGGCGTCCAAGGGGACGTCGGGCAGCGACGCAGCGGGTCAGAACAACAGCGTGTACGGCGACGACGGAAATTTAGTCATGGGGGGCCAGCAGCAGCCTGGCCCGATCCAGCAACAACAGCAGCAACAACAACAACACCATCAGCAGCAGCTTTTGATGCAACAGTCACAGCGCAATGCGCCTGGCGGCCTGAGGAACGTCAGCGGGGGTGGCAATAACGGATTCGGAGCTGGAGGCTGGAACGGGGCGCGGAGCCCGGCGCTCTCCAATGTATCTTCGGGCAGGTTCGGGAGCGACGACGGCGGGATGGCGGGGCTCGGGATGGGCGGGTTCAACCTCGGCCTGGGCAGCCCCGGGCTGGGGATGGGCATGCCCAACGCAAACGGACTCGGCATGGCGGGCCTCGCGGGGATGGGCCAGCTCAACCCGTTCAACATGAACATGAACATGCTCAACATGGCGAACCTCACCGCGATGGGCATCTCTCCCGAGGCGCAGCTGCTCGCGGCGCAGATGGCCGCGAGCGGGTTCGGCCAGCCGAATCTCGGCGCGTTCGTCGGGCTGCAGCAGCAGCACCAGGCGATGAACAGCCGCGGCGTGCGCGGGCTCGGCGGTGGGCGGTCGCCCGGGCTCAAGTCGAACATGGGCCGGGACAGCAACAGCGTTGGCGGCGGCGGCGGCGGGAAGAAGGATGAGGAGGACGTGGATCCTTCGGTGCTGACGGACGTGCCGGGGTGGCTGCGGTCGCTGCGGCTGCACAAGTACACGCCGAACTTTGAAGGGATGCACTGGCAGGACATGGTCGTGATGGACGAGGCGGCGCTGGAGGCGAAGGGCGTCGCTGCCCTGGGGGCGCGACGCAAGATGCTCAAGACGTTCGAGGCGGTCCGCAAAAAAATGGGCATCGAGGCGCCCGCGGGCGCGTCGAGCGAGTCGTCGGCTTGATTTTTGCACGGCGAGAGGCCGGCGGCGCTGCTTTGGTGTTGTGGAGGCGACGACGCATAATGAGGAGGAGGAGAGTGTGCAGCTGGTCGTTGTCGCCGCCATCGTGCCCGTCATCTAATGTTTGATACAGAATTTGGATTCCCGGTTCCGCTTATAGTGATGTATAGCCTCCCCTTCTCTGTTTCTGGTTGGTTTTTTGTCTCCCGCGTTTGCGTTCTCGTTTATGTGTTTCTCGTATTCTGCCTCGGAGACTCTGATTAGTGGCGTTATGGCTTCTGGACAGGTCTTCTACATATATACACCACTCTCGTATCGTATTATTTCGGGGCCTTGGCGGTTCCCGTGTCCCTATGCATCTTTCTTTTCACTGTTTTTGAGTATGACGGGGTGTGCGCACTAGCATTGTCGCAATGGAGCAAAGAAGTCGAACGAGACCGATCTTTTCACATGGTAAGCGCGAACCCATAAATATCAGTCACTTGTACCGAGCAGCAAGCTAGAGAAAATCATCTCGTTTTGGGAAATACCGTGTATAGACTTCTCTTAGATGAATATGTGCATGCCTTGGAAGGTGGAGGCGGAGGAGAGAGGGGAGATGGCCAGGTGAGCTAGCCAGCCGCGATGACACAGATACTAGCTCCACCGGCTCATCGCTACGCACGGCGACGAGGGCTGTGGTTTATTTAAAGAACACCGTGGGTGCGTTAGCGATCTGCCGGTCGTCGTACCTCCCCCTTGTCTCCCCCTCCCATCTCTTTCGCTCCCCTTGTCTGGCTATAAGGACGCCTATATTCTCATCTGCTCAAGCCTGTTTTTTGCTAATAAAACAGCTATCGCCTTGCCACTGACCGGCGGCCACTCACGGACTAGGACTGCTGCTGCGGAGTTGGAGAGTCCAGGCATTCTTTAAGGGCCACGCCTGACCACGCCTCGTTGGATCGACCATCACAGACCATCACAGCCTATCTTTGAATTCGGAACAAGTGGAGTATAATATATCGCCGCTCGTCACTGCTTCATCAAGCCCACCTATTCCCACTTCCATCGCCCACACTCTCTTCTCTTCACTTCTCGATAATACCCCCCGCCGAAAATGGTCCTCTCGAAGTCTTTGTGCGCTCTGGCGCTCGCCCTGCCCGCGCTCGTGCGCGCGGGCGCGTCGTATAGCATGGTGAAAGAGTACGCGGGCACCACGTTCTTCGATGATTGGGACTTTTACGGCAACTGTGAGTTTTTTCTTTTCTTTTCGTGGTTATCGTGCACCGCTGGGCTGTGCTCAGTTTGCTGCGCATCTTTGCAGTCGATAACCTTACCAACGGCGATGCCATGTACGTCCGCTTGCTTTGTCGTGTCATCGGCTGGTTCTTGTCGTCTGACCCGGGGGCTGCGCGATACAGCTTCCTAAATGCGAGTGCGGCGAAGTCGGACAAGCTCGCGTTCGTCAACAGCGCGGGCAACGCCATCATGAAGGTCGACAACACCACGACCGTCGCGTTCAACGACAAGCGCAACACCATCCGCATCTCGTCGAAAGACTCGTACGGCGTCGGGAGCGTCTTCGTCGCGGATATGTTGCATGTGCCGTATGGAGTGGGTTTGTCTTGCCTTGTCTTCACGCTCGCGCGGCGCGCGACTCGGCGATTTCTGATGCTTCTGGCGTGGTGCACAGTGCTCCGTGTGGCCCGCGTGGTGGTCGCAGGCACCCAACTGGCCCAACGGAGGTGAGATCGACACTTTCGAGGGCGTGAATCAAGTCACCCACAACCAGTTCGCTCTGCATACCAATCCCGTACGTTCCATTCTTCCACACTCCTTCCTCGTGCCATCCATCCATCCATCCATCCATCCATCCGTTGTCCTATTATTACATCTATAAATATACCCAGTCGCCTGACTGACCTATTTTTGGATTTAGGGATGCACTGTCACGAGCCCGACCCAGACCAGCACCCTTCAAAACTCGACGGACTGCTCTTTCGAAGCGAACAGCAACGAGGGCTGCGTCGTCACGAATCCCAGTACTGCATCGTACGGCGCCGGATTCGCCTCTGCCGGCGGAGGGGTGTTCGTGACCGAGTTTGCGGAATCTGGCATTTCGTGAGTCCACCCTCCCCTGGTGTCTGACTCGTGTCTGACTGATCGTGGGTCCTTTTGATAGAATTTGGTTCTTCTCGGTCAGTGCTCTATATTTGACAAATATAGAACTGGACATTTTAACACCGTTCTTGATATAGCGCCCCGACGTCCCCAGCTCGCTGCAAGGCAATGCCAGCTCAGTCGACACCTCTGCGCTTGGAACGCCCGTGGCCAACTACCCCTCGACGAGCTGCACCATCGACAAGTTCTTCTCGTCCCAGCATCTGATCTTCGACATCACGCTCTGTGGAGGTCAGTCCCACACCCTGCCTGGGAATCGCGCCCAATGACCCCGACTGATTTAATCTTCTCTTCCCCTTCTCCCCCTTTCCCCCTCTCCCCCTTGGCGCTGTTTAGATTTCGGTGCGTAACAACCTCCTTTTCTGGAACAAGAACACGCCTCTGACGGGCCGTGGATTCGCTCAATAGCTGGCTCCGCGAGCGTGTTCGCCGAGACGTGCACGGGGACGTGCTACAACGACTACGTCATCGGCTCGCCGTCAAACTACGACAACGCGTACTTCGAGGTGCAGCACGTCCGCATCTACGGCTCCTCCTCGTCCGTCGTCACCTCGACGAGCGGCGCTCCCGCGCGCGTGTTCTCCAACCTTGCGGCGACGCTCGGCGGGGTCGCAGCCGCGGCTGCGTACATGCTCCACGCCCTGCTGTAGATGCTCGGCGCCCGTTTGGATGGAGGGAGGAGAGAACGAGAAGGGCGGGGCCCTTGTGCTGGAGCGCTGCTACCTTGGATCTAACGAATCTGTAGCCCATCTGCGAAATGCTCACTCGATATATATATGTAGAGCCCACGCCGAGCAGCGGCAGTAGTAGTTGTAACGGATGTGGGTGGACTAATCATTCCTCGTGTCACCGCCTCAGGGCTATCTATAGAGATTTTGCTCGACTCTCGAGATATGAACTCGAGCGTCGTTCACACCGTGCACGACTGGTTTCTTTTTACCCGGCTTCGGCCGGAGGAAACGAGAAGCTACATTTGGGCATCTTGTTAAAGAGACTCAGAAGAGTCCGCTGGGTTCGCTAAGGGAAAGGGAGGCGGTGATAAAAGGGAAGTGCTCTGGGATATAAAGGCAGGTGGGCTTAGATGCACCGGTGGGCGGGCCGCCGTTGAACGATCGCGGAGACAGATGATACATATGTTAAAGGATGCAGGACACAGACGACAATAAGGTGCTCTATCTGGACAGCTTCTGCTTCAAGCAGGAACAGTTTGAAGATATGGAAAGGGATGCTTAGATCGGGATCATCAGCTTGCCTTTTGTTATGTGTTTGTCAGCTTTTCAAGGATCAGCACGGCAATGAGTTCATGAGGGGACGATGGACATAATGAATGAAGTGATGGACGAAGAGATTGGCCTGGGGACGATAGGGAATGCCTACAACCATGCATGATAGCACCGAAATTTGGGAGGAGGGATGAGGATGTAACACGAGAAGAAGAGGATTTCGAGAATGGGAAGAAAATTAAGACAAAAGTCGAAGCTTGCGCACTGAGGCGCGTCAATGCGTACAGCATGCCTTCAATCGTGCAATCTCTATAGACGTAGGCCCAGGGATTAGGTGTCAATGGACTGTCAATGACAAGATTTGGGATTACGCACTGGTTGGCTTTCACGGTCGCCGAGCCTACCAACGAGATGGGTGGACCTTCATTGAGACAGGCGAGGGGGACTCGTTTGCGTACAGATCCACCCTTTCCTTTAGTGGCTGTGACCAGGGCTGGATTTGAGTCGATGGTTGCCTGCGTGGCCGTCTGCAAGGTCATCTGTGTCGAGGCAGAAGAAGCTTAGAAGATAGATGTCACAACCTCGGTCAGGCTTGCCTTTACCGTCGTGTTGGTCGTCCCAGGACCGAAATACCTCACCTCTGTGCACTCGACAAGAAAACATCAACGCATGTATACACAGTCCAACAGTACTTTAACACGAGACTGGTCACATACCTTGAACGGCTGAAAATTACTATTGACTAGACCACGCGCGCCCTCATTGAACCCGGTACTCAGGTCGACGCAGGCCTGCGCGGAAGCACTCGCTGGCATCGTTCCCTGGTTAGTCTGCGCCGTGCCTACAAAGTCCAGCTCGGCAAAGGTGATCAAGTCAAGATCAAAACAATCGCCGAAACAATATTGTTGAAGAATGTGATTCCGAGGTCGAACTGAGAAATAAGACTGACCTGTGTGGTATTCTTGCTGCGCCCGCGTCATGCGCATAGATGGTATGATATGGGATGATACCTTGACCTCACCCTGCTGTGCATCAAAAAAGAGGAAGAGGCTTCCGAATCCGCCCAGCCTCAGAACTATCGAGCTCAAGTCGGAGGTTCGTGACCCGCGCCTCCTTTTTCGTAACCCGCCCTCCCGCATTGGGCCCCATTGAAAAGGTTGTCCGGGCTCCACGCGCGGGGTCGGTAAAACACAGTGCACCGTCCGGCGGTCGATGGGCACCGCGCTGCAATGCAATGCACTGCCAGCGGGCACTCGGCCTGGGACAAAGGCGCGGCAACATCGACGACCGTCTCTGGCTCAACGAGCACCCGCGCCCCCACTCCAAAACACCCCGTCGTCGCACAGGTTCCAAGCGTTCCAACATCGTATCGAAACCTTGCTCAAAAATCTCAGATAACGGTGTGCAACCTGCAACAGGGATCAGGCGTGGCTCGCCTCGAATCGTGCAGGACCTTGCACAGACTACTACAGCATTTCATCCCCGCCTCCGCGCACTGGACCAAAGAATAATGATAGCTCTTTCGATCGAATGTCATGGACAGGTCTAGGATCGCAAACGCCAAACGTACGTCGGCTCCTGAGTTTTCACAAGCTGCGCCCGCAGTGGGACTGAAACACATGTCGGCGGGAAGCCGATCGTGCACAAGCACACCCAACAATATTCGAGGGCTCCAGAAAGAATTGCAGACACAGCATCCATGATATCAAAGAATGCACGTCGAAAGTTGGCTCTGCAGACGGAAATCCAGGGCGCAGAATCGCAGATATACAACGAACACCGACCATCGAGGACGAGGGTAATATGATCATTAATCTTGCCCAAGTAGCTGTCTGCATCGCTGTGCAATGCATTCGGAAGTAGTTTGCAATGCAGAGAGAGGTAGAAGCTCGTGAGGGCCCACAGAACAGGTGCAGGGAGAGGAACGCGCAACATCGGGCCAAGGAGACGACGCTGTCAATTACAAGATTTTTTTCAGCATCCTGTGCTGCGTACAGTATGATGCAGACGAATATAACGATGTGGGATGAGATGAGTGCAGGTCTGTGCAGGTACTATTGATATTGAGAACAGGCGTTTCAGGTGAGATAGGGGAATGCGTGACTAACCTGGAGCCCTCCGGCCGGATCCGGTCACCGTCCATCTCAGACACTTCCGACATCGACTCTCATCAACTCTCGAGTATGTTCAAGTTTATGTTTCGGAACAGCATTCTACAAAACCAGCAATATGACTACTGAATCATGCCCATCGGATGCTCTGGTGGTATATAAAAGCACACCTGGGGCCTTTCATCCTAACAATCACCACCTTCCCCTCCATTCATCTTCCAACTTTACGATTGACATTTTCCGGTAACCAATTTCTACTTGAAATAATGAAGTTCACGTCCGCTCTCGTTCCTCTTGCCGCTGTCTTTGTTGTCTCTGTCACATCAGCTTCTGTCAAAAGGGACGTGGACCCAAACCTGGTCCCTGACCTCGGATTTCATGCCGGGGTGAACCCTACCGGTTAGTATCTGCGCTCTTCATCTCGGGTATTCTGTGAATCCATAATAACCGCCACACAGGGACTGGGGACTGTGATGGTGCCGTCAACGGACGTGACGGCAGGCCCATAAAAATCCCCTGCGCGTGCCCTCCAGACCGCAACACTTTCTTGCAGGTGACTCCGCTGCTTTCGTCTGATTGTGTCAACATCTGACGTTCGTGATATCAGGCTTTGAATGCGAACGTCGCTGCCGGACATGCAATCAACAATCCCCCTATTGCCGTCACGTTCCCGACGGATAACTCTAAAGCTTCAAAGAACACGCGTATCATCGCTTCTCTCATCACGCTGCAGAACCTTCACGGCCCCGGCCAAGGTTGTCCTGCGGTATCAACGACCCTTCTTGCCCAGCAAGCTGCCATCAACGCAGCGCCCGGAAAGCGTACAAGTTCTGCGGATATTTCACGACTTGCGCCTGATCTTGGCTTCCACTCCGGTGTGAACCCTACTGGTGGGATTTGGGCGTTTGACTTTGAGAATGAGGAATACTGACTCACGTACGTAGGTACGGGAGACTGCGACGGCGCTGTGAACGGTCCCAATGGCCAACCCATTAAGATTCCTTGCGCATGCCCGCCCGATCGTGCGACCTTCCTCCAGGTAAAGTGCCGCCTCCGGTTTCTTTGGTACGGCACTAACGAAGATCCATCATCCAGCACCTGACAGCTGATGTTACTGCCGGCCACGCCGTCAACAACCCTCCGATAGCAGTCATCTTCCCCACTGACAACTCTGTCCCCTCCCAACTCGCTCGCATCAACACCGCTCTCATCACGTTGCAGAATTTGAACGGACCAGGGAAGGGCTGTCCTGCCGTTTCTACCACACTCCTGGCGCAGCGACAGGCTCTCCAAGGTTAATTACAGAATGCGAAGCCATCCGTACTCTTATCTCTTGTCGTGATCGAGCTGATTCCACGTACATTTTACCTATATGCTTCGTTATTAATTGAGTTGATTCCACATATGTCGGACACCGAATGGGATGAGTGTCAGCAGATTTACAACATAGTTTGAAATGTATGGATGTGCCAAGTATGTGCCATTGTTTTCCCGTTTCTCACCAACGTGTTTTGTAGGTCTCACTGATGCAAAACGATCGGACCTAGCCGGATAACCTGTTACATTTTCACCCTCATTAGGATTCGACGCCCCTTGTCCAGTGATGCGCCTACCGCCGAGGCTCCACACTGCACACTGCACAGTGACAGCGGATGTTCGTTGTGATATATTCATCCCGCTGTGCGTCTTGAAACTAGGTTTCGGCGTGCGCCAGCAGCTAACGCCACTCCAATTTTCGTGCCCATATGGAACTACGTTAACTTTTGACTAAAACCATGACCTACGGCTTATTATTGTGGCTCCATCTAACTGCCTTGACATCTCGGAGTCATACGAACGATGGCCCTCGACATAAAAGAATATGCTGACGGGAATATTTTGGCCGTGTCCGGTTGAGTACATGCCGATATCTCCGCTTGTTGTCCGCTCTTCTCCCCAGTCGTACGCTGTTCAGGTCTCGTATTCAACGTTCCGACTAATCCCCTTTTTTCCGGATCTTGGGCCTATTTTTTAGGACCTGGCCGTAAAGTGCTTCTGCTAAACTTTCAGGTCAGCTCTTCCCGACCTTTCACAGCTCACAAGACCGGCTTGATTGCCTGAAGTGATATCAGAGGGACACAATGTGATCCGCGATGTTCTGGTTCCAACCCCTTTTTCTTCGCAATATTCGCTGGCCTTTCCTCTGTCCTGATGAGGGTGCATCTCATCAGCATATACACGCATCTCCCAAGTAGGATTGCGAGTCTGTGATCGGCCTCAAGTCCATGAAGCGCTACGTTGAGAGCGGTGCGGCGTGCCCATTCGAGTATACACAGCTTGGAAACTTTAAAAGGTATGATATGGGCTCCATCTCTCTCAGCGCTGGAGGTGTAGCCTCCTTGAACGCTCGAGCTATGTATGCGCCTTGCTTCACCAACTTGGAGACAACAGGACGACTCGCTGACTGCGTGGGCGTTCAGGGCCACGGTACCCTCGTTTCTGCATCATTCAATATATTGCCGGTCACGGCCATGCGATGACCCGGCCAGATGCGGCCAGATGCTCTCATATTTCTCATGATTTGGTGACACTCAATTTCGAGTATATAAGACCTCAGCATCTGCTCTTTCTTTCAGCACTCCCAAAACTCCTTGCACACCCCAAGCATTGACACTTTTACGGAGGTGCGCACTGCGGTCTTCGAGTGCACATCGATGGCGCCCTGACTTTCCTTCACTCATCAGATGATGATCAAGTTGACCTTTGTTGCTGTTGCCCTCACCGCGGTCGGTGTCAATGCCATCTGTCCTGGCTTCAACTACGGCATCGCCGACCTCGGGAACCAGAACTGTGCGCCTTTCCACCCTCCACCCCTGTACTTTTCCGGCGTAGCCTACCCTCTGATTTGCTCATACTGGTGTTCTCTTGATATCGCAGACCGTTTCTACGACGACTCGTGCAAGGCCGTTGAGACCTACATCGCTACAGGCGTGAACGTGTGCACGAGCGGCAAGTTCACCTGCTCCTCGTCCCCGGTCACCATCACCGGGGCGAAGATCCTCAATAACTGGTACGTCTCCGCGCACGTCTGAGCCACACATACCATTAGACATCCTACTTCTGGACAGGTATGCCTGCCGCTCTGACTCTCAGTCCGGGTCGTGCAACGGCGAAAAGATCAGCGTCTGCGTGAGTTCCTTGCTAGACCCTGCATTGCTATCGACATCGCTGACGGTGCTTATTTTCTTTTTGTCAGTGCCGCAACGACGGCAACTGAGTTGGACTCTGATCAAGGAGGCACGAGGAAGCAGTCGAACATCTCTCTGTACTCATGTAACACCTACTGCCTGAAGGTGCATGTGCGCAAAGATCTCTTAAATAATGCATTTCAGCACGAAGCGAACACAGAAAAGAAACTATGAATGGTGCAATGATTATATGAATAATTACTAAAGGATAGGAACAGGGAGTCACTGAAGTAGGTGAGCATGTCTCTGATGGTTGCTGCGGCTCAAGCCGAGTCCCACAACTCGAGCTAGGCTATCCTCAGCGACATTTCCTTGAGCTGGAAAGACTCCGAAGGATGTAACTATGAACGGTATGATAATCTATGGTTCCTTTTTCTTCCTCTTTTAGAAAGGATGTTCTAGAGTCAGCTGCGTCAGCAGCTCGAAGCCCTCCGACCTATACGTGTCGTTGGAGAGCGCGAGCGAGACCGCGCCGTCCAAGAAGGTCATCAGTGCGGGCGACGCGGACGAGTATCGGGGCCAGTGCACAGCGCCGGTGCGCGGCGCGCCGACGTTGGGGTCGAGCGTGTGCGCGAAGCGGACGAAGAAGTCGACCAGATCGAGATTCCCGGACCCGTAAACGTTGTCAGATCCGTGGAACTGCGCGCCGCATGTCAGCCGAGCTACGAGCCGTGCGCGCGCGCGAGGGAGATAAAAACAGAGAGGACGCACCGAACCCATGTACGGCAGGCTCTTCAGGCGCTTGGACACTGCGGAATCGATTTAGCACAGGTGTGAGGAATGGGTCCTATTGGAGCGGAGAGAGAAAACGCGTGCGTACGGAAGGCCCAGATGCGCTGGTGCGCGTCTGCCCGTGCGCGCAGGAAGAAGCGGCGCGGTGCTTGGAACGCGAGGTCGCCCTGGAGTGCGGCGAGGTGTTTGTACTGCGGCGACAATGCGTTATCTGCGCCTGTGTCGAACGGTGAGCCCTGTGCGGGGTCGGAGGGGTAGAGCGCCATCAGGCGGTTGATGTCGTCCGCGGTGGACTGGGGGTAGTAGTTCGATGCTATATACCCGCGTGCTTCGTAGTCGGTCCTGGATTAAATCCAAATGCGTACGTTGAACAGAGCACAAAGGCAGCGGTGTTCGTAACGACATACGTAACGTTATGGGAACTCAGCGAGAAGAACGTCCCTTCGTCTTCGCAATCCCCTGAGGATAAGTAGTTAGTCTCCAATGTCGAACCAGAGAGACTGTTAGGACGCACCCGAGATGAAAGGCATGTCTGCGACCCTTCCTTGCTCGGTGAGCAATTGTGCATTCTCTTTCAAGAATACCCCGTCAGCTCGTGGCCACCACGGCAGCTGCATAGACTTCAAACCCCAAATGTCAACACCTCTCACACCAATGATGCAAGAAATATCGTCCGGCCTACCTGGTAATCGAATATCGACGGTGTGCTGTTTGACGCAGCCTGGAACACATCGTACGGCACCTGGCGCAAGCACTGCAGCGTATCGCTCGCGCCCGCACACCCTGTCCGCTCAACCATAAGGTTATAGTACTTCTGCCCGTGCATGATGTCGCCGACGGGCAGCGGCGAGCCGGACTGCATGATGCCGCCGCGGAACAGCCCCTCGGCGTTACCGTCGTTGGCAAGCACGTGCGTGCCGACTGACATTGCGCCTGCGCTCTCGCCCCAGCTGAAGGGGTGCAATGAGCTCCACCGGCGCGAATACCCAGTGCTGAGATGGATATCTACGTACATGATGACTTTCTTCGGGTCTCCACCGAACGCGTCGATGTACTTCTGGACCCATCGTAGGGCCAGACGTTTTGAACAATAAAAGAGCTTTTACGTTGGCAAAGGCTTGTACAAGGATTTATCGCACTCACAATCCTGGAGGCCGAGGTTCCCAACGCCGGCATTCTTGATTTCAGCTCCACCTAGAGGCCCATAGGCTGAAAAGTTGCAATGGATCAACGCACGAGAAAGCAAACAATTTCAAAGTTTTTATAACGCACCAGATAATCTAACGTCCAGGAAAATGCAACTCAGTCTTTGGAAAACACGTCAGGAGGACAAAGAGGCTCACCTGTAGTTCATGCTGATATAAACCACGGGCAAACCCAAGTCGAGTGACGTTTGCACAATGACGCCGCCGTCGTATCTACAAAATATGATCAACTTACAATAAAGTAGTTTCAGATAGCGAATGTGTTACATCGCAGTCTCCTCTGCTTGGAACCCGCCTAGATTGACAGTGCTGAGTATCATAGATGTAAATAGACGCGATGCGCTCACCGCCGTAGATATACTGCCGGACCGCGAAATGTAAGAAATGATTCTAGCACAAGTTTCGGACTACATACCGCCATCACAGGTAGCTTTGATATCCTTGTGACATTTTTGTGAACCCGCATGTTGACGGTCAGGCCCGCATCGCGTCAGAATCCATCGAAGACTAGTGGTTGGAAAAATCGCGAACAATCTTCGCCCTGCGCGTTTCCGCTTGAGCGCAGAGCACCCAAGAGCTGCGCGAGTTCTTCGTTCGGGGTGACCGGCATCACAGGTTGCTGGGGACACAACAAGCCGAATGTCGTGGCGTTGTACGTGCCATTGTAAGGTGGATGCGGTTTGGGGAGACGCAGGCGACGGTCTCCAGTGCTGTTCCAAACGAGTGGATTTAGTCGCGCGGCCTGCGCGCACGTCGGGCTCGATGGACATACGGGGAAAGAGCATAAGGTATGCCGAGAAACTGCGAGACATTGCCTGAGCCATTTTCCAGGAACGTCCCGTGGTCTAGGCGCACAGTCGGTCGACTCGAAGAGCTCAGATTGTGAAAGGCGACTCCCACTACCCCAAATTCGACGCCCAAGGCGACTCCGAGTAGCACCGCACTACCTATCTGTAAGAACCACTTCATGATAAGGCGAGTCGAACGATGGCAATAATTAGAGATTCGAACGTTTGTGGAAAAGGCCCTTGGTTATTTATAAGGGCATTTTGCTGGTCTTCCGGGCTAAACAAGCAGTGACGCGTCTGCGAGGCAAGAGTCAAGATGTTTGATCCAGACTTACAAACGGTAAGGGTGAGGTGCGATGACTGTCCCGATCACACTGATGAATATCGCTTGAGCATCCTTTTAGTCGTTTTGATGATATGAGCCAGTCAAAAGAAGATGAGTCATTCAGCGCGCTTAGCGCTTAGCACTCAGCTAGGTGGATTTATATCGCTTTCTCCACGAGATGCGCGGCCGAAATGCACATGCAATAATACTTCAGGCCCCGATATGCACCATGGATGCATCAGCTCGTAAATGTAATTGAAGCCGAAGTTGATATTCGTCAAGATTCTCCGAGGCGTCCGGAATACGGGAACATCCAAACTTGAGGCTTCCAATGAGACGAATTTTCGAGATCTGGAGCCGGTTTGATCGATTTGAACCGCATTTTACAGAAATGCTACATATAGCCATACAAGTCACTGTAGATCATAGCACAAGATTAGAGAAAAAGAAATAGATTCATAAGGGATTTCTGGAGACGCACCCTTAATTCCTATGGGCGATACGATACTCTTCGTCCTTCATCAACTCATCTTTGAAGACCGCCCGGACCTCGCTATCGAAGTTGAACTCGGCATGCTGACTTGATGCAGAGTAAGAGCGAGAAGAGTTTCGATCACCAGTCCCATATACCGCATACTTCCAGCCCTTCTCACGCACTCCAACTAGCCGCATAAAGGTGTCTAGGCTCAGACGTTCCCTCTCGTCCGATGTGATTGGGTCTGGACGTCGTGCCAGCATACCATACCCCTTGATCAACCAACTGGAAATACGGTACTTCCTGGCCAGGAGGATCATTTCCACTGCACCGGAGTTCTGAACATTCTTTTCCATAGCATTAATCGCCTTCATCCGCATCTTTGGCACCTGCCACATATCAGCCAGTTCGAGCACGGCCATCCACTCGTCTGTACTCAAAACTTCAGATCCGCCTGGTAGCCTGCCGAGATGAACATCGGCTGTGTCCAAACTATGGACTATGGCTTCACTCACTGAGGGTAAGTGACTTTCAGAAAGCACCTAAAGCCAAATATGGTGACCTGACTGGGGAGGACTATGGGATTATCGTCACTCAACCCTTCCTTCTCCTTTCCTCCTTGAGGTACCAGAAACATATCAGCGAAGGCTCCCTCATCGTCCGGGAGCATGCATTTAGGAACTCTAAAGAGGATATTCTCGACCTATATCTCGTTCATATGTCAGAAGCATCTGAACCAGGCAAGGTGCTGAAAGCGCTTGTAAATATCATGAGCGAGAACTCACTTGAAAAACCACAGTCTCGAGATAGAAAACCCGATCCCGTTTGAGAGAAGGACGTAAGCTTGAATTGGCAGGAATCGAATGAGCCTGTGATTCCTCTGAATTGGTAGGAAGCGGAGGTATGGAGTCCTTTGAATCAGCGGGAAGAGAGGGACCTGAGATCATGATGCGGCGATGGGGCGATGAGAGGAGAGACTGAGGGTCATCAACCATAGTGCGATGATTTATTGAATCTTTGCGCAGCAATTAGACAGCCTTTCACATCGTCCACGATGCAAACAAGGTCTTCTTTTACGTCCATCAAGATACTCTGCGCGCTTGGAGATGCGTCCCTGAGGACATCTGCGAAGGACAGGCTTCCATACAGAATCAAAGCAGGCGTGAGGACTGCGCCGGGACTCCAGTCCAAGTCATGCGGCAGGTGCAGGGTACTGCACTATCCATTATTGTTAGTACATATCGCGGTCGATACCAGGATTTAAAGTTTGAGGACAATACGTGAACTTGAAAATGCAGGAGAACACAGATAAAGCGCACTCGGAGAAGAGATTAGACCAATTTCGGCGATGGTGTCAAAGATGCGTAGGCGCCAATGTCGTTAGCTGCGCAGAGCTGACTGTAAGAAGAGCTCTCGAACTTCTAAACATGGACAACAAGGGAAGTTCGTGTGGTACCGCGTAAACGACAATTTGCCTGTCGCTGGCTCTCTCAGGATGCATCGGTGTTCACTGACAATTACCGGAGTCTGCATATAACACGAGGTGCATTAGCGCCATGGAACCAAGTGGATATTAAGGCAGATGAGGCGTAGTGCGTCTCTTTGGCATCAAAAGTAAGATATCGGAGACGTACCAATCACTCAAGACGTGAGTTCTGCGCCTATGATACTGCGAATGTTGCACAGTCTATCCTTCGTCTTCCTCCCCCCCCACACCCATGCTCTTGTCGACGGTACCAACCGCATCGCTCTCCTGTTGAACTGGATACAAACACTTGTGGCACGCACTTCAGGCTTTTGTAAATATAAACACCGCAGAAATTCAATAGATCATACTTACTCCATTGCCTCGAACCCTTCGTGCGCGACCAGAGAACGCTCTTTTGATACGCAGTGACATGAGACGTTTCTTGAGTACCTCTGTCTCAACAAGAATACCAACAAGAGAAAGGGGATAGAAGCTCACCTCTGAAATTTTGCAATAGCCACGAGCAGCCATGTACCCAAAGGCTCAGATGCACTGAGCTATCTCCTTCGCTCCCCGTCACCAAATTTAGCCAAAGGTACGCTTGCTCGTATTTCGTTGAGCTCATTGGGGTTCAAGCATCACGACTTGCGGGGTCGCCGGAGAGCATAACTGTGCATCGTGGTGCACTGGTGATCCAGAAGTGTAACATTCAGTAAGGACTCAGGAGGTTGCAGAGAAAGCTAGAGAACGGTATGTAGTAGCTGAGATTCCCACGCTACTGAGCGCAAACTGGGGCCGAGGCTCTCGCCGATTCGATGCTTAAACCACCTCGGGCCCCACATACAGCCATGGAGACCACTTCTGACATACAGAACTCCCCCCAACCGTGACGGATCATGACTCGTCTTCCTCTCTCATCTATTTGCGTTTCCCTTTCGGTTTCTTTCCCTTCGCAGCTTCATATGGTGAGTCGGTGACACGGCGAAGAAACTCCATCAGTGCATGTTCAGATCGGATGTGTGAGTACTCACCATCAACGCGGTGGGCAGCACGATATTCGTCGTCATCCATCAATTCGTCTTCGAACGCCGCCTGTATCGCACCTGCGAAACCGAACTGGTTCCGTTGTTGTTGCGCATAGACACTATAAGGGTATTGTCCGAACACCGCATGGTTCCAGCTTTTCTCTCGGACCTCTGCCAACCGCACGAATGTATCCAAGCCCAGGCGTTTTCTCTCGTCCGCCGTGATATGTTCTGGGCGTCGTACCAGTATATCGCAGCCCTTGGTCAACCAATCGGAGACACTGTATTTCTTGGCCAGGAGAATCATCTCCACGGCGCCTAATTTTTGAACTTCGCTCTCACTTGCATCGATCGCCTTTGTGCGCATCTTTGGAAACTCCCACATATCGGAGAGTTTCAACACGGACATCCACTCGTCTACAGTTAAATCAGTGGACCCGCCTGGTAGCCTGTCGAGGTGAATCCCATAAATAAACACCATCTGCATCGCAGCTACGGGTGCGTGTAGACTCACTGAGGGTAACTGGCCTTGAGGAAACTCTTGAAATCGAATGCGGTGACCTGAGCGGGAAGGATTATGGGATTGTCATCGCTTGATCCTTCCTTGGCCTTCTCTCCTTGCGGCATCGAAAACATGCCAGCGAAGACACCTTCATCGGCTTCAAGCCCATATCGGGGCACCCTAAAGAGCGTATTCTCGGCCTAGGTCTCCAATTATGTTGGGATTTTGGAATATCAGGCAATGGCAACTCACCAAAAAGACCACCGTCTCGAAGTAAAAGGAATTATCCCGCAAAAAAGGAGGGCGAGCAATTATATTGGTTGGAGGAGGACAAGGGGGTTCCCTTGGATCGAGCGGAAGCAAAGTACCCCCACTTGGATCAGCGGAAAGTGAGGTAGAGGAATCAGAAATCATAGCGTAGTGGTTGGTGGAGGAGCTAGACTCATCGACATCGACCGCAGTGCGATATTATATCGGTCTACCCTCGTGCACTGTGCGCAGCATCTTTCATACTGCATGTGCATCATACACGATGCAAACAACACTTTTTTTGAGGTCCGTTAATAGATTCTGCGCAGTTCGAGGTGCATCCCCGAGGTCTTCTTTGAAGGCAGAGTTTCCATATAGATTCGGAGGGAAGGTGCGATGATGTCAAAGAAGAGTCCGCTGAAACCTCGACCCCGGACATGCGGCAAGCGAAAAGAAATCATACCATACATGACAGAGAGTATCGAGAATGAAAAACAGAACCAACAGAATACATTGCTTAGAGTCGAAGAGGAGAAACAAACACAGACAAGAGATTAAACGAATTGATATAGTTGCATCGAGGAACCTTGCGACTACTAGCACTGACGCAATACCGTCAGTTGTACAGGAATGCCCGGGACCAGGAAGAGTGTACAGACCTGCGATAATCGATGACAAGACGTGCTAGAATGTCTGAGAAACGTCGTTGTATTCACCGGCACGTACTGGAGTACGACATGACAACGGTCAGCTGATTTTATTGTTTTCCCCGATGCATGGTGGAGATACATACCTTTGCTTCAGATGAACAGCGCGGTACTCTTCGTCCTCCATCAACTCGTCCCTAAAAACCCTGCGCACTTCTTCTACAAAATCAAAACACCCTCGATAGTCTCGCGCATAATACGAGTTGCTCAGCCTCCCATAGTGGCAGACATACTTCCAGCTCTTGTCTCGCACCTCTGCCAGCCGACAGGATGTGTAGACCCCCAGACGCACACTCTCGTCGGGCGTGATAACGTCTGTGCGCTTTGCTAGCGCTACATAGCCCCGCATCAACCATTTCGAAACACAGTACTTTTTGGCCAATAAAATCATATCCACTGTGCTCAGGTTATGAATATGACTCTCAACTGCATTGATCGCCTTTGTCCGCAAGCCTGGAAGCTCCCACAAATCAGACAGTTTGAGTACGGACAGCCACTCTTCTCCTGTGAGAGAAGCAGACTCGCCGACGAGCCTGTTAAATTAGACAGAGATTTATCAAGCATGTCTCATATACTATTAAAACCTATACTCACTGAGCACGCTTGGCCTTGAGAAAATTCTTGAAGTCGAATACAGTGATATCGGTGGGAAGGATTATAGGAATACTATTACTTGATCCTTCTTGCACAGTTTCGCCTTGAGGCATCGAGAACATGTCGGCAAAGACACCTTGGTCATCCTTGAGTACGTATCGAGGGACGTTGAAAAGAGTGTTCTCGACCTATAGCACATATTATCATGTCAGAAGGGCCCGTACCTTGTGATCTGCCAGCTGCCTTCTCAAGCACTTCTACTGAAATCTTACCAAAAAAAACACAGTCTCGAGATGTAGACCATCTATCATTGAAGCACATTTTGCTATATCGACGCATTCTTCCTTCAGGATTTCGGAAGCTAGAGATAGTTGTTTACTGACAGGCCGCTCGGAGATCATGATGTGATGATGCAAGGACGAAGCTGCTGCTCCTTCAGAACGGCGTGTCTTTTATGGAACTGCTCGCAAATACTGTGCGCAGCATCGATGCAATGTTGCAGGAACGTCCGCGCAGAGACTGCGAGGTTTTGTATCGGATGGATGGTACAACATAAATCGTTGAGAGTCTGCGATAAACGCTGTCTGGAGGTAGAGACGGCGGAAGTAGGGAGGGGTGGAGCGAATATGGATAGAATAGACGAGGCCAGGGGCTAGCAAGAAGCACGAGTAAGAAACGGACAAAACGATGGTCGAAGGACAAAATGTTGGCCCACGTGTAAGCCCTGTCCAGACATCACTGCGATTCTGAGCACTTTTGTTATCACGGTTCTATGATGTATTTGGTTGAGCCTGCTCAAAAATCTCGTCATATTTCGACAGCACTTGAGCTATTGTGGTCAAAAAACAAAAGCATGTCTTTGCAACCTACGGCTGCGTGAGAATACAGAAAGATAAGATGATGGAATGAGCTCCACTCACCCGATAGTTCATTGTTGCTTGCAAGCATTCGCGCACGACTCTACATTCGGCTTTGGATTGCTCGCCATCCGTATTGCTACCCAACAAAAGCTTATGGCAGTATTCCCGGGCCCAAGAGCTGATCGGCCTGGCTACGCTCCTGGCGACTGTTCGCTCTCTCAGATCTCCGAACGAGACAAGATGTAGACGAATTTCCATTTGAGAGCAACATGAGTCGAATACACGACCGTTCCTAGTATTTATTCGTTGTTCCAATCTCTATTTTTGGCCCTCGTTCCGACCCATCATCGCCGTGTTCGTATCGCCAAGTGGTTGTCCTTGACACTCAGCTTGATAGTGTTACGTGCAAAGAAGAGCGGAGAAATGAGCGGAAGAGCAAATAAAAGCTGCAAAGGGGGATATTTCCTTCCCGTTGAAGAGTGATTTGTGATTTGGTCGAACGTCCGTTTGAGCGGGCATGTCTGTGCAACCTAAATTTTCTCACGCTGTTGAATTGGACAGGCGGGTCGCCAGACTGCATGATGGTGCATTGAATTATTTCGTATATTATATTGTAGCTCAGAGAGGAGCGATTATTGAGGTTCCAAAATTGAGAGAATGAATACGAAAGCACGAGAAAGTACACTAGCACCATCATTGATGTATTCATACATTGTTGCATGCAACGCCGCACAGAGACGCAGAAATGGACCTACAAATGAGCTAGGCGGCATGGCTTAGAATCAGCGCGAGCAGTTCGTCGATGTATCTCTTAAACACATACGTACCTTAAGTTGTATGGGCCATGCGAAACTCTCCGTCCTCCATCAATTCGTCGTTGAAAATCTTCTCTATCGCATCCTTGAACCCAAAACTACCTCGTATATCTCGTGCATACACCGTGTTGTATGACGCATACATCCCATAGTCGCAGGCATACTTCCAGCTTTGCTCGCGCACATCCACCAGTCGTAGGAACGTGTCCAAACCTAGACGCTCTCTCTCGTCAGCGGTGATATGTTCTGGGCGCCTTGTCAAGGTCTCATAGCCCTTGATCAGCCATCTAGAGATGCGATATTTCTTGGCCAGCAGAATCATATCTACCGCGCCCGAGTTCTGAATCTGTGTCTCGGTTGCATCGATCGCTTTTGACCGCATCTTCGGGAACTGCCACATATCGGAGAGTTTGAGAACGGACATCCACTCGTCCACTGTGAGAGAAGCAGACACGCCAGGAAGCCTGTTAGGGTAAATGTTGCCTATTAGTAACTCATATACGCATTCTGAATCTCCTACGCAACTGAGGATAGCTAGCCTTCAGGAAGCTTCTGAAGTCGAATGCAGTGATGCCATCAGGAAGTACTATAGGTGTCTTGTCGCTTGCTCCTTCTCTATCTTTGCCTACATGGGGCATAGAGAATATACCAAAGACACCTTCGTCATTTTCGAGTCCGTATCGAGGAACTCTGAAGAGAGTGTTTTCGACCTATGGCCCTTCTCATGTCAGAAGTGTTGTCCGTGCTTTCCAGGCTGAGTAGAATTGCGCAGCTCACCAAAAAAACCACAGTTTCGAAGTAAAAGAAGCTATCTCTCACAGGAGCAAGCTGCTGTTCTGCACAGGCTGGCTCCGGTTTTGGAGTCGACACCGACGATGAGGGCGGGATGGAGGTAGGCTCAACAGCAATCATGATATGACAGTCTGAGAAGGTGAGGTGTGCAGCACCTCGCTGAGCTGATGGTCTTGTATCGATCGGCTCCCATGCCTGGCACGCAGCATACACAGGCTTCTATCTGAACCGCACTATGCCCACGATGCAAAGACTGCGCCCTCTCATGTCTGGCAGTCACATTCAGCACGCTTCTAGAAGCGCTTAAAAATCATCTACGCCAGATGAGCTTCCGGGTTGGACGTGTAAATAACGATTAGGACTTCACCAGACGAAACATATGAAAAGAGTAAAAAAGGTGACTTTCCACACATATTTGAGAAAGGTAGTATTAAAGCTTGGAATGCCTGGGGCTAAGCGCCAAACATGGGGGCTCACAACGTAAAGACGCGCTGCCGTGACATAGGGACCTTTGCCAAGTTTGCGCGTGCCAATATCTGTCGACACCGATTGCATGGTGCACCTCAAACAGTAGCAAAATTCTGCATACGACGGAATCAGAAAAGGAGATTGATTTCTCACTATGACTATTTCTTCTTGCCTTTCCCCTTCTTCTTTGTGAACTTACGTTCTGTCTGCTCCACGTTACGATCTATAGTAGCTTATCGTGACATGAGTGAAGAAATAAATGCTCCGTCGAGTGACAGATTGGATATCGGGGCACGTACCTTCAACGCTAGATACATAAGCACCATCCTCCATCAATTCATCTTCGAAGGCAGACCGTATCGCATTCTTGAAGCCAAAACTACCTCGTTGGTCTCGTGCATATACTGTGCCACCGCTCATTCCGCAATCACAGGCGTATTTCCAGCTCCTGTCGCGCATTTCTACCAGCCGGAAAAACGAAACCAGCCCCAGATGCTCCCTTTCTTCAGGCGTGATAGGTTCGGGACGACTCGCTAACTTTGCATAGCCATCGAGTAACCATTGAGAGATATGGTACTTCCTGGCCAACAAAATCACGTCCACGGGGTGCGCGTTCAGGATATGACCCTCAGTTGCGTCGATCGCCTTCTTCCGCATCTTTGTGAAGTTCCACAGGTTGGAAAGCTTCAGCACGGACATCCACTCGTCTAACGTAAGGGAAGTTGATACACCAGGGAGCCTGAATATGATTGAGCGCATGCTGACAGTGATCAGAGCTTATACGCACTGAGGATAGCTGAACTTGAGGAAACTCCTGAGGTCATGTGCAGTGACCTCAGCGGGGAGAATGATTGGTTCATCTTCACTCGCTCCAGCAGTCGTTTCTTCTTCTTGAGACATCGAGAACATTTTTGCGAATTCACCTTCGGCCGCCTCGATCCCGAAACGAGGAACCCTGAAAGTAGTATTCTCAACCTAACCTCCGAATAAAAGTATGTCAGAAAGGACCCAGAAACACTCATCCAAGGCAAACATCACAAGTATCGGAAGCTCACCAAGAAAACCACGGTCTCGAAATAGAATAGCTCGTCTCGTATAGGGGGGGTAAATTCTCCCGTGTTTACTGAGACTGACGGAGACGATTCTGCGATAGGCTCACCCATGGCGTAAGGGAATGAGCCAAAGCTGATCCTGGACCATGAAGTTGGTCTTTATTGACTGAGTCGCATGCCGCGCAGCATCCACGATGAAGGCCGGAAGAGGTTCCCGAGGTCGAGCTTGAGGTTAACGTAACCTTTCCCACGACCGCCCAAGCGCTCGAGCCACTCTCCCTTTGCAGGCGAGCCACAAGCCACCATGAGCTTGGACTTCCCCTTCGTATATATACTTCGCGAGTGCGAGCAGAGGTCATACGCCTCTTTTTATAGCAGGAATTGCATTCCCTAACACTGCAGCGCAAAGGCCAATTCCTCCCACGAAACCCTCATCACCATGTCCGATCCCGCTCCCAACAAAACTCAAGACCCTTTGATCGCCAGCACAGTCTCCAATGATCAACTACAAAACCTAGCCTCTGGAGTCTCAACACTCACCAAAGGAATTGCCGATCTCCGGACACCGCTACAGACACCTCTCCAGGCCCCTCCAAAAAGAACAGTAGCTCCTGCACTCGCACTCGCACCCGCTCCCGTAGCACCGACGGCCCCTGACGTGATCTCTTTGAATGTCCCCAGCTTTGCGACACTTGCATCCATCAACCCCACGGTTACTGTGTCGCCCTCGCTTCTCTCCCAATTCCATCTAGTCGAGTTGGCGGTAATCAAGGCAATTGTAAACCACAACTTCCGGGCGGCGGACCTCTACAAGCTCGACCCCCAGCACAGGGGTCGAGGCGGCTGGCGCGCCCATGATAGAGATGCCATGGAGCTGGGGTCCCTAAGCTCCGTCATCATTCCTCTCGGCACATATTTCTCCATCCTCGGATTTGCCATCGCCCCTGCCAACCCGTCCATTGGGCCCATCGTCTCCGGTTTCTGGGCATATATCGCATCACTCATGCAGTTTGCCTCGCAATACGAATGGGCCGCGATCCACTTGTATCACGTCGATTTCTTCACAACGCGGCGCCGCGAAATGCAGTTTGGCGACTACTCTCAGTGGGGCCGGATCGACGTAGATATCCTGAGTCGCCGCTTGTTAGGCCACAACAAAGTGGCGCGTCCTGACGCTCTCACACCAGGTATACTTTGCATGGTATTTTCTCTCGAGCGCAGTTCGAGCTCGTGACATAACTGAAGGGGAACTTCACGAGCGTATCATCATATTGGAGCGCTGAGAGCACTACAATAGTCGTCATCTTCCATCAGTTCTTCCTGGAAAACTGCTTGTATCTCCTTCGCGAAAGTGAACTGTTCTCGACTACCCCCATAGTAACTCTTTTTTTTCTCATACCCATATTTCCAGCTCTTCTCACGGACTTCGACCAACCTCACAAATGTGTCCAAGCCCAGGTGTTTTCTTTCGTCGGACGTGATATGTTCAGGGCGTCGTGCCAGTATATCGTAGCCCTTGATTAACCACCTAGAAACGCTATACTTCTTGGCTAGGAAATCATGTTCACGGCGCCTAGGTTTGGAACCTGACTCTCACTTGCATTGATCGCCTTCATCCGCATCTTCGGGAATTGCCACATATCGGATAGTTTGATCACGGACATCCACTCATCCACTGTCAAAGTAGTGGATCCGCCTGGTAGTCTGTTGAGGTGAATCCCGCAAATATGAATTTATTTGAGACTGCATCGCAGCTATGGGTGCAGTGGCGTGTAGACTCACCGGGTAAATAGCCTTCATGAAACTCTTGAACTCAAACGCAGTGACCTGAGAGGGAAGGATTATGGGATTGGTATCACTTGATCCTTCCTTCGCCTTTTCTCCTTGCGGCATCGAGAACATGCCAGCGAAGACACCTTCCTCAGCTTCAAGCCTATATCGAGGCACCCTAAAGAGTGTGTTCTCGGCCTATGTCTTCCATCATGTTAGAATTCTGGGATGTCTTGCAACGATAACTCTAACTCACCAAAAAGACCACCGTCTCTAAGTAGAAGGAGGTGTCTCGTGAAGGCTCAGTTGGTTCACAAGGGGCATGAGTCGCGGGTTTTTCTGGAGTAGGAGGCGAAGAAGCAGGTCCTCTTAAATCACTGAAAGAATTGGGGAACATGATGGCCATGGAGGGGGGAAACGGCGTTCAAACACGGTTATTACCGACATTTTATGGACCTGCCGTGCACCTGCGCATCTTCTAGACAACCTTCCCTGCGTCTTGTGCCACGCTCATGACCCACAAATCATGCCTCGCGTGATTGCGAATACATCCTGCGCATTGCGGGACGCAGTCATCAGAAAAGAAACCAAACTTGAGGATCACGCAGAAAGTTGGCTGTCTTTGACGATCGCGCTCTATATCATGGTATATAAATCGACCTGAGACAAAAGGAGGACTGGTTGAAATGAGGCGTCAGATTGCGCACGCACAGAGATTAAATAGCAAATTGTACCGGTCACGTCGAAATAAGCATCAGGATCAGCGCCGAGACATTTCCCTTCGCAGAGATCAGAGGATCATGACTATGCGCAAATGAATACCGCTGTGAGAGAGAACATCATTATTGACACACACAGCCGCACGTCGAATACGATCTGTTTGGCGTCGGACTGTGCTAGATACTTCGTCATTCAATGACCATACACTAATCCGTGGTAGATACAACACGAGACGAGGTAAACCTTTTAGGGCCCCCAATACGTATGAGTACGGACCTTTAGTTCCTATGGGCAGCGCGATATGACACTGCCGTGCATGGTTCCGACGAATAGCACATATTCCCACCACTCCACCTATTTCGCCTTTTTCTTGCCCTTTGGGTCATCACTGAAAGCGTTATCAGATCTGATTCTCCTCCACTACTCTCCTTATAATTGACGGCGATCTTCCTGGTTTTCGGGACATCATATCTGTCGTCCAGTGTGATATTGCTCGTCGAAATATAGTTGCCATCATCGTCCGATTTCTTTGGCTTCTTCGCCTTCGAGGTGGCCCCCTTCCCTCCTGTCGCTGTACTCTTCTTCATCCTTGCGTTCTCAAGAGGAGTGTCGGCGTGTTTTGGGGCTGGTTTACCTCTCTTTCCCTTCTTCGCCTCTTCATCCTCCGTCATCCTAGCCAACTTGATAAACTCGTTCGGCAATCGCAGTCGATCTTGTGAGCCACGGAGGGTTTGGACAAGGAAACGAGCGTGACGACGCATAGCCAGTAATACATTGAAGGCGTTGATACGTCGTGGTGGACTATATCTTATAAATACGTCCTCGAAGGAAGGGACCACTTGGACGCAGTTGAGTTCCCATTCCGGGTGTCCTGCTCTCACGTGAAGGACGGGGTAGTAGACGTATACGGTGAATCCGACATAGTCGTATCCAATCCCATTCACGAACATACATTTGGGGATCTTCAGTCGCGGTTTAGGCTTGAGCTAGCAACAAATATGAAGTATAGACGCGATACAGCTTACTTCGAGCTTTTCCCATTCGACAGCTTTCACCTTGGCTCTCGTTATCTCTTCCTCGGAAAGCATGTGCCATCCTTCCTTCACGGCGTCAGGAATTCTCGATTCCTCCGTCTCACAAAGGTGCGCAATGAATATCTTCAATGTTCCCTGAAAAAGCCATGCGAGCTGGGCAGAGACTCTGTGCATGGAGGGGCTTACATCAAGCAGTTTTGCGACGCTTGAATTTATGGACCCCTCCTCTAGACCTACATTGGCGTCTCTCTTTTGGGATTTGCCTTTGGCTTTTCCTGCATTTCTATCCTCTTTATGATTACCCAAGGTTTCCTTCGCATCCGCGCCAAAAACCACGGGATAGAGAATGGACAGATCAGGAGAACCTGGGTCAGCGATAAGCTCCATTCTCGTGCAAAGATCGCTCGAAGAGTATGAGCCGAAACATCCAAGAATGAGAGTCATCTTCACAGATTTTCCTCTAAAAGCGTATCCTATCAGTAATGTACCAATTTGAGATATAGACGGCTCACGATAAAACTTTGCTATTCTTCACGTAAGAAGCGCCCTCTACAATTGGTCCAATAACGCGCTCGACGCCAAGCTCCGACGTGGCTTTGTGATTGCCGGGCAACAGACAATTTTGAAGCATGGTGAATGCGACGTCCAATTGCTCATCGCTGTCATTCTCTCCATCCCACAAGCCGAGGGTGATGACACCTGATGTGAGGCTGGCAACTTCGGTTTCAGGGGAGTTTTGGGAGTCATTGATCTCCGTGACTGAGAAGGTTCCGGCCGGCAGCTTTTTTTCTAAACTCTGGGGATATACTCTCATCGGTGCTCGGACGACCTCCTTACCATTTTCAATATCCAATGTTTCGTCAAAATTCTGCAAAGATAAGAGATCATGATTAGGACGATGGAAAGCCTATCGAAACACATACCGGCCAAGTATCAGGAATTAACAGCGTGTGTTCCTGAACAGCTTTCAGAATAAAGATCGCATGATGCAATACTTGGTGGAAAGATGTGTGCACTGTACGACGATCCAACCCAAGAAGTTGTATATTTGAATCATTTGACAAGAAAAATCGCCAGCCGTACTGGGATACAAGGCTCAGTTGGCCAACGTTGCTTGCACACGTGACAACTTAATTAGGATGCGTCACCATGAAACAAAAATGGCGACTTACCTTGCATGCAATGCCGACTGACTTCCTTCGGCCGCTTCTCCACGCATCACTCTCCACAAGACGCCATGGGCATCCTGCCAAGTCTTCATTCCAGATTCGACATTGAGACGCTTCCAATATTCATCGTCTCTGGCTTCAATCGGCTGATATTGTTGATCCCGGACTTTGTATTATCAGCTTGGAGAAGTTCTCGGTCGACCAGCGGATCCTTGAGCTTTGGAGCTGCAGAGCTTGGACGGCGTATCACGATGTTAGGAATGTCACTGTGAATGCGATCGATCGTACACGAACGAATCTAACATGGCAGGTTTGCTCACAACTTGACATCATCGCTGGCAGCTGGAGTGGTTTGAGGTGGCATTGAAGATCTGAGAAACTAAAAATTGACGAACGATAAACTCAGTGCGTGTTACTACGCTGAGCACTGGTGGAGGTAAGAGACACAAGTGCATTTATCATGATCGCATCATATCGCTGTTAGAAGCGTTATTCAAGATCCCGACTTCTTCTGATCGTTATCATCTAGCTGCTGTAACGCAATCCTCCCCTTCCTTAATTTGAGCTATATGAATCTCTCAAAGCTCAGCCGATTGCAGAGTTTCGATTTGTTGTCCAAAAGGCGAGATCGATCAGCTTCCAAATACAAAGCAAACATCCTCCGGCATCTTCTCCTCTCAACACTGGTAATTCAGTCGGATTGGAACAATAAATAGAATCCTGACCATCGTGTCAAATTTGAATAGGTGGAAACATTGGACTGTCAGACACTCACCGTCGTTCCTCTGCGAGAGGAATGTTTCATAAGGAGAGCGAGTATTCTTTGAAGATATTGACCAATTCGGCGGTATGCCGTTGAATTCGGAGGAACGTGTTGACTAAGTATGCACGAGTCTGTGGACTGACACCCTCTGTGGGTTGAGGAGTGTAGGCTTCATAAGCGCAGAAACCCCACTCAAGACGCCCTTCGGAATTGACTTTGTAGCGCGGGAAGAAAGCATAGACAATGCAATCGAGCTGGGAGTAGTTCATTCCAAAGAAGAAGAACTTGCGTGGAATTGGAGGTTTTTTCGAGTCGGAGGAGACAATCGGCTGTGATTAGGTTATTCGGTTGCATCAATAAGTCGGTTGCAGCAAATACTAGGAACAGGCACTTACATTCCACTCTGGGTCCCATTTTCCATCAAGGCAGTGGGCCTTGGTCAGGTGCATCACCAGAAGCTGTAATGACGGTTGAAAGATTTTTGCTAGCTCGACAAGCCCTTGCGATCGATCGGGCATACGTTCTGGTGGCCCTGGCCGAACACAGGAGATTTCTGCATGCTCAAATCTTTTGAGATTCTCCACGTGGTGAGCCGCAAATAAAATGGGTGTAAATCCATTAGGCAGGCCATTTGGTAGGTTATCACGAGTCGGACGACAAGCATAATCGGGACATGTTGAAGACCCGAAATCGGACGAGTATTGGGGGAAAGCGATGGACATTGATCTTGTGAGAAATAATACTTGTGAGACGTTATAATTGATACCATGATTTAAACTGACCTAAGCACCTCACAGCCTCGAATCTGATAGCAGACGGCTGGAAGAATGGTGTCAAAAAAGCTCCTGAGACCAAGCTCGCGATATCTAGTAGCGCCAGGATGCCCTTTCGAGAAGATTTTGAGGATAGTCCATTCGACGCTGTAGAAAGCTAAGTCGGGATCCTGGACTTGATGTAGAGTTAAGTTCGGCAACGGATATGGGATGGTGGAGAAGTCAGCCCTTGGCTTGTACAACACGATCGGCCAAATCGTATTCATGCCATCGAGATACTCGCATATGCACGAGTGTAAGAGAGAGGCGACCGAGTCCGGCTGCTCGTTCTGGGCCGCTGTCTGAAATTATTGTCATCGTGCTATTGCCTTGGACAGACAGATCAGCCTTGCCTTCCAATCTTCTGGGATATCTATAGGTTGAACATCGTACATATCGTGGGACTGGATGGTTTTCATTATTTCATGGATGCTCAAGCCAGCTCTTCCATCATAACCCCAGTCTTGCCTCTGTTCAAAGAGCCAATAGTGAGGACCAAGTGCGAGAGGGCTATGTAGGAGTGAGCTTATGAATTGACTCCCGTTATACTAGAAGTTACATACCTAAGTGTTGGCGGTACTTTATCCTCATAACGAGAGCCGCCTGTCTCCTTGATTCCGAAATCATCGAGCCACTTCGGGAATGTGATATCCATAGCCTTGCTGAGCTCGGGCATGATTGATAAATGGTGGTTGTAGATATGGTGGAAGCGAGGGTTTACAACAGTGTGTCATCTTAGGTGGCATCAGGAAAACCGCCTAAATCTGACGACGCCTGACGAGGTCGGCGGATCCCGACATAGGCATGCCCTGACAAGCACTGGTAAGCTCGGGCATGGTTTTTCAGCTCTCACCAGGCTTTGCCAGTCGACGCGATCTCATTCAGGACGGTACGACTACGGCACAACAGTGGTACAATTACAATGCAATACCTTGACAGCCCCAAGCCGCTCGCTACAGCCAAATTCATGTAAATTCAAGTTGATTCAAGCCTGGCCACGCAAGCAACAACAGGAGCCCGAGTAATGAAACAAAAAGATGAATTACAGCGGACTGAAGTTTTCGCAGAATGAAACACCTTCGTCATCAAGGGCCTTGTCCTCTGGGTATGAATGATTGTCCGAGTTGCACTCATACTTACCCGACTTGTTTGTGTCGCTATCGTCGCCACTACATTGTCTTCGTTGTTGGCTTGTCTTCATTGTTGTATGAGATATTTGAGTTGCCTTTTGGGTCAAGATTCTCATCTTTAAATGGATTGTGAGAAGTCCTATATATGAAGGTGGAGTAAGATAAGCTGAGTGTGAAGGTAAACATAAAAGCATTGGGACCAGGGTAAGGAAGTGGTAAGGAGGTAAGAGAATGCACAGAATCACATCAAAATGACATGTCGCGGTTTGCAAAGACACGTCGCTCACGCGTCGGACTTTGAAACACGTCTTACTCGCATCCCTTATGTTGAGTGTCGCAAACAAGGCACTTGGTACTAGACAGTATGTTGTTATCGCTATATGTGCTGAGAATCACTTACAATGTTGCTATATGCACTCATTTCCACCATTTACCCCTGACTATGCTTTCTCCTCTCTTTGTCTTAGGTTCTCTCAAGTTGCATATTAGTCATTTGAGATTCAGTGATAACTGTATGCTTGTAGGCAAGTATTGCATCATACTTTGAGTCAATATCATGATTCTCCCAGCTGGAAGCTTGCTGGTTGGCATGGCATAAACAATGTATGTATATCCTCATGTGACACATGCTCAAGCAATATGATCGCACAAGTGTTAGAACTGTGTCCTAACACGCGCTTGGCACATGGACAGAAGGAAAGGTCAGGCGTCTCACCTTTGACTAGACAGTAATGACTAGGACTGTGACTTGACATGTGTCTAGGCACGTGACTCAGGACATGGTCATGAGCTATGCATATGACTTGGACTCAGGCTGATTACCATTTACATGCTGATGCATGAATGCTTATGTACTATGATCTCTTTTCCTATTGTGCTTACCGATGTCGATTGTGATTGAGTTCTGATGGAACATTGCTGCGGACAGACATTTGATATACTTACTATATATGGTTACATCAAAGAGCCGCAGAGTATGAACAATGACTGTGGATTACTTAGCATTTAGAAGCACAGACCATGCGTCCGTCCTACCCTAAACAGCATGTACTATAAATAGGAGAGCTGAGCTTCTTAGAAGATCAGCTCATTCACTTTGTATACATCTTGATCTCTGCACTGCACCCGGTGCCTGGCCCCTTCAGCCCCCGCTTCGTGAACTCTGCCAGATCCATAGAACCATACTCAGTTTGACGAAGCACTGGACCTGTCTCAAAGCTCTCATCATTCTCTACTGCCTGCAACCTATCAAGGACTCGCTGCCTATTGAGTCATTTTTTGGGATCCCTCCGAAGTTATCTGCTGCATCGGAGAAGACTTGTTTGTACCAGACAAACAATGACATTTAGTTAACCAACACCTTTTCCATCTATTTGAGGACAAGATCAACAGTGATCAAGAATTCCTGAACCAAGCCCAAAGACGATCGGTCGTCTTTATACGTTGGGCCGTCACGATCACAATTAGTCCAGGGAACCCTTCTTAGTGCAACAAGTGCACGTGATAAGCCTAGTAGCTTAACAACAGGCCAGCAATGCTGCATGCTAGGGTATGAGAAATACAAAGATGAGTTGTACCTTGCATCTGGCTCTTTCTTCCGTTTTCTTACTGTTTACTGATCTTGTCTCCACTAGTATATAGATAGGTATGTGATGTTTGCAGCTGAAGTTGCACATGCATGAGGCCCTCCCTGCACAAGAAAACCTCTGCCAGCTTGCAGTTGTTGTGTAGAGAGATACTGATGTGTCCATGCATTGTGCCAATATCATATATATTTAGGTATAAGCAAGTGCTTGTTAGGACCGTGTCCTAACACGTGCTTGGCACGTGGACAGAAGGGAAGGTCAGGTGCTTCCTCGGACTCGAACTATTAACGACTAGGTCTGTGACTTGACACGCGTCTAGGCACGTGACTCAGGACATGGTCATGAGCTACGCACATGACTCGGACTCGGACTGTTTACCATTTACATGCTGATGCATGAACGCTTACATACTATGATCTCCTTTCTGCTGTGGTTACTAACGTCGATCGTGATCGAGTTCTATTTGATATTGCTGCGGACAGATATTTGATATACTTACTATATGTTACGACTGCTCGTCGGTAACCCCAAGAGTAGGAGGTTCTTCCCTAGGTCGCTCGTGGAGGATGTGTGGAACGGTGGTCTCGACTGTATGTGTAGCACAGGAGCCAAAGATGTATTGCGATATAGCAATGAAGGCTGTAGTAGGAAGACTACAGTGGATGAGGGTGTTGTGGTAGGAAGACCACAACGAACGAAGAGAATAGACTGAAGAACCTCAGCCTACTCTATGGGCCTTTTATACTACTTTAGGAAATAGGGCGTGAGAATACCGTATATGTATCCGTAGGTATTTCTCTAAGTCGTCTCTCTCAGTACGACTATTCTTGTGCCTCTCCGTTAGTCTCCTTCCGGCCAGGAACGACTAGGAGCTCAATGCCCGATGTGTGAGTAGTTTGTAAGGCGGCGTTCCATGCCCGCTACGCAATAGGCCCGTGATACTCGACCAACGATAAGGTGATCCGTTGGGAGTGGATGACCAAGGTTACTATCTGTACCTTGTTTGTACGCCTCTCCTAGTGAGGCCGCTTGATATTTGTGATGATCGTGTCAGAATAGACCGCCGTTAAGGCCCAACAGAACGTGATCATAACAATACCCCCTTTCTACGTCCTATTCGCCTGGTAGGACAGCGCTTTTGTGCTTCATCGCCACTCCATATACGATTTGCTTTCTTGATCCAAAACGATCTCCGGTTGCGACTTCCGGGACATGACTTCGTTTTCTGGGAGGAAGACCGACTTACGTCGTTTGATCCTCTAGGAGTTTTCCTTCTCCGTTGAGCTGTTTGTTTGTCGAGTCGTGAGGGTACCACACCTCCGCTCTGTGGGATGTTCTTCCTTCACCCCTCGGTTGTTGTGATCTTTCCTGGGTTCTCAAGCCAGGATGTCAGTCCGGTCGACACCGGACAGGTGTCAAGAAAGGCGTATGAATGCGAGTGGTGTATGGATGAATAGAAACTCTAGCGTGTGGGTTCCAATTCGTGTCATCAGGTTCTTCTTCTTCCTTCTCCGAGGGCCAAACCTCAGTGTTTCCAGGATAGTCATTATCCTCGTGATTTGTGTTGTTCCTCTTGGCGTTCAGAGGATGGCGTCCACGGGCAAGTAGGTTGATCGCTTTACAAAGGCTTAGGCCTACTTCCCCAGACTACCATCTTAACGTCCCAAGCAGTATCGCTCCCATACGGTGAGCTCATCTCCGGTGAGGTTGCAGCCATAAATCCCAAGCAGTATCGCCCCCATACGGTGGGCTCATCTCCGGTGAGTTAGTTCGACGTCCAGAGTTTGTTTGATTCACTATGCGTATTGGGTTTGAGGCAAGGATGTGAAGAGAATTAGACTTGAAGGGTGCCGTAAGGAGTAAGGAGGAGTCTGACTCCTTCTCCAGATCGGCCCTGTTACGACTGCTCGTCGGTAACCCCAAGAGTAGGAGGTTCTTCCCTAGGTCACTCGTGGAGGATGTGTGGAACGGTGGTCTCGACCGTACGTGTAGCACAGGAGCCAGAAGTGTATTGCGATGTAGCAATGAAAGTAGGCAGTATGAAGACTGCCTAAGGATGAAGGAGTACTGTAGGAAGACAGTACTGAACGAAGAGAATAGACTGAAGATCGTCAGCCTATTCTATGGGCCTTTTATACTACTTTGGGAAGTAGGGCGTGAGAATACCGAATATGTATCTGTAGGTATTCTCTAAGTCGTCTCTCTCAATAACGACTACTCTTGTGCTTCTCCGTTGGTCTCCTTCCGGCCAGGAGAGACTAGGAGGTTCATGCCCTGCGTGTGAGTAATTTATAAGGCGGCGTTCCATGCCCGCTAATACAAGGCCCGTGATACTCGACCAATGATTGATGATCCATTGGGAGTGGATGACCAAGGTTAATATCTGTACCTTGGTGTACGCCTCAACCTGTGAGGCCGCGTGATATTTGTGATGATCGTATCGGAATAGACCGCCGTGTAGGCCCGATAGAACGTGATCATAACAATACCCCCTTTCTATGTCCTATTCGCCTGGTAGGACCACGCCTTGCGTGTCATCGCCGCTCCATATACGATTTGCTTTCTTGATCCAATGATGGTCGCCGGATGCGACTTCCGGGACATGACTTCGTTTTCTGGGAGGAAGACCGACTTACGTCGTTTGATCCTCTAGGAGTTTTCCATCTCCGTTGAGCTGTTTGTTTGTCGAGGCACGAGGGTACCAAACCTCCGCTCTGTAGGGTGTTCTTCCTTCACCCGTGGGATTGATTTTGCCGCGGGTAAACCGCATCGCGGTCTTACTTCCAGCCCGCTTCTGGAACAGCATCAAGAAAGGCGTATGAATGCGAGTGGTGTGTGGATGAATAGAAACTCTAGCATGTGGGTTCCGATTCGTGTCATCAGGTTCTTCTTCTTCCTTCTCCGAGGGCCAAACCTCAGTGTTTCCAGGATAGTCGTCTATCCCCATGATTTTGTTGTTTCCTCAATGGCGACCGGCGGCGTCCACGGACAAGTAGGTTGATCGCTTTACGAAGGCTTAGGCCTACTTCTCCAGACTACCTTGTTCCACGCCTAAGCATGAGTCGAACAGCCAAGCAGTATTGCTCCCATACGGTGAGCTCATCTCCGGTGAGGGCGCCCAATCAAAATCCCAAGCAGTATTGTCCCCATACGGTGGACTCATCTCCGGTGAGGCAGTTTACGGCGTCCAGAGTTTGTTTTTCACAAACGTGGGCCTATGGTGGGGAATACCACGTGTAGTGTTGGGTTCGAGGCAAGGATGTGAAGAGAATTAGACTTGAAGGGTGCCGTGAGGAGTAAGGAGGAGTCTGACTCCTTCTCCAGATCGGCCCGTTCGCTTACACGAATGGACATTAAGACCACAGCTGATATATTTGTCGGGTTGCGAGATATATCCACGACTGGCAGTTTAAACGTCATGCGGGACGGTCCGTAGTTTATCGTCGTTTCGGACGATCCGTAGTTTAACGTCTTTGCGGATGTCCTTCATCATCAACATGGAATACCTGTGGGAAAAAGATGTTTCTGCACGCCGGAATTTCCATCGGTTGTGTGCATAGGGCCATAGACCAGACTTTTCCCGCTCCAGATTCCACTGAGGCATGATGGACGGTTTATACTATATCAAACCGGATAACTTGTACGTCTCGATGTTAGGAGACCGCTCAGTTTAATGCCGTGAGGTAGGCATCCTCGCAGTTTAATGCCGTGCGATAGGCGGGCTTGCAGTTTAACGCCGTGCGATAGGCGGACTATCGTCTGACTGTGTCCCTCGAGTCACGATAGGCTTTTCCTCCGAGGATGAGGGTAGTTTAATGTCATTTCGGACATTGTCGACATATTCTCGTCAAGAATGATGTCGGCCGATGATCCCTGTACGAAAAGGGACGAGTAGTTTAACGTCATCTCGGACGGTTGATGACCACGGTCTTGGTCAACAACCACAACTCCTATTCGGTAAGGAGCACGTAGTTTAATGTCATTGCGGACCGATTGACACCATGGCGGTCAATCCACAACTCCTGTACGGTAAGGAGCAAATAGTTTTGTGTCATTGCGGACGATCCAGCACCAGAGTGATGAATCACAACTCCCATGCGATCGGGAGCAAGTAGTTTAACGTCATTGCGGACGCATTGGTGTCCAGGGGATTGGACGTCAATGACAACCTCTAGGTCCAGGGGCACTAGTTTAACATCGTCGCGGACGCGCGGTATCTTGTCAAGATCGCCACGCACGATCCCTAGAACGAAGGGACGGTAGTTTTACATCGTCGCGGATGCCCGTAGTTTACCGTCGTTGCGGACGTCGATGCCATTGGCCTCGAACAATCCCTATGTGGAAAGGGACAATAGTTTAGCGTCATCGCGGACGTTGTTTCGCCACAAATATTGTGGAAAAACAATGCTTAGTTTAACGTCATCCCGGACGCGTCGTAGTTTATCGTCGTTGCGGACGATTGGCGGAATAGACTTCGGATGAGTGGCCCGCTCTTGTCGTTCTTCCGCTATGTGGGCCAGACGAGAGTCGCGTGACCTAGTCCCTTCCTACTAGATCTTTGACTCGAGGCACGTGTCCTAGTTGCCTCTTGACTAGGTCTTGGAGCGGAATTTCTTGTACTTCGACTCCAGGACTAGACTGAGCGCTCCATGAAGAGATGCTTGCTCTTCCATGTCCCCAGACCCCTCGCTTGGATTTGAACCAAGACGACCCGATATTCTTTTACCGAAAAGCGAGTGAATATCGGAAGCGCTTCGACCTTTTATAGGCAGGGTTCTGTGACGCGAGTCCTTCCGCGCTTCGCCAGAATGCAACCACGCTCCTTTGGTCAATGGTAGTTTAACGTCATCTCGGACGATGGTAGTTTTCCGTCGTTTCGGACGAAGACTAGTTTAACGTCATTGCGGACCCTAGTAGTTTATAGTCATTGCGGACCAAGCCTTTGGTAGTTTTACATCGTTCCGGATGTAATTTGTGGCCTCGCATCATTTAGGAAGACTTGTGAGGTAGAGGCGGCCCGCTCTCTACATCATCTCATGCGCCAGCTGTAGGATCCCCTAATGCGGAAACGATCCTGTAAAACGGGAGATCCAAAGTGGGACGTCCCAAAACACCAGTCAGACCTTGACTGTGAGGGTTCACGATACGAGTTATGCATCATAATTTCTTGACTCGGACTTGCAACCGGTTATGTATGGGCACTTCGCTGTACCAAGGCGAAGGGCCTGCTTGTCGACACCTACGAGTAGAGTGTATGTCATGTAGAGGGTTCCCTAATGCGGAAAAAACCCTGTAAAACTGAGGATCCAAATGGGACGCTCGATGCATCTGTCAGATTTACTCCTTGACAGCGAGGATGTGAAAGGTTCCGCCGTAGGTTGTACGTGGAATTATGCCCGCTGTTGTCCTTGATTCGTACCATCATTTGAACCTAGGACTAATGGTCAGGTACTTCCCCTGCCTTCTTATCTTTTCACAGTTTTAAGACATGCAGGTCCGGTAGTTTAGACGTCATTCCGGACGCAGGGTAGTTTAACGTCTGTTTCGGACGAGGTCGTACAGTTTAACGTCTTGAGGGACGAACCTAGTTTTACGTCATTGCGGACGATGGTAGTTTTACATCGTTTCGGATGTAATTTGTGTCAGGGGAAGGAGTTCCTCAACTTCCTTACCCCCTTTCTTCTCCCTATGCCCTGTTATTAGTCCGTTTAATAATCAAAGGGTCCTTGATAATCCCCGCCCCCTTCGTCAGGTCGGTAGTAGGGGTCAGCGTCGTCGTAATTTCCTGGATCGTCTAGAGCATCCCATGCATCGAGCTCGGATCTAGTCCAAGAGCTATTTCTTCGAGCCTCCGAATCAGCGCGGCGAGTTCTGCGGCTACTTCGGTTATCCTCTCTTTCGTTCGTACGAAATCGAGCACTAGGAGGAGGCGATCCAGGCCGGTGTCGAATACTCCGGCCAGCAGTTGTTCCGCGTCCGAGGGTTGCCTGGTTTCCCCGACTCCGTCTTCCCTCATTTCTTCGATAGACGGGCGGTTCCTCCTCGTCGGTATTTCCTTGGGATAAGGGAAAACCTCGTATCCGGTGAGAGGGGGGAGTCGCGGTATGGCTATGCGCTGTAGGAACCTCTCGTTGTCTCGGTGGAGGGCGCTCCACGACCGTACGTGGAACCCTTCTTGGATTTGATACAGGCGTGGGATGTTCTCCGGGACGTGGTACGTTCCAAGTGACAACTCGGAAAGGGTCAGTTCTGCTTGGTTGGACGTTTCCCAGTTCTCCTCCGAAGAGGAGAGCTGGAAGGAGCTCTCGGTTGACATATTGGGAGAACTCGTCAGGGTGGATGAGGAGGGCTCGGGGTCGCCCGTCATTATGGGCGTACCAGGAGGCTGTGTCCGGGTCGGTTTGGAGGGCAAGCGTCCTGATCTGGAGACTGGCACTAGCCAGTCGTCGAGGTACGTCGCTATGTTCATTCCCGGGTTGTCCTGCCGAGAAGTTAGCGAGTCTTTGGAGGGCCATGGCTGTGGCCATTTGTATTACCGCGGAGATGGTGTTCTGCTGGAGGAGCGCGTCCGCGTGTCGCTCCAGTTCTCCGGTGTGAGGATCTGTACGAGGGGTAGGTCCTCCCATGGAGCTGGGAATCGGTCCACTAGTTGGTACTGGCGGAGGTGCAGTTTCTGATAGAACTGGTATTGGTTCAGCTTCTCCATGGCCTGGGAGTTGAGCTGCCGTTCTTGCTCGAAATCCCGAGGGACCTGCAACTCCACTAGGACGCGTGCCTTCACTAGGAGGTGGAACTCCCACTGGTAATGGGCCAAGGCTCGACTGGTTTCGGTCATCAGAGTTTTCATGCCGTGGTGCATCTCGTGAGGCCCTCTCCGGTGAGGGTCTTCGGGTTCTTTCCCTTTCCTTGAACTTGCCATAGTCTTCGGCGTCGTCGTCGGAGAAGTTGTTGAGATGAGGGGTGAGGAGGACGCCGGTAGATCCTGGTTGTTGAGGACTTGTTCCTCTATCAATTCGTCCAGCATCTGGTCGGTGAGGACTTGTTCCTCTTTCCACTCGTTCGACATCTGGATTGGCAACCATAAGGACGACATCGGGGGAGGAGTTTCTGGATGGAGACGAAGCATCGTGGTCGTCGTGGAGGAGCATTCAAAGAAGGGGAATGTGTTTGAGAGGGGGAAGAGGGTGAGAAGATGTTCTTGTTGGAGTCCTCTTGTCGCTCCTTTTATAATCTTTCGTCCCTCCTCTCAGGCTGTTCCCGGACGGGGTTTGTCTGGGTATTGGTCATGGAAATCTTTCATGGCTTCTTCCGCTGTTCCCTTTAGGAGAGTGTAGGGCTCCCAGGTGTTGTCTGCTTCGGGATATCCCATCCATTTGACCAAGTATTTGGTTCCCCGTCCTTGCCGTTTGGAATCCACGATCATTTCTACTTCGTAATGTTCTTCATCGTTCAATACCTCCGGTATTGGTCGCGCGAAGTTTTCTCCGTGGGCTTCGGTTTCTCTATATTTGGTGAGCACGGCGGCGTGGAACACCGGGTGGATTTTCCACTGCGGAGGAATTTGGAGCTTGTACGCCAGGGTTCCTACTTTTTCCAGTATCTTGAAGGGGCCATATCGCCTAGGGGCGAGCTTGAACTTAGGATGGGTTGTCCGGATATGGGTTCCTTCTAACCATACTTGGTCTCCTTCCTCCCATTGGGGAAGTTTCCTGTGAAGATCCCGGTCTTTGGCGTAATTGCTGGCTATTTGTAAGCTAGCAGCGGCTTCTTCCTGAACTTCTGTGATCGTCCTAATGCGTTCAGCTACCGCAGGTACCTTTGTCTCCAGCGCCGTGTCAGCTGAATAGGGGGGGTTGAAACCGTATAGCACTTCGAAAGGGGATCTCCCGGTGGCCGAGTGTTTCCGTGTGTTGTGTGAGAATTCGGCGAACGGCAAAAGGTCTACCCAATTGTCCTGATGGTAGTTGCAGAACGTTCTCAGGAATTGCTCGATCTCCTGGTTTACCCGTTCCGTCTCTCCATCTGTTTGGGGATGATACGCCGTGCTGAGAGCGGCGGTGATTCCTAGCCGTTTCCAGAGTTCTCGGGTGAATTTGGCCGCAAATTGGGGGCCCCGATCGGACACTATTTTGGTCGGCAGTCCATGTCGATTGAAAACGTTGTTTTGGAAAAGCACAGTTGTTTCTTCTGCCGTGATCGTTTTCTTGCATGGGGTGATGACTATGCCTTTTGACAGACCTTGATCCACTACCACGTTAATTGAGTCGAAACCTTTGCTTTCGGGTAGGTCCGTGACGAAATCTGTCGAGATGAATTGCCAAGGAACGTTGGTGGTTTCCAGAGGGTGGATAGGTGGGTGTGTCCTGTGTGTCAAATTCTTCGTAGATTGGCATATGGCACATCCATCCACATATTCGTGGACGAATTTAGTCATGTTTTGCCACCAGTAGTGTCGTTGCACTATTTCCAATGTTTTTGCTCTGCCCGGGTGTCCTACCGCGGGTGCATCATGATGTGTTTTGACGATGAGTCTTTGGATGACGTCGTCTTTGGGGACGCATATGTGGCCGTTGCGTCTGGTGATTCCGTCTTCGTATGTCCAAT